AAGTCTACAGGAACACCAACTTGAGCACAGCAACTCGAGGAATGCTCCGTATACCCCAAAACGTCTCGAGATGAGAGCTGATTCCCTGGCTTAGGCTCAAGACGTATGCCAACTTTCCAGAAGCACCTCAGGAGGAGGCTTCTCTCAGCAATATGTATGTGGGTGGGACCCCGAGTATGCTGCCTCAAGGGGAATATACAGCGAGAAGCCCTAACTTGAAAGGAGGCCGGATTTTCTTGCAGTGGCTAGAATACAGGCTCGTCTTTGATCTCAAAACCTGAAGGGATGTCTGAATCCCCTGTGGAGACCTTAGAGAAAGCCCTAGGTCCCTGCCTCATTTTGACGGAATGCCTCACATCGCGCTGACACCTCGAGAGGCACACGGAGTTCATTGCTTCAAAAGGTGACGATGCATGACTCCTCTTGAATACTGATAGGAATCCCAAAATCCCTGTGGCTACTGGAAAGGGTCCTTGGGTGCCCTGCCTCACCTATACAAGTGTCCCTTTTGCCCTGCCAAGCCTCGAAGATATTCCTGAGGTGTCCCTCGTTACTAGACAGGAGTCCTGACGTCACTGAAGAAACTCGTGTTTTGAAGGGCCATCCCCGCCGTAAGTCGAGAACATACCCCAGGTCCCCGCCGCAACTCGAGAAAAACCATGAGACTTCCCCCTAGAGGCGAGATGAGGCCCCATTCCCCTGCAGTGCATGCAGAGCTATTCCGTGATCCCATTCAAACAAGTCAGGAGCTTCGACTTGCTTAATGGATCTCGAGACAGTCCCCAAGAACACTGTCACCAGTCTAGACGGACCCTGAGGTCACCGCAGCAACGCAAAGCAGCTCCATGTGCCCCAAGTCAACTCCAGATGAGGCCTGATTCCCCTGCATTGACTCCAGAGCCATTCCCCGTTCCCCATTCAACCCGACCGGTGGCTCAACTTCCTTCAGGCAACTCCAGAGATGCCCCGAGAACGCTGTCCCAAGTCTAGAGGAACTTCAACTTCAGCACAGCAACTCGAGGAATGCTCCGTGTACCCCAAATCGTCTCGAGATGAGAGCTGATTCCCTGGCTTAGACTGAAGACGTATGCCAACTTTCCAGAAGCTCCTCAGGAGGCTTCTCTCAGCCATAGGTATGTGGGAGGGACCCCGAGTTTGCTGGCTCAAGGGGAATATACAGCGAGAAGCCCTAACTAGAAAGGAGGCCGGATTTCCTTGCAGTGGATTGAATACAGGCTCGTCTTTCATCTCACAACATGAAGGGATGTCTGAATCCCCTGTGGAGACCTTAGAGAAAGCCCTAGGTCCCTGCCTCATTTTGACGGAATGCCTCACATCCCGCTGACACCTCGAGAGGCACGCGGAGTTCATTGCTTCAAAAGGTGACGATGCCTGACTCCTCTTGAATACTGATAGGAATCCCCAAATCCCTGTGGCTACTGGAAAGGGTCCTTGGGTGCCCTGCCTCACCTGTAGAAGCGTCCCTTTTGCCCTGCCAAGCCTCGAAGAGATTCCTGAGATGTCCCTCGTTACTAGACAGGAGTCCTGACGTCACTGAAGAAACTCGTGTTTTGAAGGGCCATCCCCGCCGTAAGTCGAGAACATACCCCAGGTCCCCACCGCAACTCGAGAAAAACCATGAGACTTCCCCCTAGGGGCGAGATGAGGCCCCATTCCCCTGCAGTGGATGCAGAGCTATTCCGTGATCCCACTCAAACAAGTCAGGAGCTTCGACTTGCTTAATGGATCTCGAGACAGTCCCCAAGAACACTGTCACCAGTCTAGACGGACCCTGAGGTCACCCCAGCAACGCAAAGCAGCTCCATGTCCCCCAAATCAACTCGAGATGAGGCCCGATTCCCCTGCATTGACTCCAGAGCCATTCCCCGTTCCCCATGCAACACGACCGGTGGCTCGACTTCCTTCAGGCAACTCCAGAGATGCCCCGAGAACACTGTTCCAAATCTAGAGGAACACCAACTTCAGCACAGCAACTCGAGGAATGCTCCGTGTACCCCAAATCGTCTCGAGATGAGAGCTGATTCCCTGGCTTAGGCTCAAGACGTATGCCAACTTTCCAGAAGCACCTCAGAGGAGGCTTCTCTCAGCAATAGCTATGTGGGAGGGACCGCGAGTTTGCTGCCTCAAGGGGAATATACAGCGAGAAGCCCAAACTTGAAAGGAGGCCGGATTTCCTTGCAGTGGCTTGAATACAGGCTCGTCTTTCATCTCACAACATGAAGGGATGTCTGAATCCCCTGTGGAGACCTTAGAGAAATCCCTAGGTCCCTGCCTCATTTTGACGGAATGCCTCACATCCCGCTGACACCTCGAGAGGCACGCGGAGTTCATTGCTTCAAAAGGTGACGATGCCTGACTCCTCCTGAATACTGATAGGAATCCCCAAATCCCTGTGGCTACTGGAAAGGGTCCTTGGGTGCCCTGCCTCACCTGTAGAAGCGTCCCTTTTGCCCTGCCAAGCCTCGAAGAGATTCCTGAGATGTCCCTCGTTACTAGACAGGAGTCCTGACGTCACTGAAGAAACTTGTGTTTTGAAGGGCCATCCCCGCTGTAAGTCAAGAACATACCCCAGGTCCCCACCGCAACTCAAGAAAAACCATGAGACTTCCCCCTAGAGGCGAGATGAGGCCCCATTCCCCTGCAGTGGATGCAGAGCTATTCCGTGATCCCATTCAAACAAGTCAGGATCTTCGACTTGCTTAATGGATCTCGAGACAGTCCCCAAGAACACTGTCACCAGTCTAGACGGCCCCTGAGGTCACCCCAGCAACGCAAAGCAGCTCCATGTGCCCCACATCAACTCGAGACGAGGCCCGATTCCACTGCATTGACTCCAGAGACATTCCCTGTTCACCATTCAACACGACCGGTGGCTCGACTTCCTTCAGGCAACTCCAGAGATGCCCCGAGAACACTGTCCCATGTCTAGAGGAACTCCAACTTCAGCACAGCAACTCGAGGATTGCTTCGTGTACCCCAAATCGTCTCGAGATGAGAGCTGATTCCCTGTCTTAGGCTAAAGACATATGCCAACTTTCCAGAAGCACCTCAGGAGGAGGCTTCTCTCAGCAATAGGTATGTGGGAGGGACCTCGAGTTTGCTGCCTCAAGGGGAATATACAGCGAGAAGCCCTAACTTGAAAGAAGGCCGGATTTACTTGCAATGGCTTGAATACAGGCTCCTCTTTCATCTCACAACATGAAGGGATGTCTGAATCCCCTGTGGAGACCTTAGAGAAAGACCTAGGTCTCTGCTTCATTTTGACGGAATGCCTCACATCCCGCTGACACCTCGAGAGGCACGCAGAGTTCATTGCTTCAAAAGATGACAATGCCTGACTCCTCTTGAATACTGATAGGAATCCCAAACTCCCTGTGGCTACTGGAAAGGGTCCTTGGGTGCCCTGCCTCACTTCGAGAAGCGTCCCTTTCGCCCTGCCAAGGCTCGAGGAGATTCCTGAGGTGGCCCTCGTTACTAGACAGGAGTCCTGACGTCACTGAAGAAACTCGTGTTTTGAAGGGCCATCCCCGCCGTAAGTCTAGAACATACTCCAGGTCCCCGCCGCAACTCGAGAAACACCATGAGACTTCCCCCTAGAGGCGAGATGAGGCCCCATTCCCATGCAGTGCATGCAGAGCTATTCCGTGATCCCATTCAAACAAGTCAGGAGCTTCGACTTGCTTAATGGATCTCGAGACAGTCCCCAAGAACACTGTCACCAGTGTAGACGGACCTTGAGGTCACCCCAGCAACGGAAAGCAGCTCCATGTGCCCCAAGTCAACTCGAGATGAGGCCCGATTCCCCTGCATTGACTCCAGAGCCATTCCCCGTTCCCCATTCAACACGACCGGTGGCTCGAATTCCTTCAGGCAACTCCAGAGATGCCCCGAGAACACTGTCCCAAGTCTAGAGGAACATCCAACTTCAGCACAGCAACTCGAGGAATGTTCCGTGTACCCCATATCGTCTCGAGATGAGAGCTGATTCCCTGGCTTAGGCTCAAGACGTATTCCAACTATCCAGAAGCACCTCGGAGGAGGCTTCTCTCAGCAATAGGTATGTGGGAGGGACCCCGAGTATGCTGCCTCAAGGGGAATATACAGCGAGAAGCCCTAACTTGAAAGGAGACCGGATTTCCTTGCAGTGGCTAGAATACAGGCTCGTCTTTGATCTCAAAACCTGAAGGGATGTCTGAATATCCTGTGGAGACCAGAGAGAAAGCCCTCGGTCCCTGCCTCATTTTGACGGAATTCCTCACATCGCGCTGACACCTCGAGAGGCACGTGGAGTTCATTGCTTCAAAAGGTGACGATGCCTGACTCCTCTTGAATACTGATAGGAATCCCAAAATCCCTGAGGCTAGTGGAAAGGGTCCTTGGATGCCCTGCCTCACCTCGAGAAGCGTCCCTTTTGCCCTACCAAGCCTCGAAGAGATTCCTGAGGTGTCCCTCGTTACTAGACAGGAGTCCTGACGTCACTGAAGAAACTCGTGTTTTGAAGGGCCATCCCCGCCGTAAGTCGAGAACATACCCCAGGTCCCCGCCGCAACTCGAGAAAAACCATGAGACTTCCCCCTAGAGGCGAGATGAGGCCCCATTCCCCTGCAGTGCATGCAGAGCTATTCCGTGATCCCATTCAAACAAGTCAGGAGCTTCGACTTGCTTAATGGATCTCGAGACAGTCCCCAAGAACACTGTCACCAGTCTAGACGGTCCCTGAGGTCACCCCAGCATCGCAAAGCAGCTGCATGTGCCCCAAATCAACTCGAGATGATGCCCGATTCCATTGGATTGACTCCAGAGCCTTTCCCCGTTCCCCATTCAACACGACCGGTGGCTTGACTTCCTTCAGGCAACTCCAGAGATGCCCCGAGAACACTGTCCCAATTCTACAGGAACACCAAATTCAGCACAGCAACTCGCGGAATGCTCCGTGTACCCCAAATCGTCTCGAGATGAGAGCTGATTCCCTGGCTTAGGCTCAAGACGTATGCCAACTTTCCAGAAGCACCTCAGGAGGAGGCTTCTCTCAGCAATAGGTATGTGGGAGGGACCTCGAGTTTGCTGCCTCAAGGGGAATATACAGCGAGAAGCCCTAACTTGAAAGAAGGCCGGATTTACTTGCAATGGCTTGAATACAGGCTCCTCTTTCATCTCACAACATGAAGGGATGTCTGAATCCCCTGTGGAGACCTTAGAGAAAGACCTAGGTCTCTGCTTCATTTTGACGGAATGCCTCACATCCCGCTGACACCTCGAGAGGCACGCAGAGTTCATTGCTTCAAAAGATGACAATGCCTGACTCCTCTTGAATACTGATAGGAATCCCAAACTCCCTGTGGCTACTGGAAAGGGTCCTTGGGTGCCCTGCCTCACTTCGAGAAGCGTCCCTTTCGCCCTGCCAAGGCTCGAGGAGATTCCTGAGGTGGCCCTCGTTACTAGACAGGAGTCCTGACGTCACTGAAGAAACTCGTGTTTTGAAGGGCCATCCCCGCCGTAAGTCTAGAACATACTCCAGGTCCCCGCCGCAACTCGAGAAACACCATGAGACTTCCCCCTAGAGGCGAGATGAGGCCCCATTCCCATGCAGTGCATGCAGAGCTATTCCGTGATCCCATTCAAACAAGTCAGGAGCTTCGACTTGCTTAATGGATCTCGAGACAGTCCCCAAGAACACTGTCACCAGTGTAGACGGACCTTGAGGTCACCCCAGCAACGGAAAGCAGCTCCATGTGCCCCAAGTCAACTCGAGATGAGGCCCGATTCCCCTGCATTGACTCCAGAGCCATTCCCCGTTCCCCATTCAACACGACCGGTGGCTCGAATTCCTTCAGGCAACTCCAGAGATGCCCCGAGAACACTGTCCCAAGTCTAGAGGAACATCCAACTTCAGCACAGCAACTCGAGGAATGTTCCGTGTACCCCATATCGTCTCGAGATGAGAGCTGATTCCCTGGCTTAGGCTCAAGACGTATTCCAACTATCCAGAAGCACCTCGGAGGAGGCTTCTCTCAGCAATAGGTATGTGGGAGGGACCCCGAGTATGCTGCCTCAAGGGGAATATACAGCGAGAAGCCCTAACTTGAAAGGAGGCCGGATTTCCTTGCAGTGGCTAGAATACAGGCTCGTCTTTGATCTCAAAACCTGAAGGGATGTCTGAATATCCTGTGGAGACCAGAGAGAAAGCCCTCGGTCCCTGCCTCATTTTGACGGAATTCCTCACATCGCGCTGACACCTCGAGAGGCACGTGGAGTTCATTGCTTCAAAAGGTGACGATGCCTGACTCCTCTTGAATACTGATAGGAATCCCAAAATCCCTGAGACTAGTGGAAAGGGTCCTTGGATGCCCTGCCTCACCTCGAGAAGCGTCCCTTTTGCCCTACCAAGCCTCGAAGAGATTCCTGAGGTGTCCCTCGTTACTAGACAGGAGTCCTGACGTCACTGAAGAAACTCGTGTTTTGAAGGGCCATCCCCGCCGTAAGTCGAGAACATACCCCAGGTCCCCGCCGCAACTCGAGAAAAACCATGAGACTTCCCCCTAGAGGCGAGATGAGGCCCCATTCCCCTGCAGTGCATGCAGAGCTATTCCGTGATCCCATTCAAACAAGTCAGGAGCTTCGACTTGCTTAATGGATCTCGAGACAGTCCCCAAGAACACTGTCACCAGTCTAGACGGTCCCTGAGGTCACCCCAGCATCGCAAAGCAGCTGCATGTGCCCCAAATCAACTCGAGATGAGGCCCGATTCCATTGGATTGACTCCAGAGCCTTTCCCCGTTCCCCATTCAACACGACCGGTGGCTTGACTTCCTTCAGGCAACTCCAGAGATGCCCCGAGAACACTGTCCCAATTCTACAGGAACACCAAATTCAGCACAGCAACTCGCGGAATGCTCCGTGTACCCCAAATCGTCTCGAGATGAGAGCTGATTCCCTGGCTTAGGCTCAAGACGTATGCCAACTTTCCAGAAGCACCTCGGAGGAGGCTTCTCTCAACCATAGGTTTGTGGGAGGGACCCCGAGTATGCTGCCTCAAGGGGAATATACAGCGAGAAGTCCTAACTTGAAAGGAGGCTGGATTTCCTTGCAGTGGCTAGAATACAGGCTCGTCTTTGATCTCAAAACCTGAAGGGATGTCTGAATCCCCTGTGGAGACCTTAGAGAAAGCCCTAGGTCCCTGCCTCATTTTGACGGAATGCCTCACATCGCGCTGACACCTCGAGAGGCACGTGGAGTTCATTGCTTCATAAGGTGACGATGCCTGACTCCTCTTGAATACTGATAGGAATCCCAAAATACCTGTGGCTACTGGAAAGGGTCCTTGGGGCCCTGCCTCACCTCGAGAAGCGTCCCTTTTGCCCTGCCAAGCCTCGAAGAGATTCCTGAGGTGTCCCTCGTTACTAAACAGGAGTCCTGACGTCACGGAAGAAACTCGTGTTTTGAAGGGCCATCCCCGCCGTAAGTCGAGAACATACCCCAGGTCCCCGCCGCAACTCGGGAAAAACCATGAGACTTCCCCCTAGAGGCCAGATGAGGCCTCATTCCCCTGCAGTGCATGCAGAGATATTCCGTGATCCCATTCAAACAAGTCAGGAGCTTCCACTTGCTTAATGGATCTCGAGACAGTCCCCAAGAACACTGTCACCAGTCTAGACGGACCCTGAGGTCACCCCAGCAACGCAAAGCAGCTCCATGTGCACCAAATCAACTCGAGATGAGGCCCGATTCCACTGCATTGACTCCAGGGCCATTCCCCGTTCCCCATTCAACACGACCGGTGGCTCGACTTCCTTCAGGCAACTCCAGAGATGCCCCGAGAACACTGTCCCAGGTCTAGAGGAACTCCACCTTCAGCACAGCAACTCGAGGAATGCTCCGTGTACCCCAAATCGTCTCGAGATGAGAGCTGATTCCCTGGCTTAGGCTCAAGACATATGCCAACTTTCCAGAAGCACCTCAGGAGGAGGCTTCTCTCAGCAATAGGTATGTGGGAGGGACCCCGAGTTTGCTGCCTCAAGGGGAATATACAGCGAGAAGCCCTAACTTGAAAGGAGGCCTGATTTCCTAGCAGTGGCTTGAATACAGGCTCGTCTTTCATCTCACAACATGAAGGGATGTCTGAATCCCCTGTGGAGACCTTAGAGAAAGCCCTAGGTCCCTGCCTCATTTTGACGGAATGCCTCACATCCCGCAGACACCTCGAGAGGCACGCGGAGTTCATTGCTTCAAAAGGTGACGATGCCTGACTCCTCTTGAATACTGATAGGAATCCCAAAATAACTCTGGCTACTGGAAAGGGTCCTTGGGTGCCCTGCCGCACCTCGAGTAGCATCCCTTTTGCCCTGCCAAGCCTCGAAGAGATTCCTGAGGTGTCCCTCGTTACTAGACAGGAGTCCTGACGTCACTGAAGAAACTCGTGTTTTGAAGGGCCATCCCCGCCGTAAGTCGAGAACATACCCCAGGTCCCCGCCGCAACTGGAGAAAAACCATGAGACTTCCCCCTAGAGGCGAGATGAGGCCCCATTCCCCTGCAGTGCATGCAGAGCTATTCCGTGATCCCATTCAAACAAGTCAGGAGCTCCGACTTGCTTAATGGCTCTCGAGACAGTCCCCAAGAACACTGTCACCAGTCTAGACGGACCTTGAGGAAACCCCAGCAATGGAAAGCAGCTACATGTGCCCCAAGTCAACTCGAGATGAGGCCCGATTCCCCTGCATTGACTCCAGAGCCATTCCCCGTTCCCCATTCAACACGACCGGTGGCTCGACTTCCTCAGGCAACTCCAGAGATGCCCCGAGAACACTGTCCCAAGTCTAGAGGAACTCCAACTTCAGCACAGCAACTCGAGGAATGCTCCGTGTACCAAAAATCGTCTCGAGATGAGAGCTGATTTTATGGCTTAGGCTCAAGACGTATGCCAACTTTCCAGAAGAACCTCAGGAGGAGGCTTCTCTCAGCAATAGGTATGTGGGAGGGACCTCGAGTTTGCTGCCTCAAGGGGAATATACAGCGAGAAGCCCTAAAATGAAAGGAGGCCGGATTTCCTTGCAGTGGCTAGAATACAGGCTCGTCTTTGATCTCAAAACCTGAAGGGATGTCTGAATCCCCTGTGGAGACCTTAGAGAAAGCCTTAGGTCCATGCCTCATTTTGACGGAATGCCTCACATCGCGCTGACACCTCGAGAGGCACGTGGAGTTCATTGCTTCAAAAGGTGACGATGCCTGACTCGTCTTGAATAATGATAGGAATCCCAAAATCCCTGTGCCTAGTGGAAAGGTTCCTTGGGTGCCCTGCCTCACCTCGAGAAGCGTCCGTTTTGCCCTGCCAAGCCTCGAAGAGATTCCTGAGGTGTCCCTCGTTACTAGACAGGAGTCCTGACGTCACTGAAGAAACTCGTGTTTTGAAGGGCCATCCCCGCCGTAAGTCGAGAACATACCCCAGGTCCCCCCCGCAACTCGAGAAAAACCATGAGACTTCCCCCTAGAGGCGAGATGAGGCCCCATTCCCCTGCAGTGCATGCAGAGCTATTCCGTGATCCCATTCAAACAAGTCAGGAGCTGCGACTTGCTTAATGGATCTCGAGACAGTCCCCAAGAACTCTGTCACCAGTCTAGACGGACCCTGAGGTTACCCGAGCAACGCAAAGCACCTCCATGTGCCCCAAGTCAACTCGAGATGAGGCCCGATTCCCCTGCATTGACTCCAGAGCCATTCTCCGTTCCCCATTCAACACGACCGGTGGCTCGACTTCCTTCAGGCAACTCCAGAGATGCCCCGAGAACACTATGCCAGGTCTAGAGGAACTCGACCTTCAGCACAGCAACTCGAGGAATGCTCCGTGTACCCCATATCGTCTCGAGATGAGAGCTGATTCCCTGGCTTAGGCTCAAGACGTATGCCAACTTTCCAGAAGCACCTCAGGAGGAGGCTTCTCTCAGCAATAGGTATGTGGGAGGGACCCCGAGTTTGCTGCCTCAAGAGGAATATACAGCGAGAAGCCCTAACTTGAAAGGAGGCCGGATTTCCTTGCAATGGCTTGAATACCGGCTCCTCTTTCATCTCACAACATGAAGGGATGTCTGAATCCCCTGTGGAGACCTTAGAGAAAGACCTAGGTGTCTGCCTCATTTTGACGGAATGCCTCACATCCCGCTGACACCTCGAGAGGCACGCGGAGTTCATTGCTTCAAAAGATGACGATGCCTGACTCCTCTTGAATACTGATAGGAATCCCAAACTCCCTGTGGCTACTGGAAAGGGTCCTTGGGTGCCCTGCCTCACCTCGAGAAGCGTCCCTTTCGCCCTGCCAAGGCTCGAGGATATTCCTGAGGTGGCCCTCGTTACTAGACAGGAGTCCTGACGTCACTGAAGAAGCTCGTGTTTTGAAGGGCCATCCCCGCCGTAAGTCGAGAACATACCCCAAGTCCCCGCCGCAACTGGAGAAAAACCATGAGACTTCCCCCTAGAGTCCAGATGAGGCCCCATTCCCCTGCAGTGCATGCAGAGCTATTCCGTGATCCCATTCAAACAAGTCAGGAGCTTCGACTTGCTTAATGGATCTCGAGACAGTCCCCAAGAACACTGTCACCAGTCTAGACGGACCTTGAGGTCACCCCAGCAACGGAAAGCAGCTCCATGTGCCCCAAGTCAACTCGAGATGAGGCCCGATTCCCCTGCATTGACTCCAGAGCCATTCCCCGTTCCCCATTCAACACGACCGGTGGCTCGACTTCCTTCAGGCAACTCCAGAGATGCCCCGAGAACACTGTCCCAAGTCTAGAGGAACTCCAACTTCAGCACAGCAACTCGAGGATTGCTCCGTGTACCCCAAATCGTCTCGAGATGAGAGCTGATTACCTGGCTTAGGCTAGATATATGCCAACTTTCCAGAAGAACCTCAGGAGGAGGCTTCTCTCAGCAATAGGTATGTGGGAGGGACCTCGAGTTTGCTGCCTCAAGGGGAATATACAGCGAGAAGCCCTAACTTGAAAGGAGGCCGGATTTCCTTGCAGTGGCTTGAATACAGGCTCGTCTTTCATGTCACAACCTGAAGGGATGTCTGAATCCCCTGTGGAGACCTTAGAGAAATCCCTAGGTCCCTGCCTCATTTTGACGGAATGCCTCACATCCCGCTGACACCTCGAGAGGCACACGGAGTTCATTGCTTCAAAAGGTGACGATGCCTGACTCCTCTTGAATACTGATAGGAATCCCAAAATAACTCTGGCTACTGGAAAGGGTCCTTGGGTGGCCTGCCTCATCTCGATAAGCGTCCTTTTGCCCTGCAAAGCCTCGAAGAGATTCCTGAGGTGTCCCTCGTTACTAGACAGGAGTCCTGACGTCACTGAAGAAACTCGTGTTTTGAAGGGCCATCCCCGCCGTAAGTCGAGAACATACCCCAGGTCCCCGCCGCAACTCGAGAAAAACCATGAGACTTCCCCCTAGAGGCGAGATGAGGCCCCATTCCCCTGCAGTGCATGCAGAGCTATTCCGTGATCCCATTCAAACAAGTCAGGAGCTTCGACTTGCTTCATGGGTCTCGAGACAGTCCCCAAGAACACTGTCACCAGTCTAGAGGGACCCTGAAGTCACCTCCGCAACGCAAAGCAGCTCCATGTGCCCCAAATCAACTCGAGATGAGGCCCGATTCCCCTGCATTGACTCCAGAGCCATTCCCCGTTCCCCATTCAACACGACCGGTGGCTCGACTTCCTTCAGGCAACTCCAGAGATGCCCCGAGAACACTGTCCCAAGTCTAGAGGAACTCCAACTTCAGCACAGCAACTCGAGGAATGCTCCGTGTACACCAAATCGTCTCGAGATGAGAGCTGATTCCCTGGCTTACGTTCAAGACGTATGCCAACTTTCCAGAAGCTAATCAGGAGGAGGCTTCTCTCAGCAATAGGTATGTGGGTGGGACCCCGAGTTTGCTGCCTCAAGGGGAATATACAGCGCGAAGCCCTAACTTGAAAGGAGGCCGGATTTCCTTGCAGTGGCTAGAATACAGGCTCGTCTTTGATCTCAAAACCTGAAGGGATGTCTGAATCCCCTGTGGAGACTTTAGAGAAAGCCCTAGGTCCCTGCCTCATTTTGACGGAATGCCTCACATCCCGCTGACACCTCGAGAGGCACGCGGAGTTCATTGCTTCAAAAGGTGACGATGCCTGACTCCTCTTGAATACTGATAGGAATCCCAAAATAACTCTGGCTACTGGAAAGGGTCCTTCGGTGCCCTGCTTCACCTCGAGAAGCGTCCCTTTTGCCCTGGCAAGCCTCGAAGAGATTCCTGAGGTTTCCCTCGTTACTAGACAGGAGTCCTGACGTCACTGAAGAAACTCGTGTTTTTAAGGGCCATCCCCTCCGTAAGTCGAGAACATACCCCAGGTCCCCGCCGCAACTCGAGAAAAACCATGAGACTTCCCCCTAGAGGCGAGATGAGGCCCCATTCCCCTGCAGTGCATGCAGAGCTATTCCGTGATCCCATTCAAACAAGTCAGGAGCTTCGACTTGCTTAATGGATCTCGAGACAGTCCCCAAGAACACTGTCACCAGTCTAGACGGACCCTGAGGTCACCGCAGCAACGCAAAGCAGCTCCATGTGCCCCAAATCAACTCGAGATGAGGCCCGATTCCCCTGGATTGACTCCAGAGCCTTTCCCCGTTCCACATTCAACACGACCGGTGGCTCGACTTCCTTCAGGCAACTCCAGAGATGCCCCGAGAACACTGTCCCAAGTCTAGAGGAAATCCAAATTCAGCACAGCAACTCGAGGAATGCTCCATGTACCCCAAAGCGTCTCGAGATGAGAGCTGATTCCCTGGCTTAGGCTCAAGACGTATGCCAACTTTCCAGAAGCACCTCAGGAGGAGGCTTCATTCAGCAATAGGTATGTGCGAGGGACCCCGAGGTTGCTGCCTCAAGGGGAATATACAGCGAGAAGCCCTAACTCGAAAGTAGGCCGGATTTCCTTGCAGTGGCTTGAATACAGGCTCGTCTTTCATCTCACAACATGAAGGGTTGTCTGAATCCCCTGTGGAGACCTTAGAGAAAGCCCTAGGTCCCTGCCTCATTTTGACCGAATGCCTCACATCCCGCTGACACCTCGAGAATCACTCGGAGTTCACTGCTTCAAAAGGTGACGATGCCTGACTCCTCTTGAATACTGATAGGAATCCCAAAATCCCTGTGGGTACTGGAAAGGGTCCTTGGGTGCCCTGCCTCACCTCGAGAAGCGTCCCTTTTGCCCTGCCAAGCCTCGAAGAGATTCCTGAGGTGTCCCTCATTACGAGACAGGAGTCCTGACGTCAATGAAGAAACTCGTGTTTTGAAGGGCCATCCCCGCCGTAAGTCGAGAACATACCCCAGGTCCCCGCCGCAACTCGAGAAAAACCATGAGACTTCCCCCTAGAGGCGAGATGAGGCCCCATTCCCCTGTAGTGCATGCAGAGCTATTCCGTGATCCCATTCAAACAAGTCAGGAGCTTCGACTTGCTTAATGGATCTCGAGACAGTCCGCAAGCACACTGTCACCAGTCTAGACGGACCCTGAGGTCACCCCAGCAACGCAAAGCAGCTCCATGTGCACCAAATCAACTCGAGATGAGGCCCGATTCCACTGCATTGACTCCAGGGCCATTCCCCGTTCCCCATTCAACACGACCGGTGGCTCGACTTCCTTCAGGCAACTCCAGAGATGCCCCGAGAACACTGTCCCAAGTCTAGAGGAACTCCAACTTCAGCACAGCAACTCGAGGAATGCTCCGTGTACCCCAAATCATCTCGAGATGAGAGCTGATTCCCTGGCTTAGGCTCAAGACGTATGCCAACTTTCCAGAAGCACCTAAGGAGGAGGCTTCTCTCAGCAATAGGTATGTGGGAGGGACCCCGAGGTTGCTGCCTCAAGGGGAATATACAGCGAGAAGCCCTAACTTGAAAGGAGGCCGGATTTTCTTGCAGGGGCTTGAATACAGGCTCGTCTTTCATCTCACAACATGAAGGGATGTCTGAATCCCCTGTGGAGACCTTAGAGAAACCCTTAGGTCCCTGCCTCATTTTGACGGAATGCCTCACATCCTGCTGACTCACCGAGAGGTATGTGGAGTTCATTGCTTCAAAAGGTGACGATGCCTGACTCCTCTTGAATACTGATAGGAATCCCAAAATCCCTGTCGCTACTGGAAAGGGTCCTTGGGTGCCCTGCCTCACCTCGAGAAGCGTCCCTTTTGCCCTGCCAAGCCTCGAAGAGATTCCTGAGGTGTCCCTCATTACTAGAAAGGAGTCCTGACGTCACTGAAGAAACTCGTGTTTTGAAGGTCCATCCCCGCCGTAAGTCGAGAACATACCCCATGTCCCCGCCGCAACTCGAGAAAAACCATGAGACTTCCCCCTAGAGGCCAGATGAGGCCCCATTCCCCGGCAGTGCATGCAGAGCTATTCCGTGATCTCATTCAAACAAGTCAGGAGATTCGACTTGCTTAATGCATCTCGAGACAGTCCCCAAGAACACTGTCATCAGTCTAGACGGACCCTGAGGTCACCGCAGCAACGCAATGCAGCACCATGTGCCCCAAATCAACTCGAGATGAGGCCCGATTCCCCTGGATTGACTCCAGAGCCATTCCCCGTTCCCCATTCAACAAGACCGGTTGCTCGACTTCCTTCAGGCAACTCCAGAGATGCCCCGAGAACACTGTCCCAAGTCTAGAGGAACACTAACTTCAGCACAGCAACTCGAGGAATGCTCCGTGTACCCCAAATCGTCTGGAGATGAGAGCTGATTCCCTGGCTTAGGCTCAAGACGTATGCCAACTTTCCAGAAGCACCTCAGGAGGAGGCTTCTCTCAGCAATAGGTATGTGGGAGGGACTCCGAGTTTGCTGCCTCAAGGGGAATATACAGCGAGAAGCCCTAACTTGAAAGGAGGCCGGATTTCCTTGCAGTGGCTAGAATACAGGCTCTTCTTTGATCTCAAAACCTGAAGGGATGTCTGAATCCCCTGTGGAGACCATAGAGAAAGCCCTAGGTCCCTGCCTCATTTTGAAGGAATGCCTCACATCCCACTGACACCTCGAGAGGCACGTGGAGTTCATTGCTTCAAAAGGTGACGATGCCTGACTCCTCTTGAATACTGATAGGAATCCCAAAATCCCTGTGGCTACTGGAAAGGGTCCTTGGGTGCCCTGCCTCACCTCGAGAAGCCTCCCTTTTGCCCTGCCAAGCCTCGAAGAGATTCCTGAGGTGTCCCTCGTTACGAGACAGGAGTCCTGACGTCACTGAAGAAACTCGTGTTTTGAAGGGCCATCCCCGCCGTAAGTTGAGAACATACCCCAGGTCCCCGTCGCAACTCGAGAAATACCATGAGACTTCCCCCTTGAGGCGAGATGAGGCCCCATTCCCCTGCAGTGCATGCAGAGCTATTCCGTGATCCCATTCAAACAAGTCAGGACCTTCGACTTGCTTAATGGATCTCGAGAGAGTACCCAAGAACTCTGTCACCAGTCTAGACGGATCCTGAGGTCACCCCAGCAACGCAAAGCAGCACCATGTGCCCCAAATCAACTCGAGAAGAGGCCCGATTCCCCTGAGTTGACTCCAAAGCCATTCCCCGGTCCTCATTCAACACGACCGGTGGTTCGACTTGTTTCAGGAAACTACAGAGATGCCCCGAGAACACTGTGCCAAGTCTAGAGGAACACGAACTTCAGCACAGCAACTCGAGGAATGCTCCGTGTACCCCAAATCGTCTCGAGATGAGAGCTGATTCCCTGCCTTAGGCTCAAGACGTATGCCAACTTTCCAGAAGCACCTCAGGAGGAGGCTTCTCTCAGCAATATGTATGTGGGAGGGACCCCGAGTATGCTGCCTCAAGGGGAATATACAGCGAGAAGCCCTAACTTGAAAGGAGGCCGGATTTCCTTGCAGTGGCTAGAATACAGGCTCGTCTTTGATCTCAAATCCTGAAGGCATGTCTGAATCCCCTGTGGAGACCTTAGAGAAAGCCCTAGGTCCCTGCCTCATTTTTACGGAATGCCTCACGTCCCGTTGACACCTCGAGAGGCACGCGGAGTTCATTGCTTCAAAAGATGACGATGCCTGACTCCTCTTGAATACTGATAGGAATCCCAAAATCCCTGTGACTACTGGAAAGGGTCCTTGGGTGACCTTCCTCACCTCGAGAAGCGTCCGTTTTGCCCTGCCAAGCCTCGAAGTGATTCCTGAGGTGTCCCTCGTTACTAGACAGGAGTCCTGACGTCACTGAAGAAACTTGTGTTTTGAAGGGCCATCCCCGCTGTAAGTCAAGAACATACCCCAGGTCCCTGCCGCAACTCAAGAAAAACCATGAGACTTCCCCCTAGAGGCGAGATGAGGCCCCATTCCCCTGCAGTGCATGCAGAGCTATTCCGTGATCCCATTCAAACAAGTCAGGAGCTTCGACTTGCTTAATGGATCTCGAGACAGTCCCCAAGAACTCTGTCACCAGTCTAGACGGACCCTGAGGTCACCCCAGCAACGCAAAGCACCTCCATGTGCCCCAAGTCAACTCGAGATGAGGGCCGATTCCCCTGCATTGACTACAGAGCCATTCCCCGTTCCCCATTCAACACGACCGGTGGCTCGACTTCCTTCAGGCCACTCCAGAGATGCCCCGAGAACACTGTCCCATGTCTAGAGGAACTCCACCTTCAGCACAGCAACTCGAGGAATGCTCCGTGTACCACAAATCGTCTCGAGATGAGAGCTGATTCCCTGGCTTAGGCTCAAGACGTATGCCAACATTCCAGAAGCACCTCAGGAGCAGGCTTCTCTCAGCAATAGTTATGTGGGAGGGACCCCGAGTTTGCTGCCTAAAGGGGAATATACAGCGAGAAGCCCTAACTTGAAAGGAGGCCGGATTTCCTTGCAGTGGCTTGAATACAGGCGCGTCTTTCATCTCACAACATGAAGGGATGTCTGAATCCCCTGTGGAGACCTTAGAGAAAGCCCTAGGTCCCTGCCTCATTTTGACGGAATGCCTCACGTCCCGCTGACACCTCGAGAGGCACGCGGAGTTCCTTGCTTCAAAAGGTGATGATGCCTGACTCTTCTTGAATACTGATAGGAATCCCAAAATCCCTGTGGCTACTGGAAAGGGTCCTTGGGTGCGCTGCCTCACCTCGAGAAGCGTCCCTTTTGCCCTGCCAAGCCTCGAAGAGATTCATGAGGTGTCCCTCGTTACTAGACAGGAGTCCTGACATCCCTGAAGAAACTCGTGTTTTGAAGGGCCATCCCCGCCGTAAGTCGAGAACATACCCCAGGTCCCCACCGCAACTCGAGAAAAACCATGAGACTTCCCCCTAGGGGCGAGATGAGGCCCCATTCCCCTGCAGTGGATGCAGAGCTATTCCGTGATCCCATTCAAACAAGTCAGGATCTTCGACTTGCTTAATGGATCTCGAGACAGTCCCCAAGAACACTGTCACCAGTCTAGACGGCCCTTGAGGTCACCCCAGCAACGCAAAGCAGCTCCATGTGCCCCACATCAACTCGAGACGAGGCCCGATTCCACTGCATTGACTCCAGAGACATTCCCTGTTCACCATTCAACACGACCGGTGGCTCGACTTCCTTCAGGCAACTCCAGAGATGCCCCGAGAACACTGCCCCAAGTCTAGAGGAACTCCAACTTCAGCACAGCAACTCGAGGATTGCTTCGTGTACCCCAAATCGTCTCGAGATGAGAGCTGATTCCCTGTCTTAGGCTAAAGACATATGCCAACTTTCCAGAAGCACCTCAGGAGGAGGCTTCTCTCAGCAATAGGTATGTGGGAGGGACCTCGAGTTTGCTGCCTCAAGGGGAATATACAGCGAGAAGCCCTAACTTGAAAGAAGGCCGGATTTACTTGCAATGGCTTGAATACAGGCTCCTCTTTCATCTCACAACATGAAGGGATGTCTGAATCCCCTGTGGAGACCTTAGAGAAAGACCTAGGTCTCTGCTTCATTTTGACGGAATGCCTCACATCCCGCTGACACCTCGAGAGGCACGCAGAGTTCATTGCTTCAAAAGATGACAATGCCTGACTCCTCTTGAATACTGATAGGAATCCCAAACTCCCTGTGGCTACTGGAAAGGGTCCTTGGGTGCCCTGCCTCACTTCGAGAAGCGTCCCTTTCGCCCTGCCAAGGCTCGAGGAGATTCCTGAGGTGGCCCTCGTTACTAGACAGGAGTCCTGACGTCACTGAAGAAACTCGTGTTTTGAAGGGCCATCCCCGCCGTAAGTCTAGAACATACTCCAGGTCCCCGCCGCAACTCGAGAAACACCATGAGACTTCCCCCTAGAGGCGAGATGAGGCCCCATTCCCATGCAGTGCATGCAGAGCTATTCCGTGATCCCATTCAAACAAGTCAGGAGCTTCGACTTGCTTAATGGATCTCGAGACAGTCCCCAAGAACACTGTCACCAGTGTAGACGGACCTTGAGGTCACCCCAGCAACGGAAAGCAGCTCCATGTGCCCCAAGTCAACTCGAGATGAGGCCCGATTCCCCTGCATTGACTCCAGAGCCATTCCCCGTTCCCCATTCAACACGACCGGTGGCTCGAATTCCTTCAGGCAACTCCAGAGATGCCCCGAGAACACTGTCCCAAGTCTAGAGGAACAACCAACTTCAGCACAGCAACTCGAGGAATGTTCCGTGTACCCCATATCGTCTCGAGATGAGAGCTGATTCCCTGGCTTAGGCTCAAGACGTATGCCAACTATCCAGAAGCACCTCGGAGGAGGCTTCTCTCAGCAATAGGTATGTGGGAGGGACCCCGAGTATGCTGCCTCAAGGGGAATATACAGCGAGAAGCCCTAACTTGAAAGGAGGCCGGATTTCCTTGCAGTGGCTAGAATACAGGCTCGTCTTTGATCTCAAAACCTGAAGGGATGTCTGAATCCCCTGTGGAGACCAGAGAGAAAGCCCTCGGTCCCTGCCTCATTTTGACCGAATTCCTCACATCGCGCTGACACCTCGAGAGGCACGTGGAGTTCATTGCTTCAAAAGGTGACGATGCCTGACTCCTCTTGAATACTGATAGGAATCCCAAAATCCCTGAGGCTAGTGGAAAGGGTCCTTGGATGCCCTGCCTCACCTCGAGAAGCGTCCCTTTTGCCCTACCAAGCCTCGAAGAGATTCCTGAGGTGTCCCTCGTTACTAGACAGGAGTCCTGACGTCACTGAAGAAACTCGTGTTTTGAAGGGCCATCCGCGCCTTAAGTCGAGAACATACCCCAGGTCCCCGCCGCAACTCGAGAAAAACCATGAGACTTCCCCCTAGAGGCGAGATAAGGCCCCATTCCCCTGCAGTGCATGCAGAGCTATTCCGTGATCCCATTCAAACAAGTCAGGAGCTTCGACTTGCTTAATGGATCTCGAGACAGTCCCCAAGAACACTGTCACCAGTCTAGACGGTCCCTGAGGTCACCCCAGCATCGCAAAGCAGCTGCATGTGCCCCAAATCAACTCGAGATGAGGCCCGATTCCATTGGATTGACTCCAGAGCCTTTCCCCGTTCCCCATTCAACACGACCGGTGGCTTGACTTCCTTCAGGCAACTCCAGAGATGCCCCGAGAACACTGTCCCAAGTCTACAGGAACACCAAATTCAGCACAGCAACTCGAGGAATGCTCCGTGTACCCCAAATCGTCTCGAGATGAGAGCTGATTCCCTGGCTTAGGCTCAAGACATATGCCAACTTTCCAGAAGCACCTCGGAGGAGGCTTCTCTCAACCATAGGTTTGTGGGAGGGACCCCGAGTATGCTGCCTCAAGGGGAATATACAGCGAGAAGTCCTAACTTGAAAGGAGGCTGGATTTCCTTGCAGTGGCTAGAATACAGGCTCGTCTTTGATCTCAAAACCTGAAGGGATGTCTGAATCCCCTGTGGAGACCTTAGAGAAAGCCCTAGGTCCCTGCCTCATTTTGACGGAATGCCTCACATCGCGCTGACACCTCGAGAGGCACGTGGAGTTCATTGCTTCAAAAGGTGACGATGCCTGACTCCTCTTGAATACTGATAGGAATCCCAAAATACCTGTGGCTACTGGAAAGGGTCCTTGGGGCCCTGCCTCACCTCGAGAAGCGTCCCTTTTGCCCTGCCAAGCCTCGAAGAGATTCCTGAGGTGTCCCTCGTTACTAAACAGGAGTCCTGACGTCACGGAAGAAACTCGTGTTTTGAAGGGCCATCCCCGCCGTAAGTCGAGAACATACCCCAGGTCCCCGCCGCAACTCGAGAAAAACCATGAGACTTCCCCCTAGAGGCCAGATGAGGCCTCATTCACCTGCAGTGCATGCAGAGATATTCCGTGATCCCATTCAAACAAGTCAGGAGCTTCCACTTGCTTAATGGATCTCGAGACAGTCCCCAAGAACACTGTCACCAGTCTAGACGGACCCTGAGGTCACCCCAGCAACGCAAAGCAGCTCCATGTGCACCAAATCAACTCGAGATGAGGCCCGATTCCACTGCATTGACTCCAGGGCCATTCCCCGTTCCCCATTCAACATGACCGGTGGCTCGACTTCCTTCAGGCAACTCCAGAGATGCCCCGAGAACACTGTCCCAGGTCTAGAGGAAGTCCACCTTCAGCACAGCAACTCGAGGAATGCTCCGTGTACCCCATATCGTCTCGAGATGAGAGCTGATTCCCTGGCTTAGGCTCAAGACATATGCCAACTTTCCAGAAGCACCTCAGGAGGAGGCTTCTCTCAGCAATAGGTATGTGGGAGGGACCCCGAGTTTGCTGCCTCAAGGGGAATATACAGCGAGAAGCCCTAACTTGAAAGGAGGCCGGATTTCCTAGCAGTGGCTTGAATACAGGCTCGTCTTTCATCTCACAACATGAAGGGATGTCTGAATCCCCTGTGGAGACCTTAGAGAAAGCCCTAGGTCCCTGCCTCATTTTGACGGAATGCCTCACATCCCGCAGACACCTCGAGAGGCACGCGGAGTTCATTGCTTCAAAAGGTGACGATGCCTGACTCCTCTTGAATACTGATAGGAATCCCAAAATAACTCTGGCTACTGGAAAGGGTCCTTGGGTGCCCTGCCGCACCTCGAGTAGCATCCCTTTTGCCCTGCCAAGCCTCGAAGAGATTCCTGAGGTGTCCCTCGTTACTAGACAGGAGTCCTGACGTCACTGAAGAAACTCGTGTTTTGAAGGGCCATCCCCGCCGTAAGTCGAGAACATACCCCAGGTCCCCGCCGCAACTCGAGAAAAACCATGAGACTTCCCCCTAGAGGCGAGATGAGGCCCCATTCCCCTGCAGTGCATGCAGAGCTATTCCGTGATCCCATTCAAACAAGTCAGGAGCTCCGACTTGCTTAATGGATCTCGAGACAGTCCCCAAGAACACTGTCACCAGTCTAGACGGACCTTGAGGAAACCCCAGCAATGGAAAGCAGCTACATGTGCCCCAAGTCAACTCGAGATGAGGCCCGATTCCACTGCATTGACTCCAGAGCCATTCCCCGTTCCCCATTCAACACGACCGGTGGCTCGACTTCCTCAGGCAACTCCAGAGATGCCCCGAGAACACTGTCCCAAGTCTAGAGGAACTCCAACTTCAGCACAGCAACTCGAGGAATGCTCCGTGTACCAAAAATCATCTCGAGATGAGAGCTGATTCCCTGGCTTAGGCTCAAGACGTATGCCAACTTTCCAGAAGCACCTCAGGAGGAGGCTTCTCTCAGCAATAGGTATGTGGGAGGGACCTCGAGTTTGCTGCCTCAAGGGGAATATACAGCGAGAAGCCCTAACATGAAAGGAGGCCGGATTTCCTTGCAGTGGCTAGAATACAGGCTCGTTTTTGATCTCAAAACCTGAAGGGATGTCTGAATCCCCTGTGGAGACCTTAGAGAAAGACTTAGGTCCATGCCTCATTTTGACGGAATGCCTCACATCGCGCTGACACCTCGAGAGGCACGTGGAGTTCATTGCTTCAAAAGGTGACGATGCCTGACTCGTCTTGAATACTGATAGGAATCCCAAAATCCCTGTGCCTAGTGGAAAGGGTCCTTGGGTGCCCTGCCTCACCTCGAGAAGCGTCCGTTTTGCCCTGCCAAGCCTCGAAGAGATTCCTGAGGTGTCCCTCGTTACTAGACAGGAGTCGTGACGTCACTGAAGAAACTCGTGTTTTGAAGGGCCATCCCCGCCGTAAGTCGAGAACATACCCCAGGTCCCCCCCGCAACTCGAGAAAAACCATGAGACTTCCCCCTAGAGGCGAGATGAGGCCCCATTCCCCTGCAGTGCATGCAGAGCTATTCCGTGATCCCATTCAAACAAGTCAGGAGCTTCGACTTGCTTAATGGATCTCGAGACAGTCCCCAAGAACTCTGTCACCAGTCTAGACGGACCCTGAGGTTACCCGAGCAACGCAAAACACCTCCATGTGCCCCAAGTCAACTCGAGATGAGGCCCGATTCCCCTGCATTGACTCCAGAGCCATTCTCCGTTCCCCATTCAACACGACCGGTGGCTCGACTTCCTTCAGGCAACTCCAGAGATGCCCCGAGAACACTATGCCAGGTCTAGAGGAACTCCACCTTCAGCACAGCAACTCGAGGAATGCTCCGTGTACCCCATATCGTCTCGAGATGAGAGCTGATTCCCTGGCTTAGGCTCAAGACGTATGCCAACTTTCCAGAAGCACCTCAGGAGGAGGCTTCTCTCAGCAATAGGTATGTGGGAGGGACCCCGAGTTTGCTGCCTCAAGAGGAATATACAGCGAGAAGCCCTAACTTGAAAGGAGGCCGGATTTCCTTGCAATGGCTTGAATACCGGCTCCTCTTTCATCTCACAACATGAAGGGATGTCTGAATCCCCTGTGGAGACCTTAGAGAAAGACCTAGGTGTCTGCCTCATTTTGACGGAATGCCTCACATCCCGCTGACACCTCGAGAGGCACGCGGAGTTCATTGCTTCAAAAAATGACGATGCCTGACTCCTCTTGAATACTGATAGGAATCCCAAACTCCCTGTGGCTACTGGAAAGGGTCCTTGGGTGCCCTGCCTCACCTCGAGAAGCGTCCCTTTCGCCCTGCCAAGGCTCGAGGATATTCCTGAGGTGGCCCTCGTTACTAGACAGGAGTCCTGACGTCACTGAAGAAGCTCGTGTTTTGAAGGGCCATCCCCGCCGTAAGTCGAGAACATACCCCAAGTCCCCGCCGCAACTCGAGAAAAACCATGAGACTTCCCCCTAGAGGCGAGATAAGGCCCCATTCCCCCGCAGTGCACGCAGAGCTATTCCGTGATCCCACTCAAACAAGTCAGGAGCTTCGACTTGCTTAATGGATCTCGAGACTGTCCCCAAGAACACTGTCACCAGTCTAGACGGACCCTGAGGTCACCGCAGCAACGCAAAGCAGCTCCATGTGCCCCAAATCAACTAAAGATGAGGCCCGATTCCCATGGATTGACTCCAGAGCCTTTCCCCGTTCCCCATTCAACAAGACCGGTGGCTCGACTTCCTTCAGGCAACTCCCGAGATGCCCGGAGAACACTGTCCCAAGTCTAGAGGAACACCAACTTGAGCACAGCAACTCGAGGAATGCTCCGTGTACCCCAAAACGTCTCGAGATGAGAGCTGATTCCCTGGCTTAGGCTCAAGCCGTATGCCAACTTTCCAGAAGCACCTCAGGAGGAGGCTTCTCTCAGCAATAGGTATGTGGGAGGGACCCCGAGTATGCTGCCTCAAGGGGAATATACAGCGAGAAGCCGTAACTTGAAAGGAGGCCGGATTTCCTTTCAGTGGCTAGAATACAGGCTCGTCTTTGATCTTAAAACCTGAAGGGATGTCTGAATCCCCTGTGGAGACATTAGAGAAAGCCCAGGTCCCTGCCTCATTTTGACGGAATGCCTCACATCCCGCTGACACCTCGAGAGGCACGTGGAGTTCATCGCTTCAAAAGGTGACGATGCCTGACTCCTCTTGAATACTGATAGGAATCCCAAAATCCCTGTGGCTACTGGAAAGGGTCCTTGGGTACCCTGCCTCACTTCGAGAAACGTCCCTTTTGCCCTGCCAAGCCTCGAAGAGATTCCTGAGGTGTCCCTCGTTACTAGACAGGAGTCCTGACGTCACTGAAGAAACTCGTGTTTTGAAGGGCCATCCCCCCCTTAAGTCGAGAACATACCCCAGGTCCCTGCCGCAACTCGAGAAAAACAATGAGACTTCCCCCTAGAGGCGAGATGAGGCCCCATTCCCCTGCAGTGCATGCAGAGCTATTCCGTGATCCCATTCAAACAAGTCAGGAGCTTCGACTTGCTTAATGGATCTCGCGACAGTCCCCAAGAACACTGTCACCAGTCTAGACGGACCCTGAGGTCACCCCAGCAATGCAAAGCAGCTCCATGTGCCCCAAGTCAACCCGAGATGAGGCCCGATTCCCCTGCATTGACTCCAGAGCCATTCCCCATTCCCCATTCAACACGACCGGTGGCTCGACTTACTTCAGGCAACTCCAGAGATGCCCCGAGAACACTGTCCCAAGTCTAGAGGAACATCCAACTTCAGCACAGCAACTCGAGGAATGTTCCGTGTACCCCATATCGTCTCGAGATGAGAGCTGATTCCCTGGCTTAGGCTCAAGACGTATGCCAACTATCCAGAAGCACCTCGGAGGAGGATTCTCTCAGCAATAGGTATGTGGGAGGGACCCCGAGTATGCTGCCTCAAGGGGAATATACAGCGAAAAGCCCTAACTTGAAAGGAGGCCGGATTTCCTTGCAGTGGCTAGAATACAGGCTCGTCTTTGATCTCAAAACCTGAAGGGATGTCTGAATCCCCTGTGGAGACCATAGAGAAAGCCCTAGGTCCCTGCCTCATTTTGACGGAATTCCTCACATCGCGCTGACACCTCGAGAGGCACGTGGAGTTCATTGCTTCAAAAGGTGACGATGCCTGACTCCTCTTGAATACTGATAGGAATCCCAAAATCCCTGAGGCTAGTGGAAAGGGTCCTTGGATGCCCTGCCTCACCTCGAGAAGCGTCCCTTTTGCCCTGCCAAGCCTCGAAGAGATTCCTGAGGTGTCCCTCGTTACTAGACAGGAGTCCTGACGTCACTGAAGAAACTCGTGTTTTGAAGGGCCATCCCCGCCGTAAGTCGAGAACATACCCCAGGTCCCCGCCGCAACTCGAGAAAAACCATGAGACTTCCCCCTAGAGGCGAGATGAGGCCCCATTCCCCTGCAGTGCATGCAGAGCTATTCCGTGATCCCATTCAAACAAGTCTGGAGATTCGACTTGCTTAATGGATCTCGAGACAGTCCCCAAGAACACTGTCACCAGTCTAGACGGACCCTGAGGTCACCGCAGCAACACAAAGCAGCTCCATGTGCCCCAAATCAACTAAAGATGAGGCCCGATTCCCATGGATTGACTCCAGAGCCTTTCCCGGTTCCCCATTCAACAAGACCGGTGGCTCGACTTCCTTCAGGCAACTCCCGAGATGCCCCGAGAACACTGTCCCAAGTCTAGAGGAACACCAACTTCAGCAAAGCACCTCGAGGAATGCTCCGTGTACCCCAAATCGTCTCGAGATGAGAGCTGATTCCCTGGCTTAGGCTCAAGCCGTATGCCAACTTTCCAGAAGCACCTCAGGAGGAGGCTTCTCTCAGCAATAGGTATGTGGGAGGGACCCCGAGTATGCTGCCTCAAGGGGAATATACAGCGAGAAGCCCTAACTTGAAAGGAGGCCGGATTTCCTTGCAGTGGCTAGAATACAGGCTCGTCTTTGATCTTAAAACCTGAAGGGATGTCTGAATCCCCTGTGGAGACCTTAGAGAAAGCCCTAGGTCCCTGCCTCATTTTGACGGAATGCCTCACATCCCGCTGACACCTCGCGAGGCACGTGGAGTTCATCGCTTCAAAAGGTGACGATGCCTGACTCCTCTTGAATACTGATAGGAATCCCAAAATCCCTGTGGCTACTGGAAAGGGTCCTTGGGTACCCTGCCTCACTTCGAGAAACGTCCCTTTTGCCCTGCCAAGCCTCGAAGAGATTCCTGAGTTGTCCCTCGTTACTAGACAGGAGTCCTGACGTCACTGAAGAAACTCGTGTTTTTAAGGGCCATCCCCCCCTTAAGTCGAGAACATACCCCAGGTCCCTGCCGCAACTCGAGAAAAACCATGAGACTTCCCCCTAGAGGCGAGATGAGGCCCCATTCCCCTGCAGTGCATGCAGAGCTATTCCGTGATCCCATTCAAACAAGTCAGGAGCTTCGACTTGCTTAATGGATCTCGAGACAGTCCCCAAGAACACTGTCACCAGTCTAGACGGACCCTGAGGTCACCCCAGCAATGCAAAGCAGCTCCATGTGCCCCAAGTCAACCCGAGATGAGGCCCGATTCCCCTGCCTTGACTCCAGTGCCATTCCCCGTTCCCCATTCAACACGACCGGTGGCTCGACTTCCTTCAGGCAACTCCAGAGATGCCCCGAGAACACTGTCCCAGGTCTAGAGGAACTCCACCTTCAGCAGAGCAACTCAAGGAATGCTCCGTGTACCACAAATCGTCTCGAGATGAGAGCTGATTCCCTGGCTTAGGCTCAAGACGTATGCCAACTTTCCAGAAGCACCTCAGGAGGAGGCTTCTCTCAGCAATAGGTATGTGGGAGGGACCCCGAGTTTGTTGCCTCAAGGGGAATATACAGCGAGAAGCCCTAACTTGAAAGGAGGCCGGATTTCCTTGCAGTGGCTTGAATACAGGCTCGTCTTTCATCTCACAACATGAAGGGATGTCTGAATCCCCTGTGGAGACTTTAGAGAAAGCTCTAGGTCCCTGCCTCATTTTGACGGAATGCCTCACATCCCGCAGACACCTCGAGAGGCACCCGGAGTTCATTGCTTCAAAAGGTGACGATGCCTGACTCATCTTGAATACTGATAGGAATCCCAAAATAACTCTGGCTACTGGAAAGGCTCCTTGGGTGCCCTGCCTCACCTCGAGAAGCATCCCTGTTGCCCTGCCAAGCCTCGAAGAGATTCCTGATGTGTCCCTCGTTACTAGACAGGAGTCCTGACGTCACTGAAGAAACTCGTGTTTTGAAGGGCCATCCCCGCCGTAAGTCGAGAACATACCCCAGGTCCCCACCGCAACTCGAGAAAAACCATGAGACTTCCCCCTAGATGCGAGATGAGGCCCCATTCCCCTGCAGTGCATGCAGAGCTATTCCGTGATCCCATTCAAACAAGTCAGGAGCTTCGACTTGCTTAATGGATCTCGAGAGAGTCCCCAAGAACACTGTCACCAGTCTAGACGGACCCTGAAGTCACCGCAGCAACGCAAAGCAGCTCCATGTGCCCCAAATCAACTCGAGATGAGGCCCGATTCCCCTCCATTGCCTCCAGAGCCTTTCCCCGTTCCCCATTCAGCAAGACCGGTGGCTCGACTTCCTTCAGGCAACTCCAGAAATGCCCCGAGAACACTGTCCCAAGTCTAGAGGAACACCAACTTCAGCACAGCAACTTGAAGAATGCTCCGTGTACCCCAAATCGTCTCGAGATGAGAGCTGATTCCCTGGCTTAGGCTCAAGACGTATGCCAACTTTCCAGAAGCACCTCAGGAGGAGTCTTCTCTCAGCAATAGGTACGTGGGAGGGACCCCGAGTATGCTGCTTCAAGGGGAATATACAGCGAGAAGCCCTAACTTGAAAGGAGGCCGGATTTCCTTGCAGTGGCTAGAATACAGGCTCGTCTTTGATCTCAAAACCTGAAGGGATGTCTGAATCCCCTGTGGAGACCTTAGAGAAAGCCCTAGGTCCCTGCCTCATTTTGACGGAATGCCTCACATCCCGCTGACACCTCGAGGGGCACGCGGATTTCATTGCTTCAAAAGATGACGATGCCTGACTCTTCTTGAACACTGATAGGAATCCGAAAATCACTGTGGCTACTGGAAAGTTTCCTTGGGTGCCCTGCCTCACCTAGAGAAGCGTCCCTTTTGCCCTGCCAAGCCTCGAAGAGATTCCTGAGGTGTCCCTCGTTACTAGACAGGAGTCCTGACGTCACTGAAGAAACTCGTGTTTTGAAGGGCCATCCCCGCCGTAAGTCGAGAACATAACCCAGGTCCCCACCGCAACTCGAGAAAAACCATGAGACTTCCCCCTAGAGGCGAGATGAGGCCCCATTCCCCTGCAGTGCATTCAGAGCTATTCCGTGATCCCATTCAAACAAGTCAGGAGCTTCGACGTCCTTAATGGGTCTCGTGACAGGCCCCAAGAACACTGTCACCAGTCTAGACGGACCCTGAGGTCAACCCAGCAACGCAAAGCAGCTCCATGTGCCCCAAATCAACTCGAGATGAGGCCCGATTCCCCTGCATTGACTCCAGAGCCATTCCCCGTTCCCCATTCAACAAGACCGGTGGCTCGACTTCCTTCAGGCAACTCCAGAGATGCCCCGAGAACACTGTCCCAAGTCTAGAGGAACTCCAACTTCAGCACAGCAACTCGAGGAATGCTCCGTGTACACCAAATCGTCTCGAGATGAGAGCTGATTCCCTGGCTTACGCTCAAGACGTATGCCAACTTTCCAGCAGCTCCTCAGGAGGAGGCTTCTCTCAGCAATAGGTATGTGGGTGGGACCCCGAGTTTGCTGCCTCAAGGGGAATATACAGCGCGAAGCGCTAACTTGAAAGGAGGCCGGATTTCCTTGCATTGGCTAGAATACAGGCTCGTCTTTGATCTCAAAACCTGAAGGGATGTCTCAATCCCCTGTGGAGACCTTAGAGAAAGCCCTAGGTCCCTGCATCATTTTGACGGGATGCCTCACATCCCGCTGACACCTCGAGAGGTACGTGGAGTTCATTGCTTTAAAAGGTGACAATGCCTGACTCCTCTGGAATACTGATAGGAATCCCAAAATACCTCTGGCTACTGGAAAGGGTCCTTGGGTGCCCTGCCTCACCTCGAGAAGCGTCCCTTTTGCCCTGCCAAGGCTCGAGGAAATTCCTGAGGTGGCCCTCGTTACTAGACAGGAGTCCTGACGTCACTGAAGAAACTCGTGTTTTTAAGGGCCATCCCCTCCGTAAGTCGAGAACATACCCCAGGTCCCCGCCGCAACTCGAGAAAAACCATGAGACTTCCCCCTAGAGGCGAGATGAGGCCCCATTCCCCTGCAGTGCATGCAGAGCTATTCCGTGATCCCATTCAAACAAGTCAGGAGCTTCGACTTGCTTAATGGATCTCGAGACAGTCCCCAAGAACACTGTCACCAGTCTAGACGGACCCTGAGGTCACCGCAGCAACGCAAAGCAGCTCTATGTGCCCCAAATCAACTCGAGATGAGGCCCGATTCCCCTGGATTGACACCAGAGCCTTTCCCCGTTCCACAGTCAACACGACCGGTGGCTCGACTTCCTTCAGGCAACTCCAGAGATGCCCCGAGAACACTGTCCCAAGTCTAGAGGAACACCAACTTCAGCACAGCAACTCGAGGAATGCTCCGTGTACCCCAAATCGTCTCGAGATGAGAGCTGATTCCCTGGCTTAGGCTCAAGACGTATGCCACCTTTCCAGAAGCACCTCAGGAGGAGGCTTCTCTCGGCAATAGGTATGTGGGAGGGACCCCGAGTATGCTGCCTCAAGGGGAATATACAGCGAGAAGCCCTAACTTGAAAGGAGGCCGGATTTCCTTGCAGTGGCTAGAATACAGGCTCGTCTTTGATTTCAAAACCTGAAGGGATGTCTGAATCCCCTGTGGAGACCTTAGAGAAAGCCCTAGGTCCCTAGCTCATTTTGACAGAATGCCTCACATCGCGCTGACACCTCGAGAGGCACGTGCAGTTCATTGCTTCAAAAGGTGACGATGCCTGACTCCCCTTGAATACTGATAGGAATCCGAAAATCCCTGTGGCTACTGGAAAGGGTCCTTGGGTGCCGTGCCTCACCTCGAGAAGCGTCCCTTTTGCCCTGCCAAGCCTCGAAGAAATTCCTGAGGTGTCCCTCGTTACTAGACAGGAGTCCTGACGTCACTGAAGAAACTCGTGTTTTGAAGGGCCATCCCCGCCGTAAGTCGAGAACATACCCCAGGTCCCCGCCGCAACTCGAGAAAAACCATGAGACTTCCCCCTAGAGGCGAGATAAGGCCCCATTCCCCTGCAGTGCACGCAGAGCTATTCCGTGATCCCACTCAAACAAGTCAGGAGCTTCGACTTGCTTAATGGATCTCGAGACTGTCCCCAAGAACACTGTCACCAGTGTAGACGGACCCTGAGGTCACTGCAGCAACGCAAAGCAGCTCCATGTGCCCCAAATCAACTAAAGATGAGGCCCGATTCCCATGGATTGACTCCAGAGCCTTTCCCCGTTCCCCATTCAACAAGACCGGTGGCTCGACTTCCTTCAGGCAACTCCCGAGATGCCCCGAGAACACTGTCCCAAGTCTAGAGGAACACCAACTTGAGCACAGCAACTCGAGGAATGCTCCGTGTACCCCAAATCGTCTCGAGATGAGAGCTGATTCCCTGGCTTAGGCTCAAGCCGTATGCCAACTTTCCAGAAGCACCTCAGGAGGAGGCTTCTCTCAGCAATAGGTATGTGGGAGGGACCCCGAGTATGCTGCCTCAAGGGGAATATACAGCGAGAAGCCGTAACTTGAAAGGAGGCCGGATTTCCTTTCAGTGGCTAGAATACAGGCTCGTCTTTGATCTTAAAACCTGAAGGGATGTCTGAATCCCCTGTGGAGACATTAGAGAAAGCCCAGGTCCCTGCCTCATTTTGACGGAATGCCTCACATCCCGCTGACACCTCGAGAGGCACGTGGAGTTCATCGCTTCAAAAGGTGACGATGCCTGACTCCTCTTGAATACTGATAGGAATCCCAAAATCCCTGTGGCTACTGGAAAGGGTCCTTGGGTACCCTGCCTCACTTCGAGAAACGTCCCTTTTGCCCTGCCAAGCCTCGAAGAGATTCCTGAGGTGTCCCTCGTTACTAGACAGGAGTCCTGACGTCACTGAAGAAACTCGTGTTTTGAAGGGCCATCCCCCCCTTAAGTCGAGAACATACCCCAGGTCCCTGCCGCAACTCGAGAAAAACAATGAGACTTCCCCCTAGAGGCGAGATGAGGCCCCATTCCCCTGCAGTGCATGCAGAGCTATTCCGTGATCCCATTCAAACAAGTCAGGAGCTTCGACTTGCTTAATGGATCTTGCGACAGTCCCCAAGAACACTGTCACCAGTCTAGACGGACCCTGAGGTCACCCCAGCAATGCAAAGCAGCTCCATGTGCCCCAAGTCAACCCGAGATGAGGCCCGATTCCCCTGCATTGACTCCAGAGCCATTCCCCATTCCCCATTCAACACGACCGGTGGCTCGACTTACTTCAGGCAACTCCAGAGATGCCCCGAGAACACTGTCCCAAGTCTAGAGGAACATCCAACTTCAGCACAGCAACTCGAGGAATGTTCCGTGTACCCCATATCGTCTCGAGATGAGAGCTGATTCCCTGGCTTAGGCTCAAGACGTATGCCAACTATCCAGAAGCACCTCGGAGGAGGATTCTCTCAGCAATAGGTATGTGGGAGGGACCCCGAGTATGCTGCCTCAAGGGGAATATACAGCGAGAAGCCCTAACTTGAAAGGAGGCCGGATTTCCTTGCAGTGGCTAGAATACAGGCTCGTCTTTGATCTCAAAACCTGAAGGGATGTCTGAATCCCCTGTGGAGACCATAGAGAAAGCCCTAGGTCCCTGCCTCATTTTGACGGAATTCCTCACATCGCGCTGACACCTCGAGAGGCACGTGGAGTTCATTGCTTCAAAAGGTGACGATGCCTGACTCCTCTTGAATACTGATAGGAATCCCAAAATCCCTGAGGCTAGTGGAAAGGGTCCTTGGATGCCCTGCCTCACCTCGAGAAGCGTCCCTTTTGCCCTGCCAAGCCTCGAAGAGATTCCTGAGGTGTCCCTCGTTACTAGACAGGAGTCCTGACGTCACTGAGGAAACTCGTGTTTTGAAGGGCCATCCTCGCCTTAAGTCGAGAACATACCCCAGGTCCCCGCCGCAACTCGAGAAAAACCATGAGACTTCCCCCTAGAGGCGAGATGAGGCCCCATTCCCCTGCAGTGCATGCAGAGCTATTCCGTGATCCCATTCAAACAAGTCAGGAGCTTCGACTTGCTTAATGGATCTCGAGACAGTCCCCAAGAACACTCTCACCAGTCTAGACGGACCCTGAGGTCACCGCAGCAACGCAAAGCAGCTGCATGTGCCCCAAATCAACTCGAGATGAGGCCCGATTCCCCTGGATTGACTCCAGAGCCTTTCCCCGTTCCCCATTCAACACGATCGGTGGCTTGACTTCCTTCAGGCAACTCCAGAGATGCCCCGAGAACACTGTCCCAAGTCTACAGGAACACCAAATTCAGCACAGCAACTCGAGGAATGCTCTTTGTACCCCAAATCGTCTCGAGATGAGAGCTGATTCCCTGGCTTAGGCTCAAGACGTATGCCAACTTTCCAGAAGCACCTCGGAGGAGGCTTCTCTCAACAATAGGTTTGTGGGAGGGACCCCGAGTATGCTGCCTCAAGGGGAATATACAGCGAGAAGTCCTAACTTGAAAGGAGGCTGGATTTCCTTGCAGTGGCTAGAATACAGGCTCGTCTTTGATCTCAAAACCTGAAGGGATGTCTGAATCCCCTGTGGAGACCTTAGAGAAAGCCCTAGGTCCCTGCCTCATTTTGACGGAATGCCTCACATCGCGCTGAAACCTCGAGAGGCACGTGGAGTTCATTGCTTCAAAAGGTGACGATGCCTGACTCCTCTTGAATACTGATAGGAATCCCAAAATACCTGTGGCTACTGGAAAGGGTCCTTGGGGCCCTGCCTCACCTCGAGAAGCGTCCCTTTTGCCCTGCCAAGCCTCGAAGAGATTCCTGAGGTGTCCCTCGTTACTAGACAGGAGTCCTGACGTCACTGAAGAAACTCGTGTTTTGAAGGGCCATCCCCGCCGTAAGTCGAGAACATACCCCAGGTCCCCGCCGCAACTCGAGAAAAACCATGAGACTTCCCCCTAGAGGCCAGATGAGGCCTCATTCCCCTGCAGTGCATGCAGAGATATTCCGTGATCCCATTCAAACAAGTCAGGAGCTTCCACTTGCTTAATGGATCTCGAGACAGTCCCCAAGAATACTGTCACCAGTCTAGACGGACCTTGAGGTAACCCCAGCAACGGAAAGCAGCCCCATGTGCCCCAAGTCAACTCGAGATGACCCCCGATTCCCCTGCATTGACTCCAGAGCCATTCCCCGTTCCCCATTCAACACGACCGGTGGCTCGACTTCCTCAGGCAACTACAGAGATGCCCTAAGAACACTGTCCCAAGTCTAGAGGAACTCCAACTTCAGCACAGCAACTCGAGGAATGCTCCGTGTACCCCAAAACGTCTCGAGATGAGAGCTGATTCCCTGGCTTAGGCTCAAGACGTATGCCAACTTTCCAGAAGCACCTCAGGAGGAGGCTTCTCTCAGCAATAGGTATGTGGGAGGGACCCCGAGTTTGCTGCCTCAAGGGGAATATACAGCGAGAAGCCCTAACTTGAAAGGAGGCCGGATTTCCTTGCAGTGGCTAGAATACAGGCTCGTCTTTGATCTCAAAACCTGAAGGGATGTCTGAATCCCCTGTGGAGACCTTAGAGAAAGCCCTCGGTCCCTGCCTCATTTTGACGGAATTCCTCACATCGCGCTGACACCTCGAGAGGCACGTGGAGTTCATTGCTTCAAAAGGTGAAGATGCCTGACTCCTCTTGAATACTGATAGGAATCCCAAAATCCCTGTGCCTAGTGGAAAGGGTCCTTGGGTGCCCTGCCTCACCTCGAGAAGCGTCCCTTTTGCCCTGCCAAGCCTCGAAGAGATTCCTGAGGTGTCCCTAGTTACTAGACAGGAGTCCTGACGTCACTGAAGAAACTCGTGTTTTGAAGGGCCATCCCCGCCGTAAGTCGAGAACATACCCCAGGTCCCCGCCGCAACTCGAGAAAAACCATGAGACTTCCCCCTAGAGGCGAGATGAGGCCCCATTCCCCTGCAGTGCATGCAGAGCTATTCCGTGATCCCATTCAAACAAGTCAGGAGCTTCGACTTGCTTAAGAGATCTCGAGACAGTCCCCAAGAACTCTGTCACCAGTCTAGACGGACCCTGAGGTTATCCGAGCAACGCAAAGCACCTCCATGTGCCCCAAGTCAACTCGAGATGAGGCCCGATTCCCCTGCATTGACTCCAGAGCCATTCTTCGTTCCCCATTCAACACGACCGGTGGCTCGACTTCCTTCAGGCAACTCCAGAGATGCCCCGAGAACACTGGCCCAGGTCTAGAGGAACTCCACCTTCAGCACAGCAACTCGAGGAATGCTCCGTGTACCCCATATCGTCTCGAGATGAGAGCTGATTCCCTGGCTTAGGCTCAAGACGTATGCCAACTTTCCAGAAGCACCTCAGGAGGAGGCTCCTCTCAGCAATAGGTATGTGGGAGGGACCCCGAGTTTGCTGCCTCAAGGGGAATATACAGCGAGAAGCCCTAACTTGAAAGGAGGCCGGATTTCCTAGCAGTGGCTTGAATACAGGCTCGTCTTTCATCTCACAACATGAAGGGATGTCTGAATCCCCTGTGGAGACCTTAGAGAAAGCCCTAGGTCCCTGCCTCATTTTGACGGAATGCCTCACATCCCGCAGACACCTCGAGAGGCACGCGGAGTTCATTGCTTCAAAAGGTGACGATGCCTGACTCGTCTTGAATACTGATAGGAATCCCAAAATAACTCTGGCTACTGGAAAGGGTCCTTGGGTGCCCTGCCGCACCTCGAGTAGCATCCCTTTTGCCCTGCCAAGCCTCGAAGAGATTCCTGAGGTGTCCCTCGTTACTAGACAGGAGTCCTGACGTCACTGAAGAAACTCGTGTTTTGAAGGGCCATCCCCGCCGTAAGTCGAGAACATACCCCAGGTCCCCGCCGCAACTCGAGAAAAACCATGAGACTTCCCCCTAGAGGCGAGATGAGGCCCCATTCCCCTGCAGTGCATGCAGAGCTATTCCGTGATCCCATTCAAACAAGTCAGGAGCTTCGACTTGCTTAATGGATCTCGAGACAGTCCCCAAGAACTCTGTCACCAGTCTAGACGGACCCTGAGGTTACCCGAGCAACGCAAAGCACCTCCATGTGCCCCAAGTCAACTCGAGATGAGGCCCGATTCCCCTGCATTGACTCCAGAGCCATTCTCCGTTCCCCATTCAACACGACCGGTGGCTCGACTTCCTTCAGGCAACTCCAGAGATGCCCCGAGAACACTATCCCAGGTCTAGAGGAACTCCACCTTCAGCACAGCAACTCGAGGAATGCTCCGTGTACCCCATATCGTCTCGAGATGAGAGCTGATTCCCTGGCTTAGTCTCAAGACGTATGCCAACTTTCCAGAAGCACCTCAGGAGGAGGATTCTCTCAGCAATAGGTATGTGGGAGGGACCCCGAGTTTGCTGCCTCAAGGGGAATATACAGCGAGAAGCCCTAACTTGAAAGGAGGCCGGATTTCCTTGCAATGGCTTGAATACCGGCTCCTCTTTCATCTCACAACATGAAGGGATGTCTGAATCCCCTGTGGAGACCTTAGAGAAAGACCTAGGTGTCTGCCTCATTTTGACGGAATGCCTCACATCCCGCTGACACCTCGAGAGGCACGCGGAATTCATTGCTTCAAAAGATGACGATGCCTGACTCCTCTTGAATACTGATAGGAATCCCAAACTCCCTGTGGCTACTGGAAAGGGTCCTTGGGTGCCCTGCCTCACCTCGAGAAGCGTCCCTTTCGCCCTGCCAAGGCTCGAGGATATTCCTGAGGTGGCCCTCGTTACTAGACAGGAGTCCTGACGTCACTGAAGAAGCTCGTGTTTTGAAGGGCCATCCCCGCCGTAAGTCGAGAACATACCCCAAGTCCCCGCCGCAACTGGAGAAAAACCATGAGACTTCCCCCTAGAGTCCAGATGAGGCCCCATTCCCCTGCAGTGCATGCAGAGCTATTCCGTGATCCCATTCAAACAAGTCAGGAGCTTCGACTTGCTTAATGGATCTCGAGACAGTCCCCAAGAACACTGTCACCAGTCTAGACGGACCTTGAGGTCACCCCAGCAACGGAAAGCAGCTCCATGTGCCCCAAGTCAACTCGAGATGAGGCCCGATTCCCCTGCATTGACTCCAGAGCCATTCCCCGTTCCCCATTCAACACGACCGGTGGCTCGACTTCCTTCAGGCAACTCCAGAGATGCCCCGAGAACACTGTCCCAAGTCTAGAGGAACTCCAACTTCAGCACAGCAACTCGAGGATTGCTCCGTGTACCCCAAATCGTCTCGAGATGAGAGCTGATTCCCTGGCTTAGGCTAGATATATGATAACTTTCCAGAAGAACCTCAGGAGGAGGCTTCTCTCAGCAATAGGTATGTGGGAGGGACCTCGAGTTTGCTGCCTCAAGGGGAATAAACAGCGAGAAGCCCTAACTTGAAAGGAGGCCGGATTTCCTTGCAGTGGCTTGAATACAGGCTCGTCTTACATGTCACAACCTGAAGGGATGTCTGAATCCCCTGTGGAGACCTTAGAGAAATCCCTAGGTCCCTGCCTCATTTTGACGGAATGCCTCACATCCCGCTGACACCTCGGGAGGCACGCGGAGTTCATTGCTTCAAAAGGTGACGATGCCTGACTCCTCTTGAATACTGATAGGAATCCCAAAATAACTCTGGCTACTGGAAAGGGTCCTTGGGTGGCCTGCCTCATCTCGAGAAGCGTCCTTTTGCCCTGCAAAGCCTCGAAGAGATTCCTGAGGTGTCCCTCATTACTAGACAGGAGTCCTGACGTCACTGAAGAAACTCGTGTTTTGAAGGGCCATCCCCGCCGTAAGTTGAGAACATACCCCAGGTCCCCGCCGCAACTCGAGAAAAACCATGAGACTTCTCCCTAGAGGCGAGATGAGGCCCCATTCCCCTGCAGTGCATGCAGAGCTATTCCGTGATCCCATTCAAACAAGTCAGGAGCTTCGACTTGCTTAATGGGTCTCGAGACAGTCCCCAAGAACACTGTCACCAGTCTAGACGGACCCTGAGGTCACCTCAGCAACGCAAAGCAGCTCCATGTGCCCCAAGTCAACTCGAGATGAGGCCCGATTCCCCTGCATTGCCTCCAGAGCCTTTTCCCGTTCCCTATTCAACACGACCGGTGGCGCGACTTCCTTCAGGCAACTCCAGAAATCCCCCGAGAACACTGTCCCAAGTCTAGAGGAACACCAACTTCAGCACAGCAACTCGAGGAATGCTCCGTGTACCCCAAATCGTCTCGAGATGAGAGCTGATTCCCTGGCTTAGGCTCAAGACGTATGCCAACTTTCCAGAAGCACCTCAGGAGGAGTCTTCTCTCAGCAATAGGTATGTGGGAGGGACCCCGAGTATGCTGCTTCAAGGGGAATATACAGCAAGAAGCCCTAACTTGAAAGGAGGCCGGATTTCCTTGCAGTGGCTAGAATACAGGCTCGTCTTTGATCTCAAAACCTGAAGGGATGTCTGAATCCCCTGTGGAGACCTTAGAGAAAGCCCTATGTCCCTGCCTCATTTTGACGGAATGCCTCACATCCCGCTGACACTTCGAGAGGCACGCGGATTTCATTGCTTCAAAAGATGACGATGCCTGACTCCTCTTGAATACTGATAGGAATCCCAAAATAACTCTGGCTACTGGAAAGGGTCCTTGGGTTGCCTGCCTCATCTCGAGAAGCGTCCCTTTTTCCCTGCAAAGCCTCGAAGAGATTCCTGAGGTGTCCCTCGTTACTAGACAGGTGTCCTGACGTCACTGAGGAAACTCGTGTTTTGAAGGGCCATCCCCGCCGTAAGTCGAGAACATACACCAGGTCCCCGCCGCAACTCGAGAAAAACCATGAGACTTCCCCCTAGAGGCGAGATGAGGCCCCATTCCCCTGCAGTGCATGCAGAGCTATTCCGTGATCCCATTCAAACAAGTCAGGAGCTTCGACTTGCTTAATGGGTCTCGAGACAGTCCCCAAGAACACTGTCACCAGTCTAGACGGACCCTGAGGTCACCTCAGCAACGCAAAGCAGCTCCATGTGCCCCAAATCAACTCGAGAGGAGGCCCGATTCCCCTGCATTGACTCCAGAGCCATTCCCCGTTCCCCATTCAACACGACCGGTGGCTTGACTTCCTTCAGGCAACTCCAGAGATGCCCCGAGAACACTGTCCCAAGTCTAGAGGAACTCCAACTTCAGCACAGCAACTCGAGGAATGCTCCGTGTACACCAAATCGTCTCGAGATGAGAGCTGATTCCCTGGCTTACGTTCAAGACGTATGCCAACTTTCCAGAAGCTCCTCAGGAGGAGGCTTCTCTCAGCAATAGGTATGTGGGTGGGACCCCGAGTTTGCTGCCTCAAGGTGAATATACAGCGCGAAGCCCTAACTTGAAAGGAGGCCGGATTTCCTTGCAGTGGCTAGAATACAGGCTCGTCTTTGATCTCAAAACCTGAAGGGATGTCTGAATCCCCTGTGGAGACTTTAGAGAAAGCCCTAGGTCCCTGCCTCATTTTGACGGAATGCCTCACATCCCGCTGACACCTCGAGATGTACGTGGAGTTCATTGCTTCAAAAGGTGACGATGCCTGACTCCTCTGGAATACTGATAGGAATCCCAAAATACCTCTGGCTACTGGAAAGGGTCCTTGGGTGCCCTGCCTCACCTCGAGAAGCGTCCCTTTTGCCCTGCAAAGCCTCGAAGAGATTCCTGAGGTGTCCCTCGTTACTAGACAGGAGTCCTGACGTCACTGAAGAAACTCGTGTTTTGAAGGGCCATCCCCGCCGTAAGTCGAGAACATACCCCAGGTCCCCGCCGCAACTCGAGAAAAACCATGAGACTTCCCCCTAGAGGCGAGATGAGGCCCCATTCCCCTGCAGTGCATGCAGAGCTATTCCGTGATCCCATTCAAACAAGTCAGGAGATTCGACTTGCTTAATGGATCTCGAGACAGTCCCCAAGAACACTGTCACCAGTCTAGACGGACCCTGAGGTCACCGCAGCAACACAAAGCAGCTCCATGTGCCCCAAATCAACTAAAGATGAGGCCCGATTCCCATGGATTGACTCCAGAGCCTTTCCCCGTTCCCCATTCAACAAGACCGGTGGCTCGACTTCCTTCAGGCAACTCCCGAGATGCCCCGAGAACACTGTCCCAAGTCTAGAGGAACACCAACTTCAGCACAGCACCTCGAGGAATGCTCCGTGTACCCCAAATCGTCTCGAGATGAGAGCTGATTCCCTGGCTTAGGCTCAAGCCGTATGCCAACTTTCCAGAAGCACCTCAGGAGGAGGCTTCTCTCAGCAATAGGTATGTGGGAGGGACCCCGAGTATGCTGCCTCAAGGGGAATATACAGCGAGAAGCCCTAACTTGAAAGGAGGCCGGATTTCCTTGCAGTGGCTAGAATACAGGCTCGTCTTTGATCTTAAAACCTGAAGGGATGTCTGAATCCCCTGTGGAGACCTTAGAGAAAGCCCTAGGTCCCTGCCTCATTTTGACGGAATGCCTCACATCCCGCTGACACCTCGAGAGGCACGTGGAGTTCATCGCTTCAAAAGGTGACGATGCCTGACTCCTCTTGAATACTGATAGGAATCCCAAAATCCCTGTGGCTACTGGAAAGGGTCCTTGGGTACCCTGCCTCACTTCGAGAAACGTCCCTTTTGCCCTGCCAAGCCTCGAAGAGATTCCTGAGGTGTCCCTCGTTACTAGACAGGAGTCCTGACGTCACTGAAGAAACTCGTGTTTTTAAGGGCCATCCCCCCCTTAAGTCGAGAACATACCCCAGGTCCCTGCCGCAACTCGAGAAAAACCATGAGACTTCCCCCTAGAGGCGAGATGAGGCCCCATTCCCCTGCAGTGCATGCAGAGCTATTCCGTGATCCCATTCAAACAAGTCAGGAGCTTCGACTTGCTTAATAGATCTCAAGGCAGTCCCCAAGAACACTGTCACCAGTCTAGACGGACCCTGAGGTCACCCCAGCAATGCAAAGCAGCTCCATGTGCCCCAAGTCAACCCGAGATGAGGCCCGATTCCCCTGCATTGACTCCAGAGCCATTCCCCGTTCCCCATTCAACACGACCGGTGGCTCGACTTCATTCAGGCAACTCCAGAGATGCCCCGAGAACACTGTCCCAAGTCTAGAGGAACTCCAACTTCAGCACGGCAACTCGAGGAATGCTCCGTGTACCCCAAATCGTCTCGAGATGAGAGCTGATTCCCTGGCTTAGGCTCAAGTCATATGCCAACTTTCCAGAAGCACCTCAGGAGGAGGGTTCTCTCAGCAATAGGTATGTGGGAGGGACCCCAGTTTACTGCCTCAAGGGGAATATACAGCGAGAAGCCCTAATTTGAAAGGAGGCCGGATTTCCTTGCAGTGGCTTGAATACAGGCTCGTCTTTCATCTCACAACATGAAGGGATGTCTGAATCCCCTGTGGAGACCTTACAGAAAGCCCTAGGGCCCTGCCTCATTTTGACGGAATGCCTCACATCACGCTGACATCTCGATAGCCACGCAGAGTTCATTGCTTCAAAAGGTGACGATGCCTGACTCCTCTTGAATACTGGTAGGAATCCCAAAATCCCTGGGCTACTGGAAAGGGTCCTTGGGTGCCCTGCCTCACCTTGAGAAGCGTCCCTTTTGCCCTGCAAAGCCTCGAAGAGATTCCTGAGATGTCCCTCGTTACTAGACAGGAGTCCTGACGTCACTGAAGAAACTCGTGTTTTGAAGGGCCTTCCCCGCCGTAAGTCGAGAACATACCCCAGGTCCCCACCGCAACTCGAGAAAAACCATGAGACCTCCCCCTAGAGGCGAGATGAGGCCCCATTCCCCTGCAGTGCATGCAGAGCTATTCCGTGATCCCATTCAAACACGTCAGGAGCTTCGACTTGCTTAATGGATCTCGAGACAGTCCCAAAGAACACTGTCACCAGTCTAGATGGACCCTGAGGTCACCCCAGCAACGCAAAGCAGCTCCATGTGCTCCAAGTCAACTCGAGATGAGGCCCGATTCCCCTGCATTGACTCCAGAGCCATTCCCCGTTCCCCATTCAACACGACCGGTGGCTCGACTTCCTTCAGGCAACTCCAGAGATGCCCCGAGAACACTGTCCCAGGTCTAGAGGAACTCCACCTTCAGCAGAGCAACTCAAGGAATGCTCTGTGTACCACAAATCGTCTCGAGATGAGAGCTGATTCCCTGGCTTAGGCTCAAGACGTATGCCAACTTTCCAGAAGCACCTCAGGAGGAGGCTTCTCTCAGCAATAGGTATGTGGGAGGGACCCCGAGTTTGTTGCCTCAAGGGGAATATACAGCGAGAAGCCCTAACTTGAAAGGAGGCCGGATTTCCTTGCAGTGGCTTGAATACAGGCTCGTCTTTCATCTCACAACATGAAGGGATGTCTGAATCCCCTGTGGAGACTTTAGAGAAAGCTCTAGGTCCCTGCCTCATTTTGACGGAATGCCTCACATCCCGCAGACACCTCGAGAGGCACGCGGAGTTCATTGCTTCAAAAGGTGACGATGCCTGACTCATCTTGAATACTGATAGGAATCCCAAAATAACTCTGGCTCCTGGAAAGGGTCCTTGGGTGCCCTGCCTCACCTCGAGAAGCGTCCCTTTTGCCCTGCCAAGCCTCGAAGAGATTCCTGAGGTGTCCCTCGTTACTAGACAGGAGTCCTGACGTCACTGAAGAAACTCGTGTTTTGAAGGGCCATCCCCGCCATAAGTCGAGAACATACCCCAGGTCCCCGCCGCAACTCGAGAAAAACCATGAGACTTCCCCCTAGAGGCGAGATGAGGCCCCATTCCCCTGCAGTGCATGCAGAGCTATTCCGTGATCCCATTCAAACAATTCAGGAGATTCGACTTGCTTAATGGATCTCGAGACAGTCCCCAGGAACACTGTCACCAGTCTAGACGGACCCTGAGGTCACCGCAGCAACACAAAGCAGCTCCATGTGCCCCAAATCAACTAAAGATGAGGCCCGATTCCCATGGATTGACTCCAGAGCCTTTCCCCGTTCCCCATTCAACAAGACGGGTGGCTCGACTTCCTTCAGGCAACTCCCGAGATGCCCCGAGAACACTGTCCCAAGTCTAGAGGAACACCAACTTCAGCACAGCACCTCGAGGAATGCTCCGTGTACCCCAAATCGTCTCGAGATGAGAGCTGATTCCCTGGCTTAGGCTCAAGCCGTATGCCAACTTTCCAGAAGCACCTCAGGAGGAGGCTTCTCTCAGCAATAGGTATGTGGGAGGGACCCCGAGTATGCTGTCTCAAGGGGAATATACAGCGAGAAGCCCTAACTTGAAAGGAGGCCGGATTTCCTTGCAGTGGCTAGAATACAGGCTCGTCTTTGATCTTAAAACCTGAAGGGATGTCTGAATCCCCTGTGGAGACCTTAGAGAAAGCCCTAGGTCCCTGCCTCATTTTGACGGAATGCCTCACATCCCGCTGACACCTCGAGAGGCACGTGGAGTTCATCGCTTCAAATGGTGACGATGCCTGACTCCTCTTGAATACTGATAGGAATCCCAAAATCCCTGTGGCTACTGGAAAGGGTCCTTGGGTACCCTGCCTCACTTCGAGAAACGTCCCTTTTGCCCTGCCAAGCCTCGAAGAGATTCCTGAGGTGTCCCTCGTTACTAGACAGGAGTCCTGACGTCACTGAAGAAACTCGTGTTTTTAAGGGCCATCCACCCCTTAAGTCGAGAACATACCCCAGGTCCCTGCCGCAACTCGAGAAAAACCATGAGACTTCCCCCTAGAGGCGAGATGAGGCCCCATTCCCCTGCAGTGCATGCAGAGCTATTCCGTGATCCCATTCAAACAAGTCTGGAGCTTCGACTTGCTTAATGGATCTCGAGACAGTCCCCAAGAACACTGTCACCAGTCTAGACGGACCCTGAGGTCACCCCAGCAATGCAAAGCAGCTCCATGTGCCCCAAGTCAACCCGAGATGAGGCCCGATTCCCCTGCATTGACTCCAGAGCCATTCCCCGTTCCCCATTCAACACGACCGGTGGCTCGACTTCATTCAGGCAACTCCAGAGATGCCCCGAGAACACTGTCCCAAGTCTAGAGGAACTCCAACTTCAGCACGGCAACTCGAGGAATGCTCCGTGTACCCCAAATCGTCTCGAGATGAGAGCTGATTCCCTGACTTAGGCTCAAGTCATATGCCGACTTTCCAGAAGCACCTCAGGAGGAGGGTTCTCTCAGCAATAGGTATGTGGGAGGGACCCCAGTTTACTGCCTCAAGGGGAATATACAGCGAGAAGCCCTAATTTGAAAGGAGGCCGGATTTCCTTGCAGTGGCTTGAATACAGGCTCGTCTTTCATCTCACAACATGAAGGGATGTCTGAATCCCCTGTGGAGACCTTAGAGAAAGCCCTAGGTCCCTGCCTCATTTTGACGGAATGCCTCACATCCCGCTGACACCTCGAGAGGCACGCGGATTTCATTGCTTCAAAAGATGACGATGCCTGACTCCTCTTGAACACTGATAGGAATCCGAAAATCCCTGTGGCTACTGGAAAGGTTCCTTGGGTGCCCTGCCTCACCTAGAGAAGCGTCCCTTTTGCCCTGCCAAGCCTCGAAGAGATTCCTGAGGTGTCCCTCGTTACTAGACAGGAGTGCTGACGTCACTGAAGAAACTCGTGTTTTGAAGGGCCATCCCCGCCGTAAGTCGAGAACATACCCCAGGTCCCCGCCGCAACTCGAGAAAAACCATGAGACTTCCCCCTAGAGGCGAGATGAGGCCCCATTCCCCTGCAGTGCATTCAGAGCTATTCCGAGATCCCATTCAAACAAGTCAGGAGCTTCGACTTGCTTAATGGGTCTCGTGACAGTCCCCAAGAACACTGTCACCAGTCTAGACGGACCCTGAGGTCACCCCAGCAACGCAAAGCAGCTCCATGTGCCCCAAATCAACTCGAGATGAGGCCCGATTCCCCTGCATTGACTCCAGAGCCATTCCCCGTTCCCCATTCAACAAGACCGGTGGCTCGACTTCCTTCAGGCAACTCCAGAGATGCCCCGAGAACACTGTCCCAAGTCTAGAGGAACTCCAACTTCAGCACAGCAACTCGAGGAATGCTCCGTGTACACCAAATCGTCTCGAGATGAGAGCTGATTCCCTGGCTTACGCTCAAGACGTATGCCAACTTTCCAGAAGCTCCTCAGGAGGAGGCTTCTCTCAGCAATAGGTATGTGGGTGGGACCCCGAGTTTGCTGCCTCAAGGGGAATATACAGCGCAAAGCCCTAACTTGAAAGGAGGCCGGATTTCCTTGCAGTGGCTAGAATACAGGCTCGTCTTTGATCTCAAAACCTGAAGGGATGTCTCAATCCCCTGTGGAGACCTTAGAGAAAGCCCTAGGTCCCTGCCTCATTTTGACGGGATGCCTCACATCCCGCTGACACCTCGAGAGGTACGTGGAGTTCATTGCTTCAAAAGGTGACAATGCCTGACTCCTCTGGAATACTGATAGGAATCCCAAAATAAGTCTGGCTACTGGAAAGGGTCCTTGGGTGCCCTGCCTCACCTCGAGAAGCGTCCCTTTTGCCATGCCAAGGCTCGAGGAGATTCCTGAGTTGGCCCTCGTTACTAGACAGGAGTCCTGACGTCACTGAAGAAACTCGTGTTTTTAAGGGCCATCCCCTCCGTAAGTCGAGAACATACCCCAGGTCCCCGCCGCAACTCGAGAAAAACCATGAGATTTCCCCCTAGAGGCGAGATGAGGCCCCATTCCCCTGCAGTGCATGCAGAGCTATTCCGTGATCCCATTCAAACAAGTCAGGAGCTTCGACTTGCTTAATGGATCTCGAGACAGTCCCCAAGAACACTGTCACCAGTCTAGACGGACCCTGAGGTCACCGCAGCAACGCAAAGCAGCTCTATGTGCCCCAAATCAACTCGAGATGAGGCCCGATTCCCCTGGATTGACACCAGAGCCTTTCCCCGTTCCACATTCAACACGACCGGTGGCTCGACTTCCTTCAGGCAACTCCAGAGATGCCCCGAGAACACTGTCCCAAGTCTAGAGGAACACCAACTTCAGCACAGCAACTCGAGGAATGCTCCGTGTACCCCAAATCGTCTCGAGATGAGAGCTGATTCCCTGGCTTAGGCTCAAGACGTATGCCACCTTTCCAGAAGCACCTCAGGAGGAGGCTTCTCTCAGCAATAGGTATGTGGGAGGGACCCCGAGTATGCTGACTCAAGGGGAATATACAGCGAGAAGCCCTAACTTGAAAGGAGGCCGGATTTCCTTGCAGTGGCTAGAATACAGGCTCGTCTTTGATTTCAAAACCTGAAGGGATGTCTGAATCCCCTGTGGAGACCTTAGAGAAAGCCCTAGGTCCCTAGCTCATTTTGACGGAATGCCTCACATCCCGGTGACACCTCGAGAGGCACGTGGAGTTCATCGCTTCAAAAGGTGACGATGCCTGACTCCTCTTGAATACTGATAGGAATCCCAAAATACCTGTGGCTACTGGAAAGGGTCCTTGGGTGCTCTGCTTCACCTCGAGAAGCGTCCCTTTTGCCCTGCCAAGCCTCGAAGAGATTCCTGAGGTGTACCTCGTTACGAGACAGGAGTCCTGACGTCACTGAAGAAACTCGTGTTTTGAAGGGCCATCCCCCCCTTAAGTCGAGAACATACCCCAGGTCCCTGCCGCAACTCGAGAAAAACAATGAGACTTCCCCCTAGAGGCGAGATGAGGCCCCATTCCCCTGCAGTGCATGCAGAGCTATTCCGTGATCCCATTCAAACAAGTCAGGAGCTTCGACTTGCTTAATGGATCTCGAGACAGTCCCCAAGAACACTGTCACCAGTCTAGACGGACCCTGAGGTCACCCCAGCAATGCAAAGCAGCTCCATGTGCCCCAAGTCAACCCGAGATGAGGCCCGATTCCCCTGCATTGACTCCAGAACCATTCCCCGTTCCCCATTCAACACGACCGGTGGCTCGACTTCATTCAGGCAACTCCAGAGATGCCCCGAGAACACTGTCTCAAGTCTAGAGGAACTCCAACTTCAGCACAGCAACTCGAGGAATGCTCCGTGTACCCCAAATCGTCTCGAGATGAGAGCTGATTCCCTGGCTTAGGCTCAAGTCATATGCTAACTTTCCAGAAGCACCTCAGGAGGAGGGTTCTCTCAGCAATAGGGATGTGGGAGGGACCCCGAGTTTGCTGCCTCAAGGGGAATATACAGCGAGAAGCCCTAACTTGAAAGGAGGCCGGATTTCCTTGCAGTGGCTTGAATGCAGGCTCGTCTTTCATCTCACAACATGAAGGGATGTCTGAATCCCCTGTGGAGACATTAGAGAAAGCCCTAGTTCCCTGTCTCATTTTGACGGAATGCCTCACATCCCGCTGACACCTCGAGAGGCTCGCGGAGTTCATTGCTTCAAAAGGTGACGATGCCTGATTCCTCTTGAATACTGATAGGAATCTCAAAATCCCTGTGGCTACTGGAAAGGGTCCTTGGGTGCCCTGCCTCACCTCGAGAAACGTCCCTTTTGCCCTGCCAAGCCACGAAGAGATTCCTGAGGTGTCCCTCGTTACTAGACAGGAGTCCTGACGTCACTGAAGAAACAAAAACCATGAGACTTCCCCCTAAGGGCGAGATGAGGCCCCATTCCCCTACAGTGTATGCAGAGCTATTCCGTGATCCCATTCAAACAAGTCAGGAGCTTCGACTTGCTTAATGGATCTCGAGACAGTCCCCAAGAACACTGTCACCAGTCTAGACGGACCCTGAGGTCACCCCAGCAACGCAAAGCAGCTCCATGTGCCCCAAGTCAACTCGAGATGAGGCCCGATTCCCCTGCATTGACTCCAGAGCCATTCCCCGTTCCCCATTCAACACGACCGGTGGCTCGACTTCTTTCAGGCAACTCCAGAGATGCCCCGAGAACACTGTCCCAAGTCTAGAGGAAATCCAACTTCAGCACAGCAACTCGAGGAATGCTCCGTGTACCCCAAATCGTCTCGAGATGAGAGCTGATTCCCTGGCTTAGGCTCAACTTATGCCAACTTTCCAGAAGCACCTCAGGAGGAGGCTTCTCTCAGCAATAGGTATGTGGGAGGGACCCCGAGTTTGCTGCCTCAAGGGGAATATACAGCGAGAAGCCCTAACACGAAAGGAGGCCGGATTTCCTTGCAGTGGCTTGAATACAGGCTCGTCTTTCATCTCACACCATGAAGGGATGTCGGAATCCCCTGTGGAGACCTTAGAGAAAGCCCTAGGTCCCTGCCTCATTTTGACCGAATGCCTCACATCCCGCTGACAACTCGAGAGGCATGCGGAGTTCACTGCTTCAAAAGGTGACGATGCCTGACTCCTCTTGAATAATGATAGGAATCCCAAAATCCCTGTGGCTACTGGAAAGGGTCCTTGGGTGCCCTGCCTCACCTCGAGAAGCGTCCCTTTTGCCCTGCCAAGCCTCGTAGAGATTCCTGAGGTGTCCCTCATTACGAGACAGGAGTCCTGACGTCACTGAAGAAACTCGTGTTTTGAAGGGCCATCCCGCCGTAAGTCGAGAACATACCCCAGGTCCCCACCGCAACTCGAGAAAAACCATGAGACTTCCCCCTAGAGGCGAGATGAGGCCCCATTCCTCTACAGTGCATGCAGAGCTATTCCGTGATCCCATTCAAACACGTCAGGAGCTTCGACTTGCTTAATGGATCTCGAGACAGTCCCAAAGAACACTGTCACCAGTCTAGACGAACCCTGAGATCACCGCAGCAACGCAAAGCAGCTCCAAGTGCCCCAAATCAACTCGAGATGAGGCCCGATTCCCCTGCATTGACTCCAGAGCCATTCCCCGTTCCCCATTCAACACGACCGGTGGCTCGACTTCCTTCAGGCAACTCCAGAGATGCCCCGAGAACACTGTCTCAAGTCTAGAGGAAATCCAACTTCAGCACAGCAACTCGAGGAATGCTCCATGTACCCCAAATCGTCTCGAGATGAGAGCTGATTCCCTGGCTTAGGCTCAAGACGTATGCCAAATTTCCAGAAGCACCTCAGGAGGAGGCTTCTCTCAGCAATAGGTATGTGCGAGGGACCCCGAGTTTGCTGCCTCAAGGGGAATATACAGCGAGAAGCCCTAACTTGAAAGTAGGCCGGATTTCCTTGCAGTGGCTTGAATACAGGCTCGTCTTTCATCTCACAACATGAAGGGTTGTCTGAATCCCCTGTGGAGACCTTAGAGAAAGCCCTAGGTCCCTGCCTCATTTTGACCGAATGCCTCACATCCCGCTGACACCTCGAGAATCACTCGGAGTTCACTGCTACAAAAGGTGACGATGCCTGACTCCTCTTGAATACTGATAGGAATCCCAAAATCCCTGTGGGTACTGGAAAGGGTCCTTGGGTGCCCTGCCTCACCTCGAGAAGCGTCCCTTTTGCCCTGCCAAGCCTCGAAGAGATTCCTGAGGTGTCCCTCATTACGAGACAGGAGTCCTGACGTCACTGAAGAAACTCGTGTTTTGAAGGGCCATCCCCGCCGTAAGTCGAGAACATACCCCAGGTCCCCGCCGCAACTCGAGAAAAACCATGAGACTTCCCCCTAGAGGCGAGATGAGGCCCCATTCCCCTGTAGTGCATGCAGAGCTATTCCGTGATCCCATTCAAACAAGTCAGGAGCTTCGACTTGCTTAATGGATCTCGAGACAGTCCCCAAGAACACTGTCACCAGTCTAGACGGACCCTGAGGTCACCCCAGCAACGCAAAGCAGCTCCATGTGCACCAAATCAACTCGAGATGAGGCCCGATTCCACTGCATTGACTCCAGGGCCATTCCCCGTTCCCCATTCAACACGACCGGTGGCTCGACTTCCTTCAGGCAACTCCAGAGATGCCCCGAGAACACTGTCCCAAGTCTAGAGGAACTCCAACTTCAGCACAGCAACTCGAGGAATGCTCCGTGTACCCCAAATCATCTCGAGATGAGAGCTGATTCCCTGGCTTAGGCTCAAGACGTATGCCAACTTTCCAGAAGCACCTAAGGAGGAGGCTTCTCTCAGCAATAGGTATGTGGGAGGGACCCCGAGGTTGCTGCCTCAAGGGGAATATACAGCGAGAAGCCCTAACTTGAAAGGAGGCCGGATTTTCTTGCAGGGGCTTGAATACAGGCTCGTCTTTCATCTCACAACATGAAGGGATGTCTGAATCCCCTGTGGAGACCTTAGAGAAACCCTTAGGTCCCTGCCTCATTTTGACGGAATGCCTCACATCCTGCTGACTCCCCGAGAGGTATGTGGAGTTCATTGCTTCAAAATGTGACGATGCCTGACTCCTCCTGAATACTGATAGGAATCCCAAAATCCCTGTGGCTACTGGAAAGGGTCCTTGGGTGCCCTGCCTCACCTCGAGAAGCGTCCCTTTTGCCCTGCCAAGCCTCGAAGAGATTCCTGAGGTGTCCCTCATTACTAGAAAGGAGTCCTGACGTCACTGAAGAAACTCGTGTTTTGAAGGTCCATCCCCGCCGTAAGTCGAGAACATACCCCAGGTCCCCGCCGCAACTCGAGAAAAACCATGAGACTTCCCCCTAGAGGCCAGATGAGGCCCCATTCCCCTGCAGTGCATGCAGAGCTATTCCGTGATCTCATTCAAACAAGTCAGGAGATTCGACTTGCTTAATGCATCTCGAGACAGTCCCCAAGAACACTGTCATCAGTCTAGACGGACCCTGAGGTCACCCCAGCAACGCAAAGCAGCACCATGTGCCCCAAATCAACTCGAGATGAGGCCCGATTCCCCTGGATTGACTCCAGAGCCATTCCCCGTTCCCCATTCAACAAGACCGGTTGCTCGACTTCCTTCAGGCAACTCCAGAGATGCCCCCAGAACACTGTCCCAAGTCTAGAGGAACACTAACTTCAACACAGCAACTCGAGGAATGCTCCGTGTACCCCAAATCATCTCGAGATGAGAGCTGATTCCCTGGCTTAGGCTCAAGACGTATGCCAACTTTCCAGAAGCACCTCAGGAGGAGGCTTCTCTCAGCAATAGGTATGTGGGAGGGACTCCGAGTTTGCTGCCTCAAGGGGAATATACAGCGAGAAGCCCTAACTTGAAAGGAGGCCGGATTTCCTTGCAGTGGCTAGAATACAGGCTCGTCTTTGATCTCAAAACCTGAAGGGATGTCTGAATCCCCTGTGGAGACCATAGAGAAAGCCCTAGGTCCCTGCCTCATTTTGAAGGAATGCCTCACATCCCACTGACACCTCGAGAGGCACGTGGAGTTCATTGCTTCAAAAGGTGACGATGCCTGAGTCCTCTTGAATACTGATAGGAATCCCAAAATCCCTGTGGCTACTGGAAAGGGTCCTTGGGTGCCCTGCCTCACCTCGAGAAGCCTCCCTTTTGCCCTACCAAGCCTCGAAGAGATTCCTGAGGTGTCCCTCGTTACGAGACAGGAGTCCTGACGTCACTGAAGAAACTCGTGTTTTGAAGGGCCATCCCCGCCGTAAGTTGAGAACATACCCCAGGTCCCCGCCGCAACTCGAGAAATACCATGAGACTTCCCCCTTGAGGCGAGATGAGGCCCCATTCCCCTGCAGTGCATGCAGAGCTATTCCGTGATCCCATTCAAACACGTCAGGAGCTTCGACTTGCTTAATGGATCTCGAGACAGTCCCAAAGAACACTGTCACCAGTCTAGACGAACCCTGAGATCACCGCAGCAACGCAAAGCAGCTCCAAGTGCCCCAAATCAACTCGAGATGAGGCCCGATTCCCCTGCATTGACTCCAGAGCCATTCCCCGTTCCCCATTCAACACGACCGGTGGCTCGACTTCCTTCAGGCAACTCCAGAGATGCCCCGAGAACACTGTCTCAAGTCTAGAGGAAATCCAACTTCAGCACAGCAACTCGAGGAATGCTCCATGTACCCCAAATCGTCTCGAGATGAGAGCTGATTCCCTGGCTTAGGCTCAAGACGTATGCCAAATTTCCAGAAGCACCTCAGGAGGAGGCTTCTCTCAGCAATAGGTATGTGCGAGGGACCCCGAGTTTGCTGCCTCAAGGGGAATATACAGCGAGAAGCCCTAACTTGAAAGGAGGCCGGATTTTCTTGCAGGGGCTTGAATACAGGCTCGTCTTTCATCTCACAACATGAAGGGATGTCTGAATCCCCTGTGGAGACCTTAGAGAAACCCTTAGGTCCCTGCCTCATTTTGACGGAATGCCTCACATCCTGCTGACTCCCCGAGAGGTATGTGGAGTTCATTGCTTCAAAATGTGACGATGCCTGACTCCTCCTGAATACTGATAGGAATCCCAAAATCCCTGTGGCTACTGGAAAGGGTCCTTGGGTGCCCTGCCTCACCTCGAGAAGCGTCCCTTTTGCCCTGCCAAGCCTCGAAGAGATTCCTGAGGTGTCCCTCATTACTAGAAAGGAGTCCTGACGTCACTGAAGAAACTCGTGTTTTGAAGGTCCATCCCCGCCGTAAGTCGAGAACATACCCCAGGTCCCCGCCGCAACTCGAGAAAAACCATGAGACTTCCCCCTAGAGGCCAGATGAGGCCCCATTCCCCTGCAGTGCATGCAGAGCTATTCCGTGATCTCATTCAAACAAGTCAGGAGATTCGACTTGCTTAATGCATCTCGAGACAGTCCCCAAGAACACTGTCATCAGTCTAGACGGACCCTGAGGTCACCCCAGCAACGCAAAGCAGCTCCATGTCCCCCAAATCAACTCGAGAAGAGGCCCGATTCCCCTGAATTGACTCCAGAGCCATTCCCCGTTCCTCATTCAACACGACCGGTGGTTCGACTTTTTTCAGGAAACTACAGAGATGCCCCGAGAACACTGTGCCAAGTCTAGAGGAACACGAACTTCAGCACAGCAACTCGAGGAATGCTCCATGTACCCCAAATCGTCTCGAGATGAGAGCTGATTCCCTGCCTTAGGCTCAAGACGTATGCCAACTTTCCAGAAGCACCTCAGGAGCAGGCTTCTCTCAGCAATAGGTATGTGGGAGGGACCCCGAGTTTGCTGCCTCAAGAGGAATATACAGCAAGAAGCCCTAACTTGAAAGGAGGCCGGATTTCCTTGCAGTGGCTTGAATACAGGCTCGTCTTTCATCTCACAACATGAAGGGATGTCTGAATCCCCTGTGGAGACCTTAGAGAAAGCCCTAGGTCCCTGCCTCATTTTTACGGAATGCCTCACGTCCCGTTGACACCTCGAGAGGCACGCGGAGTTCATTGCTTCAAAAGGTGACGATGCCTGACTCCTCTTGAATACTGATAGGAATCCCAAAATCCCTGTGACTACTGGAAAGGGTCCTTGGGTGACCTTCCTCACCTCGAGAAGCGTCCGTTTTGCCCTGCCAAGCCTCGAAGAGATTCCTGAGGTGTCCCTCGTTACTAGACAGGAGTCCTGACGTCACTGAAGAAACTTGTGTTTTGAAGGGCAATCCCCGCTGTAAGTCAAGAACATACCCCATGTCCCCGCCGCAACTCAAGAAAAACCATGAGACTTCCCCCTAGAGGCGAGATGAGGCCCCATTCCCCTGCAGTGCATGCAGAGCTATTCCGTGATCCCATTCAAACAAGTCAGGAGCTTCGACTTGCTTAATGGATCTCGAGACAGTCCCCAAGAACTCTGTCACCAGTCTAGACGGACCCTGAGGTCACCCCAGCAACGCAAAGCACCTCCATGTGCCCCAAGTCAACTCGAGATGAGCGCCGATTCCCCTGCATTGACTACAGAGCCATTCCCCGTTCCCATTCAACACGACCGGTGGCTCGACTTCCTTCAGGCCACTCCAGAGATGCCCCGAGAACACTGTCCCATGTCTAGAGGAACTCCTCCTTCAGCACAGCAACTCGAGGAATGCTCCGTGTACCACAAATCGTCTCGAGATGAGAGCTGATTCCCTGGCTTAGGCTCAAGACGTATGCCAACATTCCAGAAGCACCTCAGGAGCAGGCTTCTCTCAGCAATAGTTATGTGGGAGGGACCCCGAGTTTGCTGCCTCAAGAGGAATATACAGCAAGAAGCCCTAACTTGAAAGGAGGCCGGATTTCCTTGCAGTGGCTTGAATACAGGCTCGTCTTTCATCTCACAACATGAAGGGATGTCTGAATCCCCTGTGGAGACCTTAGAGAAAGCCCTAGGTCCCTGCCTCATTTTGACGAAATGCCTCATTTCCCGCAGACACCTCGAGAGGCACGCGGAGTTCATTGCTTCAAAAGGTGACGACGCCTGACTCCTCTTGAATACTGATAGGAATCGCAAAATAACTCTGGCTACTGGAAAGGGTCCTTGGGTGCCCTGCCTCACCTCGAGAAGCGTCCCTTTTGCCCTGCCAAGCCTCGAAGAGATTCCTGATGTGTCCCTCGTTACTAGACAGGAGTCCTGACGTCACTGAAGAAACTCGTGTTTTGAAGGGCCATCCCCGCCGTAAGTCGAGAACATACCCCAGGTCCCCACCGCAACTCGAGAAAAACCATGACACTTCCCCCTAGAGCGAGATGAGGCCCCATTCCCCTGCAGTGCATGCAGAGCTATTCCGTGATCCCATTCAAACAAGTCAGGAGCTTCGACTTGCTTAATGGATATCGAGACAGTGCCCAAGAACACTGTCACCAGTCTAGACGGACCCTGAGGTCACCCCAGCAACGCAAAGCAGTTCCAGGTGCCACAAATCAACTCGAGATGAGGCCCGATTCCCCTGCATTGACTCCAGAGCCTTTCCCCGTTCCCCATTCAACACGACCGGTGGCTCGACTTCCTTCAGGCAACTCCAGAAATGCCCCGAGAACACTGTCCCAAGTCTAGAGGAACACCAACTTCAGCACAGCAACTCGAGGAATGCTACGTGTACCACAAATCATCTCGAGATTAGAGCTGATTCCCGGGCTTAGGCTCAAGACGTATGCCAACTTTCCAGAAGCACCTCAGGAGGAGGCTTCTCTCAGCAATCGGTATGTGGGAGGGACCCCGAGGTTGCTGCCTCAAGGGGAATATACAGCGAGAAGCCCTAACTTGAAAGGAGGCCGGATTTCCTTGCAGTGGCTAGAATACAGGCTCATCTTTGATCTCAAAACCTGAAGAGATGTCTGAATCCCCTGTGGAGACCTTAGAGAAAGCCCTATGTCCCTGCCTCATATTGACGGAATGCCTCACATCGCACTGACACTTCGAGAGGCACGTGGAGTTCATTGCTTCAAAAGGTGACGATGCCTGACTCCTCTTGAATACTGACAGGAATCCCAAAATCCCTGTGGCTACTGGAAAGGGTCCTTGGGTGCCCTGCCTCACCTCGAGAAGCGTCCGTTTTGCCCTGCCAAGCCTCGAAAAGATTCCTGAGGTGTCCCTCGTTACTAGACAGGAGTCCTGACGTCACTGAAGAAACTCGTGTTTTGAAGGGCCATCCCCGCCGTAAGTCGAGAACATACCCCAGGTCCCGGCCACAACTCGAGAAAAACCATGAGACTTCCCCCTAGAGGCGAGATGAGGCCCCATTCCCCTGCAGTGCATGCAGAGCTATTCCGTGATCCCATTCAAACAAGTCAGGAGCTTCGACTTGCTTAATGGATCTCGAGACAGTCCCCAAGAACTCTGTCACCAGTCTAGTCGGACCCTGAGGTCACCCCAGCAACGCAAAGCACCTCCATGTGCCCCAAGTCAACTCGAGATGAGGCCCGATTCCCCTGCATTGACTCCAGAGCCATTCCCCGTTCCCCATTCAACACGACCGGTGGCTCGACTTCCTTCAGGCAACTCCAGAGATGCCCCGAGAACACTGTCCCAGGTCTAGAGGAACTCCACCTTCAGCACAGCAACTCGAGGAATGCTGCGTGTACCACAAATCTTCTCGAGATGAGAGCTGATTCCATGGCTTAGGCTCAAGACGTATGCCAACTTTCCAGAAGTACCTCAGGAGGAGGCTTCTCTCAGCAATAGGTATATGGGAGGGACCCCCAGCATGCTGCCTCAAGGGGAATATACAGCGAGAATACCTAACTTGAGAGGAGGCCGGATTTCCTTGCAGGGGCTTGAATACAGGCTCGCCTTTCATCTCACAACATGAAGAAATGTCTGAATCACCTGTGGAGACCTTAGAGAAAGCCCTAGGTCCCTGACTCATTTTGACGGAATGCCTCACATCCCGGTGACATCTCGAGAGGCACGCGGAGTTCATTGCTTCAAAAGGTGACGATACCTGAGTCCTCTTGAAAACTGATAGGAATCCCAAAATCCCTGTGGCTACTGGAAAGGGTCCTTGGGTGCCCTGCCTCACCTCGAGAAGCGTCCCTTTTGCCCTGCCAAGCCTCGAAGAGATTCATGAGGTGAACCTCGTTACTAGACAGGAGTCCTGACGTCACTGAAGAAACTCGTGTTTTGAAGGGCCATCCCCGCCGTAAGTCGAGAACATACCCCAGGTCCCAGCCGCAACTCAAGAAAAACAATGAGACTTCCCCCTAGAGGCGAGAAGAGGCCCCATTCCCCTGCAGTGCATGCAGAGCTATTCCGTGATCCCATTCAAACAAGTCAGGAGCTTCGACTTGCTTAATGGATCTCGAGACAGACCCCAAGAACACTGTCACCAGTCTAGACGGACCCTGAGGTCACCCCAGCAACGCAAAGCAGCACCATGTGCCCCAAATCAACTCGAGATGAGGCCCGAATCCCCTGCATTGACTCCAGGGCCATTCCCCGTTCCCCATTCAACACGACCGGTGGCTCGACTTCCTTCAGGGAACTCCAGAGATGTCCCGAGAACACTGTCCCAAGTCTAGAGGAACTCCAACTTCAGCACAGCAACTCGAGGAATGCTACGTGTACCACAAATCATCTCGAGATGAGAGCTGATTCCCTGGCTTAGGCTCAAGACGTATGCCAACTTTCCAGAAGCACCTCAGGAGGAGGCTTCTCTCAGCAATAGGTATGTGGGAGGGACCCCGAGGTTGCTGCCTCAAGGGGAATATACAGCGAGAAGCCCTAACTTGAAAGGAGGCCGGATTTCCTTGCAGTGGCTAGAATACAGGCTCATCTTTGATTTCAAAACCTGAAGGGATGTCTGAATCCCCTGTGGAGACCTTAGAGAAAGCCCTATGTCCCTGCCTCATTTTGACGGAATGCCTCACATCGCGCTGACACTTCGAGAGGCACGTGGAGTTCATTGCTTCAAAAGGTGACGATGCCTGACTACTCTTGAATACTGACAGGAATCCCAAAATCCCTGTGGCTACTGGAAAGGGTCCTTGGGTGCCCTGCCTCACCTCGAGAAGCGTCCGTTTTGCCCTGCTAAGCCTCGAAAAGATTGCTGAGGTGTCCCTCGTTACTAGACAGGAGTCCTGACTTCACTGAAGAAACTCGTGTTTTGAAGGGCCATCCCCGCCGTAAGTCGAGAACATACCCCAGGTTCCGGCCACAACTCGAGAAAAACCATGAGACTTCCCCCGAGAGGCGAGATGAGGCCCCATTCCCCTGCAGTGCATGCAGAGCTATTCCGTGATCCCATTCAAACAAGTCAGGAGCTTCGACTTGCTTAATGGATCTCGAGACAGTCCCCAAGAACTCTGTCACCAGTCTAGACGGACCCTGAGGTCACACCAGCAACGCAAAGCACCTCCATGTGCCCCAAATCAACTCGAGATGAGGCCCGATTCCCCTGCATTGACTCCAGAGCCATTCCCCGTTCCCCATTCAACAAGACCGGTGGCTCGACTTCCTTCAGGCAACTCCAGAGATGCCCCGAGAACACTCTTCCAGGTCTAGAGGAACTCCACCTTCAGCACAGCAACTCGAGGAAAGCTCCATGTACCACACATCGTCTCCAGATGAGAGCTGATTCCCTGGCTTAGGCTCAAGACGTATGCCAACTTTCCAGAAGCACCTCAGGAGGAGGCTTCTCTCAGCAACAGGTATGTGAGAGGGACCCCGAGTTTGCTGCTTCAAGAGGAATATACAGCAAGAAGCCCTAACTTGAAAGGAGGCCGGATTTCCTTGCAGTGGCTTGAATACAGGCTCGTCTTTCATCTCACAACATGAAGGGATGTCTGAATCCCCTGTGGAGACCTTAGAGAAAGCCCTAGGACCCTGCCTCATTTTGACGGAATGCCTAACATCCCGCAGACACCTCGAGAGGCACGCGGAGTTCATTGCTTCAAAAGGTGACGATGCCTGACTCCTCTTGAATACTGATAGGAATGGCAAAATAACTCTGGTTACTGGAAAGGGTCCTTGGGTGCCCTGCCTCACCTCGAGAAGCATCCCTTTTGCCCTGCCAAGCCTCGAAGAGATTCCTGATGTGTCCCTCGTTACTAGACAGGAGTCCTGACGTCACTGAAGAAACTCGTGTTTTGAAGGGCCATCCCGGCCGTAAGTCGAGAACATACCCCAGGTCCCAACCGCAACTCGAGAAAAACCATGAGACTTCCCCCTAGAGGCGAGATGAGGCCCCATTCCCCTGCAGTGCATGCAGAGCTATTCCGTGATCCCATTCAAACAAGTCAGGAGCTTCGACTTGCTTAATGGATATCGAGACAGTCCCCAAGAACACTGTCACCAGTCTAGACGGACCCTGAGGTCACCCCAGCAACGCAAAGCACCTCCATGTGCCCCAAGTCAACTCGAGATGAGGCCCGATTCCCCTGCATTGACTCCAGGGCCATTCCCCGTTCCCCATTCAACACGACCGGTGGCTCGACTTCCTTCAGGCAACTCCAGAGATGCCCCGAGAACACTGTCCCAGGTCTAGAGGAACTCCACCTTCAGCAGAGCAACTCGAGGAATGCTCCGTGTACCACAAATCGTCTCGAGATGAGAGCTGATTCCATGGCATAGGCTCAAGACGTATGCCCACTTTCCAGAAGCACATCAGGAGGAGGCTTCTCTCAGCAACAGGTATGTGGGAGGGACCCCGAGTTTGCTGCCTCAAGGGGAATATACAGCAAGAAGCCCTAACTTGAAAGGAGGCCGTATTTCCTTGCAGTGGCTTGAATACAGGCTCGTCTTTCATCTCACAACATGAAGGGATGTCTGAATCCCCTGTGGAGACCTTAGAGAAAGCCTTAGGTCCCTGCCTCATTTTGTCTGAATGCCTCACATCCCGCTGACACCTCGAGAGGTATGTGAAGTTCATTGCTTCAAAAGGTGACGATGCCTGACTCCTCTTGAATACTGATAGGAATCCCAAAATCCCTGTGGCTACTGGAAAGTGTCCTTGGGTGCCCTGCCTCACCTCGAGAAGCGTCCCTTTTGCCCTGCCAAGCCTCGAAGAGATTCCTTAGGTGTCCCTCATTACTAGAAAGGAGTCCTGACGTCACTGAAGTAACTCGTGTTTTGAAGGTCCATCCCCGCCGTAAGTCGAGAACATACCCCAGGTCCCCGCCGCAACTCGAGAAAAACCATGAGACTTCCCCCTAGAGGCGAGATGAGGCCCCATTCCCCTGCAGTGCATGCAGAGCTATTCCGTGATCCCATTCAAACAAGTCAGGACCTTCGACTTGCTTAATGGATCTCGAGACAGTCCCCAAGAACACTGTCACCAGTCTAGACGGACCCTGAGGTCACCCCAGCAACGCAAAGCAGCTCCATGTGCCCCAAATCAACTCGAGATGAGGCCCGATTCCCCTGTATTGACTCCAGAGCCTTTCCCCGTTCCCCATTCAACACGACCGGTGGCTCGACTTCCTTCAGGCAACTCCAGAAATGCCCCGAGAACACTGTCCCAAGTCTAGAGGAACACCAACTTCAGCACAGCACCTCGAGGAATGCTCCGTGTACCCCAAATCGTCTCGAGATGAGAGCTGATTCCCTGGCTTAGGCTCAAGACGTATGCCAACTTTCCAGAAGCACCTCAGGATGAGGCTTCTCTCAGCCATAGGATTGTGGGAGGGACCCCCAGTTTGCTGCCTCAAGGGGAATATACAGCGAGAAGCCCTAACTTGAAAGGAGGCCGGATTTCCTTGTAGTGGCTAGAATACAGGCTCGTTTTTGATATCAAAGCCTGAAGGGATGGCTGAATCACCTGTGGATTCCTTAGAGAAAGCCCTAGTTCCCTGCCTCATTTTGACGTAATGCCTCACATCTCGCTGACACCTCGAGAGGCACGCGGAGTTCATTGCTTCAAAAGGTGACGATGCCTGACTCCTCTTGAATACTGATAGGAATCCCAAAATCCCTGTGGCTACTGGAAAGGGTCCTTGGGTGCCCTGCCTCACCTCGAGAAGCGTCCCTTTTGCCCTGCCAAGCCTCGAAGATATTCCTGAGGTGTCCCTCATTACTAGACAGGAGTCCTGACGTCACTGAAGAAACTCGTGTTTTGAAGGGCCATCCCCGCCGTAAGTCGAGAACATACCCCAGGTTCCCACCGCAACTCGAGAAAAACCATGAGACTTCCCCCTAGAGGCGAGATGAGGCCCCATTCCCGTGCAGTGCATGCAGAGCTATTCCGTGATCCCATTCAAACAAGTCAGGAGCTTCCACTTGCTTAATGGATCTCGAGACAGTCCCCAAGAAAACTGTCACCTGTCTAGACGGACCCTGAGGTCACCCCAGCAACGCAAAGCAGCACCATGTGCCCCAAATCAACTCGAGATGAGGCCCGATTCCCCTGCATTGACTCCAGGGCCATTCCCCGTTCCCCATTCAACACGACCGGTGGCTCGACTTCCTTCCGGCAACTCCAGAGATGCCCCGAGAACACTGTCCCAAGTCTAGAGGAATTCCAACATCAGCACAGCAACTCGAGGAATGCTCCGTGTACCCCAAAACACCTCGAGATGAGAGCTGATTCCCTGGTGTAGGCTCAAGACGTATGAAAACTTTCCAAAAGCACCTCAGGAGGAGGCTTCTCTCAGCAATAGGTATGTGGGAGGGACCCCGAGTATGCTGCCTCAAGGGGAATATACAGCGAGAAGCCCTAACTTGAAAGGAGGCCGGATTTCCTTGCAGTGGCTTGAATACAGGCTCGTGTTTCATCTCACAACATGGAGGGATGTCTGAATCCCTTGTGGAGACCTTAGAGAAAGCCCTAGGTCACTGCCTCATTTTGACGGAATGCCTCACATCCCGTTGACATCTCGAGAGGCACGCGGAGTTCATTGCTTCAAAAGGTGACGATGCCTGAGTCCTCTTGAATACTGATAGGAATCCCAAAATCCCTGTGGCTACTGGATAGGGTCCTTGGGTGCCCTGCCTCACCTCGAGAAGCGTCCCTTTTGCCCTGCCAAGCCTCGAAGAGATTCCTGAGGTGTCCCTCGTTACTAGACAGGAGTCCTGACGTCACTGAAGAAACTCGTGTTTTGAAGGGCCATCCCCGCCGTAAGTCGAGAACATACCCCAGGTCCCCGCCGCAACTCGAGAAAAACCATGAGACTTCCCCCTAGAGGCGAGATGAGGCCCCATTCCCCTGCAGTGCATGCAGAGCTATTCCGTGATCCCATTCAAACAAGGCAGGAGCTTCGACTTGCTTAATGGGTCTCGAGACAGTCCCCTAGAACACTGTCACCAGTCTAGACGGACCCTGAGGTCACCCCAGCAACGCAAAGCAGCTCCATGTGCCCCAAATCAACTCGAGATGAGGCCCGATTCCCCTGGATTGACTCCAGAGCCATTCCCCGTTCCCCATTCAACAAGACCGGTGTCTCGACTTCCTTCAGGCAACTCCAGAGATGCCCCGAGAACACTGTCCCAAGTATAGAGGAACTCCAACTTCAGCACAGCATCTCGACGAATGTGAGTGAACCCCAAATCGACTCGAGATGAGAGCTGATTCCCTGCCTTAGGCTCAAGACGTATGCCAACTTTCCAGAAGCACATCAGCAGGAGGCTTCTCTCAGCAATAGCTATGTGCGAGGGACCCCGAGTTTGCTGCCTCAAGGGGAATATACAGCGAGAAGCCCTAATTTGAAAGGAGGCCGGATTTCCTTGCAGTGGCTAGAATACAGGCACGTCTTTGATCTCAAAACATGAAGGGATGTCTGAATCCCCTGTGGAGACTTTAGAGAAAGCCCTAGGTCCCTGCCTCATTTTGACGGAATGCCTCACATCCCGGTGACACCTCGAGAGGCACGCGGAGTTCATTGCTTCAAAAGGTGACGATGCCTGACTCCTCTTGAATACTGATAGGAATCCCAAAATCCCTGTGGCTACTGGAAAGGGTCTTTGGGTGCCCTGCCTCACCTCGAGAAGCGTCCCTTTTCCCCTGCCAAGCCTCGAAGAGATTCCTGAGGTGTCCCTCTTTACTAGACAGGGGTCCTGACGTCACTGAAGAAACTCGTGTTTTGAAGGGCCATCCCCGCCGTAAGGCGAGAACATACCCCAGGTCCCCGCCGCAACTCGAGAAAAACCATGAGACTTCCCCCTAGAGGCGAGATGAGGCCCCATTCCCCTGCAGTGCATGCAGAGCTATTCCATGATCCCATTCAAACAAGTCAGGAGCTTCGACTTGCATAATGGATCTCGAGTCAGTCCCCAAGAACACTGTCACCAGTCTAGACGGACCCTGAGGTCACCCCAGCAACGCAAAGCAGCTCCATGTGCCCCAAATCAACTCGAGATGAGTCCCGATTCCCCTGAATTGACTCCAGAGCCATTCCCCGTTCCCCATTCAACAGGACCGTTGGCTCGACTTCCTTCAGGCAACTCCAGAGATGCCCCGAGAACACTGTCCCAAGTCTAGAGGAACTCCAACTTCAGCACAGCAACTCGAGGAATGCTCCGTGTACCCCAAGTCATCTTGAGATGAGAGCTGTTTCCCTGCCTTAGGCTCAAGACGTATGCCAACTCTCCAGAAGCAACTCAGGAGGAGGCTTCTCTCAGCAATAGGTATGTGGGAGGGACCCCGAGGTTGCTGCCTCAAGGGGAATATACAACGAGAAGCCCTAACTTGAAAGGATGCCGGATTTCCTTGCAGTGGCTAGAATACAGGCTCGTCTTTCATCTCACAACATGAAGGGATGTCTGAATCCCCTGTGGAGACCTTAGAGAAAGCCTTAGGTCCCTGCCTCATTTTGACGGAATGCCTCACATCCCGCTGACACCTCGAGAGGTATGTGGAGTTCATTGCTTCAAAAGGTGACGATGCCTGACTCCTCTTGTATACTGATAGGAATCCCAAAATCCCTGTGGTACTGGAAAGGGTCCTTGGGTGCTCTGCTTCACCTCGAGAAGCGTCCCTTTTGCCCTGCCAAGCCTCGAAGAGATTCCTGAGGTGTCCCTCGTTACGAGACAGGAGTCCTGACGTCACTGAAGAAACTCGTGTTTTGAAAGGCCATCCCCGCCGTAAGTCGAGAACATACCCCAGGTCCCCGCCGCAACTCGAGAAAAACCATGAGACTTCCCCCTAGAGGCGAGATGAGGCCTCTTTCCCCTGCAGTGCATGCAGAGCTATTCCGTGATCCCATTCAAACAAGGCAGGAGCTTCGACTTGCTTAATGGATCTCGAGACAGTCCCCAAGAACACTGTCACCAGTCTAGACGGACCCTGAGGTCACCCCAGCAACGCAAAGCAGCACGATGTGCCCCAAATCAACTCGAGATGAGGCCCAATTCCCCTGGATTGATTCCAGAGCCATTCCCCGTTCCCCATTCAACACGACCGGTGACTTGACTTCCTTCAGGCAACTCCAGAGATGCCCCGAGAACACTGTCCCAAGTCTGGAGGAACACCAACTTCAGCACAGAAACTCGAGGAATGCTCCGTGTACCCCAAATCGTGTCGAGATGAGAGCTGATTCCCTGGCTTAGGCTCAAGACGTATGCCAAGTTTCCAGAAGCACCTCATTAGGAGGCTTCTCTCAGCAATAGGTATGTGGGAGGGACGCCGAGGTTGCTGCCTCAAGGGGAATATACAACGAGAAGCCCTAACTTGAAAGGAGGCCGGATTTCCTTGCAGTGGCTAGAATACAGGCTCGTCTTTCATCTCACAACATGAAGGGATGTCTGAATCCCCTGTGGAGACCTTAGAGAAAGCCTTAGGTCCCTGCCTCATTTTGACGGAATGCCTCACATCCCGCTGACACCTCGAGAGGTATGTGGAGTTCATTGCTTCAAAAGGTGACGATGCCTGACTCCTCTTGTATACTGATAGGAATCCCAAAATCCCTGTGGCTACTGGAAAGGGTCCTTGGGTGCTCTGCTTCACCTCGAGAAGCGTCCCTTTTGCCCTGCCAAGCCTCGAAGAGATTCCCGAGGTGTCCCTCGTTACGAGAAAGGAGTCCTGACGTCACTGAAGAAACTCGTGTTTTGAAAGGCCATCCCCGCCGTAAGTCGAGAACATACCCCAGGTCCCCGCCGCAACTCGAGAAAAACCATGAGACTTCCCCCTAGAGGCGAGATGAGGCCCCTTTCCCCTGCAGTGCATGCAGAGCTATTCCGTGATCCCATTCAAACAAGGCAGGAGCTTCGACTTGCTTAATGGATCTCGAGACAGTCCCCAAGAACACTGTCACCAGTCTAGACGGACCCTGAGGTCACCCCAGCAACGCAAAGCAGCACCATGTGCCCCAAATCAACTCGAGATGAGGCCCAATTCCCCTGGATTGATTCCAGAGCCATTCCCCGTTCCCCATTCAACACGACCGGTGACTTGACTTCCTTCAGGCAACTCCAGAGATGCCCCGAGAACACTGTCCCAAGTCTGGAGGAACACCAACTTCAGCACAGAAACTCGAGGAATGCTCCGTGTACCCCAAATCGTGTCGAGATGAGAGCTGATTCCCTGGCTTAGGCTCAAGACGTATGCCAAGTTTCCAGAAGCACCTCAGAAGGAGGATTCTCTCAGCAATAGGTATGTGGGAGGGACCCCGAGTTTGCTGCCTCAAGGGGAATATACAGCGAGAAGCCCTAACTTGAAAGGAGGCCGGATTTCCTTGCAGTGGCTAGAATACAGGCTCGTCTTTGATCTCAAAACCTGATGGGATGTCTGAATCGCCTGTGGAGACCTTAGAGTAAGCCCTAGGTCCCTGGCTCATTTTGACGGAATGCCTCACATCCCGCTGACACCTCGAGAGGCACGTGGAGTTCATTGCTTCAAAAGGTGACGATGCCTGACTCCTCTTGAATACTGATAGGAATCCGAAAATCCCTGTGGCTACTGGAAAGGGGACTTGGGTGCCCTGCCTCACCTCGAGAAGCGTCCCTTTTGCCCTGCCATGCCTCGAAGAGATTCCTGAGGTGTCCCTCGTTACTAGACAGGAGTCCTGACGTCACTGAAGAAACAAAAACCATGAGACTTCACCCTAGAGGCGAGATGAGGCCCCATTCCCCTGCAGTGTATGCAGAGCTATTCCGTGATCCCATTCAAACAAGTCAGGAGCTTCGACTTGCTTAATGGATCTCGAGACAGTCCACAAGAACTCTGTCACCATTCTAGACGGACCCTGAGGTCACCCCAGCAACGCAAAGCAGCTCCATGTGCCCCAAGTCAACTCGAGATGAGGCCCGATTCCCCTGCATTGACTCCAGAGCCATTCCTCGTTCCCCATTCAACACGACCGGTGGCTCGACTTCCTTCCGGCAACTCCAGAGATGCCCCGAGAACACTGTCCCAAGTCTAGAGGAATTCCAACATCAGCACAGCAACTCGAGGAATGCTCCGTGTACCCCAAAACACCTCGAGATGAGAGCTGATTCCCTGGCTTAGGCTCAAGACGTATGCCAAGTTTCCAGAAGCACCTCAGGAGGAGGCTTCTCTCAGCAATAGGTATGTGGGAGGGACCCCGAGTTTGCTGCCTCAAGGGGAATATACAGCGAGAAGCCCTAACTTGAAAGGAGGCCGGATTTCCTTGCAGTGGCTAGAATACAGGCTCGTTTTTGATCTCAAAACCTGATGGGATGTCTGAATCGCCTGTGGAGACCTTAGAGTAAGCCCTAGGTCCCTGGCTCATTTTGACGGAATGCCTCACATCCCGCTGACACCTCGAGAGGCACGTGGAGTTCATTGCTTCAAAAGGTGACGATGCCTGACTCCTCTTGAATACTGATAGGAATCCGAAAATCCCTGTGGCTACTGGAAAGGGGACTTGGGTGCCCTGCCTCACCTCGAGAAGCGTCCCTTTTGCCCTGCCATGCCTCGAAGAGATTCCTGAGGTGTCCCTCGTTACTAGACAGGATTCCTGACGTCACTGAAGAAACAAAAACCATGAGACTTCCCCCTAGAGGCGAGATGAGGCCGCATTCCCCTGCAGTGTATGCAGAGCTATTCCGTGATCCCATTCAAACAAGTCAGGAGCTTCGACTTGCTTAATGGATCTCGAGACAGTCCACAAGAACTCTGTCACCATTCTAGACGGACCCTGAGGTCACCCCAGCAACGCAAAGCAGCTCCATGTGCCCCAAGTCAACTCGAGATGAGGCCCGATTCCCATGCATTGACTCCAGAGCCATTCCTCGTTCCCCATTCAACACGACCGGTGGCTCGACTTCCTTCCGGCAACTCCAGAGATGCCCCGAGAACACTGTCCCAAGTCTAGAGGAATTCCAACATCAGCACAGCAACTCGAGGAATGCTCCGTGTACCCCAAAACACCTCGAGATGAGAGCTGATTCCCTGGCGTAGGCTCAAGACGTATGAAAGCTTTCCAAAAGCACCTCAGGAGGAGGCTTCTCTCAGCAATAGGTATGTGGGAGGGACCCCGAGTATGCTGCCTCAAGGGGAATATACAGCGAGAAGCCCTAACTTGAAAGGAGGCCGGATTTCCTTGCAGTGGCTTGAATACAGGCTCGTGTTTCATCTCACAACATGAAGGGATGTCTGAATCCCCTGTGGAGACCTTAGAGAAAGCCCTAGGTCACTGCCTCATTTTGACGGAATGCCTCACATCCCGTTGACATCTCGAGAGGCACGCGGAGTTCATTGCTTCAAAAGGTGACGATGCCTGAGTCCTCTTGAATACTGATAGGAATCCCAAAATCCCTGTGGCTACTGGATAGGGTCCTTGGGTGCCCTGCCTCACCTCGAGAAGCGTCCCTTTTGCCCTGCCAAGCCTCGAAGAGATTCCTGAGGTGTCCCTCGTTACTAGACAGGAGTCCTGACGTCACTGAAGAAACTCGTGTTTTGAAGGGCCATCCCCGCCGTAAGTCGAGAACATACCCCAGGTCCCCGCCGCAACTCGAGAAAAACCATGAGACTTCCCCCTAGAGGCGAGATGAGGCCCCATTCCCCTGCAGTGCATGCAGAGCTATTCCGTGATCCCATTCAAACAAGTCAGGAGCTTCGACTTGCTTAATGGATCTCGACACATTCCCCAAGAACACTGTCACCAGTCTAGACGGACCCTGAGGTCACCCCAGCAACGCAAACCAGCTCCATGTGCCCCAAATCAACTCGAGATGAGGCCCGATTCCCCTGCATTGACTCCAGAGCCATTCCCCATTCCCCATTCAAAACGAACAGTGGCTCGACTTCCTTCAGGCAACTCCAGAGATACCACTAGAACACTGTCCCAAGTCTAGAGGAACACCAACTTCAGCACAGCAACTCGAGGAATGCCACGTGTACCCCAAATCGTCTCGAGATGAGAGTTGATTTCCTGGCTTAGGCTCAAGACGTATGCCAACTTTCCAGAAGCACCTCAGGATGAGGCTTCTCTCAGCAATAAGTATGTGGGAGGGACCCCGAGTTTGCTGCCTCAAGGGGAATATACACCGAGAAGCCCTAACTTGAAAAGAGGCCGGATTTCCTTGCAGTGGCTAGAATACAGGCTCGTCTTTCATGTCAAAATCTGAAGGGATGTCTGAATCCCCTGTGGAGACCTTACAGAAAGCCCTAGGTTCCTGCCTCATTTTGACGGAATGCCTCACATCCCGCTGACACCTCGAGAGGCACGTGGAGTTCATTGCTTCAAAAGGTGACGATGCCTGACTCCTCTTGAATACTGATAGGAATCCCAAAATCCCTGTGGCTACTGGAAAGGGTCCTTGGGTGCCCTGCCTCACCTCGAGAAGCGTCCCTTTTGCCCTGCCAAGCCTCGAAGAGATTCCTGAGGTGTCCCTCATTACTAGAAAGGAGTCCTGACGTCACTGAAGAAACTCGTGTTTTGAAGGTCCATCCCCGCCATAAGTCGAGAACATACCCCAGGTCCCCGCCGCAACTCGAGAAAAACCATGAGACTTCCCCCTAGAGGCGAGATGAGGCCCCATTCCCCTGCAGTGCATGCAGAGCTATTCCGTGATCCCATTCAAACAAGGCAGGAGCTTCGACTTGCTTAATGGATCTCGAGACAGTCCCCTAGAACACTGTCACCAGTCTAGACGGACCCTGAGGTCACCCCAGCAACGCAAAGCAGCTCCATGTGCCCCAAATCAACTCGAGATGAGGCCCGATTCCCCTGGATTGACTCCAGAGCCATTCCCCGTTCCCCATTCAACAAGACCGGTGTCTCGACTTCCTTCAGGCAACTCCAGAGATGCCCCGAGAACACTGTCCCAAGTATAGAGGAACTTCAACTTCAGCACAGCAACTCGAGGAATGTGAGTGAACCCCAAATCGACTCGAGATGAGAGCTGATTCCCTGCCTTAGGCTCAAGACGTATGCCAACTTTCCAGAAGCACCTCAGCAGGAGGCTTCTCTCAGCAATAGCTATGTGCGAGGGACCCCGAGTTTGCTGCCTCAAGGGGAATATACAGCGAGAAGCCCTAATTTGAAAGGACGCCGGATTTCCTTGCAGTGGCTAGAATCCAGGCACGTCTTTGATCTCAAAACATGAAGGGATGTCTGAATCCCCTGTGGAGACCTTAGAGAAAGCCCTAGGCCCTGCCTCATTTTGACGGAATGCCTCACATCCCGGTGACACCTCGAGAGGCACGCGGAGTTCATTGCTTCAAAAGGTGACGATGCCTGACTCCTCTTGAATACTGATAGGAATCCCAAAATCCCTGTGGCTACTGGAAAGGGTCTTTGGGTGCCCTGCCTCACCTCGAGAAGCGTCCCTTTTCCCCTGCCAAGCCTCGAAGAGATTCCTGAGGTGTCCCTCTTTACTAGACAGGGGTCCTGACGTCACTGAAGAAACTCGTGTTTTGAAGGGCCATCCCCGCCGTAAGGCGAGAACATACCCCAGGTCCCCGCCGCAACTCGAGAAAAACCATGAGACTTCCCCCTAGAGGCGAGATGAGGCCCCATTCACCTGCAGTGCATGCAGAGCTATTCCATGATCCCATTCAAACAAGTCAGGAGCTTCGACTTGCATAATGGATCTCGAGTCAGTCCCCAAGAACACTGTCACCAGTCTAGACGGACCCTGAGGTCACCCCAGCAACGCAAAGCAGCTCCATGTGCCCCAAATCAACTCGAGATGAGTCCCGATTCCCCTGAATTGACTCCACAGCCATTCCCCGTTCCCCATTCAACAGGACCGTTGGCTCGACTTCCTTCAGGCAACTCCAGAGATGCCCCGAGAACACTGTCCCAAGTCTAGAGGAACTCCAACTTCAGCACAGCAACTCGAGGAATGCTCCGTGTACCCCAAGTCATCTTGAGATGAGAGCTGTTTCCCTGCCTTAGGCTCAAGACGTATGCCAACTCTCCAGAAGCAACTCAGAAGGAGGCTTCTCTCAGCAATAGGTATGTGGGAGGGACCCCGAGGTTGCTGCCTCAAGGGGAATATACAACGAGAAGCCCTAACTTGAAAGGAGGCCGGATTTCCTTGCAGTGGCTAGAATACAGGCTCGTCTTTCATCTCACAACGTGAAGGGATGTCTGAATCCCCTGTGGAGACCTTAGAGAAAGCCTTAGGTCCCTGCCTCATTTTGACGGAATGCCTCACATCCCGCTGACACCTCGAGAGGTATGTGGAGTTCATTGCTTCAAAAGGTGACGATGCCTGACTCCTCTTGTATACTGATAGGAATCCCAAAATCCCTGTGGCTACTGGATAGGGTCCTTGGGTGCTCTGCTTCATCTCGAGAAGCGTCCCTTTTGCCCTGCCAAGCCTCGAAGAGATTCCTGAGGTGTCCCTCGTTACGAGACAGAAGTCCTGACGTCACTGAAGAAACTCGTGTTTTGAAAGGCCATCCCCGCCGTAAGTCGAGAACATACCCCAGGTCCCCGCCGCAACTCGAGAAAAACCATGAGACTTCCCCCTAGATGCGAGATGAGGCCTCTTTCCCCTGCAGTGCATGCAGAGCTATTCCGTGATCCCATTCAAACAAGGCAGGAGCTTCGACTTGCTTAATGGATCTCGAGAGAGTCCCCAAGAACACTGTCACCAGTCTAGACGGACCCTGAGGTCACCCCAGCAACGCAAAGCAGCACCATGTGCCCCAAATCAACTCGAGATGAGGCCCAATTCCCCTGGATTGATTCCAGAGCCATTCCCCGTTCCCCATTCAACACGACCGGTGACTTGACTTCCTTCAGGCAACTCCAGAGATGCCCCGAGAACACTGTCCCAAGTCTGGAGGAACACCAACTTCAGCACAGAAACTCGAGGAATGCTCCGTGTACCCCAAATCGTGTCGAGATGAGAGCTGATTCCCTGGCTTAGGCTCAAGACGTATGCCAAGTTTCCAGAAGCACCTCATTAGGAGGCTTCTCTCAGCAATATGTATGTGGGAGGGACCCCGAGTTTGCTGCCTCAAGGGGAATATACAGCGAGAAGCCCTAACTTGAAAGGAGGCCGGATTTCCTTGCAGTGGCTAGAATACAGTCTCGTCTTTGATCTCAAAACCTGATGGGATGTCTGAATCGCCTGTGGAGACCTTAGAGTAAGCCCTAGGTCCCTGGCTCATTTTGACGGAATGCCTCACATCCCGCTGACACCTCGAGAGGCACGTGGAGTTCATTGCTTCAAAAGGTGACGATGCCTGACTCCTCTTGAATACTGATAGGAATCCGAAAATCCCTGTGGCTACTGGAAAGTGTCCTTGGGTGCCCTGCCTCACCTCGAGAAGCGTCCCTTTTGCCCTGCCATGCCTCGAAGAGATTCCTGAGGTGTCCCTCGTTACTAGACAGGAGTCCTGACGTCACTGAAGAAACAAAAACCATGAGACTTCCCGCTAGAGGCGAGATGAGACCCCATTCCCCTGCAGTGTATGCAGAGCTATTCCGTGATCCCATTCAAACAAGTCAGGAGCTTCGACTTGCTTAATGGATCTCGAGACAGTCCACAAGAACTCTGTCACCATTCTAGACGGACCCTGAGGTCACCCCAGCAACGCAAAGCAGCTCCATGTGCCCCAAGTCAACTCGAGATGAGGCCCGATTCCCCTGCATTGACTCCAGAGCCATTCCTCGTTCCCCATTCAACACGACCGGTGGCTCGACTTCCTTCCGGCAACTCCAGAGATGCCCCGAGAACACTGTCCCAAGTCTAGAGGAATTCCAACATCAGCACAGCAACTCGAGGAATGCTCCGTGTACCCCAAAACACCTCGAGATGAGAGCTGATTCCCTGGCGTAGGCTCAAGACGTATGAAAAATTTCCAAAAGCACCTCAGGAGGAGGCTTCTCTCAGCAATAGGTATGTGGGAGGGACCCCGAGTATGCTGCCTCAAGGGGAATATACAGCGAGAAGCCCTAACTTGAAAGGAGGCCGGATTTCCTTGCAGTGGCTTGAATACAGGCTCGTGTTTCATCTCACAACATGAAGGGATGTCTGAATCCCCTGTGGAGACCTTAGAGAAAGCCCTAGGTCACTGCCTCATTTTGACGGAATGCCTCACATCCCGTTGACATCTCGAGAGGCACGCGGAGTTCATTGCTTCAAAAGGTGACGATGCCTGAGTCCTCTTGAAAACTGATAGGAATCCCAAAATCCCTGTGGCTACTGGATAGGGTCCTTGGGTGCCCTGCCTCACCTCGAGAAGCGTCCCTTTTGCCCTGCCAAGCCTCGAAGAGATTCCTGAGGTGTCCCTCGTTACTAGACAGGAGTCCTGACGTCACTGAAGAAACTCGTGTTTTGAAGGGCCATCCCCGCCGTAAGTCGAGAACATACCCCAGGTCCCCGCCGCAACTCGAGAAAAACCATGAGACTTCCCCCTAGAGGCGAGATGAGGCCCCATTCCCCTGCAGTGCATGCAGAGCTATTCCGTGATCCCATTCAAACAAGTCAGGAGCTTCGACTTGCTTAATGGATCTCGACACATTGCCCAAGAACACTGTCACCAGTCTAGACGGACCCTGAGGTCACCCCACCAACGCAAAGCAGCTCCATGTGCCCCAAATCAACTCGAGATGAGGCCCGATTCCCCTGCATTGACTCCAGAGCCATTCCCCATTCCCCATTCAAGACGAACAGTGGATCGACTTCCTTCAGGCAACTCCAGAGATACCACTAGAACACTGTCCCAAGTCTAGAGGGACACAAACTTCAGCACAGCAACTCGATGAATGCTCCGTGTACCCCAAATCGTCTCGAGATGAGAGCTGATTTCCTGGCTTAGGCTCAAGACGTATGCCAACTTTCCAGAAGCACCTCAGGATGAGGCTTCTCTCAGCAATAGGTATGTGGGAGGGACCCCGAGTTTGCTGCCTCAAGGGGAATATACAGCGAGAAGCCCTAACTTGAAAAGAGGCCGGATTTCCTTGCAGTGGCTAGAATACAGGCTCGTCTTTCGTGTCAAAATCTGAAGGGATGTCTGAATCCCCTGTGGAGACCATACAGAAAGCCCTAGGTCCCTGCCTCATTTTGACGGAATGCCTCACATCCCGCTGACACCTCGAGAGGCACGTGGAGTTCATTGCTTCAAAAGGTGACGATGCCTGACTCCTCTTAAATACTGATAGGAATCCCAAAATCCCTGTGGCTACAGGAAAGGGTCCTTGGGTGCCCTGCCTCACCTCGAGAAGCGTCCCTTTTGCCCTGCCAAGCCTCGAAGAGATTCCTGAGGTGTCCCTCATTACTAGAAAGGAGTCCTGACGTCACTGAAGAAACTCGTGTTTTGAAGGTCCATCCCCGCCATAAGTCGAGAACATACCCCAGGTCCCCGCCGCAACTCGAGAAAAACCATAAGACTTCCCCCTAGAGGCGAGATGAGGCCCCATTCCCCTGCAGTGCATGCAGAGCTATTCCGTGATCCCATTCAAACAAGTCAGGAGCTTCGACTTGCATAATGGATCTCGAGACAGTCCCCAAGAACACTGTCACCAGTCTAGACGGACCCTGAGGTCACCCCAGCAACGCAAAGCAGCTCCATGTGCCCCAAATCAACTCGAGATGAGGCCCGATTCCCCTGGATTGACTCCAGAGCCATTCCCCGTTCCCCATTCAACAAGACCGGTGTCTCGACTTCCTTCAGGCAACTCCAGAGATGCCCCGAGAACACTGTCCCAAGTATAGAGGAACTCCAACTTCAGCACAGCAACTCGAGGAATGTGAGTGAACCCCAAATCGACTCGAGATGAGAGCTGATTCCCTGCCTTAGGCTCAAGACGTATGCCAACTTTCCAGAAGCACCTCAGCAGGAGGCTTCTCTCAGCAATAGCTATGTGCGAGGGACCCCGAGTTTGCTGCCTCAAGGGGAATATACAGCGAGAAGCCCTAATTTGAAAGGAGGCCGGATTTCCTTGCAGTGGCTAGAATACAGGCACGTCTTTGATCTCAAAACATGAAGGGATGTCTGAATCCCCTGTGGAGACCTTAGAGAAAGCCCTAGGTCCCTGCCTCATTTTGACGGAATGCCTCACATCCCGGTGACACCTCGAGAGGCACGCGGAGTTCATTGCTTCAAAAGGTGACGATGCCTGACTCCTCTTGAATACTGATAGGAATCCCAAAATCCCTGTGGCTACTGGAAAGGGTCCTTGGGTGCCCTGCCTCACCTCGAGAAGCGTCCCTTTTCCCCTGCCAAGCCTCGAAGAGATTCCTGAGGTGTCCCTCTTTACTAGACAGGGGTCCTGACGTCACTGAAGAAACTCGTGTTTTGAAGGGCCATCCCCGCCGTAAGGCGAGAACATACCCCAGGTCCCCGCCGCAACTCGAGAAAAACCATGAGACTTCCCCCTAGAGGCGAGATGAGGCCCCATTCCCCTGCAGTGCATGCAGAGCTATTCCATGATCCCATTCAAACAAGTCAGGAGCTTCGACTTGCATAATGGATCTCGAGACAGTCCCCAAGAACACTGTCACCAGTCTAGACGGACCCTGAGGTCACCCCAGCAACGCAAAGCAGCTCCATGTGCCCCAAATCAACTCGAGATGAGTCCCGATTCCCCTGAATTGACTCCAGAGCCATTCCCCGTTCCCCATTCAACAGGACCGTTGGCTCGACTTCCTTCAGGCAACTCCAGAGATGCCCCGAGAACACTGTCCCAAGTCTAGAGGAACTCCAACTTCAGCACAGCAACTCGAGGAATGCTCCGTGTACCCCAAATCATCTTGAGATCAGAGCTGTTTCCCTGCCTTAGGCTCAAGACGTATGCCAACTCTCCAGAAGCAACTCAGGAGGAGGCTTCTCTCAGCAATAGGTATGTGGGAGGGACCCCGAGTATGCTGCCTCAAGGGGAATATACAGCGAGAAGCCCTAACTTGAAAGGAGGCCGGATTTCCTTGCAGTGGCTTGAATACAAGCTCGTGTTTCATCTCACAACATGAAGGGATGTCTGAATCCCCTGTGGAGACCTTAGAGAAAGCCCTAGGTCACTGCCTCATTTTGACGGAATGCCTCACATCCCGTTGACATCTCGAGAGGCACGCGGAGTTCATTGCTTCAAAAGGTGACGATGCCTGAGTCCTCTTGAAAACTGATAGGAATCCCAAAATCCCTGTGGCTACTGGATAGGGTCCTTGGGTGCCCTGCCTCACCTCGAGAAGCGTCCCTTTTGCCCTGCCAAGCCTCGAAGAGATTCCTGAGGTGTCCCTCGTTACTAGACAGGAGTCCTGACGTCACTGAAGAAACTCGTGTTTTGAAGGGCCATCCCCGCCGTAAGTCGAGAACATACCCCAGGTCCCCGCCGCAACTCGAGAAAAACCATGAGACTTCCCCCTAGAGGCGAGATGAGGCCCCATTCCCCTGCAGTGCATGCAGAGCTATTCCGTGATCCCTTTCAAACAAGTCAGGAGCTTCGACTTGCTTAATGGATCTCGACACATTCCCCAAGAACACTGTCACCAGTCTAGACGGACCCTGAGGTCACCCCAGCAACGCAAAGCAGCTCCATGTGCCCCAAATCAACTCGAGATGAGGCCCGATTCCCCTGCATTGACTCCAGAGCCATTCCCCATTCCCCATTCAAGACGAACAGTGGCTCGACTTCCTTCAGGCAACTCCAGAGATACCACTAGAACACTGTCCCAAGTCTAGAGGAACACCAACTTCAGCACAGCAACTCGAGGAATGCCACGTGTACCCCAAATCGTCTCGAGATGAGAGCTGATTTCCTGGCTTAGGCTCAAGACGTATGCCAACTTTCCAGAAGCACCTCAGGATGAGGCTTCTCTCAGCAATAGGTATGTTGGAGGGACCCCGAGTTTGCTGCCTCAAGGGGAATATACAGCGAGAAGCCCTAACTTGAAAAGAGGCCGGATTTCCTTGCAGTGGCTAGAATACAGGCTCGTCTTTCGTGTCAAAATCTGAAGGGATGTCTGAATCCCCTGTGGAGACCATACAGAAAGCCCTAGGTCCCTGCCTCATTTTGACGGAATGCCTCACATCCCGCTGACACCTCGAGAGGCACGTGGAGTTCATTGCTTCAAAAGGTGACGATGCCTGACTCCTCTTGAATACTGATAGGAATCCCAAAATCCCTGTGGCTACTGGATAGGGTCCTTGGGTGCCCTGCCTCACCTCGAGAAGCGTCCCTTTTGCCCTGCCAAGCCTCGAAGAGATTCCTGAGGTGTCCCTCGTTACTAGACAGGAGTCCTGACGTCACTGAAGAAACTCGTGTTTTGAAGGGCCATCCCCGCCGTAAGTCGAGAACATACCCCAGGTCCCCGCCGCAACTCGAGAAAAACCATGAGACTTCCCCCTAGAGGCGAGATGAGGCCCCATTCCCCTGCAGTGCATGCAGAGCTATTCCGTGATCCCATTCAAACAAGTCAGGAGCTTCGACTTGCTTAATGGATCTCGACACATTGCCCAAGAACACTGTCACCAGTCTAGACGGACCCTGAGGTCACCCCACCAACGCAAAGCAGCTCCATGTGCCCCAAATCAACTCGAGATGAGGCCCGATTCCCCTGCATTGACTCCAGAGCCATTCCCCATTCCCCATTCAAGACGAACAGTGGATCGACTTCCTTCAGGCAACTCCAGAGATACCACTAGAACACTGTCCCAAGTCTAGAGGGACACAAACTTCAGCACAGCAACTCGATGAATGCTCCGTGTACCCCAAATCGTCTCGAGATGAGAGCTGATTTCCTGGCTTAGGCTCAAGACGTATGCCAACTTTCCAGAAGCACCTCAGGATGAGGCTTCTCTCAGCAATAGGTATGTGGGAGGGACCCCGAGTTTGCTGCCTCAAGGGGAATATACAGCGAGAAGCCCTAACTTGAAAAGAGGCCGGATTTCCTTGCAGTGGCTAGAATACAGGCTCGTCTTTCGTGTCAAAATCTGAAGGGATGTCTGAATCCCCTGTGGAGACCATACAGAAAGCCCTAGGTCCCTGCCTCATTTTGACGGAATGCCTCACATCCCGCTGACACCTCGAGAGGCACGTGGAGTTCATTGCTTCAAAAGGTGACGATGCCTGACTCCTCTTAAATACTGATAGGAATCCCAAAATCCCTGTGGCTACAGGAAAGGGTCCTTGGGTGCCCTGCCTCACCTCGAGAAGCGTCCCTTTTGCCCTGCCAAGCCTCGAAGAGATTCCTGAGGTGTCCCTCATTACTAGAAAGGAGTCCTGACGTCACTGAAGAAACTCGTGTTTTGAAGGTCCATCCCCGCCATAAGTCGAGAACATACCCCAGGTCCCCGCCGCAACTCGAGAAAAACCATAAGACTTCCCCCTAGAGGCGAGATGAGGCCCCATTCCCCTGCAGTGCATGCAGAGCTATTCCGTGATCCCATTCAAACAAGTCAGGAGCTTCGACTTGCATAATGGATCTCGAGACAGTCCCCAAGAACACTGTCACCAGTCTAGACGGACCCTGAGGTCACCCCAGCAACGCAAAGCAGCTCCATGTGCCCCAAATCAACTCGAGATGAGGCCCGATTCCCCTGGATTGACTCCAGAGCCATTCCCCGTTCCCCATTCAACAAGACCGGTGTCTCGACTTCCTTCAGGCAACTCCAGAGATGCCCCGAGAACACTGTCCCAAGTATAGAGGAACTCCAACTTCAGCACAGCAACTCGAGGAATGTGAGTGAACCCCAAATCGACTCGAGATGAGAGCTGATTCCCTGCCTTAGGCTCAAGACGTATGCCAACTTTCCAGAAGCACCTCAGCAGGAGGCTTCTCTCAGCAATAGCTATGTGCGAGGGACCCCGAGTTTGCTGCCTCAAGGGGAATATACAGCGAGAAGCCCTAATTTGAAAGGAGGCCGGATTTCCTTGCAGTGGCTAGAATACAGGCACGTCTTTGATCTCAAAACATGAAGGGATGTCTGAATCCCCTGTGGAGACCTTAGAGAAAGCCCTAGGTCCCTGCCTCATTTTGACGGAATGCCTCACATCCCGGTGACACCTCGAGAGGCACGCGGAGTTCATTGCTTCAAAAGGTGACGATGCCTGACTCCTCTTGAATACTGATAGGAATCCCAAAATCCCTGTGGCTACTGGAAAGGGTCCTTGGGTGCCCTGCCTCACCTCGAGAAGCGTCCCTTTTCCCCTGCCAAGCCTCGAAGAGATTCCTGAGGTGTCCCTCTTTACTAGACAGGGGTCCTGACGTCACTGAAGAAACTCGTGTTTTGAAGGGCCATCCCCGCCGTAAGGCGAGAACATACCCCAGGTCCCCGCCGCAACTCGAGAAAAACCATGAGACTTCCCCCTAGAGGCGAGATGAGGCCCCATTCCCCTGCAGTGCATGCAGAGCTATTCCATGATCCCATTCAAACAAGTCAGGAGCTTCGACTTGCATAATGGATCTCGAGACAGTCCCCAAGAACACTGTCACCAGTCTAGACGGACCCTGAGGTCACCCCAGCAACGCAAAGCAGCTCCATGTGCCCCAAATCAACTCGAGATGAGTCCCGATTCCCCTGAATTGACTCCAGAGCCATTCCCCGTTCCCCATTCAACAGGACCGTTGGCTCGACTTCCTTCAGGCAACTCCAGAGATGCCCCGAGAACACTGTCCCAAGTCTAGAGGAACTCCAACTTCAGCACAGCAACTCGAGGAATGCTCCGTGTACCCCAAATCATCTTGAGATCAGAGCTGTTTCCCTGCCTTAGGCTCAAGACGTATGCCAACTCTCCAGAAGCAACTCAGGAGGAGGCTTCTCTCAGCAATAGGTATGTGGGAGGGACCCCGAGTATGCTGCCTCAAGGGGAATATACAGCGAGAAGCCCTAACTTGAAAGGAGGCCGGATTTCCTTGCAGTGGCTTGAATACAAGCTCGTGTTTCATCTCACAACATGAAGGGATGTCTGAATCCCCTGTGGAGACCTTAGAGAAAGCCCTAGGTCACTGCCTCATTTTGACGGAATGCCTCACATCCCGTTGACATCTCGAGAGGCACGCGGAGTTCATTGCTTCAAAAGGTGACGATGCCTGAGTCCTCTTGAAAACTGATAGGAATCCCAAAATCCCTGTGGCTACTGGATAGGGTCCTTGGGTGCCCTGCCTCACCTCGAGAAGCGTCCCTTTTGCCCTGCCAAGCCTCGAAGAGATTCCTGAGGTGTCCCTCGTTACTAGACAGGAGTCCTGACGTCACTGAAGAAACTCGTGTTTTGAAGGGCCATCCCCGCCGTAAGTCGAGAACATACCCCAGGTCCCCGCCGCAACTCGAGAAAAACCATGAGACTTCCCCCTAGAGGCGAGATGAGGCCCCATTCCCCTGCAGTGCATGCAGAGCTATTCCGTGATCCCTTTCAAACAAGTCAGGAGCTTCGACTTGCTTAATGGATCTCGACACATTCCCCAAGAACACTGTCACCAGTCTAGACGGACCCTGAGGTCACCCCAGCAACGCAAAGCAGCTCCATGTGCCCCAAATCAACTCGAGATGAGGCCCGATTCCCCTGCATTGACTCCAGAGCCATTCCCCATTCCCCATTCAAGACGAACAGTGGCTCGACTTCCTTCAGGCAACTCCAGAGATACCACTAGAACACTGTCCCAAGTCTAGAGGAACACCAACTTCAGCACAGCAACTCGAGGAATGCCACGTGTACCCCAAATCGTCTCGAGATGAGAGCTGATTTCCTGGCTTAGGCTCAAGACGTATGCCAACTTTCCAGAAGCACCTCAGGATGAGGCTTCTCTCAGCAATAGGTATGTTGGAGGGACCCCGAGTTTGCTGCCTCAAGGGGAATATACAGCGAGAAGCCCTAACTTGAAAAGAGGCCGGATTTCCTTGCAGTGGCTAGAATACAGGCTCGTCTTTCGTGTCAAAATCTGAAGGGATGTCTGAATCCCCTGTGGAGACCATACAGAAAGCCCTAGGTCCCTGCCTCATTTTGACGGAATGCCTCACATCCCGCTGACACCTCGAGAGGCACGTGGAGTTCATTGCTTCAAAAGGTGACGATGCCTGACTCCTCTTGAATACTGATAGGAATCCCAAAATCCCTGTGGCTACTGGAAAGGGTCCTTGGGTGCCCTGCCTCACCTCGAGAAGCGTCCCTTTTGCCCTGCCAAGCCTCGAAGAGATTCCTGAGGTGTCCCTCATTACTAGAAAGGAGTCCTGACGTCACTGAAGAAACTCATGTTTTGAAGGTCCATCCCCGCAATAAGTCGAGAACATACCCCAGGTCCCCGCCGCAACTCGAGAAAAACCATGAGACTTCCCCCTAGAGGCGAGATGAGGCCCCATTCCCCTGCAGGGCATGCAGAGCTATTCCGTGATCCCATTCAAACAAGTCAGGAGCTTCGACTTGCTTAATGGATCTCGAGACAGTCCCCAAGAACACTGTCACCAGTCTAGACGGACCCTGAGGTCACCCCAGCAACGCAAAGCAGCTCCATGTGCCCCAAATCAACTCGAGATTAGGCCCGATTCCCCTGGATTGACTACAGAGCCATTCCCCGTTCCCCATTCAACAAGACCGGTGTCTCGACTTCCTTCAGGCAACTCCAGAGATGCCCCGAGAACACTGTCCCAAGTATAGAGGAACTCCAACTTCAGCACAGCAACTCGAGGAATGTGAGTGAACCCCAAATCGACTCGAGATGAGAGCTGATTCCCTGCCTTAGGCTCAAGACGTATGCCAACTTTCCAGAAGCACCTCAGCAGGAGGCTTCTCTCAGCAATAGCTATGTGCGAGGGACCCCGAGTTTGCTGCCTCAAGGGGAATATACAGCGAGAAGCCCTAATTTGAAAGGAGGCCGGATTTCCTTGCAGTGGCTAGAATCCAGGCACGTCTTTAATCTCAAAACATGAAGGGATGTCTGAATCCCCTGTGGAGACCTTAGAGAAAGCCCTAGGTCCCTGCCTCATTTTGACGGAATGCCTCACATCCTGGTGACACCTCGAGAGGCACGCGGAGTTCATTGCTTCAAAAGGTGACGATGTCTGACTCCTCTTGAATACTGATAGGAATCCCAAAATCCCTGTGGCTACTGGAAAGGGTCCTTGGGTGCCCTGCCTCACCTCGAGAAGCGTCCCTTTTCCCCTGCCAAGCCTCGAAGAGATTCCTGAGGTGTCCCTCTTTACTAGACAGGGGTCTTGACGTCACTGAAGAAACTCGTGTTTTGAAGGGCCATCCCCGCCGTAAGGCGAGAACATACCCCAGGTCCCTGCCGCAACTCGAGAAAAACCATGAGACTTCCCCCTAGAGGCGAGATGAGGCCCCATTCCCCTGCAGTGCATGCAGAGCTATTCCATGATCCCATTCAAACAAGTCAGGAGCTTCGACTTGCATAATGGATCTCGAGACAGTCCCCAAGAACACTGTCACCAGTCTAGACGGACCCTGAGGTCACCCCAGCAACGCAAAGCAGCTCCATGTGCCCCAAATCAACTCGAGATGAGTCCCGATTCCCCTGAATTGACTCCAGAGCCATTCCCCGTTCCCCATTCAACACGACCGGTGGCTCGACTTCCTTCAGGCAACTCCAGAGATGCCCCGAGAACACTGTCCCAAGTCTAGAGGAACTCCAACTTCAGAACAGCAACTCGAGGAATGCTCCGTGTACCCCAAGTCATCTTGAGATGAGAGCTGTTTCCCTGCATTAGGCTCAAGACGTATGCCAACTCTCCAGAAGCAACTCAGGAGGAGGCTTCTCTCAGCAATAGGTATGTTGGAGGGACCCCGAGGTTGCTGCCTCAAGGGGAATATACAAGGAGAAGCCCTAACTTGAAAGGAGGCCGGATTTCCTTGCAGTGGCTAGAATACAGGCTCGTCTTTCATCTCACAACATGAAGGGATGTCTGAATCCCCTGTGGAGACCTTAGAGAAAGCCTTAGGTCCCTGCCTCATTTTGACGGAATGCCTCACATCCCGCTGACACCTCGAGAGGTATGTGGAGTTCATTGCTTCAAAAGGTGACGATGCCTGACTCCTCTTGTATACTGATAGGAATCCCAAAATCCCTGTGGCTACTGGAAAGGGTCCTTGGGTGCTCTGCTTCACCTCGAGAAGCGTCCCTTTTGCCCTGCCAAGCCTCGAAGAGATTCCTGAGGTGTCCCTCGTTACGAGACAGGAGTCCTGACGTCACTGAAGAAACTCGTGTTTTGAAAGGCCATCCCCGCTGTAAGTCGAGAACATACCCCAGGTACCCGCCGCAACTCGAGAAAAACCATGAGACTTCCCCCTAGAGGCGAGATGAGGCCCCTTTCCCCTGCAGTGCATGCAGAGCTATTCCGTGATCCCATTCAAACAAGGCAGGAGCTTCGACTTGCTTAATGGATCTCGAGACAGTCCCCAAGAACACTGTCACCAGTCTAGACGGACCCTGAGGTCACCCAAGCAACGCAAAGCAGCTCCATGTGCCCCAAATCAACTCGAGATGAGGCCCAATTCCCCTGGATTGATTCCAGAGCCATTCCCCATTCCCCATTCAAGACGAACAGTGGCTCGAATTCCTTCAGGCAACTCCAGAGATACCACTAGAACACTGTCCCAAGTCTAGAGGAACACAAACTTCAGCACAGCAACTCGATGAATGCTCCGTGTACCCCAAATCGTCTCAAGATGAGAGCTGATTTCCTGGCTTAGGCTCAAGACGTATGCCAACTTTCCAGAAGCACCTCAGGATGAGGCTTCTCTCAGCAATAGGTATGTGGGAGGGACCCCGAGTTTGCTGCCTCAAGGGGAATATACAGCGAGAAGCCCTAACTTGAAAAGAGGCCGGATTTCCTTGCAGTGGCTAGAATACAGGCTCGTCTTTCGTGTCAAAATCTGAAGGGATGTCTGAATCCCCTGTGGAGACCATACAGAAAGCCCTAGGTCCCTGCCTCATTTTGACGGAATGCCTCACATCCCGCTGACACCTCGAGAGGCACGTGGAGTTCATTGCTTCAAAAGGTGACGATGCCTGACTCCTCTTGAATACTTATAGGAATCCCAAAATCCCTGTGGCTACTGGAAAGGGTCCTTGGGTGCCCTGCCTCACCTCGAGAAGCGTCCCTTTTGCCCTGCCAAGCCTCGAAGAGATTCCTGAGGTGTCCCTCATTACTAGAAAGGAGTCCTGACGTCACTGAAGAAACTCGTGTTTTGAAGGTCCATCCCCGCCATAAGTCGAGAACATACCCCAGGTCCCCGCCGCAACTCGAGAAAAACCATGAGACTTCCCCCTAGAGGCGAGATGAGGCCCCATTCCCCTGCAGTGCATGCAGAGCTATTCCGTGATCCCATTCAAACAAGTCAGGAGCTTCGACTTGCTTAATGGATCTCGAGACAGTCCCCAAGAACACTGTCACCAGTCTAGACGGACCCTGAGGTCACCCCAGCAACGCAAAGCAGCTCCATGTGCCCCAAATCAACTCGAGATGAGGCCCGATTCCCCTGGATTGACTCCAGAGCCATTCCCCGTTCCCCATTCAACAAGACCGGTGTCTCGACTTCCTTCAGGCAACTCCAGAGATGCCCCGAGAACACTGTCCCAAGTATAGAGGAACTCCAACTTCAGCACAGCAACTCGAGGAATATGAGTGAACCCCAAATCGTCTCGAGATGAGAGCTGATTCCCTGCCTTAGGCTCAAGACGTATGCCAACTTTCCAGAAGCACCTCAGCAGGAGGCTTCTCTCAGCAATAGCTATGTGCGAGGGACCCCGAGTTTGCTGCCTCAAGGGGAATATACAGCGAGAAGCCCTAATTTGAAAGGAGGCCGGATTTCCTTGCAGTGGCTAGAATACAGGCACGTCTTTGATCTCAAAACATGAAGGGATGTCTGAATCCCCTGTGGAGACCTTAGAGAAAGCCCTAGGTCCCTGCCTCATTTTGACGGAATGCCTCACATCCCGGTGACACCTCGAGAGGCACGCGGAGTTCATTGCTTCAAAAGGTGACGATGCCTGACTCCTCTTGAATACTGATAGGAATCCCAAAATCCCTGTGGCTACTGGAAAGGGTCCTTGGGTGCCCTGCCTCACCTCGAGAAGCGTCCCTTTTCCCCTGCCAAGCCTCGAAGAGATTCCTGAGGTGTCCCTCTTTACTAGACAGGGGTCCTGACGTCACTGAAGAAACTCGTGTTTTGAAGGGCCATCCCCGCTGTAAGGCGAGAACATACCCCAGGTCCCCGCCGCAACTCGAGAAAAACCATGAGACTTCCCCCTAGAGGCGAGATGAGGCCCCATTCCCCTGCAGTGCATGCAGAGCTATTCCATGATCCCATTCAAACAAGTCAGGAGCTTCGACTTGCATAATGGATCTCGAGACAGTCCCCAAGAACACTGTCACCAGTCTAGACGGACCCTGAGGTCACCCCAGCAACGCAAAGCAGCTCCATGTGCCCCAAATCAACTCGAGATGAGTCCCGATTCCCCTGAATTGACTCCAGAGCCATTCCCCATTCCCCATTCAACAGGACCGTTGGCTCGACTTCCTTCAGGCAACTCCAGAGATGCCCCGAGAACACTGTCCCAAGTCTAGAGGAACTCCAACTTCAGCACAGCAACTCGAGGAATGCTCCGTGTACCCCAAATCATCTTGAGATCAGAGCTGTTTCCCTGCCTTAGGCTCAAGACGTATGCCAACTCTCCAGAAGCAACTCAGGAGGAGGCTTCTCTCAGCAATAGGTATGTGGGAGGGACCCCGAGTATGCTGCCTCAAGGGGAATATACAGCGAGAAGCCCTAACTTGAAAGGAGGCCGGATTTCCTTGCAGTGGCTTGAATACAGGCTCGTGTTTCATCTCACAACATGAAGGGATGTCTGAATCCCCTGTGGAGACCTTAGAGAAAGCCCTAGGTCACTGCCTCATTTTGACGGAATGCCTCACATCCCGTTGACATCTCGAGAGGCACGCGGAGTTCATTGCTTCAAAAGGTGACGATGCCTGAGTCCTCTTGAAAACTGATAGGAATCCCAAAATCCCTGTGGCTACTGGATAGGGTCCTTGGGTGCCATGCCTCACCTCGAGAAGCGTCCCTTTTGCCCTGCCAAGCCTCGAAGAGATTCCTGAGGTGTCCCTCGTTACTAGACAGGAGTCCTGACGTCACTGAAGAAACTCGTGTTTTGAAGGGCCATCCCCGCCGTAAGTCGAGAACATACCCCAGGTCCCCGCCGCAACTCGAGAAAAACCATGAGACTTCCCCCTAGAGGCGAGATGAGGCCCCATTCCCCTGCAGTGCATGCAGAGCTATTCCGTGATCCCATTCAAACAAGTCAGGAGCTTCGACTTGCTTAATGGATCTCGACACATTCCCCAAGAACACTGTCACCAGTCTAGACGGACCCTGAGGTCACCCCAGCAACGCAAAGCAGCTCCATGTGCCCCAAATCAACTCGAGATGAGGCCCGATTCCCCTGCATTGACTCCCGAGCCATTCCCCATTCCCCATTCAAGACGAACAGTGGCTCGACTTCCTTCAGGCAACTCCAGAGATACCACTAGAACACTGTCCCAAGTCTAGAGGAAGACCAACTTCAGCACAGCAACTCGAGGAATGCCACGTGTACCCCAAATCGTCTCGAGATGAGAGCTGATTTCCTGGCTTAGGCTCAAGACGTATGCCAACTTTCCAGAAGCACCTCAGGATGAGGCTTCTCTCAGCAATAGGTATGTGGGAGGGACCCCGAGTTTGCTGCCTCAAGGGGAATATACAGCGAGAAGCCCTAACTTGAAAAGAGGCCGGATTTCCTTGCAGTGGCTAGAATACAGGCTCGTCTTTCGTGTCAAAATCTGAAGGGATGTCTGAATCCCCTGTGGAGACCATACAGAAAGCCCTAGGTCCCTGCCTCATTTTGACGGAATGCCTCACATCCCGCTGACACCTCGAGAGGCACGTGGAGTTCATTGCTTCAAAAGGTGACGATGCCTGACTCCTCTTGAATACTGATAGGAATCCCAAAATCCCTGTGGCTACTGGAAAGGGTCCTTGGGTGCCCTGCCTCACCTCGAGAAGCGTCCCTTTTGCCCTGCCAAGCCTCGAAGAGATTCCTGAGGTGTCCCTCATTACTAGAAAGGAGTCCTGACGTCACTGAAGAAACTCGTGTTTTGAAGGTCCATCCCCGCCATAAGTCGAGAACATACCCCAGGTCCCCGCCGCAACTCGAGAAAAACCATGAGACTTCCCCCTAGAGGCGAGATGAGGCCCCATTCCCCTGCAGTGCATGCAGAGCTATTCCATGATCCCATTCAAACAAGTCAGGTGCTTCGACTTGCTTAATGGATCTCGAGACAGTCCCCAAGAACACTGTCACCAGTCTAGACGGACCCTGAGGTCACCCCAGCAACGCAAAGCAGCTCCATGTGCCCCAAATCAACTCGAGATGAGGCCCGATTCCCCTGGATTGACTCCAGAGCCATTCCCCGTTCCCCATTCAACAGGACCGTTGGCTCGACTTCCTTCAGGCAACTCCAGAGATGCCCCGAGAACACTGTCCCAAGTCTAGAGGAACTCCAACTTCAGCACAGCAACTCGAGGAATGCTCCGTGTACCCCAAATCATCTTGAGATGAGAGCTGTTTCCCTGCCTTAGGCTCAAGACGTATGCCAACTCTCCAGAAGCAACTCAGGAGGAGGCTTCTCTCAGCAATAGGTATGTGGGAGGGACCCCGAGTATGCTGCCTCAAGGGGAATATACAGCGAGAAGCCCTAACTTGAAAGGAGGCCGGATTTCCTTGCAGTGGCTTGAATACAGGCTCGTGTTTCATCTCACAACATGAAGGGATGTCTGAATCCCCTGTGGAGACCTTAGAGAAAGCCCTAGGTCACTGCCTCATTTTGACGGAATGCCTCACATCCCGTTGACATCTCGAGAGGCACGCGGAGTTCATTGCTTCAAAAGGTGACGATGCCTGAGTCCTCTTGAAAACTGATAGGAATCCCAAAATCCCTGTGGCTACTGGATAGGGTCCTTGGGTGCCCTGCCTCACCTCGAGAAGCGTCCCTTTTGCCCTGCCAAGCCTCGAAGAGATTCCTGAGGTGTCCCTCGTTACTAGACAGGAGTCCTGACGTCACTGAAGAAACTCGTGTTTTGAAGGGCCATCCCCGCCGTAAGTCGAGAACATACCCCAGGTCCCCGCCGCAACTCGAGAAAAACCATGAGACTTCCCCCTAGAGGCGACATGAGGCCCCATTCCCCTGCAGTGCATGCAGAGCTATTCCGTGATCCCATTCAAACAAGTCAGGAGCTTCGACTTGCTTAATGGATCTCGACACATTCCCCAAGAACACTGTCACCAGTCTAGACGGACCCTGAGGTCACCCCAGCAACGCAAAGCAGCTCCATGTGCCCCAAATCAACTCGAGATGAGGCCCGATTCCCCTGCATTGACTCCAGAGCCATTCCCCATTCCCCATTCAAGACGAACAGTGGCTCGACTTCCTTCAGGCAACTCCAGAGATACCACTAGAACACTGTCCCAAGTCTAGAGGAAGACCAACTTCAGCACAGCAACTCGAGGAATGCCACGTGTACCCCAAATCGTCTCGAGATGAGAGCTGATTCCCTGGCTTAGGCTCAAGACGTATGCCAACTTTCCAGAAGCACCTCAGGACGAGGCTTCTCTCAGCAATAGGTATGTGGGAGGGACCCCGAGTTTGCTGCCTCAAGGGGAATATACAGCGAGAAGCCCTAACTTGAAAAGAGGCCGGATTTCCTTGCAGTGGCTAGAATACAGGCTCGTCTTTCGTGTCAAAATCTGAAGGGATGTCTGAATCCCCTGTGGAGACCATACAGAAAGCCCTAGGTCCCTGCCTCATTTTGACGGAATGCCTCACATCCCGCTGACACCTCGAGAGGCACGTGGAGTTCATTGCTTCAAAAGGTGACGATGCCTGACTCCTCTTGAATACTGATAGGAATCCCAAAATCCCTGTGGCTACTGGAAAGGGTCCTTGGGTGCCCTGCCTCACCTCGAGAAGCGTCCCTTTTGCCCTGCCAAGCCTCGAAGAGATTCCTGAGGTGTCCCTCATTACTAGAAAGGAGTCCTGACGTCACTGAAGAAACTCGTGTTTTGAAAGGCCATCCCCGCCGTAAGTCGAGAACATACCCCAGGTCCCCGCCGCAACTCGAGAAAAACCATGAGACTTCCCCCTAGAGGCGAGATGAGGCCCCATTCCCCTGCAGTGCATGCAGAGCTATTCCGTGATCCCATTCAAACAAGTCAGGTGCTTCGACTTGCTTAATGGATCTCGAGACAGTCCCCAAGAACACTGTCACCAGTCTAGACGGACCCTGAGGTCACCCCAGCAACGCAAAGCAGCTCCATGTGCCCCAAATCAACTCGAGATGAGGCCCGATTCCCCTGGATTGACTCCAGAGCCATTCCCCGTTCCCCATTCAACAAGACCGGTGTCTCGACTTCCTTCAGGCAACTCCAGAGATGCCCCGAGAACACTGTCCCAAGTCTGGAGGAACACCAACTTCAGCACAGAAACTCGAGGAATGCTCCGTGTACCCCAAATCGTGTCGAGATGAGAGCTGATTCCCTGGCTTAGGCTCAAGACGTATGCCAAGTTTCCAGAAGCACCTCAGGAGGAGGCTTCTCTGAGCAATAGGTATGTGGGAGGGACCCCGAGTTTGCTGCCTCAAGGGGAATATACAGCGAGAAGCCCTAACTTGAAAGGAGGCCGGATTTCCTTGCAGTGGCTAGAATACAGGCTCGTCTTTGATCTCAAAACCTGATGGGATGTCTGAATCGCCTGTGGAGACCTTAGAGTAAGCCCTAGGTCCCTGGCTCATTTTGACGGAATGCCTCACATCCCGCTGACACCTCGAGAGGCACGTGGAGTTCATTGCTTCAAAAGGTGACGATGCCTGACTCCTCTTGAATACTGATAGGAATCCGAAAATCCCTGTGGCTACTGGAAAGGGAACTTGGGTGCCCTGCCTCACCTCGAGAAGCGTCCCTTTTGCCCTGCCAAGCCACGAAGAGATTCCTGAGGTGTCCCTCGTTACTAGACAGGAGTCCTGACGTCACTGAAGAAACAAAAACCATGAGACTTCCCCCTAAGGGCGAGATGAGGCCCCATTCCCCTACAGTGTATGCAGAGCTATTCCGTGATCCCATTCAAACAAGTCAGGAGCTTCGACTTGCTTAATGGATCTCGAGACAGTCCCCAAGAACACTGTCACCAGTCTAGACGGACCCTGAGGTCACCCCAGCAACGCAAAGCAGCTCCATGTGCCCCAAGTCAACTCGAGATGAGGCCCGATTCCCCTGCATTGACTCCAGAGCCATTCCCCGTTCCCCATTCAACACGACCGGTGGCTCGACTTCTTTCAGGCAACTCCAGAGATGCCCCGAGAACACTGTCCCAAGTCTAGAGGAAATCCAACTTCAGCACAGCAACTCGAGGAATGCTCCGTGTACCCCAAATCGTCTCGAGATGAGAGCTGATTCCCTGGCTTAGGCTCAACTTATGCCAACTTTCCAGAAGCACCTCAGGAGGAGGCTTCTCTCAGCAATAGGTATGTGGGAGGGACCCCGAGTTTGCTGCCTCAAGGGGAATATACAGCGAGAAGCCCTAACACGAAAGGAGGCCGGATTTCCTTGCAGTGGCTTGAATACAGGCTCGTCTTTCATCTCACACCATGAAGGGATGTCGGAATCCCCTGTGGAGACCTTAGAGAAAGCCCTAGGTCCCTGCCTCATTTTGACCGAATGCCTCACATCCCGCTGACAACTCGAGAGGCATGCGGAGTTCACTGCTTCAAAAGGTGACGATGCCTGACTCCTCTTGAATAATGATAGGAATCCCAAAATCCCTGTGGCTACTGGAAAGGGTCCTTGGGTGCCCTGCCTCACCTCGAGAAGCGTCCCTTTTGCCCTGCCAAGCCTCGTAGAGATTCCTGAGGTGTCCCTCATTACGAGACAGGAGTCCTGACGTCACTGAAGAAACTCGTGTTTTGAAGGGCCATCCCGCCGTAAGTCGAGAACATACCCCAGGTCCCCACCGCAACTCGAGAAAAACCATGAGACTTCCCCCTAGAGGCGAGATGAGGCCCCATTCCTCTACAGTGCATGCAGAGCTATTCCGTGATCCCATTCAAACACGTCAGGAGCTTCGACTTGCTTAATGGATCTCGAGACAGTCCCAAAGAACACTGTCACCAGTCTAGACGAACCCTGAGATCACCGCAGCAACGCAAAGCAGCTCCAAGTGCCCCAAATCAACTCGAGATGAGGCCCGATTCCCCTGCATTGACTCCAGAGCCATTCCCCGTTCCCCATTCAACACGACCGGTGGCTCGACTTCCTTCAGGCAACTCCAGAGATGCCCCGAGAACACTGTCTCAAGTCTAGAGGAAATCCAACTTCAGCACAGCAACTCGAGGAATGCTCCATGTACCCCAAATCGTCTCGAGATGAGAGCTGATTCCCTGGCTTAGGCTCAAGACGTATGCCAAATTTCCAGAAGCACCTCAGGAGGAGGCTTCTCTCAGCAATAGGTATGTGCGAGGGACCCCGAGTTTGCTGCCTCAAGGGGAATATACAGCGAGAAGCCCTAACTTGAAAGTAGGCCGGATTTCCTTGCAGTGGCTTGAATACAGGCTCGTCTTTCATCTCACAACATGAAGGGTTGTCTGAATCCCCTGTGGAGACCTTAGAGAAAGCCCTAGGTCCCTGCCTCATTTTGACCGAATGCCTCACATCCCGCTGACACCTCGAGAATCACTCGGAGTTCACTGCTACAAAAGGTGACGATGCCTGAGTCCTCTTGAAAACTGATAGGAATCCCAAAATCCCTGTGGCTACTGGATAGGGTCCTTGGGTGCCCTGCCTCACCTCGAGAAGCGTCCCTTTTGCCCTGCCAAGCCTCGAAGAGATTCCTGAGGTGTCCCTCGTTACTAGACAGGAGTCCTGACGTCACTGAAGAAACTCGTGTTTTGAAGGGCCATCCCCGCCGTAAGTCGAGAACATACCCCAGGTCCCCGCCGCAACTCGAGAAAAACCATGAGACTTCCCCCTAGAGGCGACATGAGGCCCCATTCCCCTGCAGTGCATGCAGAGCTATTCCGTGATCCCATTCAAACAAGTCAGGAGCTTCGACTTGCTTAATGGATCTCGACACATTCCCCAAGAACACTGTCACCAGTCTAGACGGACCCTGAGGTCACCCCAGCAACGCAAAGCAGCTCCATGTGCCCCAAATCAACTCGAGATGAGGCCCGATTCCCCTGCATTGACTCCAGAGCCATTCCCCATTCCCCATTCAAGACGAACAGTGGCTCGACTTCCTTCAGGCAACTCCAGAGATACCACTAGAACACTGTCCCAAGTCTAGAGGAAGACCAACTTCAGCACAGCAACTCGAGGAATGCCACGTGTACCCCAAATCGTCTCGAGATGAGAGCTGATTCCCTGGCTTAGGCTCAAGACGTATGCCAACTTTCCAGAAGCACCTCAGGACGAGGCTTCTCTCAGCAATAGGTATGTGGGAGGGACCCCGAGTTTGCTGCCTCAAGGGGAATATACAGCGAGAAGCCCTAACTTGAAAAGAGGCCGGATTTCCTTGCAGTGGCTAGAATACAGGCTCGTCTTTCGTGTCAAAATCTGAAGGGATGTCTGAATCCCCTGTGGAGACCATACAGAAAGCCCTAGGTCCCTGCCTCATTTTGACGGAATGCCTCACATCCCGCTGACACCTCGAGAGGCACGTGGAGTTCATTGCTTCAAAAGGTGACGATGCCTGACTCCTCTTGAATACTGATAGGAATCCCAAAATCCCTGTGGCTACTGGAAAGGGTCCTTGGGTGCCCTGCCTCACCTCGAGAAGCGTCCCTTTTGCCCTGCCAAGCCTCGAAGAGATTCCTGAGGTGTCCCTCATTACTAGAAAGGAGTCCTGACGTCACTGAAGAAACTCGTGTTTTGAAAGGCCATCCCCGCCGTAAGTCGAGAACATACCCCAGGTCCCCGCCGCAACTCGAGAAAAACCATGAGACTTCCCCCTAGAGGCGAGATGAGGCCCCATTCCCCTGCAGTGCATGCAGAGCTATTCCGTGATCCCATTCAAACAAGTCAGGTGCTTCGACTTGCTTAATGGATCTCGAGACAGTCCCCAAGAACACTGTCACCAGTCTAGACGGACCCTGAGGTCACCCCAGCAACGCAAAGCAGCTCCATGTGCCCCAAATCAACTCGAGATGAGGCCCGATTCCCCTGGATTGACTCCAGAGCCATTCCCCGTTCCCCATTCAACAAGACCGGTGTCTCGACTTCCTTCAGGCAACTCCAGAGATGCCCCGAGAACACTGTCCCAAGTCTGGAGGAACACCAACTTCAGCACAGAAACTCGAGGAATGCTCCGTGTACCCCAAATCGTGTCGAGATGAGAGCTGATTCCCTGGCTTAGGCTCAAGACGTATGCCAAGTTTCCAGAAGCACCTCAGGAGGAGGCTTCTCTGAGCAATAGGTATGTGGGAGGGACCCCGAGTTTGCTGCCTCAAGGGGAATATACAGCGAGAAGCCCTAACTTGAAAGGAGGCCGGATTTCCTTGCAGTGGCTAGAATACAGGCTCGTCTTTGATCTCAAAACCTGATGGGATGTCTGAATCGCCTGTGGAGACCTTAGAGTAAGCCCTAGGTCCCTGGCTCATTTTGACGGAATGCCTCACATCCCGCTGACACCTCGAGAGGCACGTGGAGTTCATTGCTTCAAAAGGTGACGATGCCTGACTCCTCTTGAATACTGATAGGAATCCGAAAATCCCTGTGGCTACTGGAAAGGGAACTTGGGTGCCCTGCCTCACCTCGAGAAGCGTCCCTTTTGCCCTGCCAAGCCACGAAGAGATTCCTGAGGTGTCCCTCGTTACTAGACAGGAGTCCTGACGTCACTGAAGAAACAAAAACCATGAGACTTCCCCCTAAGGGCGAGATGAGGCCCCATTCCCCTACAGTGTATGCAGAGCTATTCCGTGATCCCATTCAAACAAGTCAGGAGCTTCGACTTGCTTAATGGATCTCGAGACAGTCCCCAAGAACACTGTCACCAGTCTAGACGGACCCTGAGGTCACCCCAGCAACGCAAAGCAGCTCCATGTGCCCCAAGTCAACTCGAGATGAGGCCCGATTCCCCTGCATTGACTCCAGAGCCATTCCCCGTTCCCCATTCAACACGACCGGTGGCTCGACTTCTTTCAGGCAACTCCAGAGATGCCCCGAGAACACTGTCCCAAGTCTAGAGGAAATCCAACTTCAGCACAGCAACTCGAGGAATGCTCCGTGTACCCCAAATCGTCTCGAGATGAGAGCTGATTCCCTGGCTTAGGCTCAACTTATGCCAACTTTCCAGAAGCACCTCAGGAGGAGGCTTCTCTCAGCAATAGGTATGTGGGAGGGACCCCGAGTTTGCTGCCTCAAGGGGAATATACAGCGAGAAGCCCTAACACGAAAGGAGGCCGGATTTCCTTGCAGTGGCTTGAATACAGGCTCGTCTTTCATCTCACACCATGAAGGGATGTCGGAATCCCCTGTGGAGACCTTAGAGAAAGCCCTAGGTCCCTGCCTCATTTTGACCGAATGCCTCACATCCCGCTGACAACTCGAGAGGCATGCGGAGTTCACTGCTTCAAAAGGTGACGATGCCTGACTCCTCTTGAATAATGATAGGAATCCCAAAATCCCTGTGGCTACTGGAAAGGGTCCTTGGGTGCCCTGCCTCACCTCGAGAAGCGTCCCTTTTGCCCTGCCAAGCCTCGTAGAGATTCCTGAGGTGTCCCTCATTACGAGACAGGAGTCCTGACGTCACTGAAGAAACTCGTGTTTTGAAGGGCCATCCCGCCGTAAGTCGAGAACATACCCCAGGTCCCCACCGCAACTCGAGAAAAACCATGAGACTTCCCCCTAGAGGCGAGATGAGGCCCCATTCCTCTACAGTGCATGCAGAGCTATTCCGTGATCCCATTCAAACACGTCAGGAGCTTCGACTTGCTTAATGGATCTCGAGACAGTCCCAAAGAACACTGTCACCAGTCTAGACGAACCCTGAGATCACCGCAGCAACGCAAAGCAGCTCCAAGTGCCCCAAATCAACTCGAGATGAGGCCCGATTCCCCTGCATTGACTCCAGAGCCATTCCCCGTTCCCCATTCAACACGACCGGTGGCTCGACTTCCTTCAGGCAACTCCAGAGATGCCCCGAGAACACTGTCTCAAGTCTAGAGGAAATCCAACTTCAGCACAGCAACTCGAGGAATGCTCCATGTACCCCAAATCGTCTCGAGATGAGAGCTGATTCCCTGGCTTAGGCTCAAGACGTATGCCAAATTTCCAGAAGCACCTCAGGAGGAGGCTTCTCTCAGCAATAGGTATGTGCGAGGGACCCCGAGTTTGCTGCCTCAAGGGGAATATACAGCGAGAAGCCCTAACTTGAAAGTAGGCCGGATTTCCTTGCAGTGGCTTGAATACAGGCTCGTCTTTCATCTCACAACATGAAGGGTTGTCTGAATCCCCTGTGGAGACCTTAGAGAAAGCCCTAGGTCCCTGCCTCATTTTGACCGAATGCCTCACATCCCGCTGACACCTCGAGAATCACTCGGAGTTCACTGCTACAAAAGGTGACGATGCCTGACTCCTCTTGAATACTGATAGGAATCCCAAAATCCCTGTGGGTACTGGAAAGGGTCCTTGGGTGCCCTGCCTCACCTCGAGAAGCGTCCCTTTTGCCCTGCCAAGCCTCGAAGAGATTCCTGAGGTGTCCCTCATTACGAGACAGGAGTCCTGACGTCACTGAAGAAACTCGTGTTTTGAAGGGCCATCCCCGCCGTAAGTCGAGAACATACCCCAGGTCCCCGCCGCAACTCGAGAAAAACCATGAGACTTCCCCCTAGAGGCGAGATGAGGCCCCATTCCCCTGTAGTGCATGCAGAGCTATTCCGTGATCCCATTCAAACAAGTCAGGAGCTTCGACTTGCTTAATGGATCTCGAGACAGTCCCCAAGAACACTGTCACCAGTCTAGACGGACCCTGAGGTCACCCCAGCAACGCAAAGCAGCTCCATGTGCACCAAATCAACTCGAGATGAGGCCCGATTCCACTGCATTGACTCCAGGGCCATTCCCCGTTCCCCATTCAACACGACCGGTGGCTCGACTTCCTTCAGGCAACTCCAGAGATGCCCCGAGAACACTGTCCCAAGTCTAGAGGAACTCCAACTTCAGCACAGCAACTCGAGGAATGCTCCGTGTACCCCAAATCATCTCGAGATGAGAGCTGATTCCCTGGCTTAGGCTCAAGACGTATGCCAACTTTCCAGAAGCACCTAAGGAGGAGGCTTCTCTCAGCAATAGGTATGTGGGAGGGACCCCGAGGTTGCTGCCTCAAGGGGAATATACAGCGAGAAGCCCTAACTTGAAAGGAGGCCGGATTTTCTTGCAGGGGCTTGAATACAGGCTCGTCTTTCATCTCACAACATGAAGGGATGTCTGAATCCCCTGTGGAGACCTTAGAGAAACCCTTAGGTCCCTGCCTCATTTTGACGGAATGCCTCACATCCTGCTGACTCCCCGAGAGGTATGTGGAGTTCATTGCTTCAAAATGTGACGATGCCTGACTCCTCCTGAATACTGATAGGAATCCCAAAATCCCTGTGGCTACTGGAAAGGGTCCTTGGGTGCCCTGCCTCACCTCGAGAAGCGTCCCTTTTGCCCTGCCAAGCCTCGAAGAGATTCCTGAGGTGTCCCTCATTACTAGAAAGGAGTCCTGACGTCACTGAAGAAACTCGTGTTTTGAAGGTCCATCCCCGCCGTAAGTCGAGAACATACCCCAGGTCCCCGCCGCAACTCGAGAAAAACCATGAGACTTCCCCCTAGAGGCCAGATGAGGCCCCATTCCCCTGCAGTGCATGCAGAGCTATTCCGTGATCTCATTCAAACAAGTCAGGAGATTCGACTTGCTTAATGCATCTCGAGACAGTCCCCAAGAACACTGTCATCAGTCTAGACGGACCCTGAGGTCACCCCAGCAACGCAAAGCAGCACCATGTGCCCCAAATCAACTCGAGATGAGGCCCGATTCCCCTGGATTGACTCCAGAGCCATTCCCCGTTCCCCATTCAACAAGACCGGTTGCTCGACTTCCTTCAGGCAACTCCAGAGATGCCCCCAGAACACTGTCCCAAGTCTAGAGGAACACTAACTTCAACACAGCAACTCGAGGAATGCTCCGTGTACCCCAAATCATCTCGAGATGAGAGCTGATTCCCTGGCTTAGGCTCAAGACGTATGCCAACTTTCCAGAAGCACCTCAGGAGGAGGCTTCTCTCAGCAATAGGTATGTGGGAGGGACTCCGAGTTTGCTGCCTCAAGGGGAATATACAGCGAGAAGCCCTAACTTGAAAGGAGGCCGGATTTCCTTGCAGTGGCTAGAATACAGGCTCGTCTTTGATCTCAAAACCTGAAGGGATGTCTGAATCCCCTGTGGAGACCATAGAGAAAGCCCTAGGTCCCTGCCTCATTTTGAAGGAATGCCTCACATCCCACTGACACCTCGAGAGGCACGTGGAGTTCATTGCTTCAAAAGGTGACGATGCCTGAGTCCTCTTGAATACTGATAGGAATCCCAAAATCCCTGTGGCTACTGGAAAGGGTCCTTGGGTGCCCTGCCTCACCTCGAGAAGCCTCCCTTTTGCCCTACCAAGCCTCGAAGAGATTCCTGAGGTGTCCCTCGTTACGAGACAGGAGTCCTGACGTCACTGAAGAAACTCGTGTTTTGAAGGGCCATCCCCGCCGTAAGTTGAGAACATACCCCAGGTCCCCGCCGCAACTCGAGAAATACCATGAGACTTCCCCCTTGAGGCGAGATGAGGCCCCATTCCCCTGCAGTGCATGCAGAGCTATTCCGTGATCCCATTCAAACACGTCAGGAGCTTCGACTTGCTTAATGGATCTCGAGACAGTCCCAAAGAACACTGTCACCAGTCTAGACGAACCCTGAGATCACCGCAGCAACGCAAAGCAGCTCCAAGTGCCCCAAATCAACTCGAGATGAGGCCCGATTCCCCTGCATTGACTCCAGAGCCATTCCCCGTTCCCCATTCAACACGACCGGTGGCTCGACTTCCTTCAGGCAACTCCAGAGATGCCCCGAGAACACTGTCTCAAGTCTAGAGGAAATCCAACTTCAGCACAGCAACTCGAGGAATGCTCCATGTACCCCAAATCGTCTCGAGATGAGAGCTGATTCCCTGGCTTAGGCTCAAGACGTATGCCAAATTTCCAGAAGCACCTCAGGAGGAGGCTTCTCTCAGCAATAGGTATGTGCGAGGGACCCCGAGTTTGCTGCCTCAAGGGGAATATACAGCGAGAAGCCCTAACTTGAAAGGAGGCCGGATTTTCTTGCAGGGGCTTGAATACAGGCTCGTCTTTCATCTCACAACATGAAGGGATGTCTGAATCCCCTGTGGAGACCTTAGAGAAACCCTTAGGTCCCTGCCTCATTTTGACGGAATGCCTCACATCCTGCTGACTCCCCGAGAGGTATGTGGAGTTCATTGCTTCAAAATGTGACGATGCCTGACTCCTCCTGAATACTGATAGGAATCCCAAAATCCCTGTGGCTACTGGAAAGGGTCCTTGGGTGCCCTGCCTCACCTCGAGAAGCGTCCCTTTTGCCCTGCCAAGCCTCGAAGAGATTCCTGAGGTGTCCCTCATTACTAGAAAGGAGTCCTGACGTCACTGAAGAAACTCGTGTTTTGAAGGTCCATCCCCGCCGTAAGTCGAGAACATACCCCAGGTCCCCGCCGCAACTCGAGAAAAACCATGAGACTTCCCCCTAGAGGCCAGATGAGGCCCCATTCCCCTGCAGTGCATGCAGAGCTATTCCGTGATCTCATTCAAACAAGTCAGGAGATTCGACTTGCTTAATGCATCTCGAGACAGTCCCCAAGAACACTGTCATCAGTCTAGACGGACCCTGAGGTCACCCCAGCAACGCAAAGCAGCTCCATGTCCCCCAAATCAACTCGAGAAGAGGCCCGATTCCCCTGAATTGACTCCAGAGCCATTCCCCGTTCCTCATTCAACACGACCGGTGGTTCGACTTTTTTCAGGAAACTACAGAGATGCCCCGAGAACACTGTGCCAAGTCTAGAGGAACACGAACTTCAGCACAGCAACTCGAGGAATGCTCCATGTACCCCAAATCGTCTCGAGATGAGAGCTGATTCCCTGCCTTAGGCTCAAGACGTATGCCAACTTTCCAGAAGCACCTCAGGAGCAGGCTTCTCTCAGCAATAGGTATGTGGGAGGGACCCCGAGTTTGCTGCCTCAAGAGGAATATACAGCAAGAAGCCCTAACTTGAAAGGAGGCCGGATTTCCTTGCAGTGGCTTGAATACAGGCTCGTCTTTCATCTCACAACATGAAGGGATGTCTGAATCCCCTGTGGAGACCTTAGAGAAAGCCCTAGGTCCCTGCCTCATTTTTACGGAATGCCTCACGTCCCGTTGACACCTCGAGAGGCACGCGGAGTTCATTGCTTCAAAAGGTGACGATGCCTGACTCCTCTTGAATACTGATAGGAATCCCAAAATCCCTGTGACTACTGGAAAGGGTCCTTGGGTGACCTTCCTCACCTCGAGAAGCGTCCGTTTTGCCCTGCCAAGCCTCGAAGAGATTCCTGAGGTGTCCCTCGTTACTAGACAGGAGTCCTGACGTCACTGAAGAAACTTGTGTTTTGAAGGGCCATCCCCGCTGTAAGTCAAGAACATACCCCATGTCCCCGCCGCAACTCAAGAAAAACCATGAGACTTCCCCCTAGAGGCGAGATGAGGCCCCATTCCCCTGCAGTGCATGCAGAGCTATTCCGTGATCCCATTCAAACAAGTCAGGAGCTTCGACTTGCTTAATGGATCTCGAGACAGTCCCCAAGAACTCTGTCACCAGTCTAGACGGACCCTGAGGTCACCCCAGCAACGCAAAGCACCTCCATGTGCCCCAAGTCAACTCGAGATGAGCGCCGATTCCCCTGCATTGACTACAGAGCCATTCCCCGTTCCCATTCAACACGACCGGTGGCTCGACTTCCTTCAGGCCACTCCAGAGATGCCCCGAGAACACTGTCCCATGTCTAGAGGAACTCCTCCTTCAGCACAGCAACTCGAGGAATGCTCCGTGTACCACAAATCGTCTCGAGATGAGAGCTGATTCCCTGGCTTAGGCTCAAGACGTATGCCAACATTCCAGAAGCACCTCAGGAGCAGGCTTCTCTCAGCAATAGTTATGTGGGAGGGACCCCGAGTTTGCTGCCTCAAGAGGAATATACAGCAAGAAGCCCTAACTTGAAAGGAGGCCGGATTTCCTTGCAGTGGCTTGAATACAGGCTCGTCTTTCATCTCACAACATGAAGGGATGTCTGAATCCCCTGTGGAGACCTTAGAGAAAGCCCTAGGTCCCTGCCTCATTTTGACGAAATGCCTCATTTCCCGCAGACACCTCGAGAGGCACGCGGAGTTCATTGCTTCAAAAGGTGACGACGCCTGACTCCTCTTGAATACTGATAGGAATCGCAAAATAACTCTGGCTACTGGAAAGGGTCCTTGGGTGCCCTGCCTCACCTCGAGAAGCGTCCCTTTTGCCCTGCCAAGCCTCGAAGAGATTCCTGATGTGTCCCTCGTTACTAGACAGGAGTCCTGACGTCACTGAAGAAACTCGTGTTTTGAAGGGCCATCCCCGCCGTAAGTCGAGAACATACCCCAGGTCCCCACCGCAACTCGAGAAAAACCATGACACTTCCCCCTAGAGGCGAGATGAGGCCCCATTCCCCTGCAGTGCATGCAGAGCTATTCCGTGATCCCATTCAAACAAGTCAGGAGCTTCGACTTGCTTAATGGATATCGAGACAGTGCCCAAGAACACTGTCACCAGTCTAGACGGACCCTGAGGTCACCCCAGCAACGCAAAGCAGTTCCAGGTGCCACAAATCAACTCGAGATGAGGCCCGATTCCCCTGCATTGACTCCAGAGCCTTTCCCCGTTCCCCATTCAACACGACCGGTGGCTCGACTTCCTTCAGGCAACTCCAGAAATGCCCCGAGAACACTGTCCCAAGTCTAGAGGAACACCAACTTCAGCACAGCAACTCGAGGAATGCTACGTGTACCACAAATCATCTCGAGATTAGAGCTGATTCCCGGGCTTAGGCTCAAGACGTATGCCAACTTTCCAGAAGCACCTCAGGAGGAGGCTTCTCTCAGCAATCGGTATGTGGGAGGGACCCCGAGGTTGCTGCCTCAAGGGGAATATACAGCGAGAAGCCCTAACTTGAAAGGAGGCCGGATTTCCTTGCAGTGGCTAGAATACAGGCTCATCTTTGATCTCAAAACCTGAAGGGATGTCTGAATCCCCTGTGGAGACCTTAGAGAAAGCCCTATGTCCCTGCCTCATATTGACGGAATGCCTCACATCGCACTGACACTTCGAGAGGCACGTGGAGTTCATTGCTTCAAAAGGTGACGATGCCTGACTCCTCTTGAATACTGACAGGAATCCCAAAATCCCTGTGGCTACTGGAAAGGGTCCTTGGGTGCCCTGCCTCACCTCGAGAAGCGTCCGTTTTGCCCTGCCAAGCCTCGAAAAGATTCCTGAGGTGTCCCTCGTTACTAGACAGGAGTCCTGACGTCACTGAAGAAACTCGTGTTTTGAAGGGCCATCCCCGCCGTAAGTCGAGAACATACCCCAGGTCCCGGCCACAACTCGAGAAAAACCATGAGACTTCCCCCTAGAGGCGAGATGAGGCCCCATTCCCCTGCAGTGCATGCAGAGCTATTCCGTGATCCCATTCAAACAAGTCAGGAGCTTCGACTTGCTTAATGGATCTCGAGACAGTCCCCAAGAACTCTGTCACCAGTCTAGTCGGACCCTGAGGTCACCCCAGCAACGCAAAGCACCTCCATGTGCCCCAAGTCAACTCGAGATGAGGCCCGATTCCCCTGCATTGACTCCAGAGCCATTCCCCGTTCCCCATTCAACACGACCGGTGGCTCGACTTCCTTCAGGCAACTCCAGAGATGCCCCGAGAACACTGTCCCAGGTCTAGAGGAACTCCACCTTCAGCACAGCAACTCGAGGAATGCTGCGTGTACCACAAATCTTCTCGAGATGAGAGCTGATTCCATGGCTTAGGCTCAAGACGTATGCCAACTTTCCAGAAGTACCTCAGGAGGAGGCTTCTCTCAGCAATAGGTATATGGGAGGGACCCCCAGCATGCTGCCTCAAGGGGAATATACAGCGAGAATACCTAACTTGAGAGGAGGCCGGATTTCCTTGCAGGGGCTTGAATACAGGCTCGCCTTTCATCTCACAACATGAAGAAATGTCTGAATCACCTGTGGAGACCTTAGAGAAAGCCCTAGGTCCCTGACTCATTTTGACGGAATGCCTCACATCCCGGTGACATCTCGAGAGGCACGCGGAGTTCATTGCTTCAAAAGGTGACGATACCTGAGTCCTCTTGAAAACTGATAGGAATCCCAAAATCCCTGTGGCTACTGGAAAGGGTCCTTGGGTGCCCTGCCTCACCTCGAGAAGCGTCCCTTTTGCCCTGCCAAGCCTCGAAGAGATTCATGAGGTGAACCTCGTTACTAGACAGGAGTCCTGACGTCACTGAAGAAACTCGTGTTTTGAAGGGCCATCCCCGCCGTAAGTCGAGAACATACCCCAGGTCCCAGCCGCAACTCAAGAAAAACCATGAGACTTCCCCCTAGAGGCGAGAAGAGGCCCCATTCCCCTGCAGTGCATGCAGAGCTATTCCGTGATCCCATTCAAACAAGTCAGGAGCTTCGACTTGCTTAATGGATCTCGAGACAGACCCCAAGAACACTGTCACCAGTCTAGACGGACCCTGAGGTCACCCCAGCAACGCAAAGCAGCACCATGTGCCCCAAATCAACTCGAGATGAGGCCCGAATCCCCTGCATTGACTCCAGGGCCATTCCCCGTTCCCCATTCAACACGACCGGTGGCTCGACTTCCTTCAGGGAACTCCAGAGATGTCCCGAGAACACTGTCCCAAGTCTAGAGGAACTCCAACTTCAGCACAGCAACTCGAGGAATGCTACGTGTACCACAAATCATCTCGAGATGAGAGCTGATTCCCTGGCTTAGGCTCAAGACGTATGCCAACTTTCCAGAAGCACCTCAGGAGGAGGCTTCTCTCAGCAATAGGTATGTGGGAGGGACCCCGAGGTTGCTGCCTCAAGGGGAATATACAGCGAGAAGCCCTAACTTGAAAGGAGGCCGGATTTCCTTGCAGTGGCTAGAATACAGGCTCATCTTTGATTTCAAAACCTGAAGGGATGTCTGAATCCCCTGTGGAGACCTTAGAGAAAGCCCTATGTCCCTGCCTCATTTTGAAGGAATGCCTCACATCGCGCTGACACTTCGAGAGGCACGTGGAGTTCATTGCTTCAAAAGGTGACGATGCCTGACTACTCTTGAATACTGACAGGAATCCCAAAATCCCTGTGGCTACTGGAAAGGGTCCTTGGGTGCCCTGCCTCACCTCGAGAAGCGTCCGTTTTGCCCTGCTAAGCCTCGAAAAGATTGCTGAGGTGTCCCTCGTTACTAGACAGGAGTCCTGACTTCACTGAAGAAACTCGTGTTTTGAAGGGCCATCCCCGCCGTAAGTCGAGAACATACCCCAGGTTCCGGCCACAACTCGAGAAAAACCATGAGACTTCCCCCGAGAGGCGAGATGAGGCCCCATTCCCCTGCAGTGCATGCAGAGCTATTCCGTGATCCCATTCAAACAAGTCAGGAGCTTCGACTTGCTTAATGGATCTCGAGACAGTCCCCAAGAACTCTGTCACCAGTCTAGACGGACCCTGAGGTCACACCAGCAACGCAAAGCACCTCCATGTGCCCCAAATCAACTCGAGATGAGGCCCGATTCCCCTGCATTGACTCCAGAGCCATTCCCCGTTCCCCATTCAACAAGACCGGTGGCTCGACTTCCTTCAGGCAACTCCAGAGATGCCCCGAGAACACTCTTCCAGGTCTAGAGGAACTCCACCTTCAGCACAGCAACTCGAGGAAAGCTCCATGTACCACACATCGTCTCCAGATGAGAGCTGATTCCCTGGCTTAGGCTCAAGACGTATGCCAACTTTCCAGAAGCACCTCAGGAGGAGGCTTCTCTCAGCAACAGGTATGTGAGAGGGACCCCGAGTTTGCTGCTTCAAGAGGAATATACAGCAAGAAGCCCTAACTTGAAAGGAGGCCGGATTTCCTTGCAGTGGCTTGAATACAGGCTCGTCTTTCATCTCACAACATGAAGGGATGTCTGAATCCCCTGTGGAGACCTTAGAGAAAGCCCTAGGACCCTGCCTCATTTTGACGGAATGCCTAACATCCCGCAGACACCTCGAGAGGCACGCGGAGTTCATTGCTTCAAAAGGTGACGATGCCTGACTCCTCTTGAATACTGATAGGAATGGCAAAATAACTCTGGTTACTGGAAAGGGTCCTTGGGTGCCCTGCCTCACCTCGAGAAGCATCCCTTTTGCCCTGCCAAGCCTCGAAGAGATTCCTGATGTGTCCCTCGTTACTAGACAGGAGTCCTGACGTCACTGAAGAAACTCGTGTTTTGAAGGGCCATCCCGGCCGTAAGTCGAGAACATACCCCAGGTCCCAACCGCAACTCGAGAAAAACCATGAGACTTCCCCCTAGAGGCGAGATGAGGCCCCATTCCCCTGCAGTGCATGCAGAGCTATTCCGTGATCCCATTCAAACAAGTCAGGAGCTTCGACTTGCTTAATGGATATCGAGACAGTCCCCAAGAACACTGTCACCAGTCTAGACGGACCCTGAGGTCACCCCAGCAACGCAAAGCACCTCCATGTGCCCCAAGTCAACTCGAGATGAGGCCCGATTCCCCTGCATTGACTCCAGGGCCATTCCCCGTTCCCCATTCAACACGACCGGTGGCTCGACTTCCTTCAGGCAACTCCAGAGATGCCCCGAGAACACTGTCCCAGGTCTAGAGGAACTCCACCTTCAGCAGAGCAACTCGAGGAATGCTCCGTGTACCACAAATCGTCTCGAGATGAGAGCTGATTCCATGGCATAGGCTCAAGACGTATGCCCACTTTCCAGAAGCACATCAGGAGGAGGCTTCTCTCAGCAACAGGTATGTGGGAGGGACCCCGAGTTTGCTGCCTCAAGGGGAATATACAGCAAGAAGCCCTAACTTGAAAGGAGGCCGTATTTCCTTGCAGTGGCTTGAATACAGGCTCGTCTTTCATCTCACAACATGAAGGGATGTCTGAATCCCCTGTGGAGACCTTAGAGAAAGCCCTAGGTCCCTGCCTCATTTTGACGGAATGCCTCACATCCCGCAGACACCTCGAGAGGCACGCGGAGTTCATTGCTTCAAAAGGTGACGATGCCTGACTCCTCTTGAATAGTGATAGGAATCCCAAAATCCCTGTGGCTACTGGAAAGGGACCTTCGCTGCCCTGCCTCACATCGAGAAGCGTCCCTTTTGCCCTGCCAAGCCTCGAAGAGATTCCTGAGGTGTCCCTCTTTACTAGACAGGAGTCCAGACGTCACTGAAGAAACTCGTCTTTTGAAGGGCCATCCATGCCGTAAGTCGAGAACATACCCCAGGTCCCCGCCGCAACTCGAGAAAAACCATGAGACTTCCCCCTAGAGGCGAGATGAGGCCCCATTCCCCTGCAGTGCATGCAGAGCTATTCCGTGATCCCATTCAAACAAGTCAGGAGCTTCGACTTGCTTAATGGATCTCGAGACAGTCCCCAAGAACACTGTCACCAGTCTAGACGGACCCTGAGGTCACACCAGCAACGCAAAGCAGCACCATGTGCCCCAAATCAACTCGAGATGAGGCCCGATTCCCCTGCATTGACTACAGGGCCATTCCCCTTTCCCCATTCAACACGACCGGTGGCTCGACTTCCTTCAGGCAACTCCAGAGATGCCCTGAGAACACTGTCCCAAGTCTAGAGGAATTCCAACTTCAGCACAGCAACTCGAGGAATGCTCCGTGTACCCCAAATCATCTCGAGATGAGAGCTGATTCCCTGGCTTAGGCTCAAGACGTATGCCAACTTTCCAGAAGCACCTCAGGAGGAGGCTTCTGTCAGCAATAGGTATGTGGGAGGGACCCCGAGTTTGCTGCCTCAAGGGGAATATACAGCGAGAAGCCCTAACTTGAAAGGAGGCCGGATTTCCTTGCAGTGGCTTGAATACAGGCTCGTCTTTCATCTCACAACATGAAGGAATGTCTGAATCCCCTGTGGAGACCTTAGAGAAAGCCTTAGGTCCCTGCCTCATTTTGTCTGAATGCCTCACATCCCGCTGACACCTCGAGAGGTATGTGAAGTTCATTGCTTCAAAAGGTGACGATGCCTGACTCCTCTTGAATACTGATAGGAATCCCAAAATCCCTGTGGCTACTGGAAAGTGTCCTTGGGTGCCCTGCCTCACCTCGAGAAGCGTCCCTTTTGCCCTGCCAAGCCTCGAAGAGATTCCTTAGGTGTCCCTCATTACTAGAAAGGAGTCCTGACGTCACTGAAGTAACTCGTGTTTTGAAGGTCCATCCCCGCCGTAAGTCGAGAACATACCCCAGGTCCCCGCCGCAACTCGAGAAAAACCATGAGACTTCCCCCTAGAGGCGAGATGAGGCCCCATTCCCCTGCAGTGCATGCAGAGCTATTCCGTGATCCCATTCAAACAAGTCAGGACCTTCGACTTGCTTAATGGATCTCGAGACAGTCCCCAAGAACACTGTCACCAGTCTAGACGGACCCTGAGGTCACCCCAGCAACGCAAAGCAGCTCCATGTGCCCCAAATCAACTCGAGATGAGGCCCGATTCCCCTGTATTGACTCCAGAGCCTTTCCCCGTTCCCCATTCAACACGACCGGTGGCTCGACTTCCTTCAGGCAACTCCAGAAATGCCCCGAGAACACTGTCCCAAGTCTAGAGGAACACCAACTTCAGCACAGCACCTCGAGGAATGCTCCGTGTACCCCAAATCGTCTCGAGATGAGAGCTGATTCCCTGGCTTAGGCTCAAGACGTATGCCAACTTTCCAGAAGCACCTCAGGATGAGGCTTCTCTCAGCCATAGGATTGTGGGAGGGACCCCCAGTTTGCTGCCTCAAGGGGAATATACAGCGAGAAGCCCTAACTTGAAAGGAGGCCGGATTTCCTTGTAGTGGCTAGAATACAGGCTCGTTTTTGATATCAAAGCCTGAAGGGATGTCTGAATCACCTGTGGATTCCTTAGAGAAAGCCCTAGTTCCCTGCCTCATTTTGACGTAATGCCTCACATCTCGCTGACACCTCGAGAGGCACGCGGAGTTCATTGCTTCAAAAGGTGACGATGCCTGACTCCTCTTGAATACTGATAGGAATCCCAAAATCCCTGTGGCTACTGGAAAGGGTCCTTGGGTGCCCTGCCTCACCTCGAGAAGCGTCCCTTTTGCCCTGCCAAGCCTCGAAGATATTCCTGAGGTGTCCCTCATTACTAGACAGGAGTCCTGACGTCACTGAAGAAACTCGTGTTTTGAAGGGCCATCCCCGCCGTAAGTCGAGAACATACCCCAGGTTCCCACCGCAACTCGAGAAAAACCATGAGACTTCCCCCTAGAGGCGAGATGAGGCCCCATTCCCGTGCAGTGCATGCAGAGCTATTCCGTGATCCCATTCAAACAAGTCAGGAGCTTCCACTTGCTTAATGGATCTCGAGACAGTCCCCAAGAAAACTGTCACCTGTCTAGACGGACCCTGAGGTCACCCCAGCAACGCAAAGCAGCACCATGTGCCCCAAATCAACTCGAGATGAGGCCCGATTCCCCTGCATTGACTCCAGGGCCATTCCCCGTTCCCCATTCAACACGACCGGTGGCTCGACTTCCTTCCGGCAACTCCAGAGATGCCCCGAGAACACTGTCCCAAGTCTAGAGGAATTCCAACATCAGCACAGCAACTCGAGGAATGCTCCGTGTACCCCAAAACACCTCGAGATGAGAGCTGATTCCCTGGTGTAGGCTCAAGACGTATGAAAACTTTCCAAAAGCACCTCAGGAGGAGGCTTCTCTCAGCAATAGGTATGTGGGAGGGACCCCGAGTATGCTGCCTCAAGGGGAATATACAGCGAGAAGCCCTAACTTGAAAGGAGGCCGGATTTCCTTGCAGTGGCTTGAATACAGGCTCGTGTTTCATCTCACAACATGGAGGGATGTCTGAATCCCTTGTGGAGACCTTAGAGAAAGCCCTAGGTCACTGCCTCATTTTGACGGAATGCCTCACATCCCGTTGACATCTCGAGAGGCACGCGGAGTTCATTGCTTCAAAAGGTGACGATGCCTGAGTCCTCTTGAATACTGATAGGAATCCCAAAATCCCTGTGGCTACTGGATAGGGTCCTTGGGTGCCCTGCCTCACCTCGAGAAGCGTCCCTTTTGCCCTGCCAAGCCTCGAAGAGATTCCTGAGGTGTCCCTCGTTACTAGACAGGAGTCCTGACGTCACTGAAGAAACTCGTGTTTTGAAGGGCCATCCCCGCCGTAAGTCGAGAACATACCCCAGGTCCCCGCCGCAACTCGAGAAAAACCATGAGACTTCCCCCTAGAGGCGAGATGAGGCCCCATTCCCCTGCAGTGCATGCAGAGCTATTCCGTGATCCCATTCAAACAAGGCAGGAGCTTCGACTTGCTTAATGGGTCTCGAGACAGTCCCCTAGAACACTGTCACCAGTCTAGACGGACCCTGAGGTCACCCCAGCAACGCAAAGCAGCTCCATGTGCCCCAAATCAACTCGAGATGAGGCCCGATTCCCCTGGATTGACTCCAGAGCCATTCCCCGTTCCCCATTCAACAAGACCGGTGTCTCGACTTCCTTCAGGCAACTCCAGAGATGCCCCGAGAACACTGTCCCAAGTATAGAGGAACTCCAACTTCAGCACAGCATCTCGACGAATGTGAGTGAACCCCAAATCGACTCGAGATGAGAGCTGATTCCCTGCCTTAGGCTCAAGACGTATGCCAACTTTCCAGAAGCACATCAGCAGGAGGCTTCTCTCAGCAATAGCTATGTGCGAGGGACCCCGAGTTTGCTGCCTCAAGGGGAATATACAGCGAGAAGCCCTAATTTGAAAGGAGGCCGGATTTCCTTGCAGTGGCTAGAATACAGGCACGTCTTTGATCTCAAAACATGAAGGGATGTCTGAATCCCCTGTGGAGACTTTAGAGAAAGCCCTAGGTCCCTGCCTCATTTTGACGGAATGCCTCACATCCCGGTGACACCTCGAGAGGCACGCGGAGTTCATTGCTTCAAAAGGTGACGATGCCTGACTCCTCTTGAATACTGATAGGAATCCCAAAATCCCTGTGGCTACTGGAAAGGGTCTTTGGGTGCCCTGCCTCACCTCGAGAAGCGTCCCTTTTCCCCTGCCAAGCCTCGAAGAGATTCCTGAGGTGTCCCTCTTTACTAGACAGGGGTCCTGACGTCACTGAAGAAACTCGTGTTTTGAAGGGCCATCCCCGCCGTAAGGCGAGAACATACCCCAGGTCCCCGCCGCAACTCGAGAAAAACCATGAGACTTCCCCCTAGAGGCGAGATGAGGCCCCATTCCCCTGCAGTGCATGCAGAGCTATTCCATGATCCCATTCAAACAAGTCAGGAGCTTCGACTTGCATAATGGATCTCGAGTCAGTCCCCAAGAACACTGTCACCAGTCTAGACGGACCCTGAGGTCACCCCAGCAACGCAAAGCAGCTCCATGTGCCCCAAATCAACTCGAGATGAGTCCCGATTCCCCTGAATTGACTCCAGAGCCATTCCCCGTTCCCCATTCAACAGGACCGTTGGCTCGACTTCCTTCAGGCAACTCCAGAGATGCCCCGAGAACACTGTCCCAAGTCTAGAGGAACTCCAACTTCAGCACAGCAACTCGAGGAATGCTCCGTGTACCCCAAGTCATCTTGAGATGAGAGCTGTTTCCCTGCCTTAGGCTCAAGACGTATGCCAACTCTCCAGAAGCAACTCAGGAGGAGGCTTCTCTCAGCAATAGGTATGTGGGAGGGACCCCGAGGTTGCTGCCTCAAGGGGAATATACAACGAGAAGCCCTAACTTGAAAGGATGCCGGATTTCCTTGCAGTGGCTAGAATACAGGCTCGTCTTTCATCTCACAACATGAAGGGATGTCTGAATCCCCTGTGGAGACCTTAGAGAAAGCCTTAGGTCCCTGCCTCATTTTGACGGAATGCCTCACATCCCGCTGACACCTCGAGAGGTATGTGGAGTTCATTGCTGCAAAAGGTGACGATGCCTGACTCCTCTTGTATACTGATAGGAATCCCAAAATCCCTGTGGTACTGGAAAGGGTCCTTGGGTGCTCTGCTTCACCTCGAGAAGCGTCCCTTTTGCCCTGCCAAGCCTCGAAGAGATTCCTGAGGTGTCCCTCGTTACGAGACAGGAGTCCTGACGTCACTGAAGAAACTCGTGTTTTGAAAGGCCATCCCCGCCGTAAGTCGAGAACATACCCCAGGTCCCCGCCGCAACTCGAGAAAAACCATGAGACTTCCCCCTAGAGGCGAGATGAGGCCTCTTTCCCCTGCAGTGCATGCAGAGCTATTCCGTGATCCCATTCAAACAAGGCAGGAGCTTCGACTTGCTTAATGGATCTCGAGACAGTCCCCAAGAACACTGTCACCAGTCTAGACGGACCCTGAGGTCACCCCAGCAACGCAAAGCAGCACGATGTGCCCCAAATCAACTCGAGATGAGGCCCAATTCCCCTGGATTGATTCCAGAGCCATTCCCCGTTCCCCATTCAACACGACCGGTGACTTGACTTCCTTCAGGCAACTCCAGAGATGCCCCGAGAACACTGTCCCAAGTCTGGAGGAACACCAACTTCAGCACAGAAACTCGAGGAATGCTCCGTGTACCCCAAATCGTGTCGAGATGAGAGCTGATTCCCTGGCTTAGGCTCAAGACGTATGCCAAGTTTCCAGAAGCACCTCATTAGGAGGCTTCTCTCAGCAATAGGTATGTGGGAGGGACGCCGAGGTTGCTGCCTCAAGGGGAATATACAACGAGAAGCCCTAACTTGAAAGGAGGCCGGATTTCCTTGCAGTGGCTAGAATACAGGCTCGTCTTTCATCTCACAACATGAAGGGATGTCTGAATCCCCTGTGGAGACCTTAGAGAAAGCCTTAGGTCCCTGCCTCATTTTGACGGAATGCCTCACATCCCGCTGACACCTCGAGAGGTATGTGGAGTTCATTGCTTCAAAAGGTGACGATGCCTGACTCCTCTTGTATACTGATAGGAATTCCAAAATCCCTGTGGCTACTGGAAAGGGTCCTTGGGTGCTCTGCTTCACCTCGAGAAGCGTCCCTTTTGCCCTGCCAAGCCTCGAAGAGATTCCCGAGGTGTCCCTCGTTACGAGAAAGGAGTCCTGACGTCACTGAAGAAACTCGTGTTTTGAAAGGCCATCCCCGCCGTAAGTCGAGAACATACCCCAGGTCCCCGCCGCAACTCGAGAAAAACCATGAGACTTCCCCCTAGAGGCGAGATGAGGCCCCTTTCCCCTGCAGTGCATGCAGAGCTATTCCGTGATCCCATTCAAACAAGGCAGGAGCTTCGACTTGCTTAATGGATCTCGAGACAGTCCCCAAGAACACTGTCACCAGTCTAGACGGACCCTGAGGTCACCCCAGCAACGCAAAGCAGCACCATGTGCCCCAAATCAACTCGAGATGAGGCCCAATTCCCCTGGATTGATTCCAGAGCCATTCCCCGTTCCCCATTCAACACGACCGGTGACTTGACTTCCTTCAGGCAACTCCAGAGATGCCCCGAGAACACTGTCCCAAGTCTGGAGGAACACCAACTTCAGCACAGAAACTCGAGGAATGCTCCGTGTACCCCAAATCGTGTCGAGATGAGAGCTGATTCCCTGGCTTAGGCTCAAGACGTATGCCAAGTTTCCAGAAGCACCTCAGAAGGAGGATTCTCTCAGCAATAGGTATGTGGGAGGGACCCCGAGTTTGCTGCCTCAAGGGGAATATACAGCGAGAAGCCCTAACTTGAAAGGAGGCCGGATTTCCTTGCAGTGGCTAGAATACAGGCTCGTCTTTGATCTCAAAACCTGATGGGATGTCTGAATCGCCTGTGGAGACCTTAGAGTAAGCCCTAGGTCCCTGGCTCATTTTGACGGAATGCCTCACATCCCGCTGACACCTCGAGAGGCACGTGGAGTTCATTGCTTCAAAAGGTGACGATGCCTGACTCCTCTTGAATACTGATAGGAATCCGAAAATCCCTGTGGCTACTGGAAAGGGGACTTGGGTGCCCTGCCTCACCTCGAGAAGCGTCCCTTTTGCCCTGCCATGCCTCGAAGAGATTCCTGAGGTGTCCCTCGTTACTAGACAGGAGTCCTGACGTCACTGAAGAAACAAAAACCATGAGACTTCACCCTAGAGGCGAGATGAGGCCCCATTCCCCTGCAGTGTATGCAGAGCTATTCCGTGATCCCATTCAAACAAGTCAGGAGCTTCGACTTGCTTAATGGATCTCGAGACAGTCCACAAGAACTCTGTCACCATTCTAGACGGACCCTGAGGTCACCCCAGCAACGCAAAGCAGCTCCATGTGCCCCAAGTCAACTCGAGATGAGGCCCGATTCCCCTGCATTGACTCCAGAGCCATTCCTCGTTCCCCATTCAACACGACCGGTGGCTCGACTTCCTTCCGGCAACTCCAGAGATGCCCCGAGAACACTGTCCCAAGTCTAGAGGAATTCCAACATCAGCACAGCAACTCGAGGAATGCTCCGTGTACCCCAAAACACCTCGAGATGAGAGCTGATTCCCTGGCTTAGGCTCAAGACGTATGCCAAGTTTCCAGAAGCACCTCAGGAGGAGGCTTCTCTCAGCAATAGGTATGTGGGAGGGACCCCGAGTTTGCTGCCTCAAGGGGAATATACAGCGAGAAGCCCTAACTTGAAAGGAGGCCGGATTTCCTTGCAGTGGCTAGAATACAGGCTCGTTTTTGATCTCAAAACCTGATGGGATGTCTGAATCGCCTGTGGAGACCTTAGAGTAAGCCCTAGGTCCCTGGCTCATTTTGACGGAATGCCTCACATCCCGCTGACACCTCGAGAGGCACGTGGAGTTCATTGCTTCAAAAGGTGACGATGCCTGACTCCTCTTGAATACTGATAGGAATCCGAAAATCCCTGTGGCTACTGGAAAGGGGACTTGGGTGCCCTGCCTCACCTCGAGAAGCGTCCCTTTTGCCCTGCCATGCCTCGAAGAGATTCCTGAGGTGTCCCTCGTTACTAGACAGGAGTCCTGACGTCACTGAAGAAACAAAAACCATGAGACTTCCCCCTAGAGGCGAGATGAGGCCGCATTCCCCTGCAGTGTATGCAGAGCTATTCCGTGATCCCATTCAAACAAGTCAGGAGCTTCGACTTGCTTAATGGATCTCGAGACAGTCCACAAGAACTCTGTCACCATTCTAGACGGACCCTGAGGTCACCCCAGCAACGCAAAGCAGCTCCATGTGCCCCAAGTCAACTCGAGATGAGGCCCGATTCCCATGCATTGACTCCAGAGCCATTCCTCGTTCCCCATTCAACACGACCGGTGGCTCGACTTCCTTCCGGCAACTCCAGAGATGCCCCGAGAACACTGTCCCAAGTCTAGAGGAATTCCAACATCAGCACAGCAACTCGAGGAATGCTCCGTGTACCCCAAAACACCTCGAGATGAGAGCTGATTCCCTGGCGTAGGCTCAAGACGTATGAAAGCTTTCCAAAAGCACCTCAGGAGGAGGCTTCTCTCAGCAATAGGTATGTGGGAGGGACCCCGAGTATGCTGCCTCAAGGGGAATATACAGCGAGAAGCCCTAACTTGAAAGGAGGCCGGATTTCCTTGCAGTGGCTTGAATACAGGCTCGTGTTTCATCTCACAACATGAAGGGATGTCTGAATCCCCTGTGGAGACCTTAGAGAAAGCCCTAGGTCACTGCCTCATTTTGACGGAATGCCTCACATCCCGTTGACATCTCGAGAGGCACGCGGAGTTCATTGCTTCAAAAGGTGACGATGCCTGAGTCCTCTTGAATACTGATAGGAATCCCAAAATCCCTGTGGCTACTGGATAGGGTCCTTGGGTGCCCTGCCTCACCTCGAGAAGCGTCCCTTTTGCCCTGCCAAGCCTCGAAGAGATTCCTGAGGTGTCCCTCGTTACTAGACAGGAGTCCTGACGTCACTGAAGAAACTCGTGTTTTGAAGGGCCATCCCCGCCGTAAGTCGAGAACATACCCCAGGTCCCCGCCGCAACTCGAGAAAAACCATGAGACTTCCCCCTAGAGGCGAGATGAGGCCCCATTCCCCTGCAGTGCATGCAGAGCTATTCCGTGATCCCATTCAAACAAGTCAGGAGCTTCGACTTGCTTAATGGATCTCGACACATTCCCCAAGAACACTGTCACCAGTCTAGACGGACCCTGAGGTCACCCCAGCAACGCAAACCAGCTCCATGTGCCCCAAATCAACTCGAGATGAGGCCCGATTCCCCTGCATTGACTCCAGAGCCATTCCCCATTCCCCATTCAAAACGAACAGTGGCTCGACTTCCTTCAGGCAACTCCAGAGATACCACTAGAACACTGTCCCAAGTCTAGAGGAACACCAACTTCAGCACAGCAACTCGAGGAATGCCACGTGTACCCCAAATCGTCTCGAGATGAGAGTTGATTTCCTGGCTTAGGCTCAAGACGTATGCCAACTTTCCAGAAGCACCTCAGGATGAGGCTTCTCTCAGCAATAAGTATGTGGGAGGGACCCCGAGTTTGCTGCCTCAAGGGGAATATACACCGAGAAGCCCTAACTTGAAAAGAGGCCGGATTTCCTTGCAGTGGCTAGAATACAGGCTCGTCTTTCATGTCAAAATCTGAAGGGATGTCTGAATCCCCTGTGGAGACCTTACAGAAAGCCCTAGGTTCCTGCCTCATTTTGACGGAATGCCTCACATCCCGCTGACACCTCGAGAGGCACGTGGAGTTCATTGCTTCAAAAGGTGACGATGCCTGACTCCTCTTGAATACTGATAGGAATCCCAAAATCCCTGTGGCTACTGGAAAGGGTCCTTGGGTGCCCTGCCTCACCTCGAGAAGCGTCCCTTTTGCCCTGCCAAGCCTCGAAGAGATTCCTGAGGTGTCCCTCATTACTAGAAAGGAGTCCTGACGTCACTGAAGAAACTCGTGTTTTGAAGGGCCATCCCCGCCATAAGTCGAGAACATACCCCAGGTCCCCGCCGCAACTCGAGAAAAACCATGAGACTTCCCCCTAGAGGCGAGATGAGGCCCCATTCCCCTGCAGTGCATGCAGAGCTATTCCGTGATCCCATTCAAACAAGGCAGGAGCTTCGACTTGCTTAATGGATCTCGAGACAGTCCCCTAGAACACTGTCACCAGTCTAGACGGACCCTGAGGTCACCCCAGCAACGCAAAGCAGCTCCATGTGCCCCAAATCAACTCGAGATGAGGCCCGATTCCCCTGGATTGACTCCAGAGCCATTCCCCGTTCCCCATTCAACAAGACCGGTGTCTCGACTTCCTTCAGGCAACTCCAGAGATGCCCCGAGAACACTGTCCCAAGTATAGAGGAACTTCAACTTCAGCACAGCAACTCGAGGAATGTGAGTGAACCCCAAATCGACTCGAGATGAGAGCTGATTCCCTGCCTTAGGCTCAAGACGTATGCCAACTTTCCAGAAGCACCTCAGCAGGAGGCTTCTCTCAGCAATAGCTATGTGCGAGGGACCCCGAGTTTGCTGCCTCAAGGGGAATATACAGCGAGAAGCCCTAATTTGAAAGGACGCCGGATTTCCTTGCAGTGGCTAGAATCCAGGCACGTCTTTGATCTCAAAACATGAAGGGATGTCTGAATCCCCTGTGGAGACCTTAGAGAAAGCCCTAGGTCCCTGCCTCATTTTGACGGAATGCCTCACATCCCGGTGACACCTCGAGAGGCACGCGGAGTTCATTGCTTCAAAAGGTGACGATGCCTGACTCCTCTTGAATACTGATAGGAATCCCAAAATCCCTGTGGCTACTGGAAAGGGTCTTTGGGTGCCCTGCCTCACCTCGAGAAGCGTCCCTTTTCCCCTGCCAAGCCTCGAAGAGATTCCTGAGGTGTCCCTCTTTACTAGACAGGGGTCCTGACGTCACTGAAGAAACTCGTGTTTTGAAGGGCCATCCCCGCCGTAAGGCGAGAACATACCCCAGGTCCCCGCCGCAACTCGAGAAAAACCATGAGACTTCCCCCTAGAGGCGAGATGAGGCCCCATTCCCCTGCAGTGCATGCAGAGCTATTCCATGATCCCATTCAAACAAGTCAGGAGCTTCGACTTGCATAATGGATCTCGAGTCAGTCCCCAAGAACACTGTCACCAGTCTAGACGGACCCTGAGGTCACCCCAGCAACGCAAAGCAGCTCCATGTGCCCCAAATCAACTCGAGATGAGTCCCGATTCCCCTGAATTGACTCCACAGCCATTCCCCGTTCCCCATTCAACAGGACCGTTGGCTCGACTTCCTTCAGGCAACTCCAGAGATGCCCCGAGAACACTGTCCCAAGTCTAGAGGAACTCCAACTTCAGCACAGCAACTCGAGGAATGCTCCGTGTACCCCAAGTCATCTTGAGATGAGAGCTGTTTCCCTGCCTTAGGCTCAAGACGTATGCCAACTCTCCAGAAGCAACTCAGAAGGAGGCTTCTCTCAGCAATAGGTATGTGGGAGGGACCCCGAGGTTGCTGCCTCAAGGGGAATATACAACGAGAAGCCCTAACTTGAAAGGAGGCCGGATTTCCTTGCAGTGGCTAGAATACAGGCTCGTCTTTCATCTCACAACGTGAAGGGATGTCTGAATCCCCTGTGGAGACCTTAGAGAAAGCCTTAGGTCCCTGCCTCATTTTGACGGAATGCCTCACATCCCGCTGACACCTCGAGAGGTATGTGGAGTTCATTGCTTCAAAAGGTGACGATGCCTGACTCCTCTTGTATACTGATAGGAATCCCAAAATCCCTGTGGCTACTGGATAGGGTCCTTGGGTGCTCTGCTTCATCTCGAGAAGCGTCCCTTTTGCCCTGCCAAGCCTCGAAGAGATTCCTGAGGTGTCCCTCGTTACGAGACAGAAGTCCTGACGTCACTGAAGAAACTCGTGTTTTGAAAGGCCATCCCCGCCGTAAGTCGAGAACATACCCCAGGTCCCCGCCGCAACTCGAGAAAAACCATGAGACTTCCCCCTAGATGCGAGATGAGGCCTCTTTCCCCTGCAGTGCATGCAGAGCTATTCCGTGATCCCATTCAAACAAGGCAGGAGCTTCGACTTGCTTAATGGATCTCGAGAGAGTCCCCAAGAACACTGTCACCAGTCTAGACGGACCCTGAGGTCACCCCAGCAACGCAAAGCAGCACCATGTGCCCCAAATCAACTCGAGATGAGGCCCAATTCCCCTGGATTGATTCCAGAGCCATTCCCCGTTCCCCATTCAACACGACCGGTGACTTGACTTCCTTCAGGCAACTCCAGAGATGCCCCGAGAACACTGTCCCAAGTCTGGAGGAACACCAACTTCAGCACAGAAACTCGAGGAATGCTCCGTGTACCCCAAATCGTGTCGAGATGAGAGCTGATTCCCTGGCTTAGGCTCAAGACGTATGCCAAGTTTCCAGAAGCACCTCATTAGGAGGCTTCTCTCAGCAATATGTATGTGGGAGGGACCCCGAGTTTGCTGCCTCAAGGGGAATATACAGCGAGAAGCCCTAACTTGAAAGGAGGCCGGATTTCCTTGCAGTGGCTAGAATACAGTCTCGTCTTTGATCTCAAAACCTGATGGGATGTCTGAATCGCCTGTGGAGACCTTAGAGTAAGCCCTAGGTCCCTGGCTCATTTTGACGGAATGCCTCACATCCCGCTGACACCTCGAGAGGCACGTGGAGTTCATTGCTTCAAAAGGTGACGATGCCTGACTCCTCTTGAATACTGATAGGAATCCGAAAATCCCTGTGGCTACTGGAAAGTGTCCTTGGGTGCCCTGCCTCACCTCGAGAAGCGTCCCTTTTGCCCTGCCATGCCTCGAAGAGATTCCTGAGGTGTCCCTCGTTACTAGACAGGAGTCCTGACGTCACTGAAGAAACAAAAACCATGAGACTTCCCCCTAGAGGCGAGATGAGACCCCATTCCCCTGCAGTGTATGCAGAGCTATTCCGTGATCCCATTCAAACAAGTCAGGAGCTTCGACTTGCTTAATGGATCTCGAGACAGTCCACAAGAACTCTGTCACCATTCTAGACGGACCCTGAGGTCACCCCAGCAACGCAAAGCAGCTCCATGTGCCCCAAGTCAACTCGAGATGAGGCCCGATTCCCCTGCATTGACTCCAGAGCCATTCCTCGTTCCCCATTCAACACGACCGGTGGCTCGACTTCCTTCCGGCAACTCCAGAGATGCCCCGAGAACACTGTCCCAAGTCTAGAGGAATTCCAACATCAGCACAGCAACTCGAGGAATGCTCCGTGTACCCCAAAACACCTCGAGATGAGAGCTGATTCCCTGGCGTAGGCTCAAGACGTATGAAAAATTTCCAAAAGCACCTCAGGAGGAGGCTTCTCTCAGCAATAGGTATGTGGGAGGGACCCCGAGTATGCTGCCTCAAGGGGAATATACAGCGAGAAGCCCTAACTTGAAAGGAGGCCGGATTTCCTTGCAGTGGCTTGAATACAGGCTCGTGTTTCATCTCACAACATGAAGGGATGTCTGAATCCCCTGTGGAGACCTTAGAGAAAGCCCTAGGTCACTGCCTCATTTTGACGGAATGCCTCACATCCCGTTGACATCTCGAGAGGCACGCGGAGTTCATTGCTTCAAAAGGTGACGATGCCTGAGTCCTCTTGAAAACTGATAGGAATCCCAAAATCCCTGTGGCTACTGGATAGGGTCCTTGGGTGCCCTGCCTCACCTCGAGAAGCGTCCCTTTTGCCCTGCCAAGCCTCGAAGAGATTCCTGAGGTGTCCCTCGTTACTAGACAGGAGTCCTGACGTCACTGAAGAAACTCGTGTTTTGAAGGGCCATCCCCGCCGTAAGTCGAGAACATACCCCAGGTCCCCGCCGCAACTCGAGAAAAACCATGAGACTTCCCCCTAGAGGCGAGATGAGGCCCCATTCCCCTGCAGTGCATGCAGAGCTATTCCGTGATCCCATTCAAACAAGTCAGGAGCTTCGACTTGCTTAATGGATCTCGACACATTGCCCAAGAACACTGTCACCAGTCTAGACGGACCCTGAGGTCACCCCACCAACGCAAAGCAGCTCCATGTGCCCCAAATCAACTCGAGATGAGGCCCGATTCCCCTGCATTGACTCCAGAGCCATTCCCCATTCCCCATTCAAGACGAACAGTGGATCGACTTCCTTCAGGCAACTCCAGAGATACCACTAGAACACTGTCCCAAGTCTAGAGGGACACAAACTTCAGCACAGCAACTCGATGAATGCTCCGTGTACCCCAAATCGTCTCGAGATGAGAGCTGATTTCCTGGCTTAGGCTCAAGACGTATGCCAACTTTCCAGAAGCACCTCAGGATGAGGCTTCTCTCAGCAATAGGTATGTGGGAGGGACCCCGAGTTTGCTGCCTCAAGGGGAATATACAGCGAGAAGCCCTAACTTGAAAAGAGGCCGGATTTCCTTGCAGTGGCTAGAATACAGGCTCGTCTTTCGTGTCAAAATCTGAAGGGATGTCTGAATCCCCTGTGGAGACCATACAGAAAGCCCTAGGTCCCTGCCTCATTTTGACGGAATGCCTCACATCCCGCTGACACCTCGAGAGGCACGTGGAGTTCATTGCTTCAAAAGGTGACGATGCCTGACTCCTCTTAAATACTGATAGGAATCCCAAAATCCCTGTGGCTACAGGAAAGGGTCCTTGGGTGCCCTGCCTCACCTCGAGAAGCGTCCCTTTTGCCCTGCCAAGCCTCGAAGAGATTCCTGAGGTGTCCCTCATTACTAGAAAGGAGTCCTGACGTCACTGAAGAAACTCGTGTTTTGAAGGTCCATCCCCGCCATAAGTCGAGAACATACCCCAGGTCCCCGCCGCAACTCGAGAAAAACCATAAGACTTCCCCCTAGAGGCGAGATGAGGCCCCATTCCCCTGCAGTGCATGCAGAGCTATTCCGTGATCCCATTCAAACAAGTCAGGAGCTTCGACTTGCATAATGGATCTCGAGACAGTCCCCAAGAACACTGTCACCAGTCTAGACGGACCCTGAGGTCACCCCAGCAACGCAAAGCAGCTCCATGTGCCCCAAATCAACTCGAGATGAGGCCCGATTCCCCTGGATTGACTCCAGAGCCATTCCCCGTTCCCCATTCAACAAGACCGGTGTCTCGACTTCCTTCAGGCAACTCCAGAGATGCCCCGAGAACACTGTCCCAAGTATAGAGGAACTCCAACTTCAGCACAGCAACTCGAGGAATGTGAGTGAACCCCAAATCGACTCGAGATGAGAGCTGATTCCCTGCCTTAGGCTCAAGACGTATGCCAACTTTCCAGAAGCACCTCAGCAGGAGGCTTCTCTCAGCAATAGCTATGTGCGAGGGACCCCGAGTTTGCTGCCTCAAGGGGAATATACAGCGAGAAGCCCTAATTTGAAAGGAGGCCGGATTTCCTTGCAGTGGCTAGAATACAGGCACGTCTTTGATCTCAAAACATGAAGGGATGTCTGAATCCCCTGTGGAGACCTTAGAGAAAGCCCTAGGTCCCTGCCTCATTTTGACGGAATGCCTCACATCCCGGTGACACCTCGAGAGGCACGCGGAGTTCATTGCTTCAAAAGGTGACGATGCCTGACTCCTCTTGAATACTGATAGGAATCCCAAAATCCCTGTGGCTACTGGAAAGGGTCCTTGGGTGCCCTGCCTCACCTCGAGAAGCGTCCCTTTTCCCCTGCCAAGCCTCGAAGAGATTCCTGAGGTGTCCCTCTTTACTAGACAGGGGTCCTGACGTCACTGAAGAAACTCGTGTTTTGAAGGGCCATCCCCGCCGTAAGGCGAGAACATACCCCAGGTCCCCGCCGCAACTCGAGAAAAACCATGAGACTTCCCCCTAGAGGCGAGATGAGGCCCCATTCCCCTGCAGTGCATGCAGAGCTATTCCATGATCCCATTCAAACAAGTCAGGAGCTTCGACTTGCATAATGGATCTCGAGACAGTCCCCAAGAACACTGTCACCAGTCTAGACGGACCCTGAGGTCACCCCAGCAACGCAAAGCAGCTCCATGTGCCCCAAATCAACTCGAGATGAGTCCCGATTCCCCTGAATTGACTCCAGAGCCATTCCCCGTTCCCCATTCAACAGGACCGTTGGCTCGACTTCCTTCAGGCAACTCCAGAGATGCCCCGAGAACACTGTCCCAAGTCTAGAGGAACTCCAACTTCAGCACAGCAACTCGAGGAATGCTCCGTGTACCCCAAATCATCTTGAGATCAGAGCTGTTTCCCTGCCTTAGGCTCAAGACGTATGCCAACTCTCCAGAAGCAACTCAGGAGGAGGCTTCTCTCAGCAATAGGTATGTGGGAGGGACCCCGAGTATGCTGCCTCAAGGGGAATATACAGCGAGAAGCCCTAACTTGAAAGGAGGCCGGATTTCCTTGCAGTGGCTTGAATACAAGCTCGTGTTTCATCTCACAACATGAAGGGATGTCTGAATCCCCTGTGGAGACCTTAGAGAAAGCCCTAGGTCACTGCCTCATTTTGACGGAATGCCTCACATCCCGTTGACATCTCGAGAGGCACGCGGAGTTCATTGCTTCAAAAGGTGACGATGCCTGAGTCCTCTTGAAAACTGATAGGAATCCCAAAATCCCTGTGGCTACTGGATAGGGTCCTTGGGTGCCCTGCCTCACCTCGAGAAGCGTCCCTTTTGCCCTGCCAAGCCTCGAAGAGATTCCTGAGGTGTCCCTCGTTACTAGACAGGAGTCCTGACGTCACTGAAGAAACTCGTGTTTTGAAGGGCCATCCCCGCCGTAAGTCGAGAACATACCCCAGGTCCCCGCCGCAACTCGAGAAAAACCATGAGACTTCCCCCTAGAGGCGAGATGAGGCCCCATTCCCCTGCAGTGCATGCAGAGCTATTCCGTGATCCCTTTCAAACAAGTCAGGAGCTTCGATTTGCTTAATGGATCTCGACACATTCCCCAAGAACACTGTCACCAGTCTAGACGGACCCTGAGGTCACCCCAGCAACGCAAAGCAGCTCCATGTGCCCCAAATCAACTCGAGATGAGGCCCGATTCCCCTGCATTGACTCCAGAGCCATTCCCCATTCCCCATTCAAGACGAACAGTGGCTCGACTTCCTTCAGGCAACTCCAGAGATACCACTAGAACACTGTCCCAAGTCTAGAGGAACACCAACTTCAGCACAGCAACTCGAGGAATGCCACGTGTACCCCAAATCGTCTCGAGATGAGAGCTGATTTCCTGGCTTAGGCTCAAGACGTATGCCAACTTTCCAGAAGCACCTCAGGATGAGGCTTCTCTCAGCAATAGGTATGTTGGAGGGACCCCGAGTTTGCTGCCTCAAGGGGAATATACAGCGAGAAGCCCTAACTTGAAAAGAGGCCGGATTTCCTTGCAGTGGCTAGAATACAGGCTCGTCTTTCGTGTCAAAATCTGAAGGGATGTCTGAATCCCCTGTGGAGACCATACAGAAAGCCCTAGGTCCCTGCCTCATTTTGACGGAATGCCTCACATCCCGCTGACACCTCGAGAGGCACGTGGAGTTCATTGCTTCAAAAGGTGACGATGCCTGACTCCTCTTGAATACTGATAGGAATCCCAAAATCCCTGTGGCTACTGGATAGGGTCCTTGGGTGCCCTGCCTCACCTCGAGAAGCGTCCCTTTTGCCCTGCCAAGCCTCGAAGAGATTCCTGAGGTGTCCCTCGTTACTAGACAGGAGTCCTGACGTCACTGAAGAAACTCGTGTTTTGAAGGGCCATCCCCGCCGTAAGTCGAGAACATACCCCAGGTCCCCGCCGCAACTCGAGAAAAACCATGAGACTTCCCCCTAGAGGCGAGATGAGGCCCCATTCCCCTGCAGTGCATGCAGAGCTATTCCGTGATCCCATTCAAACAAGTCAGGAGCTTCGACTTGCTTAATGGATCTCGACACATTGCCCAAGAACACTGTCACCAGTCTAGACGGACCCTGAGGTCACCCCACCAACGCAAAGCAGCTCCATGTGCCCCAAATCAACTCGAGATGAGGCCCGATTCCCCTGCATTGACTCCAGAGCCATTCCCCATTCCCCATTCAAGACGAACAGTGGATCGACTTCCTTCAGGCAACTCCAGAGATACCACTAGAACACTGTCCCAAGTCTAGAGGGACACAAACTTCAGCACAGCAACTCGATGAATGCTCCGTGTACCCCAAATCGTCTCGAGATGAGAGCTGATTTCCTGGCTTAGGCTCAAGACGTATGCCAACTTTCCAGAAGCACCTCAGGATGAGGCTTCTCTCAGCAATAGGTATGTGGGAGGGACCCCGAGTTTGCTGCCTCAAGGGGAATATACAGCGAGAAGCCCTAACTTGAAAAGAGGCCGGATTTCCTTGCAGTGGCTAGAATACAGGCTCGTCTTTCGTGTCAAAATCTGAAGGGATGTCTGAATCCCCTGTGGAGACCATACAGAAAGCCCTAGGTCCCTGCCTCATTTTGACGGAATGCCTCACATCCCGCTGACACCTCGAGAGGCACGTGGAGTTCATTGCTTCAAAAGGTGACGATGCCTGACTCCTCTTAAATACTGATAGGAATCCCAAAATCCCTGTGGCTACAGGAAAGGGTCCTTGGGTGCCCTGCCTCACCTCGAGAAGCGTCCCTTTTGCCCTGCCAAGCCTCGAAGAGATTCCTGAGGTGTCCCTCATTACTAGAAAGGAGTCCTGACGTCACTGAAGAAACTCGTGTTTTGAAGGTCCATCCCCGCCATAAGTCGAGAACATACCCCAGGTCCCCGCCGCAACTCGAGAAAAACCATAAGACTTCCCCCTAGAGGCGAGATGAGGCCCCATTCCCCTGCAGTGCATGCAGAGCTATTCCGTGATCCCATTCAAACAAGTCAGGAGCTTCGACTTGCATAATGGATCTCGAGACAGTCCCCAAGAACACTGTCACCAGTCTAGACGGACCCTGAGGTCACCCCAGCAACGCAAAGCAGCTCCATGTGCCCCAAATCAACTCGAGATGAGGCCCGATTCCCCTGGATTGACTCCAGAGCCATTCCCCGTTCCCCATTCAACAAGACCGGTGTCTCGACTTCCTTCAGGCAACTCCAGAGATGCCCCGAGAACACTGTCCCAAGTATAGAGGAACTCCAACTTCAGCACAGCAACTCGAGGAATGTGAGTGAACCCCAAATCGACTCGAGATGAGAGCTGATTCCCTGCCTTAGGCTCAAGACGTATGCCAACTTTCCAGAAGCACCTCAGCAGGAGGCTTCTCTCAGCAATAGCTATGTGCGAGGGACCCCGAGTTTGCTGCCTCAAGGGGAATATACAGCGAGAAGCCCTAATTTGAAAGGAGGCCGGATTTCCTTGCAGTGGCTAGAATACAGGCACGTCTTTGATCTCAAAACATGAAGGGATGTCTGAATCCCCTGTGGAGACCTTAGAGAAAGCCCTAGGTCCCTGCCTCATTTTGACGGAATGCCTCACATCCCGGTGACACCTCGAGAGGCACGCGGAGTTCATTGCTTCAAAAGGTGACGATGCCTGACTCCTCTTGAATACTGATAGGAATCCCAAAATCCCTGTGGCTACTGGAAAGGGTCCTTGGGTGCCCTGCCTCACCTCGAGAAGCGTCCCTTTTCCCCTGCCAAGCCTCGAAGAGATTCCTGAGGTGTCCCTCTTTACTAGACAGGGGTCCTGACGTCACTGAAGAAACTCGTGTTTTGAAGGGCCATCCCCGCCGTAAGGCGAGAACATACCCCAGGTCCCCGCCGCAACTCGAGAAAAACCATGAGACTTCCCCCTAGAGGCGAGATGAGGCCCCATTCCCCTGCAGTGCATGCAGAGCTATTCCATGATCCCATTCAAACAAGTCAGGAGCTTCGACTTGCATAATGGATCTCGAGACAGTCCCCAAGAACACTGTCACCAGTCTAGACGGACCCTGAGGTCACCCCAGCAACGCAAAGCAGCTCCATGTGCCCCAAATCAACTCGAGATGAGTCCCGATTCCCCTGAATTGACTCCAGAGCCATTCCCCGTTTCCCATTCAACAGGACCGTTGGCTCGACTTCCTTCAGGCAACTCCAGAGATGCCCCGAGAACACTGTCCCAAGTCTAGAGGAACTCCAACTTCAGCACAGCAACTCGAGGAATGCTCCGTGTACCCCAAATCATCTTGAGATCAGAGCTGTTTCCCTGCCTTAGGCTCAAGACGTATGCCAACTCTCCAGAAGCAACTCAGGAGGAGGCTTCTCTCAGCAATAGGTATGTGGGAGGGACCCCGAGTATGCTGCCTCAAGGGGAATATACAGCGAGAAGCCCTAACTTGAAAGGAGGCCGGATTTCCTTGCAGTGGCTTGAATACAAGCTCGTGTTTCATCTCACAACATGAAGGGATGTCTGAATCCCCTGTGGAGACCTTAGAGAAAGCCCTAGGTCACTGCCTCATTTTGACGGAATGCCTCACATCCCGTTGACATCTCGAGAGGCACGCGGAGTTCATTGCTTCAAAAGGTGACGATGCCTGAGTCCTCTTGAAAACTGATAGGAATCCCAAAATCCCTGTGGCTACTGGATAGGGTCCTTGGGTGCCCTGCCTCACCTCGAGAAGCGTCCCTTTTGCCCTGCCAAGCCTCGAAGAGATTCCTGAGGTGTCCCTCGTTACTAGACAGGAGTCCTGACGTCACTGAAGAAACTCGTGTTTTGAAGGGCCATCCCCGCCGTAAGTCGAGAACATACCCCAGGTCCCCGCCGCAACTCGAGAAAAACCATGAGACTTCCCCCTAGAGGCGAGATGAGGCCCCATTCCCCTGCAGTGCATGCAGAGCTATTCCGTGATCCCTTTCAAACAAGTCAGGAGCTTCGACTTGCTTAATGGATCTCGACACATTCCCCAAGAACACTGTCACCAGTCTAGACGGACCCTGAGGTCACCCCAGCAACGCAAAGCAGCTCCATGTGCCCCAAATCAACTCGAGATGAGGCCCGATTCCCCTGCATTGACTCCAGAGCCATTCCCCATTCCCCATTCAAGACGAACAGTGGCTCGACTTCCTTCAGGCAACTCCAGAGATACCACTAGAACACTGTCCCAAGTCTAGAGGAACACCAACTTCAGCACAGCAACTCGAGGAATGCCACGTGTACCCCAAATCGTCTCGAGATGAGAGCTGATTTCCTGGCTTAGGCTCAAGACGTATGCCAACTTTCCAGAAGCACCTCAGGATGAGGCTTCTCTCAGCAATAGGTATGTTGGAGGGACCCCGAGTTTGCTGCCTCAAGGGGAATATACAGCGAGAAGCCCTAACTTGAAAAGAGGCCGGATTTCCTTGCAGTGGCTAGAATACAGGCTCGTCTTTCGTGTCAAAATCTGAAGGGATGTCTGAATCCCCTGTGGAGACCATACAGAAAGCCCTAGGTCCCTGCCTCATTTTGACGGAATGCCTCACATCCCGCTGACACCTCGAGAGGCACGTGGAGTTCATTGCTTCAAAAGGTGACGATGCCTGACTCCTCTTGAATACTGATAGGAATCCCAAAATCCCTGTGGCTACTGGAAAGGGTCCTTGGGTGCCCTGCCTCACCTCGAGAAGCGTCCCTTTTGCCCTGCCAAGCCTCGAAGAGATTCCTGAGGTGTCCCTCATTACTAGAAAGGAGTCCTGACGTCACTGAAGAAACTCATGTTTTGAAGGTCCATCCCCGCAATAAGTCGAGAACATACCCCAGGTCCCCGCCGCAACTCGAGAAAAACGATGAGACTTCCCCCTAGAGGCGAGATGAGGCCCCATTCCCCTGCAGGGCATGCAGAGCTATTCCGTGATCCCATTCAAACAAGTCAGGAGCTTCGACTTGCTTAATGGATCTCGAGACAGTCCCCAAGAACACTGTCACCAGTCTAGACGGACCCTGAGGTCACCCCAGCAACGCAAAGCAGCTCCATGTGCCCCAAATCAACTCGAGATTAGGCCCGATTCCCCTGGATTGACTACAGAGCCATTCCCCGTTCCCCATTCAACAAGACCGGTGTCTCGACTTCCTTCAGGCAACTCCAGAGATGCCCCGAGAACACTGTCCCAAGTATAGAGGAACTCCAACTTCAGCACAGCAACTCGAGGAATGTGAGTGAACCCCAAATCGACTCGAGATGAGAGCTGATTCCCTGCCTTAGGCTCAAGACGTATGCCAACTTTCCAGAAGCACCTCAGCAGGAGGCTTCTCTCAGCAATAGCTATGTGCGAGGGACCCCGAGTTTGCTGCCTCAAGGGGAATATACAGCGAGAAGCCCTAATTTGAAAGGAGGCCGGATTTCCTTGCAGTGGCTAGAATCCAGGCACGTCTTTAATCTCAAAACATGAAGGGATGTCTGAATCCCCTGTGGAGACCTTAGAGAAAGCCCTAGGTCCCTGCCTCATTTTGACGGAATGCCTCACATCCTGGTGACACCTCGAGAGGCACGCGGAGTTCATTGCTTCAAAAGGTGACGATGTCTGACTCCTCTTGAATACTGATAGGAATCCCAAAATCCCTGTGGCTACTGGAAAGGGTCCTTGGGTGCCCTGCCTCACCTCGAGAAGCGTCCCTTTTCCCCTGCCAAGCCTCGAAGAGATTCCTGAGGTGTCCCTCTTTACTAGACAGGGGTCTTGACGTCACTGAAGAAACTCGTGTTTTGAAGGGCCATCCCCGCCGTAAGGCGAGAACATACCCCAGGTCCCCGCCGCAACTCGAGAAAAACCATGAGACTTCCCCCTAGAGGCGAGATGAGGCCCCATTCCCCTGCAGTGCATGCAGAGCTATTCCATGATCCCATTCAAACAAGTCAGGAGCTTCGACTTGCATAATGGATCTCGAGACAGTCCCCAAGAACACTGTCACCAGTCTAGACGGACCCTGAGGTCACCCCAGCAACGCAAAGCAGCTCCATGTGCCCCAAATCAACTCGAGATGAGTCCCGATTCCCCTGAATTGACTCCAGAGCCATTCCCCGTTCCCCATTCAACAGGACCGTTGGCTCGACTTCCTTCAGGCAACTCCAGAGATGCCCCGAGAACACTGTCCCAAGTCTAGAGGAACTCCAACTTCAGAACAGCAACTCGAGGAATGCTCCGTGTACCCCAAGTCATCTTGAGATGAGAGCTGTTTCCCTGCATTAGGCTCAAGACGTATGCCAACTCTCCAGAAGCAACTCAGGAGGAGGCTTCTCTCAGCAATAGGTATGTTGGAGGGACCCCGAGGTTGCTGCCTCAAGGGGAATATACAAGGAGAAGCCCTAACTTGAAAGGAGGCCGGATTTCCTTGCAGTGGCTAGAATACAGGCTCGTCTTTCATCTCACAACATGAAGGGATGTCTGAATCCCCTGTGGAGACCTTAGAGAAAGCCTTAGGTCCCTGCCTCATTTTGACGGAATGCCTCACATCCCGCTGACACCTCGAGAGGTATGTGGAGTTCATTGCTTCAAAAGGTGACGATGCCTGACTCCTCTTGTATACTGATAGGAATCCCAAAATCCCTGTGGCTACTGGAAAGGGTCCTTGGGTGCTCTGCTTCACCTCGAGAAGCGTCCCTTTTGCCCTGCCAAGCCTCGAAGAGATTCCTGAGGTGTCCCTCGTTACGAGACAGGAGTCCTGACGTCACTGAAGAAACTCGTGTTTTGAAAGGCCATCCCCGCTGTAAGTCGAGAACATACCCCAGGTACCCGCCGCAACTCGAGAAAAACCATGAGACTTCCCCCTAGAGGCGAGATGAGGCCCCTTTCCCCTGCAGTGCATGCAGAGCTATTCCGTGATCCCATTCAAACAAGGCAGGAGCTTCGACTTGCTTAATGGATCTCGAGACAGTCCCCAAGAACACTGTCACCAGTCTAGACGGACCCTGAGGTCACCCAAGCAACGCAAAGCAGCTCCATGTGCCCCAAATCAACTCGAGATGAGGCCCAATTCCCCTGGATTGATTCCAGAGCCATTCCCCATTCCCCATTCAAGACGAACAGTGGCTCGAATTCCTTCAGGCAACTCCAGAGATACCACTAGAACACTGTCCCAAGTCTAGAGGAACACAAACTTCAGCACAGCAACTCGATGAATGCTCCGTGTACCCCAAATCGTCTCAAGATGAGAGCTGATTTCCTGGCTTAGGCTCAAGACGTATGCCAACTTTCCAGAAGCACCTCAGGATGAGGCTTCTCTCAGCAATAGGTATGTGGGAGGGACCCCGAGTTTGCTGCCTCAAGGGGAATATACAGCGAGAAGCCCTAACTTGAAAAGAGGCCGGATTTCCTTGCAGTGGCTAGAATACAGGCTCGTCTTTCGTGTCAAAATCTGAAGGGATGTCTGAATCCCCTGTGGAGACCATACAGAAAGCCCTAGGTCCCTGCCTCATTTTGACGGAATGCCTCACATCCCGCTGACACCTCGAGAGGCACGTGGAGTTCATTGCTTCAAAAGGTGACGATGCCTGACTCCTCTTGAATACTTATAGGAATCCCAAAATCCCTGTGGCTACTGGAAAGGGTCCTTGGGTGCCCTGCCTCACCTCGAGAAGCGTCCCTTTTGCCCTGCCAAGCCTCGAAGAGATTCCTGAGGTGTCCCTCATTACTAGAAAGGAGTCCTGACGTCACTGAAGAAACTCGTGTTTTGAAGGTCCATCCCCGCCATAAGTCGAGAACATACCCCAGGTCCCCGCCGCAACTCGAGAAAAACCATGAGACTTCCCCCTAGAGGCGAGATGAGGCCCCATTCCCCTGCAGTGCATGCAGAGCTATTCCGTGATCCCATTCAAACAAGTCAGGAGCTTCGACTTGCTTAATGGATCTCGAGACAGTCCCCAAGAACACTGTCACCAGTCTAGACGGACCCTGAGGTCACCCCAGCAACGCAAAGCAGCTCCATGTGCCCCAAATCAACTCGAGATGAGGCCCGATTCCCCTGGATTGACTCCAGAGCCATTCCCCGTTCCCCATTCAACAAGACCGGTGTCTCGACTTCCTTCAGGCAACTCCAGAGATGCCCCGAGAACACTGTCCCAAGTATAGAGGAACTCCAACTTCAGCACAGCAACTCGAGGAATATGAGTGAACCCCAAATCGTCTCGAGATGAGAGCTGATTCCCTGCCTTAGGCTCAAGACGTATGCCAACTTTCCAGAAGCACCTCAGCAGGAGGCTTCTCTCAGCAATAGCTATGTGCGAGGGACCCCGAGTTTGCTGCCTCAAGGGGAATATACAGCGAGAAGCCCTAATTTGAAAGGAGGCCGGATTTCCTTGCAGTGGCTAGAATACAGGCACGTCTTTGATCTCAAAACATGAAGGGATGTCTGAATCCCCTGTGGAGACCTTAGAGAAAGCCCTAGGTCCCTGCCTCATTTTGACGGAATGCCTCACATCCCGGTGACACCTCGAGAGGCACGCGGAGTTCATTGCTTCAAAAGGTGACGATGCCTGACTCCTCTTGAATACTGATAGGAATCCCAAAATCCCTGTGGCTACTGGAAAGGGTCCTTGGGTGCCCTGCCTCACCTCGAGAAGCATCCCTTTTCCCCTGCCAAGCCTCGAAGAGATTCCTGAGGTGTCCCTCTTTACTAGACAGGGGTCCTGACGTCACTGAAGAAACTCGTGTTTTGAAGGGCCATCCCCGCTGTAAGGCGAGAACATACCCCAGGTCCCCGCCGCAACTCGAGAAAAACCATGAGACTTCCCCCTAGAGGCGAGATGAGGCCCCATTCCCCTGCAGTGCATGCAGAGCTATTCCATGATCCCATTCAAACAAGTCAGGAGCTTCGACTTGCATAATGGATCTCGAGACAGTCCCCAAGAACACTGTCACCAGTCTAGACGGACCCTGAGGTCACCCCAGCAACGCAAAGCAGCTCCATGTGCCCCAAATCAACTCGAGATGAGTCCCGATTCCCCTGAATTGACTCCAGAGCCATTCCCCATTCCCCATTCAACAGGACCGTTGGCTCGACTTCCTTCAGGCAACTCCAGAGATGCCCCGAGAACACTGTCCCAAGTCTAGAGGAACTCCAACTTCAGCACAGCAACTCGAGGAATGCTCCGTGTACCCCAAATCATCTTGAGATCAGAGCTGTTTCCCTGCCTTAGGCTCAAGACGTATGCCAACTCTCCAGAAGCAACTCAGGAGGAGGCTTCTCTCAGCAATAGGTATGTGGGAGGGACCCCGAGTATGCTGCCTCAAGGGGAATATACAGCGAGAAGCCCTAACTTGAAAGGAGGCCGGATTTCCTTGCAGTGGCTTGAATACAGGCTCGTGTTTCATCTCACAACATGAAGGGATGTCTGAATCCCCTGTGGAGACCTTAGAGAAAGCCCTAGGTCACTGCCTCATTTTGACGGAATGCCTCACATCCCGTTGACATCTCGAGAGGCACGCGGAGTTCATTGCTTCAAAAGGTGACGATGCCTGAGTCCTCTTGAAAACTGATAGGAATCCCAAAATCCCTGTGGCTACTGGATAGGGTCCTTGGGTGCCATGCCTCACCTCGAGAAGCGTCCCTTTTGCCCTGCCAAGCCTCGAAGAGATTCCTGAGGTGTCCCTCGTTACTAGACAGGAGTCCTGACGTCACTGAAGAAACTCGTGTTTTGAAGGGCCATCCCCGCCGTAAGTCGAGAACATACCCCAGGTCCCCGCCGCAACTCGAGAAAAACCATGAGACTTCCCCCTAGAGGCGAGATGAGGCCCCATTCCCCTGCAGTGCATGCAGAGCTATTCCGTGATCCCATTCAAACAAGTCAGGAGCTTCGACTTGCTTAATGGATCTCGACACATTCCCCAAGAACACTGTCACCAGTCTAGACGGACCCTGAGGTCACCCCAGCAACGCAAAGCAGCTCCATGTGCCCCAAATCAACTCGAGATGAGGCCCGATTCCCCTGCATTGACTCCCGAGCCATTCCCCATTCCCCATTCAAGACGAACAGTGGCTCGACTTCCTTCAGGCAACTCCAGAGATACCACTAGAACACTGTCCCAAGTCTAGAGGAAGACCAACTTCAGCACAGCAACTCGAGGAATGCCACGTGTACCCCAAATCGTCTCGAGATGAGAGCTGATTTCCTGGCTTAGGCTCAAGACGTATGCCAACTTTCCAGAAGCACCTCAGGATGAGGCTTCTCTCAGCAATAGGTATGTGGGAGGGACCCCGAGTTTGCTGCCTCAAGGGGAATATACAGCGAGAAGCCCTAACTTGAAAAGAGGCCGGATTTCTTTGCAGTGGCTAGAATACAGGCTCGTCTTTCGTGTCAAAATCTGAAGGGATGTCTGAATCCCCTGTGGAGACCATACAGAAAGCCCTAGGTCCCTGCCTCATTTTGACGGAATGCCTCACATCCCGCTGACACCTCGAGAGGCACGTGGAGTTCATTGCTTCAAAAGGTGACGATGCCTGACTCCTCTTGAATACTGATAGGAATCCCAAAATCCCTGTGGCTACTGGAAAGGGTCCTTGGGTGCCCGGCCTCACCTCGAGAAGCGTCCCTTTTGCCCTGCCAAGCCTCGAAGAGATTCCTGAGGTGTCCCTCATTACTAGAAAGGAGTCCTGACGTCACTGAAGAAACTCGTGTTTTGAAGGTCCATCCCCGCCATAAGTCGAGAACATACCCCAGGTCCCCGCCGCAACTCGAGAAAAACCATGAGACTTCCCCCTAGAGGCGAGATGAGGCCCCATTCCCCTGCAGTGCATGCAGAGCTATTCCATGATCCCATTCAAACAAGTCAGGTGCTTCGACTTGCTTAATGGATCTCGAGACAGTCCCCAAGAACACTGTCACCAGTCTAGACGGACCCTGAGGTCACCCCAGCAACGCAAAGCAGCTCCATGTGCCCCAAATCAACTCGAGATGAGGCCCGATTCCCCTGGATTGACTCCAGAGCCATTCCCCGTTCCCCATTCAACAGGACCGTTGGCTCGACTTCCTTCAGGCAACTCCAGAGATGCCCCGAGAACACTGTCCCAAGTCTAGAGGAACTCCAACTTCAGCACAGCAACTCGAGGAATGCTCCGTGTACCCCAAATCATCTTGAGATGAGAGCTGTTTCCCTGCCTTAGGCTCAAGACGTATGCCAACTCTCCAGAAGCAACTCAGGAGGAGGCTTCTCTCAGCAATAGGTATGTGGGAGGGACCCCGAGTATGCTGCCTCAAGGGGAATATACAGCGAGAAGCCCTAACTTGAAAGGAGGCCGGATTTCCTTGCAGTGGCTTGAATACAGGCTCGTGTTTCATCTCACAACATGAAGGGATGTCTGAATCCCCTGTGGAGACCTTAGAGAAAGCCCTAGGTCACTGCCTCATTTTGACGGAATGCCTCACATCCCGTTGACATCTCGAGAGGCACGCGGAGTTCATTGCTTCAAAAGGTGACGATGCCTGAGTCCTCTTGAAAACTGATAGGAATCCCAAAATCCCTGTGGCTACTGGATAGGGTCCTTGGGTGCCCTGCCTCACCTCGAGAAGCGTCCCTTTTGCCCTGCCAAGCCTCGAAGAGATTCCTGAGGTGTCCCTCGTTACTAGACAGGAGTCCTGACGTCACTGAAGAAACTCGTGTTTTGAAGGGCCATCCCCGCCGTAAGTCGAGAACATACCCCAGGTCCCCGCCGCAACTCGAGAAAAACCATGAGACTTCCCCCTAGAGGCGACATGAGGCCCCATTCCCCTGCAGTGCATGCAGAGCTATTCCGTGATCCCATTCAAACAAGTCAGGAGCTTCGACTTGCTTAATGGATCTCGACACATTCCCCAAGAACACTGTCACCAGTCTAGACGGACCCTGAGGTCACCCCAGCAACGCAAAGCAGCTCCATGTGCCCCAAATCAACTCGAGATGAGGCCCGATTCCCCTGCATTGACTCCAGAGCCATTCCCCATTCCCCATTCAAGACGAACAGTGGCTCGACTTCCTTCAGGCAACTCCAGAGATACCACTAGAACACTGTCCCAAGTCTAGAGGAAGACCAACTTCAGCACAGCAACTCGAGGAATGCCACGTGTACCCCAAATCGTCTCGAGATGAGAGCTGATTCCCTGGCTTAGGCTCAAGACGTATGCCAACTTTCCAGAAGCACCTCAGGACGAGGCTTCTCTCAGCAATAGGTATGTGGGAGGGACCCCGAGTTTGCTGCCTCAAGGGGAATATACAGCGAGAAGCCCTAACTTGAAAAGAGGCCGGATTTCCTTGCAGTGGCTAGAATACAGGCTCGTCTTTCGTGTCAAAATCTGAAGGGATGTCTGAATCCCCTGTGGAGACCATACAGAAAGCCCTAGGTCCCTGCCTCATTTTGACGGAATGCCTCACATCCCGCTGACACCTCGAGAGGCACGTGGAGTTCATTGCTTCAAAAGGTGACGATGCCTGACTCCTCTTGAATACTGATAGGAATCCCAAAATCCCTGTGGCTACTGGAAAGGGTCCTTGGGTGCCCTGCCTCACCTCGAGAAGCGTCCCTTTTGCCCTGCCAAGCCTCGAAGAGATTCCTGAGGTGTCCCTCATTACTAGAAAGGAGTCCTGACGTCACTGAAGAAACTCGTGTTTTGAAAGGCCATCCCCGCCGTAAGTCGAGAACATACCCCAGGTCCCCGCCGCAACTCGAGAAAAACCATGAGACTTCCCCCTAGAGGCGAGATGAGGCCCCATTCCCCTGCAGTGCATGCAGAGCTATTCCGTGATCCCATTCAAACAAGTCAGGTGCTTCGACTTGCTTAATGGATCTCGAGACAGTCCCCAAGAACACTGTCACCAGTCTAGACGGACCCTGAGGTCACCCCAGCAACGCAAAGCAGCTCCATGTGCCCCAAATCAACTCGAGATGAGGCCCGATTCCCCTGGATTGACTCCAGAGCCATTCCCCGTTCCCCATTCAACAAGACCGGTGTCTCGACTTCCTTCAGGCAACTCCAGAGATGCCCCGAGAACACTGTCCCAAGTCTGGAGGAACACCAACTTCAGCACAGAAACTCGAGGAATGCTCCGTGTACCCCAAATCGTGTCGAGATGAGAGCTGATTCCCTGGCTTAGGCTCAAGACGTATGCCAAGTTTCCAGAAGCACCTCAGGAGGAGGCTTCTCTGAGCAATAGGTATGTGGGAGGGACCCCGAGTTTGCTGCCTCAAGGGGAATATACAGCGAGAAGCCCTAACTTGAAAGGAGGCCGGATTTCCTTGCAGTGGCTAGAATACAGGCTCGTCTTTGATCTCAAAACCTGATGGGATGTCTGAATCGCCTGTGGAGACCTTAGAGTAAGCCCTAGGTCCCTGGCTCATTTTGACGGAATGCCTCACATCCCGCTGACACCTCGAGAGGCACGTGGAGTTCATTGCTTCAAAAGGTGACGATGCCTGACTCCTCTTGAATACTGATAGGAATCCGAAAATCCCTGTGGCTACTGGAAAGGGAACTTGGGTGCCCTGCCTCACCTCGAGAAGCGTCCCTTTTGCCCTGCCATGCCTCGAAGAGATTCCTGAGGTGTCCCTCGTTACTAGACAGGAGTCCTGACGTCACTGAAGAAACAAAAACCATGAGACTTCCCCCTAGAGGCGAGATGAGGTCCCATTCCCCTGCAGTGTATGCAGAGCTATTCCGTGATCCCATTCAAACAAGTCAGGAGCTTCGACTTGCTTAATGGATCTCGAGACAGTCCACAAGAACTCTGTCACCATTCTAGACGGACCCTGAGGTCACCCCAGCAACGCAAAGCAGCTCCATGTGCCCCAAATCAACTCGAGATGAGGCCCGATTCCCCTGCATTGACTCCAGAGCCATTCCTCGTTCCCCATTCAACACGACCGGTGGCTCGACTTCCTTCCGGCAACTCCAGAGATGCCCCGAGAACACTGTCCCAAGTCTAGAGGAATTCCAACATCAGCACAGCAACTCGAGGAATGCTCCGTGTACCCCAAAACACCTCGAGATGAGAGCTGATTCCCTGGCGTAGGCTCAAGACGTATGAAAACTTTCCAAAAGCACCTCAGGAGGAGGCTTCTCTCAGCAATAGGTATGTGGGAGGGACCCCGAGTATGCTGCCTCAAGGGGAATATACAGCGAGAAGCCCTAACTTGAAAGGAGGCCGGATTTCCTTGCAGTGGCTTGAATACAGGCTCGTGTTTCATCTCACAACATGAAGGGATGTCTGAATCCCCTGTGGAGACCTTAGAGAAAGCCCTAGGTCACTGCCTCATTTTGACGGAATGCCTCACATCCCGTTGACATCTCGAGAGGCACGCGGAGTTCATTGCTTCAAAAGGTGACGATGCCTGAGTCCTCTTGAAAACTGATAGGAATCCCAAAATCCCTGTGGCTACTGGATAGGGTCCTTGGGTGCCCTGCCTCACCTCGAGAAGCGTCCCTTTTGCCCTGCCAAGCCTCGAAGAGATTCCTGAGGTGTCCCTCGTTACTAGACAGGAGTCCTGACGTCACTGAAGAAACTCGTGTTTTGAAGGGCCATCCCCGCCGTAAGTCGAGAACATACCCCAGGTCCCCGCCGCAACTCGAGAAAAACCATGAGACTTCCCCCTAGAGGCGAGATGAGGCCCCATTCCCCTGCAGTGCATGCAGAGCTATTCCGTGATCCCATTCAAACAAGTCAGGAGCTTCGACTTGCTTAATGGATCTCGACACATTCCCCAAGAACACTGTCACCAGTCTAGACGGACCCTGAGGTCACCCCAGCAACGCAAAGCAGCTCCATGTGCCCCAAATCAACTCGAGATGAGGCCCGATTCCCCTGCATTGACTCCAGAGCCATTCCCCATTCCCCATTCAAGACGAACAGTGGCTCGACTTCCTTCAGGCAACTCCAGAGATACCACTAGAACACTGTCCCAAGTCTAGAGGAACACCAACTTCAGCACAGCAACTCGAGGAATGCCACGTGTACCCCAAATCGTCTCGAGATGAGAGCTGATTTCCTGGCTTAGGCTCAAGACGTATGCCAACTTTCCAGAAGCACCTCAGGACGAGGCTTCTCTCAGCAATAGGTATGTGGGAGGGACCCCGAGTTTGCTGCCTCAAGGGGAATATACAGCGAGAAGCCCTAACTTGAAAAGAGGCCGGATTTCCTTGCAGTGGCTAGAATACAGGCTCGTCTTTCGTGTCAAAATCTGAAGGGATGTCTGAATCCCCTGTGGAGACCATACAGAAAGCCCTAGGTCCCTGCCTCATTTTGACGGAATGCCTCACATCCCGCTGACACCTCGAGAGGCACGTGGAGTTCATTGCTTCAAAAGGTGACGATGCCTGACTCCTCTTGAATACTGATAGGAATCGCAAAATCCCTGTGGCTACTGGAAAGGGTCCTTGGGTGCCCTGCCTCACCTCGAGAAGCGTCCCTTTTGCCCTGCCAAGCCTCGAAGAGATTCCTGAGGTGTCCCTCATTACTAGAAAGGAGTCCTGACGTCACTGAAGAAACTCGTGTTTTGAAGGTCCATCCCCGCCATAAGTCGAGAACATACCCCAGGTCCCCGCCGCAACTCGAGAAAAACCATGAGACTTCCCCCTAGAGGCGAGATGAGGCCCCATTCCCCTGCAGTGCATGCAGAGCTATTCCGTGATCCCATTCAAACAAGTCAGGAGCTTCGACTTGCTTAGTGGATCTCGAGACAGTCCCCAAGAACACTGTCACCAGTCTAGACGGACCCTGAGGTCACCCCAGCAACGCAAAGCAGCTCCATGTGCCCCAAATCAACTCGAGATGAGGCCCGATTCCCCTGGATTGACTCCAGAGCCATTCCCCGTTCCCCATTCAACAAGACCGGTGTCTCGACTTCCTTCAGGCAACTCCAGAGATGCCCCGAGAACACTGTCCCAAGTATAGAGGAACTCCAACTTCAGCACAGCAACTCGAGGAATGTGAGTGAACCCCAAATCGACTCGAGATGAGAGCTGATTCCCTGCCTTAGGCTCAAGACGTATGCCAACTTTCCAGAAGCACCTCAGCAGGAGGCTTCTCTCAGCAATAGCTATGTGCGAGGGACCCCGAGTTTGCTGCCTCAAGGGGAATATACAGCGAGAAGCCCTAATTTGAAAGGAGGCCGGATTTCCTTGCAGTGGCTAGAATACAGGCACGTCTTTGATCTCAAAACATGAAGGGATGACTGAATCCCCTGTGGAGACCTTAGAGAAAGCCCTAGGTCCCTGCCTCATTTTGACGGAATGCCTCACATCCCGGTGACACCTCGAGAGGCACGCGGAGTTCATTGCTTCAAAAGGTGACGATGCCTGACTCCTCTTGAATACTGATAGGAATCCCAAAATCCCTGTGGCTACTGGAAAGGGTCCTTGGGTGCCCTGCCTCACCTCGAGAAGCGTCCCTTTTCCCCTGCCAAGCCTCGAAGAGATTCCTGAGGTGTCCCTCTTTACTAGACAGGGGTCCTGACGTCACTGAAGAAACTCGTGTTTTGAAGGGCCATCCCCGCCGTAAGGCGAGAACATACCCCAGGTCCCGGCCGCAACTCGAGAAAAACCATGAGACTTCCCCCTAGAGGCGAGATGAGGCCCCATTCCCCTGCAGTGCATGCAGAGCTATTCCATGATCCCATTCAAACAAGTCAGGAGCTTCGACTTGCATAATGGATCTCGAGACAGTCCCCAAGAACACTGTCACCAGTCTAGACGGACCCTGAGGTCACCCCAGCAACGCAAAGCAGTGCCATGTGCCCCAAATCAACTCGAGATGAGTCCCGATTCCCCTGAATTGACTCCAGAGCCATTCCCCATTCCCCATTCAACAGGACCGTTGGCTCGACTTCCTTCAGGCAACTCAAGAGATGCCCCGAGAACACTGTCCCAAGTCTAGAGGAACTCCAACTTCAGCACAGCAACTCGAGGAATGCTCCGTGTACCCCAAATCATCTTGAGATGAGAGCTGTTTCCCTGCCTTAGGCTCAAGACGTATGCCAACTCTCCAGAAGCAACTCAGGAGGAGGCTTCTCTCAGCAATAGGTATGTGGGAGGGACCCCGAGTATGCTGCCTCAAGGGGAATATACAGCGAGAAGCCCTAACTTGAAAGGAGGCCGAATTTCCTTGCAGTGGCTTGAATACAGGCTCGTGTTTCATCTCACAACATGAAGGGATGTCTGAATCCCCTGTGGAGACCTTAGAGAAAGCCCTAGGTCACTGCCTCATTTTGACGGAATGCCTCACATCCCGTTGACATCTCGAGAGGCACGCGGAGTTCATTGCTTCAAAAGGTGACGATGCCTGAGTCCTCTTGAAAACTGATAGGAATCCCAAAATCCCTGTGGCTACTGGATAGGGTCCTTGGGTGCCCTGCCTCACCTCGAGAAGCGTCCCTTTTGCCCTGCCAAGCCTCGAAGAGATTCCTGAGGTGTCCCTCGTTACTAGACAGGAGTCCTGACGTCACTGAAGAAACTCGTGTTTTGAAGGGCCATCCCCGCCGTAAGTCGAGAACATACCCCAGGTCCCCGCCGCAACTCGAGAAAAACCATGAGACTTCCCCCTAGAGGCGAGATGAGGCCCCATTCCCCTGCAGTGCATGCAGAGCTATTCCGTGATCCCATTCAAACAAGTCAGGAGCTTCGACTTGCTTAATGGATCTCGACACATTCCCCAAGAACACTGTCACCAGTCTAGACGGACCCTGAGGTCACCCCAGCAACGCAAAGCAGCTCCATGTGCCCCAAATCAACTCGAGATGAGGCCCGATTCCCCTGCATTGACTCCCGAGCCATTCCCCATTCCCCATTCAAGACGAACAGTGGCTCGACTTCCTTCAGGCAACTCCAGAGATACCACTAGAACACTGTCCCAAGTCTAGAGGAACACCAACTTCAGCACAGCAACTCGAGGAATGCCACGTGTACCCCAAATCGTCTCGAGATGAGAGCTGATTTCCTGGCTTAGGCTCAAGACGTATGCCAACTTTCCAGAAGCACCTCAGGAGGAGGCTTCTCTCAGCAATAGGTATGTGGGAGGGACCCCTAGGTTGCTGCCTCAAGGGGAATATACAGCGAGAAGCCCTAATTTGAAAGGAGGCCGGATTTCCTTGCAGTGGCTAGAATCCAGGCACGTCTTTAATCTCAAAACATGAAGGGATGTCTGAATCCCCTGTGGAGACCTTAGAGAAAGCCCTAGGTCCCTGCCTCATTTTGACGGAATGCCTCACATCCCGGTGACACCTCGAGAGGCACGCGGAGTTCATTGCTTCAAAAGGTGACGATGCCTGACTTCTCTTGAATAATGATAGGAATCCCAAAATCCCTGTGGCTACTGGAAAGGGTCCTTGGGTGCCCTGCCTCACCTCGAGAAGCGTCCCTTTTCCCCTGCCAAGCCTCGAAGAGATTCCTGAGGTGTCCCTCTTTACTAGACAGGGGTCCTGACGTCACTGAAGAAACTCGTGTTTTGAAGGGCCATCCCCTCCGTAAGGCGAGAACATACCCCAGGTCCCCGCCGCAACTCGAGAAAAACCATGAGACTTCCCCCTAGAGGCGAGATGAGGCCTCATTCCCTTCAGTGCATGCAGAGCTATTCCATGATCCCATTCAAACAAGTCAGGAGCTTCGACTTGCATAATGGATCTCGAGACAGTCCCCAAGAACACTGTCACCAGTCTAGACAGACCCTGAGGTCACCCCAGCAACGCAAAGCAGCTCCATGTGCCCCAAATCAACTCGAGATGAGTCCCGATTCCCCTGAATTGACTCCAGAGCCATTCCCCGTTCCCCATTCAACAGGACCGTTGGCTCGACTTCCTTCAGGCAACTCCAGAGATGCCCCGAGAACACTGTCCCAAGTCTAGAGGAACTCCAACTTCAGCACAGCAACTCGAGGAATGCTCCGTGTACACCAAGTCATCTTGAGATGAGAGCTGTTTCCCTGCCTTAGGCTCAAGACGTATGCCAACTCTCCAGAAGCAACTCAGGAGGAGGCTTCTCTCAGCAATAGGTATGTGGGAGGGACCCCGAGGTTGCTGCCTCAAGGGGAATATACAGCGAGAAGCCCTAACTTGAAAGGAGGCCGGATTTCCTTGCAGTGGCTAGAATACAGGCTCGTCTTTCATCTCACAACATGAAGGGATGTCTGAATCCCCTGTGGAGACCTTAGAGAAAGCCTTAGGTCCCTGCCTCATTTTGACGGAATGCCTCACATCCCGCTGACACCTCGAGAGATATGTGGAGTTCATTGCTTCAAAAGGTCACGATGCCTGACTCCTCTTGTATACTGATAGGAATCCCAAAATCCCTGTGGCTACTGGAAAGGGTCCTTGGGTGCTCTGCTTCACCTCGAGAAGCGTCCCTTTTGCCCTGCCAAGCCTCGAAGAGATTCCTGAGGTGTCCCTCGTTACGAGACAGGAGTCCTGACGTCACTGAAGAAACTCGTGTTTTGAAAGGCCATCCCCGCCGTAAGTCGAGAACATACCCCAGGTCCCCGTCGCAACTCGAGAAAAACCATGAGACTTCCCCCTAGAGGCGAGATGAGGCCCCTTTCCCCTGCAGTGCATGCAGAGCTATTCCGTGATCCCATTCAAACAAGGCAGGAGCTTCGACTTGCTTAATGGATCTCGAGACAGTCCCCAAGAACACTGTCACCAGTCTAGACGGACCCTGAGGTCACCCAAGCAACGCAAAGCAGCTCCATGTGCCCCAAATCAACTCGAGATGAGGCCCAATTCCCCTGGATTGATTCCAGAGCCATTCCCCGTTCCCCATTCAACACGACCGGTGACTTGACTTCCTTCAGCCAACTCCAGAGATGCCCCGAGAACACTGTCCCAAGTCTGGAGGAACACCAACTTCAGCACAGAATCTCGAGGAATGCTCCGTGTACCCCAAATCGTGTCGAGATGAGAGCTGATTCCCTGGCTTAGGCTCAAGACGTATGCCAAGTTTCCAGAAGCACCTCAGGAGGAGGCTTCTCTCAGCAATAGGTATGTGGGAGGGACCCCGAGTTTGCTGCCTCAAGGGGAATATACAGCGAGAAGCCCTAACTTGAAAGGAGGCCGGATTTCCTTGCAGTGGCTAGAATACAGGCTCGTCTTTGATCTCAAAACCTGATGGGATGTCTGAATCCCCTGTGGAGACCTTAGAGAAAGCCCTAGGTCCCTGCCTCATTTTGACGGAATGCCTCACATCCCGCTGACACCTCGAGAGGCACGTGGAGTTCATTGCTTCAAAAGGTGACGATGCCTGACTCCTCTTGAATACTGATAGGAATCCGAAAATCCTGTGGCTACTGGAAAGGGGACTTGGGTGCCCTGCCTCACCTCGAGAAGCGTCCCTTTTGCCCTGCCATGCCTCGAAGAGATTCCTGAGGTGTCCCTCGTTACTAGACAGGAGTACTGACGTCACTGAAGAAACAAAAACCATGAGACTTCCCCCTAGAGGCGAGATGAGGCCCCATTCCCCTGCAGTGTATGCAGAGCTATTCCGTGATCCCATTCAAACAAGTCAGGAGCTTCGACTTGCTTAATGGATCTCGAGACAGTCCACAAGAAATCTGTCACCATTCTAGACGGACCCTGAGGTCACCCCAGCAACGCAAAGCAGCTCCATGTGCCCCAAGTCAACTCGAGATGAGGCCCGATTCCCCTGCATTGACTCCAGAGCCATTCCTCGTTCCCCATTCAACACGACCGGTGGCTCGACTTCCTTCCGGCAACTCCAGAGATGCCCCGAGAACACTGTCCCAAGTCTAGAGGAATTCCAACATCAGCACAGCAACTCGAGGAATGCTCCGTGTACCCCAAAACACCTCGAGATGAGAGCTGATTCCCTGGCGTAGGCTCAAGACGTATGAAAACTTTGCAAAAGCACCTCAGGAGGAGGCTTCTCTCAGCAATAGGTATGTGGGAGGGACCCCGAGTATGCTGCCTCAAGGGGAATATACAGCGAGAAGCCCTAACTTGAAAGGAGGCCGGATTTCCTTGCAGTGGCTTGAATACAGGCTCGTGTTTCATCTCACAACATGAAGGGATGTCTGAATCCCCTGTGGAGACCTTAGAGAAAGCCCTAGGTCACTGCCTCATTTTGACGGAATGCCTCACATCCCGTTGACATCTCGAGAGGCACGCGGAGTTCATTGCTTCAAAAGGTGACGATGCCTGAGTCCTCTTGAAAACTGATAGGAATCCCAAAATCCCTGTGGCTACTGGATAGGGTCCTTGGGTGCCCTGCCTCACCTCGAGAAGCGTCCCTTTTGCCCTGCCAAGCCTCGAAGAGATTCCTGAGGTGTCCCTCGTTACTAGACAGGAGTCCTGACGTCACTGAAGAAACTCGTGTTTTGAAGGGCCATCCCCGCCGTAAGTCGAGAACATACCCCAGGTCCCCGCCGCAACTCGAGAAAAACCATGAGACTTCCCCCTAGAGGCGAGATGAGGCCCCATTCCCCTGCAGTGCATGCAGAGCTATTCCGTGATCCCATTCAAACAAGTCAGGAGCTTCGACTTGCTTAATGGATCTCGACACATTCCCCAAGAACACTGTCACCAGTCTAGACGGACCCTGAGGTCACCCCAGCAACGCAAAGCAGCTCCATGTGCCCCAAATCAACTCGAGATGAGGCCCGATTCCCCTGCATTGACTCCAGAGCCATTCCCCATTCCCCATTCAAGACGAACAGTGGCTCGACTTCCTTCAGGCAACTCCAGAGATACCACTAGAACACTGTCCCAAGTCTAGAGGAACACCAACTTCAGCACAGCAACTCGAGGAATGCCACGTGTACCCCAAATCGTCTCGAGATGAGAGCTGATTTCCTGGCTTAGGCTCAAGACGTATGCCAACTTTTCAGAAGCACCTCAGGATGAGGCTTCTCTCAGCAATAGGTATGTGGGAGGGACCCCGAGTTTGCTGCCTCAAGGGGAATATACAGCGAGAAGCCCTAACTTGAAAAGAGGCCGGATTTCCTTGCAGTGGCTAGAATACAGGCTCGTCTTTCGTGTCAAAATCTGAAGGGATGTCTGAATCCCCTGTGGAGACCTTACAGAAAGCCCTAGGTCCCTGCCTCATTTTGACGGAATGCCTCACATCCCGCTGACACCTCGAGAGGCACGTGGAGTTCATTGCTTCAAAAGGTGACGATGCCTGACTCCTCTTGAATACTGATAGGAATCCCAAAATCCCTGTGGCTACTGGAAAGGGTCCTTGGGTGCCCTGCCTCACCTCGAGAAGCGTCCCTTTTGCCCTGCCAAGCCTCGAAGAGATTCCTGAGGTGTCCCTCATTACTAGAAAGGAGTCCTGACGTCACTGAAGAAACTCGTGTTTTGAAGGTCCATCCCCGCCATAAGTCGAGAACATACCCCAGGTCCCCGCCGCAACTCGAGAAAAACCATGAGACTTCCCCCTAGAGGCGAGATGAGGCCCCATTCCCCTGCAGTGCATGCAGAGCTATTCCGTGATCCCATTCAAACAAGTCAGGAGCTTCGACTTGCTTAGTGGATCTCGAGACAGTCCCCAAGAACACTGTCACCAGTCTAGACGGACCCTGAGGTCACCCCAGCAACGCAAAGCAGCTCCATGTGCCCCAAATCAACTCGAGATGAGGCCCGATTCCCCTGGATTGACTCCAGAGCCATTCCCCGTTCCCCATTCAACAAGACCGGTGTCTCGACTTCCTTCAGGCAACTCCAGAGATGCCCCGAGAACACTGTCCCAAGTATAGAGGAACTCCAACTTCAGCACAGCAACTCGAGGAATGTGAGTGAACCCCAAATCGACTCGAGATGAGAGCTGATTCCCTGCCTTAGGCTCAAGATGTATGCCAACTTTCCAGAAGCACCTCAGCAGGAGGCTTCTCTCAGCAATAGCTATGTGCGAGGGACACCGAGTTTGCTGCCCCAAGGGGAATATACAGCGAGAAGCCCTAATTTGAAAGGAGGCCGGATTTCCTTGCAGTGGCTAGAATACAGGCACGTCTTTGATCTCAAAACATGAAGGGATGTCTGAATCCCCTGTGGAGACCTTAGAGAAAGCCCTAGGTCCCTGCCTCATTTTGACGGAATGCCTCACATCCCGGTGACACCTCGAGAGGCACGCGGAGTTCATTGCTTCAAAAGGTGACGATGCCTGACTCCTCTTGAATACTGATAGGAATCCCAAAATCCCTGTGGCTACTGGAAAGGGTCCTTGGGTGCCCTGCCTCACCTCGAGAAGCGTCCCTTTTCCCCTGCCAAGCCTCGAAGAGATTCCTGAGGTGTCCCTCTTTACTAGACAGGGGTCCTGACGTCACTGAAGAAACTCGTGTTTTGAAGGGCCATCCCCGCCGTAAGGCGAGAACATACCCCAGGTCCCCGCCGCAACTCGAGAAAAACCATGAGATTTCCCCCTAGAGGCGAGATGAGGCCCCATTCCCGTGCAGTGCATGCAGAGCTATTCCATGATCCCATTCAAACAAGTCAGGAGCTTCGACTTGCATAATGGATCTCGAGACAGTCCGAAGGACACTGTCACCAGTCTAGACGGACCCTGAGGTCACCCCAGCAACGCAAAGCAGCTCCATGTGCCCCAAATCAACTCGAGATGAGTCCCGATTCCCCTGAATTGACTCCACAGCCATTCCCCGTTCCCCATTCAACAGGACCGTTGGCTCGACTTCCTTCAGGCAACTCCAGAGATGCCCCGAGAACACTGTCCCAAGTCTAGAGGAACTCCAACTTCAGCACAGCAACTCGAGGAATGCTCCGTGTACCCCAAATCATCTTGAGATGAGAGCTGTTTCCCTGCCTTAGGCTCAAGACGTATGCCAACTCTCCAGAAGCAACTCAGGAGGAGGCTTCTCTCAGCAATAGGTATGTGGGAGGGACCCCGAGGTTGCTGCCTCAAGGGGAATATACAACGAGAAGCCCTAACTTGAAAGGAGGCCAGATTTCCTTGCAGTGGCTAGAATACAGGCTCGTCTTTCATCTCACAACATGAAGGGATGTCTGAATCCCCTGTGGAGACCTTAGAGAAAGCCTTAGGTCCCTGCCTCATTTTGACGGAATGCCTAACATCCCGCTGACACCTCGAGAGGTATGTGGAGTTCATTGCTTCAAAAGGTGACGATGCCTGACTCCTCTTGTATACTGATAGGAATCCCAAAATCCCTGTGGCTACTGGAAAGGGTCCTTGGGTGCTCTGCTTCACCTCGAGTAGCGTCCCTTTTGCCCTGCCAAGCCTCGAAGAGATTCCTGAGGTGTCCCTCGTTACGAGACAGGAGTCCTGACGTCACTGAAGAAACTCGTGTTTTGAAAGGCCATCCCCGCCGTAAGTCGAGAACATACCCCAGGTCCCCGCCGCAACTCGAGAAAAACCATGAGACTTCCCCCTAGAGGCGAGATGAGGCCCCTTTCCCCTGCAGTGCATGCAGAGCTATTCCGTGATCCCATTCAAACAAGGCAGGAGCTTCGACTTGCTTAATGGATCTCGAGACAGTCCCCAAGAACACTTTCACCAGTCTAGACGGACCCTGAGGTCACCCCAGCAACGCAAAGCAGCTCCATGTGCCCCAAATCAACTCGAGATGAGGCCCAATTCCCCTGGATTGATTCCAGAGCCATTCCCCGTTCCCCATTCAACACGACCGGTGACTTGACTTCCTTCAGGCAACTCCAGAGATGCCCCGAGAACACTGTCCCAAGTCTGGAGGAACACCAACTTCAGCACAGAAACTCGAGGAATGCTCCGTGTACCCCAAATCGTGTCGAGATGAGAGCTGATTCCCTGGCTTAGGCTCAAGACGTATGCCAAGTTTCCAGAAGCACCTCAGGAGGAGGCTTCTCTCAGCAATAGGTATGTGGGAGGGACCCCGAGTTTGCTGCCTCAAGGGGAATATACAGCGAGAAGCCCTAACTTGAAAGGAGGCCGGATTTCCTTGCAGTGGCTAGAATACAGGCTCGTCTTAGATCTCAAAACCTGATGGGATGTCTGAATCGCCTGTGGAGACCTTAGAGTAAGCCCTAGGTCCCTGGCTCATTTTGACGGAATGCCTCACATCCCGCTGACAACTCGAGAGGCACGGGGAGTTCATTGCTTCAAAAGGTGACGATGCCTGACTCCTCTTGAATACTGATAGGAATCCGAAAATCCCTGTGGCTACTGGAAAGGGGACTTGGGTGCCCTGCCTCACCTCGAGAAGCGTCCCTTTTGCCCTGCCATGCCTCGAAGAGATTCCTGAGGTGTCCCTCGTTACTAGACAGGAGTCCTGACGTCACTGAAGAAACAAAAACCATGAGACTTCCCCCTAGAGGCGAGATGAGGCCCCATTCCCCTGCAGTGTATGCAGAGCTCTTCCGTGATCCCATTCAAACAAGTCAGGAGCTTCGACTTGCTTAATGGATCTCGAGACAGTCCACAAGAACTCTGTCACCATTCTAGACGGACCCTGAGGTCACCCCAGCAACGCAAAGCAGCTCCATGTGCCCCAAGTCAACTCGAGATGAGGCCCGATTCCCCTGCATTGACTCCAGAGCCATTCCTCGTTCCCCATTCAACACGACCGGTGGCTCGACTTCCTTCCGGCAACTCCAGAGATGCCCCGAGAACACTGTCCCAAGTCTAGAGGAATTCCAACATCAGCACAGCAACTCGAGGAATGCTCCGTGTACCCCAAAACACCTCGAGATGAGAGCTGATTCCCTGGCGTAGGCTCAAGACGTATGAAAACTTTCCAAAAGCACCTCAGGAGGAGGCTTCTCTCAGCAATAGGTATGTGGGAGGGACCCCGAGTATGCTGCCTCAAGGGGAATATACAGCGAGAAGCCCTAACTTGAAAGGAGGCCGGATTTCCTTGCAGTGGCTTGAATACAGGCTCGTGTTTCATCTCACAACATGAAGGGATGTCTGAATCCCCTGTGGAGACCTTAGAGAAAGCCCTAGGTCACTGCCTCATTTTGACGGAATGCCTCACATCCCGTTGACATCTCGAGAGGCACGCGGAGTTCATTGCTTCAAAAGGTGACGATGCCTGAGTCCTCTTGAAAACTGATAGGAATCCCAAAATCCCTGTGGCTACTGGATAGGGTCCTTGGGTGCCCTGCCTCACCTCGAGAAGCGTCCCTTTTGCCCTGCCAAGCCTCGAAGAGATTCCTGAGGTGTCCCTCGTTACTAGACAGGAGTCCTGACGTCACTGAAGAAACTCGTGTTTTGAAGGGCCATCCCCGCCGTAAGTCGAGAACATACCCCAGGTCCCCGCCGCAACTCGAGAAAAACCATGAGACTTCCCCCTAGAGGCGAGATGAGGCCCCATTCCCCTGCAGTGCATGCAGAGCTATTCCGTGATCCCATTCAAACAAGTCAGGAGCTTCGACTTGCTTAATGGATCTCGACACATTCCCCAAGAACACTGTCACCAGTCTAGACGGACCCTGAGGTCACCCCAGCAACGCAAAGCAGCTCCATGTGCCCCAAATCAACTCGAGATGAGGCCCGATTCCCCTGCATTGACTCCAGAGCCATTCCCCATTCCCCATTCAAGACGAACAGTGGCTCGACTTCCTTCAGGCAACTCCAGAGATACCACTAGAACACTGTCCCAAGTCTAGAGGAACACCAACTTCAGCACAGCAACTCGAGGAATGCCACGTGTACCCCAAATCGTCTCGAGATGAGAGCTGATTTCCTGGCTTAGGCTCAAGACGTATGCCAACTTTTCAGAAGCACCTCAGGATGAGGCTTCTCTCAGCAATAGGTATGTGGGAGGGACCCCGAGTTTGCTGCCTCAAGGGGAATATACAGCGAGAAGCCCTAACTTGAAAAGAGGCCGGATTTCCTTGCAGTGGCTAGAATACAGGCTCGTCTTTCGTGTCAAAATCTGAAGGGATGTCTGAATCCCCTGTGGAGACCTTACAGAAAGCCCTAGGTCCCTGCCTCATTTTGACGGAATGCCTCACATCCCGCTGACACCTCGAGAGGCACGTGGAGTTCATTGCTTCAAAAGGTGACGATGCCTGACTCCTCTTGAATACTGATAGGAATCCCAAAATCCCTGTGGCTACTGGAAAGGGTCCTTGGGTGCCCTGCCTCACCTCGAGAAGCGTCCCTTTTGCCCTGCCAAGCCTCGAAGAGATTCCTGAGGTGTCCCTCATTACTAGAAAGGAGTCCTGACGTCACTGAAGAAACTCGTGTTTTGAAGGTCCATCCCCGCCATAAGTCGAGAACATACCCCAGGTCCCCGCCGCAACTCGAGAAAAACCATGAGACTTCCCCCTAGAGGCGAGATGAGGCCCCATTCCCCTGCAGTGCATGCAGAGCTATTCCGTGATCCCATTCAAACAAGTCAGGAGCTTCGACTTGCTTAGTGGATCTCGAGACAGTCCCCAAGAACACTGTCACCAGTCTAGACGGACCCTGAGGTCACCCCAGCAACGCAAAGCAGCTCCATGTGCCCCAAATCAACTCGAGATGAGGCCCGATTCCCCTGGATTGACTCCAGAGCCATTCCCCGTTCCCCATTCAACAAGACCGGTGTCTCGACTTCCTTCAGGCAACTCCAGAGATGCCCCGAGAACACTGTCCCAAGTATAGAGGAACTCCAACTTCAGCACAGCAACTCGAGGAATGTGAGTGAACCCCAAATCGACTCGAGATGAGAGCTGATTCCCTGCCTTAGGCTCAAGATGTATGCCAACTTTCCAGAAGCACCTCAGCAGGAGGCTTCTCTCAGCAATAGCTATGTGCGAGGGACACCGAGTTTGCTGCCCCAAGGGGAATATACAGCGAGAAGCCCTAATTTGAAAGGAGGCCGGATTTCCTTGCAGTGGCTAGAATACAGGCACGTCTTTGATCTCAAAACATGAAGGGATGTCTGAATCCCCTGTGGAGACCTTAGAGAAAGCCCTAGGTCCCTGCCTCATTTTGACGGAATGCCTCACATCCCGGTGACACCTCGAGAGGCACGCGGAGTTCATTGCTTCAAAAGGTGACGATGCCTGACTCCTCTTGAATACTGATAGGAATCCCAAAATCCCTGTGGCTACTGGAAAGGGTCCTTGGGTGCCCTGCCTCACCTCGAGAAGCGTCCCTTTTCCCCTGCCAAGCCTCGAAGAGATTCCTGAGGTGTCCCTCTTTACTAGACAGGGGTCCTGACGTCACTGAAGAAACTCGTGTTTTGAAGGGCCATCCCCGCCGTAAGGCGAGAACATACCCCAGGTCCCCGCCGCAACTCGAGAAAAACCATGAGATTTCCCCCTAGAGGCGAGATGAGGCCCCATTCCCGTGCAGTGCATGCAGAGCTATTCCATGATCCCATTCAAACAAGTCAGGAGCTTCGACTTGCATAATGGATCTCGAGACAGTCCGAAGGACACTGTCACCAGTCTAGACGGACCCTGAGGTCACCCCAGCAACGCAAAGCAGCTCCATGTGCCCCAAATCAACTCGAGATGAGTCCCGATTCCCCTGAATTGACTCCACAGCCATTCCCCGTTCCCCATTCAACAGGACCGTTGGCTCGACTTCCTTCAGGCAACTCCAGAGATGCCCCGAGAACACTGTCCCAAGTCTAGAGGAACTCCAACTTCAGCACAGCAACTCGAGGAATGCTCCGTGTACCCCAAATCATCTTGAGATGAGAGCTGTTTCCCTGCCTTAGGCTCAAGACGTATGCCAACTCTCCAGAAGCAACTCAGGAGGAGGCTTCTCTCAGCAATAGGTATGTGGGAGGGACCCCGAGGTTGCTGCCTCAAGGGGAATATACAACGAGAAGCCCTAACTTGAAAGGAGGCCAGATTTCCTTGCAGTGGCTAGAATACAGGCTCGTCTTTCATCTCACAACATGAAGGGATGTCTGAATCCCCTGTGGAGACCTTAGAGAAAGCCTTAGGTCCCTGCCTCATTTTGACGGAATGCCTAACATCCCGCTGACACCTCGAGAGGTATGTGGAGTTCATTGCTTCAAAAGGTGACGATGCCTGACTCCTCTTGTATACTGATAGGAATCCCAAAATCCCTGTGGCTACTGGAAAGGGTCCTTGGGTGCTCTGCTTCACCTCGAGTAGCGTCCCTTTTGCCCTGCCAAGCCTCGAAGAGATTCCTGAGGTGTCCCTCGTTACGAGACAGGAGTCCTGACGTCACTGAAGAAACTCGTGTTTTGAAAGGCCATCCCCGCCGTAAGTCGAGAACATACCCCAGGTCCCCGCCGCAACTCGAGAAAAACCATGAGACTTCCCCCTAGAGGCGAGATGAGGCCCCTTTCCCCTGCAGTGCATGCAGAGCTATTCCGTGATCCCATTCAAACAAGGCAGGAGCTTCGACTTGCTTAATGGATCTCGAGACAGTCCCCAAGAACACTTTCACCAGTCTAGACGGACCCTGAGGTCACCCCAGCAACGCAAAGCAGCTCCATGTGCCCCAAATCAACTCGAGATGAGGCCCAATTCCCCTGGATTGATTCCAGAGCCATTCCCCGTTCCCCATTCAACACGACCGGTGACTTGACTTCCTTCAGGCAACTCCAGAGATGCCCCGAGAACACTGTCCCAAGTCTGGAGGAACACCAACTTCAGCACAGAAACTCGAGGAATGCTCCGTGTACCCCAAATCGTGTCGAGATGAGAGCTGATTCCCTGGCTTAGGCTCAAGACGTATGCCAAGTTTCCAGAAGCACCTCAGGAGGAGGCTTCTCTCAGCAATAGGTATGTGGGAGGGACCCCGAGTTTGCTGCCTCAAGGGGAATATACAGCGAGAAGCCCTAACTTGAAAGGAGGCCGGATTTCCTTGCAGTGGCTAGAATACAGGCTCGTCTTAGATCTCAAAACCTGATGGGATGTCTGAATCGCCTGTGGAGACCTTAGAGTAAGCCCTAGGTCCCTGGCTCATTTTGACGGAATGCCTCACATCCCGCTGACAACTCGAGAGGCACGGGGAGTTCATTGCTTCAAAAGGTGACGATGCCTGACTCCTCTTGAATACTGATAGGAATCCGAAAATCCCTGTGGCTACTGGAAAGGGGACTTGGGTGCCCTGCCTCACCTCGAGAAGCGTCCCTTTTGCCCTGCCATGCCTCGAAGAGATTCCTGAGGTGTCCCTCGTTACTAGACAGGAGTCCTGACGTCACTGAAGAAACAAAAACCATGAGACTTCCCCCTAGAGGCGAGATGAGGCCCCATTCCCCTGCAGTGTATGCAGAGCTCTTCCGTGATCCCATTCAAACAAGTCAGGAGCTTCGACTTGCTTAATGGATCTCGAGACAGTCCACAAGAACTCTGTCACCATTCTAGACGGACCCTGAGGTCACCCCAGCAACGCAAAGCAGCTCCATGTGCCCCAAGTCAACTCGAGATGAGGCCCGATTCCCCTGCATTGACTCCAGAGCCATTCCTCGTTCCCCATTCAACACGACCGGTGGCTCGACTTCCTTCCGGCAACTCCAGAGATGCCCCGAGAACACTGTCCCAAGTCTAGAGGAATTCCAACATCAGCACAGCAACTCGAGGAATGCTCCGTGTACCCCAAAACACCTCGAGATGAGAGCTGATTCCCTGGCGTAGGCTCAAGACGTATGAAAACTTTCCAAAAGCACCTCAGGAGGAGGCTTCTCTCAGCAATAGGTATGTGGGAGGGACCCCGAGTATGCTGCCTCAAGGGGAATATACAGCGAGAAGCCCTAAGTTGAAAGGAGGCCGGATTTATTTGCAGTGGCTTGAATACAGGCTCGTGTTTCATCTCACAACATGAAGGGATGTCTGAATCCCCTGTGGAGACCTTAGAGAAAGCCCTAGGTCACTGCCTCATTTTGACGGAATGCCTCACATCCCGTTGACATCTCGAGAGGCACGCGGAGTTCATTGCTTCAAAAGGTGACGATGCCTGAGTCCTCTTGAAAACTGATAGGAATCCCAAAATCCCTGTGGCTACTGGATAGGGTCCTTGGGTGCCCTGCCTCACCTCGAGAAGCGTCCCTTTTGCCCTGCCAAGCCTCGAAGAGATTCCTGAGGTGTCCCTCGTTACTAGACAGGAGTCCTGACGTCACTGAAGAAACTCGTGTTTTGAAGGGCCATCCCCGCCGTAAGTCGAGAACATACCCCAGGTCCCCGCCGCAACTCGAGAAAAACCATGAGACTTCCCCCTAGAGGCGAGATGAGGCCCCATTCCCCTGCAGTGCATGCAGAGCTATTCCGTGATCCCATTCAAACAAGTCAGGAGCTTCGACTTGCTTAATGGATCTCGACACATTCCCCAAGAACACTGTCACCAGTCTAGACGGACCCTGAGGTCACCCCAGCAACGCAAAGCAGCTCCATGTGCCCCAAATCAACTCGAGATGAGGCCCGATTCCCCTGCATTGATTCCAGAGCCATTCCCCATTCCCCATTCAAGACGAACAGTGGCTCGACTTCCTTCAGGCAACTCCAGAGATACCACTAGAACACTGTCCCAAGTCTAGAGGAACACCAACTTCAGCACAGCAACTCGAGGAATGCCACGTGTACCCCAAATCGTCTCGAGATGAGAGCTGATTTCCTGGCTTAGGCTCAAGACGTATGCCAACTTTTCAGAAGCACCTCAGGATGAGGCTTCTCTCAGCAATAGGTATGTGGGAGGGACCCCGAGTTTGCTGCCTCAAGGGGAATATACAGCGAGAAGCCCTAACTTGAAAAGAGGCCGGATTTCCTTGCAGTGGCTAGAATACAGGCTCGTCTTTCGTGTCAAAATCTGAAGGGATGTCTGAATCCCCTGTGGAGACCTTACAGAAAGCCCTAGGTCCCTGCCTCATTTTGACGGAATGCCTCACATCCCGCTGACACCTCGAGAGGCACGTGGAGTTCATTGCTTCAAAAGGTGACGATGCCTGACTCCTCTTGAATACTGATAGGAATCCGAAAATCCCTGTGGCTACTGGAAAGGGGACTTGGGTGCCCTGCCTCACCTCGAGAAGCGTCCCTTTTGCCCTGCCATGCCTCGAAGAGATTCCTGAGGTGTCCCTCGTTACTAGACAGGAGTCCTGACGTCACTGAAGAAACAAAAACCATGAGACTTCCCCCTAGAGGCGAGATGAGGCCCCATTCCCCTGCAGTGTATGCAGAGCTATTCCGTGATCCCATTCAAACAAGTCAGGAGCTTCGACTTGCTTAATGGATCTCGAGACAGTCCACAAGAACTCTGTCACCATTCTAGACGGACCCTGAGGTCACCCCAGCAACGCAAAGCAGCTCCATGTGCCCCAAGTCAACTCGAGATGAGGCCCGATTCCCCTGCATTGACTCCAGAGCCATTCCTCGTTCCCCATTCAACACGACCGGTGGCTCGACTTCCTTCCGGCAACTCCAGAGATGCCCTGAGAACACTGTCCCAAGTCTAGAGGAATTCCAACATCAGCACAGCAACTCGAGGAATGCTCCGTGTACCCCAAAACACCTCGAGATGAGAGCTGATTCCCTGGCGTAGGCTCAAGACGTATGAAAACTTTCCAAAAGCACCTCAGGAGGAGGCTTCTCTCAGCAATAGGTATGTGGGAGGGACCCCGAGTATGCTGCCTCAAGGGGAATATACAGCGAGAAGCCCTAAGTTGAAAGGAGGCCGGATTTCCTTGCAGTAGCTTGAATACAGGCTCGTGTTTCATCTCACAACATGAAGGGATGTCTGAATCCCCTGTGGAGACCTTAGAGAAAGCCCTAGGTCACTGCCTCATTTTGACGGAATGCCTCACATCCCGTTGACATCTCGAGAGGCACGCGGAGTTCATTGCTTCAAAAGGTGACGATGCCTGAGTCCTCTTGAAAACTGATAGGAATCCCAAAATCCCTGTGGCTACTGGATAGGGTCCTTGGGTGCCCTGCCTCACCTCGAGAAGCGTCCCTTTTGCCCTGCCAAGCCTCGAAGAGATTCCTGAGGTGTCCCTCGTTACTAGACAGGAGTCCTGACGTCACTGAAGAAACTCGTGTTTTGAAGGGCCATCCCCGCCGTAAGTCGAGAACATACCCCAGGTCCCCGCCGCAACTCGAGAAAAACCATGAGACTTCCCCCTAGAGGCGAGATGAGGCCCCATTCCCCTGCAGTGCATGCAGAGCTATTCCGTGATCCCATTCAAACAAGTCAGGAGCTTCGACTTGCTTAATGGATCTCGACACATTCCCCAAGAACACTGTCACCAGTCTAGACGGACCCTGAGGTCACCCCAGCAACGCAAAGCAGCTCCATGTGCCCCAAATCAAGTCGAGATGAGGCCCGATTCCCCTGCATTGACTCCAGAGCCATTCCCCATTCCCCATTCAAGACGAACAGTGGCTCGACTTCCTTCAGGCAACTCCAGAGATACCACTAGAACACTGTCCCAAGTCTAGAGGAACACCAACTTCAGCACAGCAACTCGAGGAATGCCACGTGTACCCCAAATCGTCTCGAGATGAGAGCTGATTTCCTGGCTTAGGCTCAAGACGTATGCCAACTTTTCAGAAGCACCTCAGGATGAGGCTTCTCTCAGCAATAGGTATGTGGGAGGGACCCCGAGTTTGCTGCCTCAAGGGGAATATACAGCGAGAAGCCCTAACTTGAAAAGAGGCCGGATTTCCTTGCAGTGGCTAGAATACAGGCTCGTCTTTCGTGTCAAAATCTGAAGGGATGTCTGAATCCCCTGTGGAGAACTTACAGAAAGCCCTAGGTCCCTGCCTCATTTTGACGGAATGCCTCACATCCCGCTGACACCTCGAGAGGCACGTGGAGTTCATTGCTTCAAAAGGTGACGATGCCTGACTCCTCTTGAATACTGATAGGAATCCCAAAATCCCTGTGGCTACTGGAAAGGGTCCTTGGGTGCCCTGCCTCACCTCGAGAAGCGTCCCTTTTGCCCTGCCAAGCCTCGAAGAGATTCCTGAGGTGTCCCTCATTACTAGAAAGGAGTCCTGACGTCACTGAAGAAACTCGTGTTTTGAAGGTCCATCCCCGCCATAAGTCGAGAACATACCCCAGGTCCCCGCCGCAACTCGAGAAAAACCATGAGACTTCCCCCTAGAGGCGAGATGAGGCCCCATTCCCCTGCAGTGCATGCAGAGCTATTCCGTGATCCCATTCAAACAAGTCAGGAGCTTCGACTTGCTTAGTGGATCTCGAGACAGTCCCCAAGAACACTGTCACCAGTCTAGACGGACCCTGAGGTCACCCCAGCAACGCAAAGCAGCTCCATGTGCCCCAAATCAACTCGAGATGAGGCCCGATTCCCCTGGATTGACTCCAGAGCCATTCCCCGTTCCCCATTCAACAAGACCGGTGTCTCGACTTCCTTCAGGCAACTCCAGAGATGCCCCGAGAACACTGTCCCAAGTATAGAGGAACTCCAACTTCAGCACAGCAACTCGAGGAATGTGAGTGAACCCCAAATCGACTCGAGATGAGAGCTGATTCCCTGCCTTAGGCTCAAGATGTATGCCAACTTTCCAGAAGCACCTCAGCAGGAGGCTTCTCTCAGCAATAGCTATGTGCGAGGGACACCGAGTTTGCTGCCCCAAGGGGAATATACAGCGAGAAGCCCTAATTTGAAAGGAGGCCGGATTTCCTTGCAGTGGCTAGAATACAGGCACGTCTTTGATCTCAAAACATGAAGGGATGTCTGAATCCCCTGTGGAGACCTTAGAGAAAGCCCTAGGTCCCTGCCTCATTTTGACGGAATGCCTCACATCCCGGTGACACCTCGAGAGGCACGCGGAGTTCATTGCTTCAAAAGGTGACGATGCCTGACTCCTCTTGAATACTGATAGGAATCCCAAAATCCCTGTGGCTACTGGAAAGGGTCCTTGGGTGCCCTGCCTCACCTCGAGAAGCGTCCCTTTTCCCCTGCCAAGCCTCGAAGAGATTCCTGAGGTGTCCCTCTTTACTAGACAGTGGTCCTGACGTCACTGAAGAAACTCGTGTTTTGAAGGGCCATCCCCGCCTTAAGGCGAGAACATACCCCAGGTCCCCGCCGCAACTCGAGAAAAACCATGAGACTTCCCCCTAGAGGCGAGATGAGGCCCCATTCCCGTGCAGTGCATGCAGAGCTATTCCATGATCCCATTCAAACAAGTCAGGAGCTTCGACTTGCATAATGGATCTCGAGACAGTCCGAAGGACACTGTCACCAGTCTAGACGGACCCTGAGGTCACCCCAGCAACGCAAAGCAGCTCCATGTGCCCCAAATCAACTCGAGATGAGTCCCGATTCCCCTGAATTGACTCCACAGCCATTCCCCGTTCCCCATTCAACAGGACCGTTGGCTCGACTTCCTTCAGGCAACTCCAGAGATGCCCCGAGAACACTGTCCCAAGTCTAGAGGAACTCCAACTTCAGCACAGCAACTCGAGGAATGCTCCGTGTACCCCAAATCATCTTGAGATGAGAGCTGTTTCCCTGCCTTAGGCTCAAGACGTATGCCAACTCTCCAGAAGCAACTCAGGAGGAGGCTTCTCTCAGCAATAGGTATGTGGGAGGGACCCCGAGGTTGCTGCCTCAAGGGGAATATACAACGAGAAGCCCTAACTTGAAAGGAGGCCGGATTTCCTTGCAGTGGCTAGAATACAGGCTCGTCTTTCATCTCACAACATGAAGGGATGTCTGAATCCCCTGTGGAGACCTTAGAGAAAGCCTTAGGTCCCTGCCTCATTTTGACGGAATGCCTAACATCCCGCTGACACCTCGAGAGGTATGTGGAGTTCATTGCTTCAAAAGGTGACGATGCCTGACTCCTCTTGTATACTGATAGGAATCCCAAAATCCCTGTGGCTACTGGAAAGGGTCCTTGGGTGCTCTGCTTCACCTCGAGTAGCGTCCCATTTGCCCTGCCAAGCCTCGAAGAGATTCCTGAGGTGTCCCTCGTTACGAGACAGGAGTCCTGACGTCACTGAAGAAACTCGTGTTTTGAAAGGCCATCCCCGCCGTAAGTCGAGAACATACCCCAGGTCCCCGCCGCAACTCGAGAAAAACCATGAGACTTCCCCCAGAGGCGAGATGAGGCCCCTTTCCCCTGCAGTGCATGCAGAGCTATTCCGTGATCCCATTCAAACAAGGCAGGAGCTTCGACTTGCTTAATGGATCTCGAGACAGTCCCCAAGAACACTGTCACCAGTCTAGACGGACCCTGAGGTCACCCCAGCAATGCAAAGCAGCTCCATGTGCCCCAAATCAACTCGAGATGAGGCCCAATTCCCCTGGATTGATTCCAGAGCCATTCCCCGTTCCCCATTCAACACGACCGGTGACTTGACTTCCTTCAGGCAACTCCAGAGATGCCCCGAGAACACTGTCCCAAGTCTGGAGGAACACCAACTTCAGCACAGAAACTCGAGGAATGCTCCGTGTACCCCAAATCGTGTCGAGATGAGAGCTGATTCCCTGGCTTAGGCTCAAGACGTATGCCAAGTTTCCAGAAGCACCTCAGGAGGAGGCTTCTCTCAGCAATAGGTATGTGGGAGGGACCCCGAGTTTGCTGCCTCAAGGGGAATATACAGCGAGAAGCCCTAACTTGAAAGGAGGCCGGATTTCCTTGCAGTGGCTAGAATACAGGCTCGTCTTAGATCTCAAAACCTGATGGGATGTCTGAATCGCCTGTGGAGACCTTAGAGTAAGCCCTAGGTCCCTGGCTCATTTTGACGGAATGCCTCACATCCCGCTGACAACTCGAGAGGCACGGGGAGTTCATTGCTTCAAAAGGTGACGATGCCTGACTCCTCTTGAATACTGATAGGAATCCGAAAATCCCTGTGGCTACTGGAAAGGGGACTTGGGTGCCCTGCCTCACCTCGAGAAGCGTCCCTTTTGCCCTGCCATGCCTCGAAGAGATTCCTGAGGTGTCCCTCGTTACTAGACAGGAGTCCTGACGTCACTGAAGAAACAAAAACCATGAGACTTCCCCCTAGAGGCGAGATGAGGCCCCATTCCCCTGCAGTGTATGCAGAGCTCTTCCGTGATCCCATTCAAACAAGTCAGGAGCTTCGACTTGCTTAATGGATCTCGAGACAGTCCACAAGAACTCTGTCACCATTCTAGACGGACCCTGAGGTCACCCCAGCAACGCAAAGCAGCTCCATGTGCCCCAAGTCAACTCGAGATGAGGCCCGATTCCCCTGCATTGACTCCAGAGCCATTCCTCGTTCCCCATTCAACACGACCGGTGGCTCGACTTCCTTCCGGCAACTCCAGAGATGCCCCGAGAACACTGTCCCAAGTCTAGAGGAATTCCAACATCAGCACAGCAACTCGAGGAATGCTCCGTGTACCCCAAAACACCTCGAGATGAGAGCTGATTCCCTGGCGTAGGCTCAAGACGTATGAAAACTTTCCAAAAGCACCTCAGGAGGAGGCTTCTCTCAGCAATAGGTATGTGGGAGGGACCCCGAGTATGCTGCCTCAAGGGGAATATACAGCGAGAAGCCCTAAGTTGAAAGGAGGCCGGATTTCCTTGCAGTAGCTTGAATACAGGCTCGTGTTTCATCTCACAACATGAAGGGATGTCTGAATCCCCTGTGGAGACCTTAGAGAAAGCCCTAGGTCACTGCCTCATTTTGACGGAATGCCTCACATCCCGTTGACATCTCGAGAGGCACGCGGAGTTCATTGCTTCAAAAGGTGACGATGCCTGAGTCCTCTTGAAAACTGATAGGAATCCCAAAATCCCTGTGGCTACTGGATAGGGTCCTTGGGTGCCCTGCCTCACCTCGAGAAGCGTCCCTTTTGCCCTGCCAAGCCTCGAAGAGATTCCTGAGGTGTCCCTCGTTACTAGACAGGAGTCCTGACGTCACTGAAGAAACTCGTGTTTTGAAGGGCCATCCCCGCCGTAAGTCGAGAACATACCCCAGGTCCCCGCCGCAACTCGAGAAAAACCATGAGACTTCCCCCTAGAGGCGAGATGAGGCCCCATTCCCCTGCAGTGCATGCAGAGCTATTCCGTGATCCCATTCAAACAAGTCAGGAGCTTCGACTTGCTTAATGGATCTCGACACATTCCCCAAGAACACTGTCACCAGTCTAGACGGACCCTGAGGTCACCCCAGCAACGCAAAGCAGCTCCATGTGCCCCAAATCAACTCGAGATGAGGCCCGATTCCCCTGCATTGACTCCAGAGCCATTCCCCATTCCCCATTCAAGACGAACAGTGGCTCGACTTCCTTCAGGCAACTCCAGAGATACCACTAGAACACTGTCCCAAGTCTAGAGGAACACCAACTTCAGCACAGCAACTCGAGGAATGCCACGTGTACCCCAAATCGTCTCGAGATGAGAGCTGATTTCCTGGCTTAGGCTCAAGACGTATGCCAACTTTTCAGAAGCACCTCAGGATGAGGCTTCTCTCAGCAATAGGTATGTGGGAGGGACCCCGAGTTTGCTGCCTCAAGGGGAATATACAGCGAGAAGCCCTAACTTGAAAAGAGGCCGGATTTCCTTGCAGTGGCTAGAATACAGGCTCGTCTTTCGTGTCAAAATCTGAAGGGATGTCTGAATCCCCTGTGGAGAACTTACAGAAAGCCCTAGGTCCCTGCCTCATTTTGACGGAATGCCTCACATCCCGCTGACACCTCGAGAGGCACGTGGAGTTCATTGCTTCAAAAGGTGACGATGCCTGACTCCTCTTGAATACTGATAGGAATCCCAAAATCCCTGTGGCTACTGGAAAGGGTCCTTGGGTGCCCTGCCTCACCTCGAGAAGCGTCCCTTTTGCCCTGCCAAGCCTCGAAGAGATTCCTGAGGTGTCCCTCATTACTAGAAAGGAGTCCTGACGTCACTGAAGAAACTCGTGTTTTGAAGGTCCATCCCCGCCATAAGTCGAGAACATACCCCAGGTCCCCGCCGCAACTCGAGAAAAACCATGAGACTTCCCCCTAGAGGCGAGATGAGGCCCCATTCCCCTGCAGTGCATGCAGAGCTATTCCGTGATCCCATTCAAACAAGTCAGGAGCTTCGACTTGCTTAGTGGATCTCGAGACAGTCCCCAAGAACACTGTCACCAGTCTAGACGGACCCTGAGGTCACCCCAGCAACGCAAAGCAGCTCCATGTGCCCCAAATCAACTCGAGATGAGGCCCGATTCCCCTGGATTGACTCCAGAGCCATTCCCCGTTCCCCATTCAACAAGACCGGTGTCTCGACTTCCTTCAGGCAACTCCAGAGATGCCCCGAGAACACTGTCCCAAGTATAGAGGAACTCCAACTTCAGCACAGCAACTCGAGGAATGTGAGTGAACCCCAAATCGACTCGAGATGAGAGCTGATTCCCTGCCTTAGGCTCAAGATGTATGCCAACTTTCCAGAAGCACCTCAGCAGGAGGCTTCTCTCAGCAATAGCTATGTGCGAGGGACACCGAGTTTGCTGCCCCAAGGGGAATATACAGCGAGAAGCCCTAATTTGAAAGGAGGCCGGATTTCCTTGCAGTGGCTAGAATACAGGCACGTCTTTGATCTCAAAACATGAAGGGATGTCTGAATCCCCTGTGGAGACCTTAGAGAAAGCCCTAGGTCCCTGCCTCATTTTGACGGAATGCCTCACATCCCGGTGACACCTCGAGAGGCACGCGGAGTTCATTGCTTCAAAAGGTGACGATGCCTGACTCCTCTTGAATACTGATAGGAATCCCAAAATCCCTGTGGCTACTGGAAAGGGTCCTTGGGTGCCCTGCCTCACCTCGAGAAGCGTCCCTTTTCCCCTGCCAAGCCTCGAAGAGATTCCTGAGGTGTCCCTCTTTACTAGACAGTGGTCCTGACGTCACTGAAGAAACTCGTGTTTTGAAGGGCCATCCCCGCCTTAAGGCGAGAACATACCCCAGGTCCCCGCCGCAACTCGAGAAAAACCATGAGACTTCCCCCTAGAGGCGAGATGAGGCCCCATTCCCGTGCAGTGCATGCAGAGCTATTCCATGATCCCATTCAAACAAGTCAGGAGCTTCGACTTGCATAATGGATCTCGAGACAGTCCGAAGGACACTGTCACCAGTCTAGACGGACCCTGAGGTCACCCCAGCAACGCAAAGCAGCTCCATGTGCCCCAAATCAACTCGAGATGAGTCCCGATTCCCCTGAATTGACTCCACAGCCATTCCCCGTTCCCCATTCAACAGGACCGTTGGCTCGACTTCCTTCAGGCAACTCCAGAGATGCCCCGAGAACACTGTCCCAAGTCTAGAGGAACTCCAACTTCAGCACAGCAACTCGAGGAATGCTCCGTGTACCCCAAATCATCTTGAGATGAGAGCTGTTTCCCTGCCTTAGGCTCAAGACGTATGCCAACTCTCCAGAAGCAACTCAGGAGGAGGCTTCTCTCAGCAATAGGTATGTGGGAGGGACCCCGAGGTTGCTGCCTCAAGGGGAATATACAACGAGAAGCCCTAACTTGAAAGGAGGCCGGATTTCCTTGCAGTGGCTAGAATACAGGCTCGTCTTTCATCTCACAACATGAAGGGATGTCTGAATCCCCTGTGGAGACCTTAGAGAAAGCCTTAGGTCCCTGCCTCATTTTGACGGAATGCCTAACATCCCGCTGACACCTCGAGAGGTATGTGGAGTTCATTGCTTCAAAAGGTGACGATGCCTGACTCCTCTTGTATACTGATAGGAATCCCAAAATCCCTGTGGCTACTGGAAAGGGTCCTTGGGTGCTCTGCTTCACCTCGAGTAGCGTCCCATTTGCCCTGCCAAGCCTCGAAGAGATTCCTGAGGTGTCCCTCGTTACGAGACAGGAGTCCTGACGTCACTGAAGAAACTCGTGTTTTGAAAGGCCATCCCCGCCGTAAGTCGAGAACATACCCCAGGTCCCCGCCGCAACTCGAGAAAAACCATGAGACTTCCCCCAGAGGCGAGATGAGGCCCCTTTCCCCTGCAGTGCATGCAGAGCTATTCCGTGATCCCATTCAAACAAGGCAGGAGCTTCGACTTGCTTAATGGATCTCGAGACAGTCCCCAAGAACACTGTCACCAGTCTAGACGGACCCTGAGGTCACCCCAGCAATGCAAAGCAGCTCCATGTGCCCCAAATCAACTCGAGATGAGGCCCAATTCCCCTGGATTGATTCCAGAGCCATTCCCCGTTCCCCATTCAACACGACCGGTGACTTGACTTCCTTCAGGCAACTCCAGAGATGCCCCGAGAACACTGTCCCAAGTCTGGAGGAACACCAACTTCAGCACAGAAACTCGAGGAATGCTCCGTGTACCCCAAATCGTGTCGAGATGAGAGCTGATTCCCTGGCTTAGGCTCAAGACGTATGCCAAGTTTCCAGAAGCACCTCAGGAGGAGGCTTCTCTCAGCAATAGGTATGTGGGAGGGACCCCGAGTTTGCTGCCTCAAGGGGAATATACAGCGAGAAGCCCTAACTTGAAAGGAGGCCGGATTTCCTTGCAGTGGCTAGAATACAGGCTCGTCTTAGATCTCAAAACCTGATGGGATGTCTGAATCGCCTGTGGAGACCTTAGAGTAAGCCCTAGGTCCCTGGCTCATTTTGACGGAATGCCTCACATCCCGCTGACAACTCGAGAGGCACGGGGAGTTCATTGCTTCAAAAGGTGACGATGCCTGACTCCTCTTGAATACTGATAGGAATCCGAAAATCCCTGTGGCTACTGGAAAGGGGACTTGGGTGCCCTGCCTCACCTCGAGAAGCGTCCCTTTTGCCCTGCCATGCCTCGAAGAGATTCCTGAGGTGTCCCTCGTTACTAGACAGGAGTCCTGACGTCACTGAAGAAACAAAAACCATGAGACTTCCCCCTAGAGGCGAGATGAGGCCCCATTCCCCTGCAGTGTATGCAGAGCTCTTCCGTGATCCCATTCAAACAAGTCAGGAGCTTCGACTTGCTTAATGGATCTCGAGACAGTCCACAAGAACTCTGTCACCATTCTAGACGGACCCTGAGGTCACCCCAGCAACGCAAAGCAGCTCCATGTGCCCCAAGTCAACTCGAGATGAGGCCCGATTCCCCTGCATTGACTCCAGAGCCATTCCTCGTTCCCCATTCAACACGACCGGTGGCTCGACTTCCTTCCGGCAACTCCAGAGATGCCCCGAGAACACTGTCCCAAGTCTAGAGGAATTCCAACATCAGCACAGCAACTCGAGGAATGCTCCGTGTACCCCAAAACACCTCGAGATGAGAGCTGATTCCCTGGCGTAGGCTCAAGACGTATGAAAACTTTCCAAAAGCACCTCAGGAGGAGGCTTCTCTCAGCAATAGGTATGTGGGAGGGACCCCGAGTATGCTGCCTCAAGGGGAATATACAGCGAGAAGCCCTAAGTTGAAAGGAGGCCGGATTTATTTGCAGTGGCTTGAATACAGGCTCGTGTTTCATCTCACAACATGAAGGGATGTCTGAATCCCCTGTGGAGACCTTAGAGAAAGCCCTAGGTCACTGCCTCATTTTGACGGAATGCCTCACATCCCGTTGACATCTCGAGAGGCACGCGGAGTTCATTGCTTCAAAAGGTGACGATGCCTGAGTCCTCTTGAAAACTGATAGGAATCCCAAAATCCCTGTGGCTACTGGATAGGGTCCTTGGGTGCCCTGCCTCACCTCGAGAAGCGTCCCTTTTGCCCTGCCAAGCCTCGAAGAGATTCCTGAGGTGTCCCTCGTTACTAGACAGGAGTCCTGACGTCACTGAAGAAACTCGTGTTTTGAAGGGCCATCCCCGCCGTAAGTCGAGAACATACCCCAGGTCCCCGCCGCAACTCGAGAAAAACCATGAGACTTCCCCCTAGAGGCGAGATGAGGCCCCATTCCCCTGCAGTGCATGCAGAGCTATTCCGTGATCCCATTCAAACAAGTCAGGAGCTTCGACTTGCTTAATGGATCTCGACACATTCCCCAAGAACACTGTCACCAGTCTAGACGGACCCTGAGGTCACCCCAGCAACGCAAAGCAGCTCCATGTGCCCCAAATCAACTCGAGATGAGGCCCGATTCCCCTGCATTGATTCCAGAGCCATTCCCCATTCCCCATTCAAGACGAACAGTGGCTCGACTTCCTTCAGGCAACTCCAGAGATACCACTAGAACACTGTCCCAAGTCTAGAGGAACACCAACTTCAGCACAGCAACTCGAGGAATGCCACGTGTACCCCAAATCGTCTCGAGATGAGAGCTGATTTCCTGGCTTAGGCTCAAGACGTATGCCAACTTTTCAGAAGCACCTCAGGATGAGGCTTCTCTCAGCAATAGGTATGTGGGAGGGACCCCGAGTTTGCTGCCTCAAGGGGAATATACAGCGAGAAGCCCTAACTTGAAAAGAGGCCGGATTTCCTTGCAGTGGCTAGAATACAGGCTCGTCTTTCGTGTCAAAATCTGAAGGGATGTCTGAATCCCCTGTGGAGACCTTACAGAAAGCCCTAGGTCCCTGCCTCATTTTGACGGAATGCCTCACATCCCGCTGACACCTCGAGAGGCACGTGGAGTTCATTGCTTCAAAAGGTGACGATGCCTGACTCCTCTTGAATACTGATAGGAATCCGAAAATCCCTGTGGCTACTGGAAAGGGGACTTGGGTGCCCTGCCTCACCTCGAGAAGCGTCCCTTTTGCCCTGCCATGCCTCGAAGAGATTCCTGAGGTGTCCCTCGTTACTAGACAGGAGTCCTGACGTCACTGAAGAAACAAAAACCATGAGACTTCCCCCTAGAGGCGAGATGAGGCCCCATTCCCCTGCAGTGTATGCAGAGCTATTCCGTGATCCCATTCAAACAAGTCAGGAGCTTCGACTTGCTTAATGGATCTCGAGACAGTCCACAAGAACTCTGTCACCATTCTAGACGGACCCTGAGGTCACCCCAGCAACGCAAAGCAGCTCCATGTGCCCCAAGTCAACTCGAGATGAGGCCCGATTCCCCTGCATTGACTCCAGACCCATTCCTCGTTCCCCATTCAACACGACCGGTGGCTCGACTTCCTTCCGGCAACTCCAGAGATGCCCCGAGAACACTGTCCCAAGTCTAGAGGAATTCCAACATCAGCACAGCAACTCGAGGAATGCTCCGTGTACCCCAAAACACCTCGAGATGAGAGCTGATTCCCTGGCGTAGGCTCAAGACGTATGAAAACTTTCCAAAAGCACCTCAGGAGGAGGCTTCTCTCAGCAATAGGTATGTGGGAGGGACCCCGAGTATGCTGCCTCAAGGGGAATATACAGCGAGAAGCCCTAAGTTGAAAGGAGGCCGGATTTCCTTGCAGTAGCTTGAATACAGGCTCGTGTTTCATCTCACAACATGAAGGGATGTCTGAATCCCCTGTGGAGACCTTAGAGAAAGCCCTAGGTCACTGCCTCATTTTGACGGAATGCCTCACATCCCGTTGACATCTCGAGAGGCACGCGGAGTTCATTGCTTCAAAAGGTGACGATGCCTGAGTCCTCTTGAAAACTGATAGGAATCCCAAAATCCCTGTGGCTACTGGATAGGGTCCTTGGGTGCCCTGCCTCACCTCGAGAAGCGTCCCTTTTGCCCTGCCAAGCCTCGAAGAGATTCCTGAGGTGTCCCTCGTTACTAGACAGGAGTCCTGACGTCACTGAAGAAACTCGTGTTTTGAAGGGCCATCCCCGCCGTAAGTCGAGAACATACCCCAGGTCCCCGCCGCAACTCGAGAAAAACCATGAGACTTCCCCCTAGAGGCGAGATGAGGCCCCATTCCCCTGCAGTGCATGCAGAGCTATTCCGTGATCCCATTCAAACAAGTCAGGAGCTTCGACTTGCTTAATGGATCTCGACACATTCCCCAAGAACACTGTCACCAGTCTAGACGGACCCTGAGGTCACCCCAGCAACGCAAAGCAGCTCCATGTGCCCCAAATCAACTCGAGATGAGGCCCGATTCCCCTGCATTGACTCCAGAGCCATTCCCCATTCCCCATTCAAGACGAACAGTGGCTCGACTTCCTTCAGGCAACTCCAGAGATACCACTAGAACACTGTCCCAAGTCTAGAGGAACACCAACTTCAGCACAGCAACTCGAGGAATGCCACGTGTACCCCAAATCGTCTCGAGATGAGAGCTGATTTCCTGGCTTAGGCTCAAGACGTATGCCAACTTTTCAGAAGCACCTCAGGATGAGGCTTCTCTCAGCAATAGGTATGTGGGAGGGACCCCGAGTTTGCTGCCTCAAGGGGAATATACAGCGAGAAGCCCTAACTTGAAAAGAGGCCGGATTTCCTTGCAGTGGCTAGAATACAGGCTCGTCTTTCGTGTCAAAATCTGAAGGGATGTCTGAATCCCCTGTGGAGAACTTACAGAAAGCCCTAGGTCCCTGCCTCATTTTGACGGAATGCCTCACATCCCGCTGACACCTCGAGAGGCACGTGGAGTTCATTGCTTCAAAAGGTGACGATGCCTGACTCCTCTTGAATACTGATAGGAATCCCAAAATCCCTGTGGCTACTGGAAAGGGTCCTTGGGTGCCCTGCCTCACCTCGAGAAGCGTCCCTTTTGCCCTGCCAAGCCTCGAAGAGATTCCTGAGGTGTCCCTCATTACTAGAAAGGAGTCCTGACGTCACTGAAGAAACTCGTGTTTTGAAGGTCCATCCCCGCCATAAGTCGAGAACATACCCCAGGTCCCCGCCGCAACTCGAGAAAAACCATGAGACTTCCCCCTAGAGGCGAGATGAGGCCCCATTCCCCTGCAGTGCATGCAGAGCTATTCCGTGATCCCATTCAAACAAGTCAGGAGCTTCGACTTGCTTAGTGGATCTCGAGACAGTCCCCAAGAACACTGTCACCAGTCTAGACGGACCCTGAGGTCACCCCAGCAACGCAAAGCAGCTCCATGTGCCCCAAATCAACTCGAGATGAGGCCCGATTCCCCTGGATTGACTCCAGAGCCATTCCCCGTTCCCCATTCAACAAGACCGGTGTCTCGACTTCCTTCAGGCAACTCCAGAGATGCCCCGAGAACACTGTCCCAAGTATAGAGGAACTCCAACTTCAGCACAGCAACTCGAGGAATGTGAGTGAACCCCAAATCGACTCGAGATGAGAGCTGATTCCCTGCCTTAGGCTCAAGATGTATGCCAACTTTCCAGAAGCACCTCAGCAGGAGGCTTCTCTCAGCAATAGCTATGTGCGAGGGACACCGAGTTTGCTGCCCCAAGGGGAATATACAGCGAGAAGCCCTAATTTGAAAGGAGGCCGGATTTCCTTGCAGTGGCTAGAATACAGGCACGTCTTTGATCTCAAAACATGAAGGGATGTCTGAATCCCCTGTGGAGACCTTAGAGAAAGCCCTAGGTCCCTGCCTCATTTTGACGGAATGCCTCACATCCCGGTGACACCTCGAGAGGCACGCGGAGTTCATTGCTTCAAAAGGTGACGATGCCTGACTCCTCTTGAATACTGATAGGAATCCCAAAATCCCTGTGGCTACTGGAAAGGGTCCTTGGGTGCCCTGCCTCACCTCGAGAAGCGTCCCTTTTCCCCTGCCAAGCCTCGAAGAGATTCCTGAGGTGTCCCTCTTTACTAGACAGTGGTCCTGACGTCACTGAAGAAACTCGTGTTTTGAAGGGCCATCCCCGCCTTAAGGCGAGAACATACCCCAGGTCCCCGCCGCAACTCGAGAAAAACCATGAGACTTCCCCCTAGAGGCGAGATGAGGCCCCATTCCCGTGCAGTGCATGCAGAGCTATTCCATGATCCCATTCAAACAAGTCAGGAGCTTCGACTTGCATAATGGATCTCGAGACAGTCCGAAGGACACTGTCACCAGTCTAGACGGACCCTGAGGTCACCCCAGCAACGCAAAGCAGCTCCATGTGCCCCAAATCAACTCGAGATGAGTCCCGATTCCCCTGAATTGACTCCACAGCCATTCCCCGTTCCCCATTCAACAGGACCGTTGGCTCGACTTCCTTCAGGCAACTCCAGAGATGCCCCGAGAACACTGTCCCAAGTCTAGAGGAACTCCAACTTCAGCACAGCAACTCGAGGAATGCTCCGTGTACCCCAAATCATCTTGAGATGAGAGCTGTTTCCCTGCCTTAGGCTCAAGACGTATGCCAACTCTCCAGAAGCAACTCAGGAGGAGGCTTCTCTCAGCAATAGGTATGTGGGAGGGACCCCGAGGTTGCTGCCTCAAGGGGAATATACAACGAGAAGCCCTAACTTGAAAGGAGGCCGGATTTCCTTGCAGTGGCTAGAATACAGGCTCGTCTTTCATCTCACAACATGAAGGGATGTCTGAATCCCCTGTGGAGACCTTAGAGAAAGCCTTAGGTCCCTGCCTCATTTTGACGGAATGCCTAACATCCCGCTGACACCTCGAGAGGTATGTGGAGTTCATTGCTTCAAAAGGTGACGATGCCTGACTCCTCTTGTATACTGATAGGAATCCCAAAATCCCTGTGGCTACTGGAAAGGGTCCTTGGGTGCTCTGCTTCACCTCGAGTAGCGTCCCATTTGCCCTGCCAAGCCTCGAAGAGATTCCTGAGGTGTCCCTCGTTACGAGACAGGAGTCCTGACGTCACTGAAGAAACTCGTGTTTTGAAAGGCCATCCCCGCCGTAAGTCGAGAACATACCCCAGGTCCCCGCCGCAACTCGAGAAAAACCATGAGACTTCCCCCAGAGGCGAGATGAGGCCCCTTTCCCCTGCAGTGCATGCAGAGCTATTCCGTGATCCCATTCAAACAAGGCAGGAGCTTCGACTTGCTTAATGGATCTCGAGACAGTCCCCAAGAACACTGTCACCAGTCTAGACGGACCCTGAGGTCACCCCAGCAATGCAAAGCAGCTCCATGTGCCCCAAATCAACTCGAGATGAGGCCCAATTCCCCTGGATTGATTCCAGAGCCATTCCCCGTTCCCCATTCAACACGACCGGTGACTTGACTTCCTTCAGGCAACTCCAGAGATGCCCCGAGAACACTGTCCCAAGTCTGGAGGAACACCAACTTCAGCACAGAAACTCGAGGAATGCTCCGTGTACCCCAAATCGTGTCGAGATGAGAGCTGATTCCCTGGCTTAGGCTCAAGACGTATGCCAAGTTTCCAGAAGCACCTCAGGAGGAGGCTTCTCTCAGCAATAGGTATGTGGGAGGGACCCCGAGTTTGCTGCCTCAAGGGGAATATACAGCGAGAAGCCCTAACTTGAAAGGAGGCCGGATTTCCTTGCAGTGGCTAGAATACAGGCTCGTCTTTGATCTCAAAACCTGATGGGATGTCTGAATCGCCTGTGGAGACCTTAGAGTAAGCCCTAGGTCCCTGGCTCATTTTGACGGAATGCCTCACATCCCGCTGACACCTCGAGAGGCACGTGGAGTTCATTGCTTCAAAAGGTGACGATGCCTGACTCCTCTTGAATACTGATAGGAATCCGAAAATCCCTGTGGCTACTGGAAAGGGGACTTGGGTGCCCTGCCTCACCTCGAGAAGCGTCCCTTTTGGCCTGCCATGCCTCGAAGAGATTCCTGAGGTGTCCCTCGTTACTAGACAGGAGTCCTGACGTCACTGAAGAAACTCGTGTTTTGAAGGGCCATCCCCGCCGTAAGTCGAGAACATACCCCAGGTCCCCGCCGCAACTCGAGAAAAACCATGAGACTTCCCCATAGAGGCGAGATGAGGCCCCATTCCCCTGCAGTGCATGCAGAGCTATTCCGTGATCCCATTCAAACAAGTCAGGAGCTTCGACTTGCTTAATGGATCTCGACACATTCCCCAAAAACACTGTCACCAGTCTAGACGGACCCTGAGGTCACCCCAGCAACGCAAAGCAGCTCCATGTGCCCCAAATCAACTCGAGATGAGGCCCGATTCCCCTGCATTGACTCCCGAGCCATTCCCCATTCCCCATTCAAGACGAACAGTGGCTCGACTTCCTTCAGGCAACTCCAGAGATACCACTAGAACACTGTCCCAAGTCTAGAGGAACACCAACTTAAGCACAGCAACTCGAGGAATGCCATGTGTACCCCAAATCGTCTCGAGATGAGAGCTGATTTCCTGGCTTAGGCTCAAGACGTATGCCAACTTTCCAGAAGCACCTCAGGATGAGGCTTCTCTCAGCAATAGGTATGTGGGAGGGACCCCGAGTTTGCTGCCTCAAGGGGAATAGAGAGCGAGAAGCCCTAACTTGAAAAGAGGCCGGATTTCCTTGCAGTGGCTTGAATACAGGCTCGTGTTTCATCTCACAACATGAAGGGATGTCTGAATCCCCTGTGGAGACCTTAGAGAAAGCCCTAGGTCACTGCCTCATTTTGACGGAATGCCTCACATCCCGTTGACATCTCGAGAGGCACGCGGAGTTCATTGCTTCAAAAGGTGACGATGCCTGAGTCCTCTTGAAAACTGATAGGAATCCCAAAATCCCTGTGGCTACTGGATAGGGTCCTTGGGTGCCCTGCCTCACCTCGAGAAGCGTCCCTTTTGCCCTGCCAAGCCTCGAAGAGATTCCTGAGGTGTCCCTCGTTACTAGAGAGGAGTCCTGACGTCACTGAAGAAACTCGTGTTTTGAAGGGCCATCCCCGCCGTAAGTCGAGAACATACCCCAGGTCCCCGCCGCAACTCGAGAAAAACCATGAGACTTCCCCCTAGAGGCGAGATGAGGCCCCATTCCCCTGCAGTGCATGCAGAGCTATTCCGTGATCCCATTCAAACAAGTCAGGAGCTTCGACTTGCTTAATGGATCTCGAGACAGTCCCCAAGAACACTGTCACCAGTCTAGACGGAACCTGAGGTCACCCCAGCAACGCAAAGCAGCTCCATGTGCCCCAAATCAACTCGAGATGAGGCCCGATTCCCCTGGAATGACTCCAGAGCCATTCCCCGTTCTCCATTCAACAAGACCGGTGTCTCGACTTCCTTCAGGCAACTCCAGAGATGCCCCGAGAACACTGTCCCAAGTATAGAGGAACTCCAACTTCAGCACAGCAACTCGAGGAATGTGAGTGAACCCCAAATCGACTCGAGATGAGAGCTGATTCCCTGCCTTAGGCTCAAGACGTATGCCAACTTTCCAGAAGCACCTCAGCAGGAGGCTTCTGTCAGCAATAGCTATGTGCGAGGGACCCCGAATTTGCTGCCTCAAGGGGAATATACAGCGAGAAGCCCTAATTTGAAAGGAGGCCGGATTTCCTTGCAGTGGCTAGAATACAGGCACGTCTTTGATCTCAAAACATGAAGGGATGTCTGAATCCCCTGTGGAGACCTTAGAGAAAGCCCTAGGTCCCTGCCTCATTTTGACGGAATGCCTCACATCCCGGTGACACCTCGAGAGGCACGCGGAGTTCATTGCTTCAAAAGGTGACGATGCCTGACTCCTCTTGAATACTGATAGGAATCCGAAAATCCCTGTGGCTACTGGAAAGGGTCCTTGGGTGCCCTGCCTCACATCGAGAAGCGTCCCTTTTCTCCTGCCAAGCCTCGAAGAGATTCCTGAGGTGTCCCTCTTTACTAGACAGGGGTCCTGACGTCACTGAAGAAACTCGTGTTTTGAAGGGCCATCCCCGCCGTAAGGCGAGAACATACCCCAGGTCCCCGCCGCAACTCGAGAAAAACCATGAGACTTCCCCCTAGAGGCGAGATGAGGCCCCATTCCCCTGCAGTGCATGCAGAGCTATTCCATGATCCCATTCAAACAAGTCAGGAGCTTCGACTTGCATAATGGATCTCGAGACAGTCCCCAAGAACACTGTCACCAGTCTAGACGGACCCTGAGGTCACCCCAGCAACGCAAAGCAGCTCCATGTGCCCCAAATCAACTCGAGATGAGTCCTGATTCCCCTGAATTGACTCCAGAGCCATTCCCCGTTCCCCATTCAACAGGACCGTTGGCTCGACTTCCTTCAGGCAACTCCAGAGATGCCCCGAGAACACTGTCCCAAGTCTATAGGAACTCCAACTTCAGCACAGCAACTCGAGGAATGCTCCGTGTACCCCAAATCATCTTGAGATGAGAGCTGTTTCCCTGCCTTAGGCTCAAGACGTATGCCAACTTTCCAGAAGCAACTCAGGAGGAGGCTTCTCTCAGCAATAGTTATGTGGGAGGGACCCCGAGGTTGCTGCCTCAAGGGGAATATACAACGAGAAGCCCTAACTTGAAAGGAGGCCGGATTTCCTTGCAGTGGCTAGAATACAGGCTCGTCTTTCATCTCACAACATGAAGGGATGTCTGAATCCCCTGTGGAGACCTTAGAGAAAGCCTTAGGTCCCTGCCTCATTTTGACGGAATGCCTCACATCCCGCTGACACCTCGAGAGGTATGTGGAGTTCATTGCTTCAAAAGGTGACGATGCCTGACTCCTCTTGTATACTGATAGGAATCCCAAAATCCCTGTGGCTACTGGAAAGGGTCCTTGGGTGCTCTGCTTCACCTCGAGAAGCGTCCTTTTTGCCCTGCCAAGCCTCGAAGAGATTCCTGAGGTGTCCCTCGTTACGAGACAGGAGTCCTGACGTCACTGAAGAAACTCGTGTTTTGAAAGGCCATCCCCGCCGTAAGTCGGGAACATACCCCAGGTCCCCGCCGAAACTCGAGAAAAACCATGAGACTTCCCCCTAGAGGCGAGATGAGGCCCCTTTCCCCTGCAGTGCATGCAGAGCTATTCCGTGATCCCATTCAAACAAGGCAGGAGTTTCGACTTGCTTAATGGATCTCCAGACAGTCCCCAAGAACACTGTCACCAGTCTAGACGGACCCTGAGGTCACCCCAGCAACGCAAAGCAGCACCATGTGCCCCAAATCAACTCGAGATGAGGCCCAATTCCCCTGGATTGATTCCAGAGCCATTCCCCGTTCCCCATTCAACACGACCGGTGACTTGACTTCCTTCAGGCAACTCCAGAGATGCCCCGAGAACACTGTCCCAAGTCTGGAGGAACACCAACTTCAGCACAGAAACTCGAGGAATGCTCCGTGTACCCCAAATCGTCTCGAGATGAGAGCTGATTCCCTGGCTTAGGCTCAAGACGTATGCCAAGTTTCCAGAAGCACCTCAGGAGGAGGCTTCTCTCAGCAATAGGTATGTGGGAGGGACCCCGAGTTTGCTGCCTCAAGGGGAATATACAGCGAGAAGCCCTAACTTGAAAGGAGGCCGGATTTCCTTGCAGTGGCTAGAATACAGGCTCGTCTTTTATCTCAAAACCTGATGGGATGTCTGAATCGCCTGTGGAGACCTTAGAGTAAGCCCTAGGTCCCTGGCTCATTTTGACGGAATGCCTCACATCCCGCTGACACCTCGAGAGGCACGTGGAGTTCATTGCTTCAAAAGGTGACGATGCCTGACTCCTCTTGAATACTGATAGGAATCCGAAAATCCTGTGGCTACTGGAAAGGGGACTTGGGTGCCCTGCCTCACCTCGAGAAGCGTCCCTTTTGCCCTGCCATGCCTCGAAGAGATTCCTGAGGTGTCCCTCGTTACTAGACAGGAGTCCTGACGTCACTGAAGAAACAAAAACCATGAGACTTCCCCCTAGAGGCGAGATGAGGCCCCATTCCCCTGCAGTGTATGCAGAGCTATTCCTTGATCCCATTCAAACAAGTCAGGAGCTTCGACTTGCTTAATGGATCTCGAGACAGTCCACAAGAACTCTGTCACCATTCTAGACGGACCCTGAGGTCACCCCAGCAACGCAAAGCAGCTCCATGTGCCCCAAGTCAACTCGAGATGAGGCCCGATTCCCCTGCATTGACTCCAGACCCATTCCTCGTTCCCCATTCAACACGACCGGTGGCTCGACTTCCTTCCGGCAATTCCAGAGATGCCCCGAGAACACTGTCCCAAGTCTAGAGGAATTCCAACATCAGCACAGCAACTCGAGGAATGCTCCGTGTACCCCAAAACACCTCGAGATGAGAGCTGATTCCCTGGCGTAGGCTCAAGACGTATGAAAACTTTCCAAAAGCACCTCAGGAGGAGGCTTCTCTCAGTAATAGGTATGTGGGAGGGACCCCGAGTATGCTGCCTCAAGGGGAATATACAGCGAGAAGCCCTAACTTGAAAGGAGGCCGGATTTCCTTGCAGTGGCTTGAATACAGGCTCGTGTTTCATCTCACAACATGAAGGGATGTCTGAATCCCCTGTGGAGACCTTAGAGAAAGCCCTAGGTCACTGCCTCATTTTGACGGAATGCCTCACATCCCGTTGACATCTCGAGAGGCACGCGGAGTTCATTGCTTCAAAAGGTGACGATGCCTGAGTCCTCTTGAAAACTGATAGGAATCCCAAAATCCCTGTGGCTACTGGATAGGGTCCTTGGGTGCCCTGCCTCACCTCGAGAAGCGTCCCTTTTGCCCTGCCAAGCCTCGAAGAGATTCCTGAGGTGTCCCTCGTTACTAGACAGGAGTCCTGACGTCACTGAAGAAACTCGTGTTTTGAAGGGCCATCCCCGCTGTAAGTCGAGAACATACCCCAGGTCCCCGCCGCAACTCGAGAAAAACCATGAGACTTCCCCCTAGAGGCGAGATGAGGCCCCATTCCCCTGCAGTGCATGCAGAGCTATTCCGTGATCCCATTCAAACAAGTCAGGAGCTTCGACTTGCTTAATGGATCTCGACACATTCCCCAAGAACACTGTCACCATTCTAGACGGACCCTGAGGTCACCCCAGCAACGCAAAGCAGCTCCCTGTGCCCCAAGTCAACTCGAGATGAGGCCCGATTCCCCTGCATTGACTCCAGAGCCATTCCTCGTTCCCCATTCAACACGACCGGTGGCTCGACTTCCTTCCGGCAATTCCAGAGATGCCCCGAGAACACTGTCCCAAGTCTAGAGGAATTCCAACATCAGCACAGCAACTCGAGGAATGCTCCGTGTACCCCAAAACACCTCGAGATGAGAGCTGATTCCCTGGCGTAGGCTCAAGACGTATGAAAACTTTCCAAAAGCACCTCAGGATGAGGCTTCTCTCAGCAATAGGTATGTGGGAGGGACCCCGAGTATGCTGCCTCAAGGGGAATATACAGCGAGAAGCCCTAACTTGAAAGGACGCCGGATTTCCTTGCAGTGGCTTGAATACAGGCTCGTGTTTCATCTCACAACATGAAGGGATGTCTGAATCCCCTGTGGAGACCTTAGAGAAAGCCCTAGGTCACTGCCTCATTTTGACGGAATGCCTCACATCCCGTTGACATCTCGAGAGGCACGCGGAGTTCATTGCTTCAAAAGGTGACGATGCCTGAGTCCTCTTGAAAACTGATAGGAATCCCAAAATCCCTGTGGCTACTGGATAGGGTCCTTGGGTGCCCTGCCTCACCTCGATAAGCGTCCCTTTGGCCCTGCCAAGCCTCGAAGAGATTCCTGAGGTGTCCCTCGTTACTAGACAGGAGTCCTGACGTCACTGAAGAAACTCGTGTTTTGAAGGGCCATCCCCGCCGTAAGTCGAGAACATACCCCAGGTCCCCGCCGCAACTCGAGAAAAACCATGAGACTTCCCCCTAGAGGCGAGATGAGGCCCCATTCCCCTGCAGTGCATGCAGAGCTATTCCGTGATCCCATTCAAACAAGTCAGGAGCTTCGACTTGCTTAATGGATCTCGACGCATTCCCCAAGAACACTGTCACCAGGCTAGACGGACCCTGAGGTCACCCCAGCAACGCAAAGCAGCTCCATGTGCCCCAAATCAACTCGAGATGAGGCCCGATTCCCCTGCATTGACTCCAGAGCCATTCCCCATTCCCCATTCAAGACGAACAGTGGCTCGACTTCCTTCAGGCAACTCCAGAGATACCACTAGAACACTGTCCCAAGTCTAGTGGATCACCAACTTCAGCACAGCAACTCGAGGAATGCCACGTGTACCCCAAATCGTCTCGAGATGAGAGCTGATTTCCTGGCTTAGGCTCAAGACGTATGCCAACTTTCCAGAAGCACCTCAGGATGAGGCTTCTCTCAGCAATAGGTATGTGGGAGGGACCCCGAGTTTGCTGCCTCAAGGGGAATATACAGCGAGAAGCCCTAACTTGAAAAGAGGCCGGATTTCCTTGCAGTGGCTAGAATACAGGCTCGTCTTTCGTGTCAAAATCTGAAGGGATGTCTGAATCCCCTGTGGAGACCTTACAGAAAGCCCTAGGTCCCTGCCTCATTTTGACGGAATGCCTCACATCCCGATGACACCTCGAGAGGCACGTGGAGTTCATTGCTTCAAAAGGTGACGATGCCTGACTCCTCTTGAATACTGATAGGAATCCCAAAATCCCTGTGGCTACTGGAAAGTGTCCTTGGGTGCCCTGCCTCACCTCGAGAAGCGTCCCTTTTGCCCTGCCAAGCCTCGAAGAGATTCCTGAGGTGTCCCTCATTACTAGAAAGGAGTCCTGACGTCACTGAAGAAACTCGTGTTTTGAAGGTCCATCCCCGCCATAAGTCGAGAACATACCCCAGGTCCCCGCCGCAACTCGAGAAAAACCATGAGACTTCCCCCTAGAGGCGAGATGAGGCCCCATTCCCCTGCAGTGCATGCAGAGCTATTCCGTGATCCCATTCAAACAAGTCAGGAGCTTCGACTTGCTTAATGGATCTCGAGACAGTCCCCAAGAACACTGTCACCAGTCTAGACGGACCCTGAGGTCACCCCAGCAACGCAAAGCAGGTCCATGTGCCCCAAATCAACTCGAGATGAGGCCCGATTCCCCTGGATTGACTCCAGAGCCATTCCCCGTTCCCCATTCAACAAGACCGGTGTCTCGACTTCCTTCAGGCAACTCCAGAGATGCCCCGAGAACACTGTCCCAAGTATAGAGGAACTCCAACTTCAGCACAGCAACTCGAGGAATGCTCCGTGTACCCCAAATCATCTTGAGATGAGAGCTGTTTCCCTGCCTTAGGCTCAAGACGTATGCCAACTCTCCAGAAGCAACTCAGGAGGAGGCTTCTCTCAGCAATATATATGTGGGAGGGACCCCGAGGTTGCTGCCTCAAGGGGAATATACAACGAGAAGCCCTAACTTGAAAGGAGGCCGGATTTCCTTGCAGTGGCTAGAATACAGGCTCGTCTTTCATCTCACAACATGAAGGGATGTCTGAATCCCCTGTGGAGACCTTAGAGAAAGCCTTAGGTCCCTGCCTCATTTTGACGGAATGCCTCAAATCCCGCTGACACCTCGAGAGGTATGTGGAGTTCATTGCTTCAAAAGGTGACGATGCCTGACTCCTCTTGTATACTGATAGGAATCCCAAAATCCCTGTGGCTACTGGAAAGGGTCCTTGGGTGCTCTGCTTCACCTCGAGAAGCGTCCCTTTTGCCCTGCCAAGCCTCGAAGAGATTCCTGAGGTGTCCCTAGTTACGAGACAGGAGTCCTGACGTCAGTGAAGAAACTCGTGTTTTGAAAGGCCATCGCCGCCGTAAGTCGAGAACATACCCCAGGTCCCCGCCGCAACTCGAGAAAAACCATGAGACTTCCCCCTAGAGGCGAGATGAGGCCCCTTTCCCCTGCAGTGCATGCAGAGCTATTCCGTGATCCCATTCAAACAAGGCAGGTGCTTCGACTTGCTTAATGGATCTCGAGACAGTCCCCAAGAACACTGTCACCAGTCTAGACGGACACTGAGGTCACCCCAGCAACGCAAAGCAGCACCATGTGCCCCAAATCAACTCGAGATGAGGCCCAATTCCCCTGGATTGATTCCAGAGCCATTCCCCGTTCCCCATTCAACACGACCGGTGACTTGACTTCCTTCAGGCAACTCCAGAGATGCCCCGAGAACACTGTCCCAAGTCTGGAGGAACACCAACTTCAGCACAGAAACTCGAGGAATGCTCCGTGTACCCCAAATCGTGTCGAGATGAGAGCTGATTCCCTGGCTTAGGCTCAAGACGTATGCCAAGTTTCCAGAAGCACCTCAGGAGGAGGCTTCCCTCAGCAATAGGTATGTGGGAGGGACCCCGAGTTTGCTGCTTCAAGAGGAATATACAGCGAGAAGCCCTAACTTGAAAGGAGGCCGGATTTCTTTGCAGTGGCTAGAATACAGGCTCGTCTTTGATCTCAAAACCTGATGGGATGTCTGAATCGCCTGTGGAGACCTTAGAGTAAGCCCTAGGTCCCTGGCTCATTTTGACGGAATGCCTCACATCCCGCTGACACCTCGAGAGGCACGTGGAGTTCATTGCTTCAAAAGGTGACGATGCCTGACTCCTCTTGAATACTGATAGGAATCCGAAAATCCTGTGGCTACTGGAAAGGGGACTTGGGTGCCCTGCCTCACCTCGAGAAGCGTCCCTTTTGCCCTGCCATGCCTCGAAGAGATTCCTGAGGTGTCCCTCGTTACTAGACAGGAGTCCTGACGTCACTGAAGAAACAAAAACCATGAGACTTCCCCCTAGAGGCGAGATGAGGCCCCATTCCCCTGCAGTGTATGCAGAGCTATTCCGTGATCCCATTCAAACAAGTCAGGAGCTTCGACTTGCTTAATGGATCTCGAGACAGACCACAAGAACTCTGTCACCATTCTAGACGGACCCTGAGGTCACCCCAGCAACGCAAAGCAGCTCCATGTGCCCCAAGTCAACTCGAGATGAGGCCCGATTCCCCTGCATTGACTCCAGAGCCATTCCTCGTTCCCCATTCAACACGACCGGTGGCTCGACTTCCTTCCGGCAACTCCAGAGATGCCCCGAGAACACTGTCCCAAGTCTAGAGGAATTCCAACATCAGCACAGCAACTCGAGGAATGCTCCGTGTACCCCAAAACACCTCGAGATGAGAGCTGATTCCCTGGCGTAGGCTCAAGACGTATGAAAACTTTCCAAAAGCACCTCAGGAGGAGGCTTCTCTCAGTAATAGGTATGTGGGAGGGACCCCGAGTATGCTGCCTCAAGGGGAATATACAGCGAGAAGCCCTAACTTGAAAGGAGGCCGGATTTCCTTGCATTGGCTTGAATACAGGCTCGTGTTTCATCTCACAACATGAAGGGATGTCTGAATCCCCTGTGGAGACCTTAGAGAAAGCCCTAGGTCACTGCCTCATTTTGACGGAATGCCTCACATCCCGTTGACATCTCGAGAGGCACGCGGAGTTCATTGCTTCAAAAGGTGACGATGCCTGAGTCCTCTTGAAAACTGATAGGAATCCCAAAATCCCTGTGGCTACTGGATAGGGTCCTTGGGTGCCCTGCCTCACCTCGAGAAGCGTCCCTTTTGCCCTGCCAAGCCTCGAAGAGATTCCTGAGGTGTCCCTCGTTACTAGACAGGAGTCCTGACGTCACTGAAGAAACTCGTGTTTTGAAGGGCCATCCCCGCCGTAAGTCGAGAACATACCCCAGGTCCCCGCCGCAACTCGAGAAAAACCATGAGACTTCCCCCTAGAGGCGAGATGAGGCCCCATTCCCCTGCAGTGCATGCAGAGCTATTCCGTGATCCCATTCAAACAAGTCAGGAGCTTCGACTTGCTTAATGGATCTCGACACATTCCCCAAGAACACTGTCACCATTCTAGACGGACCCTGAGGTCACCCCAGCAACGCAAAGCAGCTCCCTGTGCCCCAAGTCAACTCGAGATGAGGCCCGATTCCCCTGCATTGACTCCAGAGCCATTCCTCGTTCCCCATTCAACACGACCGGTGGCTCGACTTCCTTCCGGCAATTCCAGAGATGCCCCGAGAACACTGTCCCAAGTCTAGAGGAATTCCAACATCAGCACAGCAACTCGAGGAATGCTCCGTGTACCCCAAAACACCTCGAGATGAGAGCTGATTCCCTGGCGTAGGCTCAAGACGTATGAAAACTTTCCAAAAGCACCTCAGGATGAGGCTTCTCTCAGCAATAGGTATGTGGGAGGGACCCCGAGTATGCTGCCTCAAGGGGAATATACAGCGAGAAGCCCTAACTTGAAAGGACGCCGGATTTCCTTGCAGTGGCTTGAATACAGGCTCGTGTTTCATCTCACAACATGAAGGGATGTCTGAATCCCCTGTGGAGACCTTAGAGAAAGCCCTAGGTCACTGCCTCATTTTGACGGAATGCCTCACATCCCGTTGACATCTCGAGAGGCACGCGGAGTTCATTGCTTCAAAAGGTGACGATGCCTGAGTCCTCTTGAAAACTGATAGGAATCCCAAAATCCCTGTGGCTACTGGATAGGGTCCTTGGGTGCCCTGCCTCACCTCGATAAGCGTCCCTTTGGCCCTGCCAAGCCTCGAAGAGATTCCTGAGGTGTCCCTCGTTACTAGACAGGAGTCCTGACGTCACTGAAGAAACTCGTGTTTTGAAGGGCCATCCCCGCCGTAAGTCGAGAACATACCCCAGGTCCCCGCCGCAACTCGAGAAAAACCATGAGACTTCCCCCTAGAGGCGAGATGAGGCCCCATTCCCCTGCAGTGCATGCAGAGCTATTCCGTGATCCCATTCAAACAAGTCAGGAGCTTCGACTTGCTTAATGGATCTCGACGCATTCCCCAAGAACACTGTCACCAGGCTAGACGGACCCTGAGGTCACCCCAGCAACGCAAAGCAGCTCCATGTGCCCCAAATCAACTCGAGATGAGGCCCGATTCCCCTGCATTGACTCCAGAGCCATTCCCCATTCCCCATTCAAGACGAACAGTGGCTCGACTTCCTTCAGGCAACTCCAGAGATACCACTAGAACACTGTCCCAAGTCTAGAGGAACACCAACTTCAGCACAGCAACTCGAGGAATGCCACGTGTACCCCAAATCGTCTCGAGATGAGAGCTGATTTCCTGGCTTAGGCTCAAGACGTATGCCAACTTTCCAGAAGCACCTCAGGATGAGGCTTCTCTCAGCAATAGGTATGTGGGAGGGACCCCGAGTTTGCTGCCTCAAGGGGAATATACAGCGAGAAGCCCTAACTTGAAAAGAGGCCGGATTTCCTTGCAGTGGCTAGAATACAGGCTCGTCTTTCGTGTCAAAATCTGAAGGGATGTCTGAATCCCCTGTGGAGACCTTACAGAAAGCCCTAGGTCCCTGCCTCATTTTGACGGAATGCCTCACATCCCGATGACACCTCGAGAGGCACGTGGAGTTCATTGCTTCAAAAGGTGACGATGCCTGACTCCTCTTGAATACTGATAGGAATCCCAAAATCCCTGTGGCTACTGGAAAGTGTCCTTGGGTGCCCTGCCTCACCTCGAGAAGCGTCCCTTTTGCCCTGCCAAGCCTCGAAGAGATTCCTGAGGTGTCCCTCATTACTAGAAAGGAGTCCTGACGTCACTGAAGAAACTCGTGTTTTGAAGGTCCATCCCCGCCATAAGTCGAGAACATACCCCAGGTCCCCGCCGCAACTCGAGAAAAACCATGAGACTTCCCCCTAGAGGCGAGATGAGGCCCCATTCCCCTGCAGTGCATGCAGAGCTATTCCGTGATCCCATTCAAACAAGTCAGGAGCTTCGACTTGCTTAATGGATCTCGAGACAGTCCCCAAGAACACTGTCACCAGTCTAGACGGACCCTGAGGTCACCCCAGCAACGCAAAGCAGGTCCATGTGCCCCAAATCAACTCGAGATGAGGCCCGATTCCCCTGGATTGACTCCAGAGCCATTCCCCGTTCCCCATTCAACAAGACCGGTGTCTCGACTTCCTTCAGGCAACTCCAGAGATGCCCCGAGAACACTGTCCCAAGTATAGAGGAACTCCAACTTCAGCACAGCAACTCGAGGAATGCTCCGTGTACCCCAAATCATCTTGAGATGAGAGCTGTTTCCCTGCCTTAGGCTCAAGACGTATGCCAACTCTCCAGAAGCAACTCAGGAGGAGGCTTCTCTCAGCAATATATATGTGGGAGGGACCCCGAGGTTGCTGCCTCAAGGGGAATATACAACGAGAAGCCCTAACTTGAAAGGAGGCCGGATTTCCTTGCAGTGGCTAGAATACAGGCTCGTCTTTCATCTCACAACATGAAGGGATGTCTGAATCCCCTGTGGAGACCTTAGAGAAAGCCTTAGGTCCCTGCCTCATTTTGACGGAATGCCTCACATCCCGCTGACACCTCGAGATGTATGTGGAGTTCATTGCTTCAAAAGGTGACGATGCCTGACTCCTCTTGTATACTGATAGGAATCCCAAAATCCCTGTGGCTACTGGAAAGGGTCCTTGGGTGCTCTGCTTCACCTCGAGAAGCGTCCCTTTTGCCCTGCCAAGCCTCGAAGAGATTCCTGAGGTGTCCCTAGTTACGAGACAGGAGTCCTGACGTCAGTGAAGAAACTCGTGTTTTGAAAGGCCATCGCCGCCGTAAGTCGAGAACATACCCCAGGTCCCCGCCGCAACTCGAGAAAAACCATGAGACTTCCCCCTAGAGGCGAGATGAGGCCCCTTTCCCCTGCAGTGCATGCAGAGCTATTCCGTGATCCCATTCAAACAAGGCAGGAGCTTCGACTTGCTTAATGGATCTCGAGACAGTCCCCAAGAACACTGTCACCAGTCTAGACGGACCCTGAGGTCACCCCAGCAACGCAAAGCAGCACCATGTGCCCCAAATCAACTCGAGATGAGGCCCAATTCCCCTGGATTGATTCCAGAGCCATTCCCCGTTCCCCATTCAACACGACCGGTGACTTGACTTCCTTCAGGCAACTCCAGAGATGCCCCGAGAACACTGTCCCAAGTCTGGAGGAACACCAACTTCAGCACAGAAACTCGAGGAATGCTCCGTGTACCCCAAATCGTGTCGAGATGAGAGCTGATTCCCTGGCTTAGGCTCAAGACGTATGCCAAGTTTCCAGAAGCACCTCAGGAGGAGGCTTCCCTCAGCAATAGGTATGTGGGAAGGACCCCGAGTTTGCTGCTTCAAGAGGAATATACAGCGAGAAGCCCTAACTTGAAAGGAGGCCGGATTTCTTTGCAGTGGCTAGAATACAGGCTCGTCTTTGATCTCAAAACCTGATGGGATGTCTGAATCGCCTGTGGAGACCTTAGAGTAAGCCCTAGGTCCCTGGCTCATTTTGACGGAATGCCTCACATCCCGCTGACACCTCGAGAGGCACGTGGAGTTCATTGCTTCAAAAGGTGACGATGCCTGACTCCTCTTGAATACTGATAGGAATCCGAAAATCCTGTGGCTACTGGAAAGGGGACTTGGGTGCCCTGCCTCACCTCGAGAAGCGTCCCTTTTGCCCTGCCATGCCTCGAAGAGATTCCTGAGGTGTCCCTCGTTACTAGACAGGAGTCCTGACGTCACTGAAGAAACAAAAACCATGAGACTTCCCCCTAGAGGCGAGATGAGGCCCCATTCCCCTGCAGTGTATGCAGAGCTATTCCGTGATCCCATTCAAACAAGTCAGGAGCTTCGACTTGCTTAATGGATCTCGAGACAGACCACAAGAACTCTGTCACCATTCTAGACGGACCCTGAGGTCACCCCAGCAACGCAAAGCAGCTCCATGTGCCCCAAGTCAACTCGAGATGAGGCCCGATTCCCCTGCATTGACTCCAGAGCCATTCCTCGTTCCCCATTCAACACGACCGGTGGCTCGACTTCCTTCCGGCAACTCCAGAGATGGCCCGAGAACACTGTCCCAAGTCTAGAGGAATTCCAACATCAGCACAGCAACTCGAGGAATGCTCCGTGTACCCCAAAACACCTCGAGATGAGAGCTGATTCCCTGGCGTAGGCTCAAGACGTATGAAAACTTTCCAAAAGCACCTCAGGAGGAGGCTTCTCTCAGCAATAGGTATGTGGGAGGGACCCCGAGTATGCTGCCTCAAGGGGAATATACAGCGAGAAGCCCTAACTTGAAAGGAGGCCGGATTTCCTTGCAGTGGCTTGAATACAGGCTCGTGTTTCATCTCACAACATGAAGGGATGTCTGAAACCCCTGTGGAGACCTTAGAGAAAGCCCTAGGTCACTGCCTCATTTTGACGGAATGCCTCACATCCCGTTGACATCTCGAGAGGCACGCGGAGTTCATTGCTTCAAAAGGTGACGATGCCTGAGTCCTCTTGAAAACTGATAGGAATCCCAAAATCCCTGTGGCTACTGGATAGGGTCCTTGGGTGCCCTGCCTCACCTCGAGAAGCGTCCCTTTTGCCCTGCCAAGCCTCGAAGAGATTCCTGAGGTGTCCCTCGTTACTAGACAGGAATCCTGACGTCACTGAAGAAACTCGTGTTTTGAAGGGCCATCCCGGCCGTAAGTCGAGAACATACCCCAGGTCCCCGCCGCAACTCGAGAAAAACCATGAAACTTCCCCCTAGAGGCGAGATGAGGCCCCATTCCCCTGCAGTGCATGCAGAGCTATTCCGTGATCCCATTCAAACAAGTCAGGAGCTTCGACTTGCTTAATGGATCTCGACACATTCCCCAAGAACACTGTCACCAGTCTAGACGGACCCTGAGGTCACCCCAGCAACGCAAAGCAGCTCCATGTGCCCCAAATCAACTCGAGATGAGGCCCGATTCCCCTGCATTGACTCCAGAGCCATTCCCCATTCCCCATTCAAGACGAACAGTGGCTCGACTTCCTTCAGGCAACTCCAGAGATACCACTAGAACACTGTCCCAAATCTAGAGGAACACCAACTTCAGCACAGCAACTCGAGGAATGCCACGTGTACCCCAAATCGTCTCGAGATGAGAGCTGATTTCCTGGCTTAGGCTCAAGACGTATGCCAACTTTCCAGAAGCACCTCAGGATGAGGCTTCTCTCAGCAATAGGTATGTGGGAGGGACCCCGAGGTTGCTGCCTCAAGGGGAATATACAGCGAGAAGCCCTAACTTGAAAAGAGGCCGGATTTCCTTGCAGTGGCTAGAATACAGGCTCGTCTTTCGTGTCAAAATCTGAAGGGATGTCTGAATCCCCTGTGGAGACCTTACAGAAAGCCCTAGGTCCCTGCCTCATTTTGACGGAATGCCTCACATCCCGCTGACACCTCGAGAGGCACGTGGAGTTCATTGCTTCAAAAGGTGACGATGCCTGACTCCTCTTGAATACTGATAGGAATCCCAAAATCCCTGTGGCTACTGGAAAAGGTCCTTGGCTGCCCTGCCTCACCTCGAGAAGCGTCCCTTTTGCCCTGCCAAGCCTCGAAGAGATTCCTGAGGTGTCCTTCATTACTAGAAAGGAGTCCTGACGTCACTGAAGAAACTCGTGTTTTGAAGGTCCATCCCCGCAATAAGTCGAGAACATACCCCAGGTCCCCGCCGCAACTCGAGAAAAACCATGAGACTTCCCCCTAGAGGCGAGATGAGGCCCCATTCCCCTGCAGTGCATGCAGAGCTATTCCGTGATCCCATTCAAACAAGTCAGGAGCTTCGACTTGCTTAATAGATCTCGAGACAGTCCGCAAGAACACTGTCACCAGTCTAGACGGACCCTGAGGTCACCCCAGCAACGCAAAAAAGCTCCATGTGCCCCAAATCAACTCGAGATGAGGCCCGATTCCCCTGGATTGACTCCAGAGCCATTCCCCGTTCCCCATTCAACAAGACCGGTGTCTCGACTTCCTTCAGGCAACTCCAGAGATGCCCCGAGAACACTGTCCCAAGTATAGAGGAACTCCAACTTCAGCACAGCAACTCGAGGAATGTGAGTGAACCCCAAATCGACTCGAGATGAGAGCTGATTCCCTGCCTTAGGCTCAAGACGTATGCCAACTTTCCAGAAGCACCTCAGCAGGAGGCTTCTCTCAGCAATAGCTATGTGCGAGGGACCCCGAGTTTGCTGCCTCAAGGGGAATATACAGCGAGAAGCCCTAATTTGAAAGGAGGCCGGATTTCCTTGCAGTGGCTAGAATACAGGCACGTCTTTGATCTCAAAACATGAAGGGATGTCTGAATCCCCTGTGGAGACCTTAGAGAAAGCCGTAGGTCCCTGCCTCATTTTGACGGAATGCCTCACATCCCGGTGACACCTCGAGAGGCACGCGGAGTTCATTGCTTCAAAAGGTGACGATGCCTGACTCCTCTTGAATACTGATAGGAATCCCAAACTCCCTGTGGCTACTGGAAAGGGTCCTTGGGTGCCCTGCCTCACCTCGAGAAGCGTCCCTTTTCCCCTGCCAAGCCTCGAAGAGATTCCTGAGGTGTCCCTCTTTACTAGACAGGGGTCCTGACGTCACTGAAGAAACTCGTGTTTTGAAGGGCCATCCCCGCCGTAAGGCGAGAACATACCCCAGGTCCCCGCCGCAACTCGAGAAAAACCATGAGACTTCCCCCTAGAGGCGAGATGAGGCCCCATTCCCCTGCAGTGCATGCAGAGCTATTCCATGATCCCATTCAAACAAGTCAGGAGCTTCGACTTGCATAATGGATCTCGAGACAGTCCCCAAGAACACTGTCACCAGTCTAGACGGACCCTGAGGTCACCCCAGCAACGCAAAGCAGCTCCATGTGCCCCAAATCAACTCGAGATGAGTCCCGATTCCCCTGAATTGACTCCAGAGCCATTCCCCGTTCCCCATTCAACAGGACCGTTGGCTCGACTTCCTTCAGGCAACTCCAGAGATGCCCCGAGAACACTGTCCCAAGTCTAGAGGAACTCCAACTTCAGCACAGCAACTCGAGGAATGCTCCGTGTACCCCAAATCATCTTGAGATGAGAGCTGTTTCCCTGCCTTAGGCTCAAGACGTATGCCAACTCTCCAGAAGCACCTCAGGAGGAGGCTTCTCTCAGCAATAGGTATGTGGGAGGGACCCCGAGGTTGCTGCCTCAAGGGGAATATACAACGAGAAGCCCTAACTTGAAAGGAGGCCGGATTTCCTTGCAGTGGCTAGAATACAGGCTCGTCTTTCATCTCACAACATGAAGGGATGTCTGAATCCCCTGTGGAGACCTTAGAGAAAGCCTTAGGTCCCTGCCTCATTTTGACGGAATGCCTCACATCCCGCTGACACCTCGAGAGGTATGTGGAGTTCATTGCTTCAAAAGGTGACGATGCCTGACTCCTCTTGTATACTGATAGGAATCCCAAAATCCCTGTGGCTACTGGAAAGGGTCCTTGGGTGCTCTGCTTCACCTCGAGAAGCGTCCCTTTTGCCCTGCCAAGCCTCGAAGAGATTCCTGAGGTGTCCCTCGTTATGAGACAGGAGTCCTGACGTCACTGAAGAAACTCGTGTTTTGAAAGGCCATCCCCGCCGTAAGTCGAGAACATACCCCAGGTCCCCGCCGCAACTCGAGAAAAACCATGAGACTTCCCCCTAGAGGCGAGATGAGGCCCCTTTCCCCTGCAGTGCATGCAGAGCTATTCCGTGATCCCATTCAAACAAGGCAGGAGCTTCGACTTGCTTAATGGATCTCGAGACAGTCCCCAAGAACACTGTCACCAGTCTAGACGGACCCTGAGGTCACCCCAGCAACGCAAAGCAGCACCATGTGCCCCAAATCAACTCGAGCTGAGGCCCAATTCCCCTGGATTGATTCCAGAGCCATTCCCCGTTCCCCATTCAACACGACCGGTGACTTGACTTCCTTCAGGCAACTCCAGAGATGCCCCGAGAACACTGTCCCAAGTCTGGAGGAACACCAACTTCAGCACAGAAACTCGAGGAATGCTCCGTGTACCCCAAATCGTGTCGAGATGAGAGCTGATTCCCTGGCTTAGGCTCAAGACGTATGCCAAGTTTCCAGAAGCACCTCAGGAGGAGGCTTCTCTCAGCAATAGGTATGTGGGAGGGACCCCGAGTTTGCTGCCTCAAGGGGAATATACAGCGAGAAGCCCTAACTTGAAAGGAGGCCGGATTTCCTTGCAGTGGCTAGAATACAGGCTCGTCTTTGATCTCAAAACCTGATGGGATGTCTGAATCGCCTGTGGAGACCTTAGAGTAAGCCCTAGGTCCCTGGCTCATTTTGACGGAATGCCTCACATCCCGCTGACACCTCGAGAGGCACGTGGAGTTCATTGCTTCAAAAGGTGACGATGCCTGACTCCTCTTGAATACTGATAGGAATCCGAAAATCCCTGTGGCTACTGGAAAGGGGACTTGGGTGCCCTGCCTCACCTCGAGAAGCGTCCCTTTTGGCCTGCCATGCCTCGAAGAGATTCCTGAGGTGTCCCTCGTTACTAGACAGGAGTCCTGACGTCACTGAAGAAACAAAAACCATGAGACTTCCCCCTAGAGGCGAGATGAGGCCCCATTCCCCTGCAGTGTATGCAGAGCTATTCCGTGATCCCATTCAAACAAGTCAGGAGCTTCGACTTGCTTAATGGATCTCGAGACAGTCCACAAGAACTCTGTCACCATTCTAGACGGACCCTGAGGTCACCCCAGCAACGCAAAGCAGCTCCATGTGCCCCAAGTCAACTCGAGATGAGGCCCGATTCCCCTGCATTGACTCCAGAGCCATTCCTCGTTCCCCATTCAACACGACCGGTGGCTCGACTTCCTTCCGGCAACTCCAGAGATGCCCCGAGAACACTGTCCCAAGTCTAGAGGAAATCCAACATCAGCACAGCAACTCGAGGAATGCTCCGTGTACCCCAAAACACCTCGAGATGAGAGCTGATTCCCTGGCGTAGGCTCAAGACGTATGAAAACTTTCCAAAAGCACCTCAGGAGGAGGCTTCTCTCAGCAATAGGTATGTGGGAGGGACCCCGAGTATGCTGCCTCAAGGGGAATATACAGCGAGAAGCCCTAACTTGAAAGGAGGCCGGATTTCCTTGCAGTGGCTTGAATACAGGCTCGTGTTTCATCTCACAACATGAAGGGATGTCTGAATCCCCTGTGGAGACCTTAGAGAAAGCCCTAGGTCACTGCCTCATTTTGACAGAATGCCTCACATCCCGTTGACATCTCGAGAGGCACGCGGAGTTCATTGCTTCAAAAGGTGACGATGCCTGAGTCCTCTTGAAAACTGATAGGAATCCCAAAATCCCTGTGGCTACTGGATAGGGTCCTTGGGTGCCCTGCCTCACCTCGAGAAGCGTCCCTTTTGCCCTGCCAAGCCTCGAAGAGATTCCTGAGGTGTCCCTCGTTACTAGACAGGAGTCCTGACGTCACTGAAGAAACTCGTGTTTTGAAGGGCCATCCCCGCCGTAAGTCGAGAACATACCCCAGGTCCCCGCCGCAACTCGAGAAAAACCATGAGACTTCCCCCTAGAGGCGAGATGAGGCCCCATTCCCCTGCAGTGCATGCAGAGCTATTCCGTGATCCCATTCAAACAAGTCAGGAGCTTCGACTTGCTTAATGGATCTCGACACATTCCCCAAGAACACTGTCACCAGTCTAGACGGACCCTGAGGTCACCCCAGCAACGCAAAGCAGCTCCATGTGCCCCAAATCAACTCGAGATGAGGCCCGATTCCCCTGCATTGACTCCAGAGCCATTCCCCATTCCCCATTCAACAAGACCGGTGTCTCGACTTCCTTCAGGCAACTCCAGAGATGCCCCGAGAACACTGTCCCAAGTATAGAGGAACTCCAAATTCAGCACAGCAACTCGAGGAATGTGAGTGAACCACAAATCGACTCGAGATGAGAGCTGATTCCCTGCCTTAGGCTCAAGACGTATGCCAACTTTCCAGAAGCACCTCAGCAGGAGGCTTCTCTCAGCAATAGCTATGTGCGAGGGACCCCGAGTTTGCTGCCTCAAGGGGAATATACAGCGAGAAGCCCTAATTTGAAAGGAGGCCGGATTTCCTTGCAGTGGCTAGAATACAGGCACGTCTTTGATCTCAAAACATGAAGGGATGTCTGAAACCCCTGTGGAGACCTTAGAGAAAGCCCTAGGTCCCTGCCTCATTTTGACGGAATGCCTCACATCCCGGTGACACCTCGAGAGGCACGCGGAGTTCATTGCTTCAAAAGGTGACGATGCCTGACTCCTCTTGAATACTGATAGGAATCCCAAAATCCCTGTGGCTACTGGAAAGGGTCCTTGGGTGCCCTGCCTCACCTCGAGAAGCGTCCCTTTTCCCCTGCCAAGCCTCGAAGAGATTCCTGAGGTGTCCCTCTTTACTAGACAGGGGTCCTGACGTCACTGAAGAAACTCGTGTTTTGAAGGGCCATCCCCGCCGTAAGGCGAGAACATACCCCAGGTCCCCGCCGCAACTCGAGAAAAACCATGAGACTTCCCCCTAGAGGCGAGATGAGGCCCCATTCCCCTGCAGTGCATGCAGAGCTATTCCATGATCCCATTCAAACAAGTCAGGAGCTTCGACTTGCATAATGGATCTCGAGACAGTCCCCAAGAACACTGTCACCAGTCTAGACGGACCCTGAGGTCACCCCAGCAACGCAAAGCAGCTCCATGTGCCCCAAATCAACTCGAGATGAGTCCCGATTCCCCTGAATTGACTCCAGAGCCATTCCCCGTTCCCCATTCAACAGGACCGTTGGCTCGACTTCCTTCAGGCAACTCCAGAGATGCCCCGAGAACACTGTCCCAAGTCTAGAGGAACTCCAACTTCAGCACAGCAACTCGAGGAATGCTCCGTGTACCCCAAATCATCTTGAGATGAGAGCTGTTTCCCTGCCTTAGGCTCAAGACGTATGCCAACTCTCCAGAAGCACCTCAGGAGGAGGCTTCTCTCAGCAATAGGTATGTGGGAGGGACCCCGAGGTTGCTGCCTCAAGGGGAATATACAACGAGAAGCCCTAACTTGAAAGGAGGCCGGATTTCCTTGCAGTGGCTAGAATACAGGCTCGTCTTTCATCTCACAACATGAAGGGATGTCTGAATCCCCTGTGGAGACCTTAGAGAAAGCCTTAGGTCCCTGCCTCATTTTGACGGAATGCCTCACATCCCGCTGACACCTCGAGAGGTATGTGGAGTTCATTGCTTCAAAAGGTGACGATGCCTGACTCCTCTTGTATACTGATAGGAATCCCAAAATCCCTGTGGCTACTGGAAAGGGTCCTTGGGTGCTCTGCTTCACCTCGAGAAGCGTCCCTTTTGCCCTGCCAAGCCTCGAAGAGATTCCTGAGGTGTCCCTCGTTACGAGACAGGAGTCCTGACGTCACTGAAGAAACTCGTGTTTTGAAAGGCCATCCCCGCCGTAAGTCGAGAACATACCCCAGGTCCCCGCCGCAACTCGAGAAAAACCATGAGACTTCCCCCTAGAGGCGAGATGAGGCCCCTTTCCCCTGCAGTGCATGCAGAGCTATTCCGTGATCCCATTCAAACAAGGCAGGAGCTTCGACTTGCTTAATGGATCTCGAGACAGTCCCCAAGAACACTGTCACCAGTCTAGACGGACCCTGAGGTCACCCCAGCAACGCAAAGCAGCACCATGTGCCCCAAATCAACTCGAGCTGAGGCCTAATTCCCCTGGATTGATTCCAGAGCCATTCCCCGTTCCCCATTCAACACGACCGGTGACTTGACTTCCTTCAGGCAACTCCCGAGATGCCCCGAGAACACTGTCCCAAGTCTGGAGGAACACCAACTTCAGCACAGAAACTCGAGGAATGCTCCGTGTACCCCAAATCGTGTCGAGATGAGAGCTGATTCCCTGGCTTAGGCTCAAGACGTATGCCAAGTTTCCAGAAGCACCTCAGGAGGAGGCTTCTCTCAGCAATAGGTATGTGGGAGGGACCCCGAGTTTGCTGCCTCAAGGGGAATATACAGCGAGAAGCCCTAACTTGAAAGGAGGCCGGATTTCCTTGCAGTGGCTAGAATACAGGCTCGTCTTTGATCTCAAAACCTGATGGGATGTCTGAATCGCCTGTGGAGACCTTAGAGTAACCCCTAGGTCCCTGGCTCATTTTGACGGAATGCCTCACATCCCGCTGACACCTCGAGAGGCACGTGGAGTTCATTGCTTCAAAAGGTGACGATGCCTGACTCCTCTTGAATACTGATAGGAATCCGAAAATCCCTGTGGCTACTGGAAAGGGGACTTGGGTGCCCTGCCTCACCTCGAGAAGCGTCCCTTTTGCCCTGCCATGCCTCGAAGAGATTCCTGAGGTGTCCCTCGTTACTAGACAGGAGTCCTGACGTCACTGAAGAAACAAAAACCATGAGACTTCCCCCTAGAGGCGAGATGAGGCCCCATTCCCCTGCAGTGTATGCAGAGCTATTCCGTGATCCCATTCAAACAAGTCAGGAGCTTCGACTTGCTTAATGGATCTCGAGACAGTCCACAAGAACTCTGTCACCATTCTAGACGGACCCTGAGGTCACCCCAGCAACGCAAAGCAGCTCCATGTGCCCCAAGTCAACTCGAGATGAGGCCCGATTCCCCTGCATTGACTCCAGAGCCATTCCTCGTTCCCCATTCAACACGACCGGTGGCTCGACTTCCTTCCGGCAACTCCAGAGATGCCCCGAGAACACTGTCCCAAGTCTAGAGGAATTCCAACATCAGCACAGCAACTCGAGGAATGCTCCGTGTACCCCAAAACACCTCGAGATGAGAGCTGATTCCCTGGCGTAGGCTCAAGACGTATGAAAACTTTCCAAAAGCACCTCAGGAGGAGGCTTCTCTCAGCAATAGGTATGTGGGAGGGACCCCGAGTTTGCTGCCTCAAGGGGAATATACAGCGAGAAGCCCTAACTTGAAAAGAGGCCGGATTTCCTTGCAGTGGCAAGAATACAGGCTCGTCTTTCGTGTCAAAATCTCAAGGGATGTCTGAATCCCCTGTGGAGACCTTACAGAAAGCCCTAGGTCCCTGCCTCATTTTGACGGAATGCCTCACATCCCGCTGACACCTCGAGAGGCACGTGGAGTTCATTGCTTCAAAAGGTGACGATGCCTGACTCCTCTTGAATACTGATAGGAATCCCAAAATCCCTGTGGCTACTGGAAAGGGTCCTTGGGTGCCCTGCCTCACCTCGAGAAGCGTCCCTTTTGCCCTGCCAAGCCTCGAAGAGATTCCTGAGGTGTCCCTCATTACTAGAAAGGAGTCCTGACGTCACTGAAGAAACTCGTGTTTTGAAGGTCCATCCCCGCCATAAGTCGAGAACATACCCCAGGTCCCCGCCGCAACTCGAGAAAAACCATGAGACTTCCCCCTAGAGGCGAGATGAGGCCCCATTCCCCTGCAGTGCATGCAGAGCTATTCCGTGATCCCATTCAAACAAGTCAGGAGCTTCGACTTGCTTAATGGATCTCGAGACAGTCCCCAAGAACACTGTCATCAGTCTATACGGACCCTGAGGTCACCCCAGCAACGCAAAGCAGCTCCATGTGCCCCAAGTCAACTCGAGATGAGGCCCGATTCCCCTGCATTGACTCCAGAGCCATTCCCCGTTCCCCATTCAACACGACCGGTGGCTCGACCTCCTTCAGGCAAATCCAGAGATGCCCCAAGAACACTGTCCCAAGTCTAGAGGAACTCCACCTTCAGCACAGCAACTCGAGGAATGCTCCGTGTACCCCAAAACATCTCGAGATGAGAGCTGATTCCCTGGCTTAGGCTCAAGACGTATGCCAACTTTCCAGAAGCACCTCAGGAGGAGGCTTCTCTCAGCAATAGGTATGTGGGAGGGACCCCGAGTTTGCTGCCTCAAGGGGAATACAGAGCGAGAAGCCGTAACTTGAAAGGAGGCCGGATTTCCTTGCAGTGGCTTGAATACAGGCTCGTGTTTCATCTCACAACATGAAGGGATGTCTGAATCCCCTGTGGAGACCTTAGATAAAGCCCTAGGTCCCTGCCTCATTTTGACGGAATGCCTCACATCCCGCTGACACCTCGAGAGGCACGCGGAGTTCACTGCTTCAAAAGGTGACGATGCCTGACTCCTCTTGAATACTGATAGGAATCTGAAAATCCCTGTGGCTACTGGAAAGGGTCCTTGGGTGCCCTGCCTCACCTCGAGAAGCGTCCCTTTTCCCTGCCAAGCCTCTAAGAGTTTCCTGAGGTGTCCCTCGTTACTAGACAGAAGTCCTGACGTTACTGAAGAAACTTGTGTTTTGAAGGGCCATCCCCGCCGTAAGTCGAGAACATACCCCAGGTCCCCGCCGCAACTCGAGAAAAACCATGAGACTTCCCCCTAGAGGCGAGATGAGGCCCCATTCCCCTGCAGTGCATGCAGAGCTATTCCGTGATCCCATTCAAACAAGTCAGGAGCTTCGACTTGCTTAATGTATCTCGAGGCAGTCCCCAAGAACACTGTCACCAGTCTAGAAGGACCCTGAAGTCACCCCAGCAACGCAAAGCAGCTCCATGTGCCCCAAATCAACTCGAGATGAGGCCCGATTCCCCTGCATTGACTCCAGAGCCATTCCCCGTTCCCCATTCAACAAAACCGGTGACTCGACTTCCTTCAGGCAACTCCAGAAATGCCCCGAGAACACTGTCCCAAGTCTAGAGGAACACCAACTTCAGCACAGCACCTCGAGGAATGCTCCGTGTACCCCAAATCGTCTCGAGATGAGGGCTGATTCCCTGCCTTAGGCTCAAGACGTATGCCAACTTTCCAGAAGCACCTCAGCAGGAGGCTTCTCTCAGCCATAGGATTGTGGGAGGGACCCCCAGTTTGCTACCTCAAGGGGAATATACAGTGAGAAGCCCTAACTTGAAAGGAGGCCGGATTTCCTTGCAGTGGCTAGAATACAGGCTCGTCTTTGATATCAAAGCCTGAAGGGATGTCTGAATCACCTGTGGATTCCTTAGAGAAAGCCCTAGTTCCCTGCCTCATTTTGACGGAATGCCTCACATCTCGCTGACACCTCGAGAGGCACGCGGGGTTCATTGCTTCAAAAGGTGACGATGCCTGACTCCTCTTGAATACTGATAGGAATCCCAAAATCCCTGTGGCTACTGGAAAGGGTCCTTGGGTGCCCTGCCTCACCTCGAGAAGCGTCCCTTTTGCCCTGCCAAGCCTCGAAGATATTCCTGAGGTGTCCCTCATTACTAGACAGGAGTCCTGACGTCACTGAAGAAACTCGTGTTCTGAAGGGCCATCCCCGCCGTAAGTCGAGAACATACCCCAGGTCCCCGCCGCAACTCGAGAAAAACCATGAGACTTCCCCCTAGAGGCGAGATGAGGCCCCATTCCCGTGCAGTGCATGCAGAGCTATTCCGTGATCCCATTCAAACAAGTCAGGAGCTTCCACTTGCTTAATGGATCTCGAGACAGTCCCCAAAAAAACTGTCACCTGTCTAGACGGACACTGAGGTCACCCCAGCAACGCCAAGCAGCACCTTGTGCCCCAAATCAACTCGAGATGAGGCCCGATTCCCCTGCATTGACTCCAGGGCCGTTCCCTGTTCCCCATTCAACACGACCGGTGGCTCGACTTCCTTCAGGCAACTCCAGAGATGCCCCGAGAACACTGTCCCAAGTCTAGAGGAACTCCAACTTCAGCACAGCAACTCGAGGAATGCTCCGTGTACCCCAAATCATCTCGAGATGAGAGCTGATTCCCTGGCTTAGGCTCAAGACGTATGCCAACTTACCAGAAGCACCTCAGGAGGAGGCTTCTCTCAGCAATAGGTTTGTGGGAGGGACCCCGAGGTTGTTGCCTCAAGGGGAATATACAGCGAGAAGCCCTAACTTGAAAGGATGCCGGATTTCCTTGCAGTGGCTTGAATACAGGCTCGTCTTTCATCTCACAACATGAAGGGATGCCTTAATCCCCTGTGGAGACCTTAGAGAAAGCCTTAGGTCCCTGCCTCATTTTGACGGAATGCCTCACATCCCGCTGACACCTCGAGAGTTATGTGGAGTTCATTGCTTCAAAAGGTGACGATGCCTGACTCCTCTTGAATACTGATAGGAATCCCAAAATCCCTGTGGCTACTGGAAAGGGTCCTTGGGTGCCCTGCCTCACCTCGAGAAGCGTCCCTTTTGCCCTGCCAAGCCTCGAAGAGATTCCTGAGGTGTCCCTCATTACTAGAAAGGAGTCCTGACGTCACTGAAGAAACTCGTGTTTTGAAGGTCCATCCCCGCCATAAGTCGAGAACATACCCCAGGTCCCCGCCGCAACTCGAGAAAAACCATGAGACTTCCCCCTAGAGGCGAGATGAGGCCCCATTCCCCTGCAGTGCATGCAGAGCTATTCCCTGATCCCATTCAAACAAGTCAGGAGCTTCGACTTGCTTAATGGATCTCGAGACAGTCCCCAAGAACACTGTCACCAGTCTAGACGGACCCTGAGGTCACCCCAGCAACGCAAAGCAGCTCCATGTGCCCCAAATCAACTCGAGATGAGGCCCGATTCCCCTGGATTGACTCCAGAGCCATTCCCCGTTCCCCATTCAACAAGACCGGTGTCTCGACTTCCTTCAGGCAACTCCAGAGATGCCCCGAGAACACTGTCCCAAGTATAGAGGAACTCCAACTTCAGCACAGCAACTCGAGGAATGCTCCGTGAACCCCAAATCGACTCGAGATGAGAGCTGATTCCCTGCCTTAGGCTCAAGACGTATGCCAACTTTCCAGAAGCACCTCAGCAGGAGGCTTCTCTCAGCAATAGCTATGTGCGAGGGACCCCGAGTTTGCTGCCTCAAGGGGAATATACAGCGAGAAGCCCTAATTTGAAATGAGGCCGGATTTCCTTGCAGTGGCTAGAATACAGGCACGTCTTTTTCTCAAAACATGAAGGGATGTCTGAATCCCCTGTGGAGACCTTAGAGAAAGCCCTAGGTCCCTGCCTCATTTTGACGGAATGCCTCACATCCCGGTGACACCTCGAGAGGCACGCGGAGTTCATTGCTTCAAAAGGTGACGATGCCTGACTCCTCTTGAATACTGATAGGAATCCCAAAATCCCTGTGGCTACTGGAAAGGGTCCTTGGGTGCCCTGCCTCACCTCGAGAAACGTCCCTTTTCCCCTGCCAAGCCTCGAAGAGATTCCTGAGGTGTCCCTCTTTACTAGACAGGGGTCCTGACGTCACTGAAGAAACTCGTGTTTTGAAGGGCCATCCCCGCCGTAAGGCGAGAACATACCCCAGGTCCCCGCCGCAACTCAAGAAAAACAATGAGACTTCCCTCTAGAGGCGAGATGAGGCCCCATTCCCCTGCAGTGCATGCAGAGCTATTCCATGATCCCATTCAAACAAGTCAGGAGCTTCGACTTGCATAATGAATCTCGAGACAGTCCCCAAGAACACTGTCACCAGTCTAGACGGAGCCTGAGGTCACCCTAGCAACGCAAAGCAGCTCCATGCGCCCGAAGTCAACTCGAGATGAGTCCCGATTCCCCTGAATTGACTCCAGAGCCATTCCCCGTTCCCCATTCAACAGGACCGTTGGCTCGACTTCCTTCAGGCAACTCCAGAGATGCCCCGAGAACACTGTCCCAAGTCTAGAGGACCACCAACTTCAGCACAGCAACTCGAGGAATGCTTTCTGTACCCCAAATCGTCTCGAGATGAGAGCAGATTCCCTGGCTTAGGCTCAAGACGTATGCCAAGTTTCCAGAAGCACCTCAGAAGGAGGCTTCTCTCAGCAATAGGTATGTGGGAGGGACCCCGAGTTTGCTGCCTCAAGGGGAATATACAGCGAGAAGCCCTAACTTGAAAGGAGGCCGGATTTCCTTGCAGTGGCTAGAATACAGGCTCGTCTTTGATCTCAAAACCTGATGGGATGTCTGAATCGCCTGTGGAGACCTTAGAGTAAGCCCTAGGTCCCTGGCTCATTTTGACGGAATGCCTCACATCCCGCTGACACCTCGAGAGGCACGTGGAGTTCATTGCTTCAAAAGGTGATGATGCCTGACTCCTCTTGTATACTGATAGGAATCCCAAAATCCCTGTGGCTACTGGAAAGGGTACTTGGGTGCCCTGCCTCACCTCGAGAAGCGTCCCTTTTGCCCTGCCATGCCTCGAAGAGATTCCTGAGGTGTCCCTCGTTACTAGACAGGAGTCCTGACGTCACTGAAGAAACAAAAACCATGAGACTTCCCCCTAGAGGCGAGATGAGGCCCCATTCCCCTGCAGTGTATGCAGAGATATTCCGTGATCCCATTCAAACAAGTCAGGAGCTTCGACTTGCTTAATGGATCTCGAGACAGTCCACAAGAACTCTGTCACCATTCTAGACGGACCCTGAGGTCACCCCAGCAACGCAAAGCAGCTCCATGTGCCCCAAGTCAACTCGAGATGAGGCCCGATTCCCCTGCATTGACTCCAGATCCATTCCCCGTTCCCCATTCAACACGACCGGTGGCTCGACTTCCTTCCGGCCACTCCAGAGATGCCCTGAGAACACTGTCCCAAGTCTAGAGGAACTCCAACTTCAGCACAGCAACTCGAGGAATGCTCCGTGTAGCCCAAATCGTCTCGAGATGAGAGCTGATTCCCTGGCTTAGGCTCAAGACGTACGCCAACTTTCCAGAAGCACCTCAGGAGGAGGCTTCTTTCAGCAATAGGTATGTGGGAGGGACCCCGAGTTTGCTGCCTCAAGGGGAATATACAGCGAGAAGCCGTAACTTGAAAGGAGGCCGGATTTCCTTGCAGTGGCTTGAATATAGGCTCGTCTTTCATCTCACAACATGAAGGGATGTCTGAATCCCCTGTGGAGACCTTAGAGAAAGCCCTAGGTCCCTGCCGCATTTTGACGGAATGCCTCACATCCCGTTGACACCTCCAGAGGCACGCGGAGTTCATTGCTTCAAAAGGTGACGATGCCTGACTCCTCTTGAATACTGATAGGAATCTGAAAATCCCTGTGGCTACTGGAAAGGGTCCTTGGGTGCCCTGCCTCACCTCGAGAAGCGTCCCTTTTCCCTGCCAAGCCTCTAAGAGTTTCCTGAGGTGTCCCTCGTTACTAGACAGAAGTCCTGACGTTACTGAAGAAACTTGTGTTTTGAAGGGCCATCCCCGCCGTAAGTCGAGAACATACCCCAGGTCCCCGCCGCAACTCGAGAAAAACCATGAGACTTCCCCCTAGAGGCGAGATGAGGCCCCATTCCCCTGCAGTGCATGCAGAGCTATTCCGTGATCCCATTCAAACAAGTCAGGAGCTTCGACTTGCTTAATGGATCTCGAGACAGTCCCCAAGAACACTGTCACCAGTCTAGAAGGACCCTGAAGTCACCCCAGCAACGCAAAGCAGCACCATGTGCCCCAAATCAACTCGAGATGAGGCCCGATTCCCATGCATTGACTCCAGAGCCATTCCCCGTTCCCCATTCAACAAAACCGGTGACTCGACTTCCTTCAGGCAACTCCAGAGATGCCCCGAGAACACTGTCCCAAGTCTGGAGGAACACCAACTTCAGCACAGCAACTCCAGGAATGCTCCGTGTACCACAAATCGTCTCGAGATGAGAGCTGATTCCCTGGCTTAGGCTCAAGACGTATGCCAACTTTCCAGAAGCACCTCAGGAGGAGGCTTCTATCAGCAATAGGTATGTGGGAGGGACCCCGAGTTTGCTGCCTCAAGGGGAATATACAGCGAGAAGCCCTAACTTGAAAGGAGGCCGGATTTCCTTGCAGTGGCTAGAATAAAGGCTCGTCTTTGATATCAAAACCTGAAGGGATGTCTGAATCCCCTGTGGAGACCTTAGAGAAAGCCCTAGGTCCCTGCCTCATTTTGACGGAATGCCTCACATCCCGCTGACACCTCGGGAAGTACGTGGAGTTCATTGCTTCAAAAGGTGACGATGCCTGACTCCTGTTGAATACTGATAGGAATCCCAAAATCCCTGTGGCTACTGGAAAGGGTCCTTGGGTGCCCTGCCTCACCTCGAGAAGGGTCCCTTTTGCCCTGCCAAGCCTCGAAGAGATTCCTGAGGTGTCCCTCGTTACTAGACTGGGGTCCTGACGTCACTGAAGAAACTCGTGTTATGAAGGGCCATCCCCGCCGTAAGTCGAGAACATACCCCAGGTCCCTGCCGCAACTCGAGAAAAAGCATGAGACTTCCCCCTAGAGGCGAGATGAGGCCCCATTCCCCTGCATTGCATGCAGAGCTATTCCGTGATCCCATTCAAACAAGTCAGGAGCTTCGACTTGCTTAATGGATCTCGAGACAGTCCCCAAGAACACTGTCACCAGTCTAGACGGACCCTGAGGTCACCCCAGCAACGCATAGCAGCTCCATGTGCCCCAAGTCAACTCGAGATGAGGCCCGATTCCCCTGCATTGACTCCAGAGCCATTCCCCGTTCCCCATTCAACACGACCGGTGGCTCGACTACCTTCAGGCAACTCCAGAGATGCCCCGAGAACACTGTCCCAAGTCTAGAAGAACTCCAACTTCAGCACAGCAACTCGAGGAATGCTCCATGTACCCCAAATCGTCTCGAGATGAGAGCTGATTCCCTGGCTTAGGCTCAAGACGTATGCCAACTTTCCTGAAGCACCTCAGGAGGAGGCTTCTCTCAGCAATAGGTATGTGGGAGTGACCCCGAGTTTGCTGCCTCAAGGGGAATATACAGCGAGAAGCCGTAACTTGAAAGGAGGCCGGATTTCCTTGCAGTGGCTTGAATATAGGCACGTCTTTCATCTCACAACATGAAGGGATGTCTGAATCCCCTGTGGAGACCTTAGAGAAAGCCCTAGTTCCCTGCCGCATTTTGACGGAATGCCTCACATCCCGTTGACACCACGAGAGGCACGCGGAGTTCATTGCTTCAAAAGGTGACGATGCCTGACTCCTCTTGAATACTGATAGGAATCCCAAAATCCCTGTTTCTACTGGAAAGGGTCGTTGGGTGCCCTGCCACACCTCGAGAAGCGTCCCTTTTGCCCTGCCAAGCCTCGAAGAGATTCCTGAGGTGTCCCTCGTTACTAGACAGGAGTCCTGACGTCACTGAAAAAACTCGTGTTTTGAAGGGCCATCCCCGCCGTAAGGCGAGAACATACCCCAGGTCCCCGCCGCAACTCAAGAAAAACAATGAGACTTCCCTCTAGAGTCGAGATGAGGCCCCATTCCCCTGCAGTGCATGCAGAGCTATTCCATGATCCCATTCAAACAAGTCAGGAGCTTCGACTTGCATAATGAATCTCGAGACAGTCCCCAAGAACACTGTCACCAGTCTAGACGGAGCCTGAGGTCACCCTAGCAACGCAAAGCAGCTCCATGCGCCCGAAGTCAACTCGAGATGAGTCCCGATTCCCCTGAATTGACTCCAGAGCCATTCCCCGTTCCCCATTCAACAGGACCGTTGGCTCGACTTCCTTCAGGCAACTCCAGAGATGCCCCGAGAACACTGTCCCAAGTCTAGAGGACCACCAACTTCAGCACAGCAACTCGAGGAATGCTTTCTGTACCCCAAATCGTCTCGAGATGAGAGCAGATTCCCTGGCTTAGGCTCAAGACGTATGCCAAGTTTCCAGAAGCACCTCAGGAGGAGGCTTCTCTCAGCAATAGGTATGTGGGAGGGACCCCGAGTTTGCTGCCTCAAGGGGAATATACAGCGAGAAGCCCTAACTTGAAAGGAGGCCGGATTTCCTTGCAGTGGCTAGAATACAGGCTCGTCTTTGATCTCAAAACCTGATGGGATGTCTGAATCGCCTGTGGAGACCTTAGAGTAAGCCCTAGGTCCCTGGCTCATTTTGACGGAATGCCTCACATCCCGCTGACACCTCGAGAGGCACGTGGAGTTCATTGCTTCAAAAGGTGATGATGCCTGACTCCTCTTGTATACTGATAGGAATCCCAAAATCCCTGTGGCTACTGGAAAGGGTACTTGGGTGCCCTGCCTCACCTCGAGAAGCGTCCCTTTTGCCCTGCCATGCCTCGAAGAGATTCCTGAGGTGTCCCTCGTTACTAGACAGGAGTCCTGACGTCACTGAAGAAACAAAAACCATGAGACTTCCCCCTAGAGGCGAGATGAGGCCCCATTCCCCTGCAGTGTATGCAGAGATATTCCGTGATCCCATTCAAACAAGTCAGGAGCTTCGACTTGCTTAATGGATCTCGAGACAGTCCACAAGAACTCTGTCACCATTCTAGACGGACCCTGAGGTCACCCCAGCAACGCAAAGCAGCTCCATGTGCCCCAAGTCAACTCGAGATGAGGCCCGATTCCCCTGCATTGACTCCAGAGCCATTCCCCGTTCCCCATTCAACACGACCGGTGGCTCGACTTCCTTCCGGCAACTCCAGAGATGCCCTGAGAACACTGTCCCAAGTCTAGAGGAACTCCAACTTCAGCACAGCAACTCGAGGAATGCTCCGTGTAGCCCAAATCGTCTCGAGATGAGAGCTGATTCCCTGGCTTAGGCTCAAGACGTACGCCAACTTTCCAGAAGCACCTCAGGAGGAGGCTTCTTTCAGCAATAGGTATGTGGGAGGGACCCCGAGTTTGCTGCCTCAAGGGGAATATACAGCGAGAAGCCGTAACTTGAAAGGAGGCCGGATTTCCTTGCAGTGGCTTGAATATAGGCTCGTCTTTCATCTCACAACATGAAGGGATGTCTGAATCCCCTGTGGAGACCTTAGAGAAAGCCCTAGGTCCCTGCCGCATTTTGACGGAATGCCTCACATCCCGTTGACACCTCGAGAGGCTCGCGGAGTTCATTGCTTCAAAAGGTGACGATGCCTGACTCCTCTTGAATACTGATAGGAATCTGAAAATCCCTGTGGCTACTGGAAAGGGTCCTTGGGTGCCCTGCCTCACCTCGAGAAGCGTCCCTTTTCCCTGCCAAGCCTCTAAGAGTTTCCTGAGGTGTCCCTCGTTACTAGACAGAAGTCCTGACGTTACTGAAGAAACTTGTGTTTTGAAGGGCCATCCCCGCCGTAAGTCGAGAACATACCCCAGGTCCCCGCCGCAACTCGAGAAAAACCATGAGACTTCCCCCTAGAGGCGAGATGAGGCCCCATTCCCCTGCAGTGCATGCAGAGCTATTCCGTGATCCCATTCAAACAAGTCAGGAGCTTCGACTTGCTTAATGGATCTCGAGACAGTCCCCAAGAACACTGTCACCAGTCTAGAAGGACCCTGAAGTCACCCCAGCAACGCAAAGCAGCACCATGTGCCCCAAATCAACTCGAGATGAGGCCCGATTCCCATGCATTGACTCCAGAGCCATTCCCCGTTCCCCATTCAACAAAACCGGTGACTCGACTTCCTTCAGGCAACTCCAGAGATGCCCCGAGAACACTGTCCCAAGTCTGGAGGAACACCAACTTCAGCACAGCAACTCGAGGAATGTGAGTGAACCCCAAATCGACTCGAGATGAGAGCTGATTCCCTGCCTTAGGCTCAAGATGTATGCCAACTTTCCAGAAGCACCTCAGCAGGAGGCTTCTCTCAGCAATAGCTATGTGCGAGGGACACCGAGTTTGCTGCCCCAAGGGGAATATACAGCGAGAAGCCCTAATTTGAAAGGAGGCCGGATTTCCTTGCAGTGGCTAGAATACAGGCACGTCTTTGATCTCAAAACATGAAGGGATGTCTGAATCCCCTGTGGAGACCTTAGAGAAAGCCCTAGGTCCCTGCCTCATTTTGACGGAATGCCTCACATCCCGGTGACACCTCGAGAGGCACGCGGAGTTCATTGCTTCAAAAGGTGACGATGCCTGACTCCTCTTGAATACTGATAGGAATCCCAAAATCCCTGTGGCTACTGGAAAGGGTCCTTGGGTGCCCTGCCTCACCTCGAGAAGCGTCCCTTTTCCCCTGCCAAGCCTCGAAGAGATTCCTGAGGTGTCCCTCTTTACTAGACAGGGGTCCTGACGTCACTGAAGAAACTCGTGTTTTGAAGGGCCATCCCCGCCGTAAGGCGAGAACATACCCCAGGTCCCCGCCGCAACTCGAGAAAAACCATGAGATTTCCCCCTAGAGGCGAGATGAGGCCCCATTCCCGTGCAGTGCATGCAGAGCTATTCCATGATCCCATTCAAACAAGTCAGGAGCTTCGACTTGCATAATGGATCTCGAGACAGTCCGAAGGACACTGTCACCAGTCTAGACGGACCCTGAGGTCACCCCAGCAACGCAAAGCAGCTCCATGTGCCCCAAATCAACTCGAGATGAGTCCCGATTCCCCTGAATTGACTCCACAGCCATTCCCCGTTCCCCATTCAACAGGACCGTTGGCTCGACTTCCTTCAGGCAACTCCAGAGATGCCCCGAGAACACTGTCCCAAGTCTAGAGGAACTCCAACTTCAGCACAGCAACTCGAGGAATGCTCCGTGTACCCCAAATCATCTTGAGATGAGAGCTGTTTCCCTGCCTTAGGCTCAAGACGTATGCCAACTCTCCAGAAGCAACTCAGGAGGAGGCTTCTCTCAGCAATAGGTATGTGGGAGGGACCCCGAGGTTGCTGCCTCAAGGGGAATATACAACGAGAAGCCCTAACTTGAAAGGAGGCCAGATTTCCTTGCAGTGGCTAGAATACAGGCTCGTCTTTCATCTCACAACATGAAGGGATGTCTGAATCCCCTGTGGAGACCTTAGAGAAAGCCTTAGGTCCCTGCCTCATTTTGACGGAATGCCTAACATCCCGCTGACACCTCGAGAGGTATGTGGAGTTCATTGCTTCAAAAGGTGACGATGCCTGACTCCTCTTGTATACTGATAGGAATCCCAAAATCCCTGTGGCTACTGGAAAGGGTCCTTGGGTGCTCTGCTTCACCTCGAGTAGCGTCCCTTTTGCCCTGCCAAGCCTCGAAGAGATTCCTGAGGTGTCCCTCGTTACGAGACAGGAGTCCTGACGTCACTGAAGAAACTCGTGTTTTGAAAGGCCATCCCCGCCGTAAGTCGAGAACATACCCCAGGTCCCCGCCGCAACTCGAGAAAAACCATGAGACTTCCCCCTAGAGGCGAGATGAGGCCCCTTTCCCCTGCAGTGCATGCAGAGCTATTCCGTGATCCCATTCAAACAAGGCAGGAGCTTCGACTTGCTTAATGGATCTCGAGACAGTCCCCAAGAACACTTTCACCAGTCTAGACGGACCCTGAGGTCACCCCAGCAACGCAAAGCAGCTCCATGTGCCCCAAATCAACTCGAGATGAGGCCCAATTCCCCTGGATTGATTCCAGAGCCATTCCCCGTTCCCCATTCAACACGACCGGTGACTTGACTTCCTTCAGGCAACTCCAGAGATGCCCCGAGAACACTGTCCCAAGTCTGGAGGAACACCAACTTCAGCACAGAAACTCGAGGAATGCTCCGTGTACCCCAAATCGTGTCGAGATGAGAGCTGATTCCCTGGCTTAGGCTCAAGACGTATGCCAAGTTTCCAGAAGCACCTCAGGAGGAGGCTTCTCTCAGCAATAGGTATGTGGGAGGGACCCCGAGTTTGCTGCCTCAAGGGGAATATACAGCGAGAAGCCCTAACTTGAAAGGAGGCCGGATTTCCTTGCAGTGGCTAGAATACAGGCTCGTCTTAGATCTCAAAACCTGATGGGATGTCTGAATCGCCTGTGGAGACCTTAGAGTAAGCCCTAGGTCCCTGGCTCATTTTGACGGAATGCCTCACATCCCGCTGACAACTCGAGAGGCACGGGGAGTTCATTGCTTCAAAAGGTGACGATGCCTGACTCCTCTTGAATACTGATAGGAATCCGAAAATCCCTGTGGCTACTGGAAAGGGGACTTGGGTGCCCTGCCTCACCTCGAGAAGCGTCCCTTTTGCCCTGCCATGCCTCGAAGAGATTCCTGAGGTGTCCCTCGTTACTAGACAGGAGTCCTGACGTCACTGAAGAAACAAAAACCATGAGACTTCCCCCTAGAGGCGAGATGAGGCCCCATTCCCCTGCAGTGTATGCAGAGCTCTTCCGTGATCCCATTCAAACAAGTCAGGAGCTTCGACTTGCTTAATGGATCTCGAGACAGTCCACAAGAACTCTGTCACCATTCTAGACGGACCCTGAGGTCACCCCAGCAACGCAAAGCAGCTCCATGTGCCCCAAGTCAACTCGAGATGAGGCCCGATTCCCCTGCATTGACTCCAGAGCCATTCCTCGTTCCCCATTCAACACGACCGGTGGCTCGACTTCCTTCCGGCAACTCCAGAGATGCCCCGAGAACACTGTCCCAAGTCTAGAGGAATTCCAACATCAGCACAGCAACTCGAGGAATGCTCCGTGTACCCCAAAACACCTCGAGATGAGAGCTGATTCCCTGGCGTAGGCTCAAGACGTATGAAAACTTTCCAAAAGCACCTCAGGAGGAGGCTTCTCTCAGCAATAGGTATGTGGGAGGGACCCCGAGTATGCTGCCTCAAGGGGAATATACAGCGAGAAGCCCTAAGTTGAAAGGAGGCCGGATTTATTTGCAGTGGCTTGAATACAGGCTCGTGTTTCATCTCACAACATGAAGGGATGTCTGAATCCCCTGTGGAGACCTTAGAGAAAGCCCTAGGTCACTGCCTCATTTTGACGGAATGCCTCACATCCCGTTGACATCTCGAGAGGCACGCGGAGTTCATTGCTTCAAAAGGTGACGATGCCTGAGTCCTCTTGAAAACTGATAGGAATCCCAAAATCCCTGTGGCTACTGGATAGGGTCCTTGGGTGCCCTGCCTCACCTCGAGAAGCGTCCCTTTTGCCCTGCCAAGCCTCGAAGAGATTCCTGAGGTGTCCCTCGTTACTAGACAGGAGTCCTGACGTCACTGAAGAAACTCGTGTTTTGAAGGGCCATCCCCGCCGTAAGTCGAGAACATACCCCAGGTCCCCGCCGCAACTCGAGAAAAACCATGAGACTTCCCCCTAGAGGCGAGATGAGGCCCCATTCCCCTGCAGTGCATGCAGAGCTATTCCGTGATCCCATTCAAACAAGTCAGGAGCTTCGACTTGCTTAATGGATCTCGACACATTCCCCAAGAACACTGTCACCAGTCTAGACGGACCCTGAGGTCACCCCAGCAACGCAAAGCAGCTCCATGTGCCCCAAATCAACTCGAGATGAGGCCCGATTCCCCTGCATTGATTCCAGAGCCATTCCCCATTCCCCATTCAAGACGAACAGTGGCTCGACTTCCTTCAGGCAACTCCAGAGATACCACTAGAACACTGTCCCAAGTCTAGAGGAACACCAACTTCAGCACAGCAACTCGAGGAATGCCACGTGTACCCCAAATCGTCTCGAGATGAGAGCTGATTTCCTGGCTTAGGCTCAAGACGTATGCCAACTTTTCAGAAGCACCTCAGGATGAGGCTTCTCTCAGCAATAGGTATGTGGGAGGGACCCCGAGTTTGCTGCCTCAAGGGGAATATACAGCGAGAAGCCCTAACTTGAAAAGAGGCCGGATTTCCTTGCAGTGGCTAGAATACAGGCTCGTCTTTCGTGTCAAAATCTGAAGGGATGTCTGAATCCCCTGTGGAGACCTTACAGAAAGCCCTAGGTCCCTGCCTCATTTTGACGGAATGCCTCACATCCCGCTGACACCTCGAGAGGCACGTGGAGTTCATTGCTTCAAAAGGTGACGATGCCTGACTCCTCTTGAATACTGATAGGAATCCGAAAATCCCTGTGGCTACTGGAAAGGGGACTTGGGTGCCCTGCCTCACCTCGAGAAGCGTCCCTTTTGCCCTGCCATGCCTCGAAGAGATTCCTGAGGTGTCCCTCGTTACTAGACAGGAGTCCTGACGTCACTGAAGAAACAAAAACCATGAGACTTCCCCCTAGAGGCGAGATGAGGCCCCATTCCCCTGCAGTGTATGCAGAGCTATTCCGTGATCCCATTCAAACAAGTCAGGAGCTTCGACTTGCTTAATGGATCTCGAGACAGTCCACAAGAACTCTGTCACCATTCTAGACGGACCCTGAGGTCACCCCAGCAACGCAAAGCAGCTCCATGTGCCCCAAGTCAACTCGAGATGAGGCCCGATTCCCCTGCATTGACTCCAGAGCCATTCCTCGTTCCCCATTCAACACGACCGGTGGCTCGACTTCCTTCCGGCAACTCCAGAGATGCCCCGAGAACACTGTCCCAAGTCTAGAGGAATTCCAACATCAGCACAGCAACTCGAGGAATGCTCCGTGTACCCCAAAACACCTCGAGATGAGAGCTGATTCCCTGGCGTAGGCTCAAGACGTATGAAAACTTTCCAAAAGCACCTCAGGAGGAGGCTTCTCTCAGCAATAGGTATGTGGGAGGGACCCCGAGTATGCTGCCTCAAGGGGAATATACAGCGAGAAGCCCTAAGTTGAAAGGAGGCCGGATTTCCTTGCAGTAGCTTGAATACAGGCTCGTGTTTCATCTCACAACATGAAGGGATGTCTGAATCCCCTGTGGAGACCTTAGAGAAAGCCCTAGGTCACTGCCTCATTTTGACGGAATGCCTCACATCCCGTTGACATCTCGAGAGGCACGCGGAGTTCATTGCTTCAAAAGGTGACGATGCCTGAGTCCTCTTGAAAACTGATAGGAATCCCAAAATCCCTGTGGCTACTGGATAGGGTCCTTGGGTGCCCTGCCTCACCTCGAGAAGCGTCCCTTTTGCCCTGCCAAGCCTCGAAGAGATTCCTGAGGTGTCCCTCGTTACTAGACAGGAGTCCTGACGTCACTGAAGAAACTCGTGTTTTGAAGGGCCATCCCCGCCGTAAGTCGAGAACATACCCCAGGTCCCCGCCGCAACTCGAGAAAAACCATGAGACTTCCCCCTAGAGGCGAGATGAGGCCCCATTCCCCTGCAGTGCATGCAGAGCTATTCCGTGATCCCATTCAAACAAGTCAGGAGCTTCGACTTGCTTAATGGATCTCGACACATTCCCCAAGAACACTGTCACCAGTCTAGACGGACCCTGAGGTCACCCCAGCAACGCAAAGCAGCTCCATGTGCCCCAAATCAACTCGAGATGAGGCCCGATTCCCCTGCATTGACTCCAGAGCCATTCCCCATTCCCCATTCAAGACGAACAGTGGCTCGACTTCCTTCAGGCAACTCCAGAGATACCACTAGAACACTGTCCCAAGTCTAGAGGAACACCAACTTCAGCACAGCAACTCGAGGAATGCCACGTGTACCCCAAATCGTCTCGAGATGAGAGCTGATTTCCTGGCTTAGGCTCAAGACGTATGCCAACTTTTCAGAAGCACCTCAGGATGAGGCTTCTCTCAGCAATAGGTATGTGGGAGGGACCCCGAGTTTGCTGCCTCAAGGGGAATATACAGCGAGAAGCCCTAACTTGAAAAGAGGCCGGATTTCCTTGCAGTGGCTAGAATACAGGCTCGTCTTTCGTGTCAAAATCTGAAGGGATGTCTGAATCCCCTGTGGAGAACTTACAGAAAGCCCTAGGTCCCTGCCTCATTTTGACGGAATGCCTCACATCCCGCTGACACCTCGAGAGGCACGTGGAGTTCATTGCTTCAAAAGGTGACGATGCCTGACTCCTCTTGAATACTGATAGGAATCCCAAAATCCCTGTGGCTACTGGAAAGGGTCCTTGGGTGCCCTGCCTCACCTCGAGAAGCGTCCCTTTTGCCCTGCCAAGCCTCGAAGAGATTCCTGAGGTGTCCCTCATTACTAGAAAGGAGTCCTGACGTCACTGAAGAAACTCGTGTTTTGAAGGTCCATCCCCGCCATAAGTCGAGAACATACCCCAGGTCCCCGCCGCAACTCGAGAAAAACCATGAGACTTCCCCCTAGAGGCGAGATGAGGCCCCATTCCCCTGCAGTGCATGCAGAGCTATTCCGTGATCCCATTCAAACAAGTCAGGAGCTTCGACTTGCTTAGTGGATCTCGAGACAGTCCCCAAGAACACTGTCACCAGTCTAGACGGACCCTGAGGTCACCCCAGCAACGCAAAGCAGCTCCATGTGCCCCAAATCAACTCGAGATGAGGCCCGATTCCCCTGGATTGACTCCAGAGCCATTCCCCGTTCCCCATTCAACAAGACCGGTGTCTCGACTTCCTTCAGGCAACTCCAGAGATGCCCCGAGAACACTGTCCCAAGTATAGAGGAACTCCAACTTCAGCACAGCAACTCGAGGAATGTGAGTGAACCCCAAATCGACTCGAGATGAGAGCTGATTCCCTGCCTTAGGCTCAAGATGTATGCCAACTTTCCAGAAGCACCTCAGCAGGAGGCTTCTCTCAGCAATAGCTATGTGCGAGGGACACCGAGTTTGCTGCCCCAAGGGGAATATACAGCGAGAAGCCCTAATTTGAAAGGAGGCCGGATTTCCTTGCAGTGGCTAGAATACAGGCACGTCTTTGATCTCAAAACATGAAGGGATGTCTGAATCCCCTGTGGAGACCTTAGAGAAAGCCCTAGGTCCCTGCCTCATTTTGACGGAATGCCTCACATCCCGGTGACACCTCGAGAGGCACGCGGAGTTCATTGCTTCAAAAGGTGACGATGCCTGACTCCTCTTGAATACTGATAGGAATCCCAAAATCCCTGTGGCTACTGGAAAGGGTCCTTGGGTGCCCTGCCTCACCTCGAGAAGCGTCCCTTTTCCCCTGCCAAGCCTCGAAGAGATTCCTGAGGTGTCCCTCTTTACTAGACAGTGGTCCTGACGTCACTGAAGAAACTCGTGTTTTGAAGGGCCATCCCCGCCTTAAGGCGAGAACATACCCCAGGTCCCCGCCGCAACTCGAGAAAAACCATGAGACTTCCCCCTAGAGGCGAGATGAGGCCCCATTCCCGTGCAGTGCATGCAGAGCTATTCCATGATCCCATTCAAACAAGTCAGGAGCTTCGACTTGCATAATGGATCTCGAGACAGTCCGAAGGACACTGTCACCAGTCTAGACGGACCCTGAGGTCACCCCAGCAACGCAAAGCAGCTCCATGTGCCCCAAATCAACTCGAGATGAGTCCCGATTCCCCTGAATTGACTCCACAGCCATTCCCCGTTCCCCATTCAACAGGACCGTTGGCTCGACTTCCTTCAGGCAACTCCAGAGATGCCCCGAGAACACTGTCCCAAGTCTAGAGGAACTCCAACTTCAGCACAGCAACTCGAGGAATGCTCCGTGTACCCCAAATCATCTTGAGATGAGAGCTGTTTCCCTGCCTTAGGCTCAAGACGTATGCCAACTCTCCAGAAGCAACTCAGGAGGAGGCTTCTCTCAGCAATAGGTATGTGGGAGGGACCCCGAGGTTGCTGCCTCAAGGGGAATATACAACGAGAAGCCCTAACTTGAAAGGAGGCCGGATTTCCTTGCAGTGGCTAGAATACAGGCTCGTCTTTCATCTCACAACATGAAGGGATGTCTGAATCCCCTGTGGAGACCTTAGAGAAAGCCTTAGGTCCCTGCCTCATTTTGACGGAATGCCTAACATCCCGCTGACACCTCGAGAGGTATGTGGAGTTCATTGCTTCAAAAGGTGACGATGCCTGACTCCTCTTGTATACTGATAGGAATCCCAAAATCCCTGTGGCTACTGGAAAGGGTCCTTGGGTGCTCTGCTTCACCTCGAGTAGCGTCCCTTTTGCCCTGCCAAGCCTCGAAGAGATTCCTGAGGTGTCCCTCGTTACGAGACAGGAGTCCTGACGTCACTGAAGAAACTCGTGTTTTGAAAGGCCATCCCCGCCGTAAGTCGAGAACATACCCCAGGTCCCCGCCGCAACTCGAGAAAAACCATGAGACTTCCCCCAGAGGCGAGATGAGGCCCCTTTCCCCTGCAGTGCATGCAGAGCTATTCCGTGATCCCATTCAAACAAGGCAGGAGCTTCGACTTGCTTAATGGATCTCGAGACAGTCCCCAAGAACACTGTCACCAGTCTAGACGGACCCTGAGGTCACCCCAGCAATGCAAAGCAGCTCCATGTGCCCCAAATCAACTCGAGATGAGGCCCAATTCCCCTGGATTGATTCCAGAGCCATTCCCCGTTCCCCATTCAACACGACCGGTGACTTGACTTCCTTCAGGCAACTCCAGAGATGCCCCGAGAACACTGTCCCAAGTCTGGAGGAACACCAACTTCAGCACAGAAACTCGAGGAATGCTCCGTGTACCCCAAATCGTGTCGAGATGAGAGCTGATTCCCTGGCTTAGGCTCAAGACGTATGCCAAGTTTCCAGAAGCACCTCAGGAGGAGGCTTCTCTCAGCAATAGGTATGTGGGAGGGACCCCGAGTTTGCTGCCTCAAGGGGAATATACAGCGAGAAGCCCTAACTTGAAAGGAGGCCGGATTTCCTTGCAGTGGCTAGAATACAGGCTCGTCTTTGATCTCAAAACCTGATGGGATGTCTGAATCGCCTGTGGAGACCTTAGAGTAAGCCCTAGGTCCCTGGCTCATTTTGACGGAATGCCTCACATCCCGCTGACACCTCGAGAGGCACGTGGAGTTCATTGCTTCAAAAGGTGACGATGCCTGACTCCTCTTGAATACTGATAGGAATCCGAAAATCCCTGTGGCTACTGGAAAGGGGACTTGGGTGCCCTGCCTCACCTCGAGAAGCGTCCCTTTTGGCCTGCCATGCCTCGAAGAGATTCCTGAGGTGTCCCTCGTTACTAGACAGGAGTCCTGACGTCACTGAAGAAACAAAAACCATGAGACTTCCCCCTAGAGGCGAGATGAGGCCCCATTCCCCTGCAGTGTATGCAGAGCTATTCCGTGATCCCATTCAAACAAGTCAGGAGCTTCGACTTGCTTAATGGATCTCGAGACAGTCCACAAGAACTCTGTCACCATTCTAGACGGACCCTGAGGTCACCCCAGCAACGCAAAGCAGCTCCATGTGCCCCAAGTCAACTCGAGATGAGGCCCGATTCCCCTGCATTGACTCCAGAGCCATTCCTCGTTCCCCATTCAACACGACCGGTGGCTCGACTTCCTTCCGGCAACTCCAGAGATGCCCCGAGAACACTGTCCCAAGTCTAGAGGAATTCCAACATCAGCACAGCAACTCGAGGAATGCTCCGTGTACCCCAAAACACCTCGAGATGAGAGCTGATTCCCTGGCGTAGGCTCAAGACGTATGAAAACTTTCCAAAAGCACCTCAGGAGGAGGCTTCTCTCAGCAATAGGTATGTGGGAGGGACCCCGAGTATGCTGCCTCAAGGGGAATATACAGCGAGAAGCCCTAAGTTGAAAGGAGGCCGGATTTCCTTGCAGTGGCTTGAATACAGGCTCGTGTTTCATCTCACAACATGAAGGGATGTCTGAATCCCCTGTGGAGACCTTAGAGAAAGCCCTAGGTCACTGCCTCATTTTGACGGAATGCCTCACATCCCGTTGACATCTCGAGAGGCACGCGGAGTTCATTGCTTCAAAAGGTGACGATGCCTGAGTCCTCTTGAAAACTGATAGGAATCCCAAAATCCCTGTGGCTACTGGATAGGGTCCTTGGGTGCCCTGCCTCACCTCGAGAAGCGTCCCTTTTGCCCTGCCAAGCCTCGAAGAGACTCCTGAGGTGTCCCTCGTTACTAGAGAGGAGTCCTGACGTCACTGAAGAAACTCGTGTTTTGAAGGGCCATCCCCGCCGTAAGTCGAGAACATACCCCAGGTCCGCGCCGCAACTCGAGAAAAACCATGAGACTTCCCCATAGAGGCGAGATGAGGCCCCATTCCCCTGCAGTGCATGCAGAGCTATTCCGTGATCCCATTCAAACAAGTCAGGAGCTTCGACTTGCTTAATGGATCTCGACACATTCCCCAAAAACACTGTCACCAGTCTAGACGGACCCTGAGGTCACCCCAGCAACGCAAAGCAGCTCCATGTGCCCCAAATCAACTCGAGATGAGGCCCGATTCCCCTGCATTGACTCCCGAGCCATTCCCCATTCCCCATTCAAGACGAACAGTGGCTCGACTTCCTTCAGGCAACTCCAGAGATACCACTAGAACACTGTCCCAAGTCTAGAGGAACACCAACTTAAGCACAGCAACTCGAGGAATGCCATGTGTACCCCAAATCGTCTCGAGATGAGAGCTGATTTCCTGGCTTAGGCTCAAGACGTATGCCAACTTTCCAGAAGCACCTCAGGATGAGGCTTCTCTCAGCAATAGGTATGTGGGAGGGACCCCGAGTTTGCTGCCTCAAGGGGAATAGAGAGCGAGAAGCCCTAACTTGAAAAGAGGCCGGATTTCCTTGCAGTGGCTTGAATACAGGCTCGTGTTTCATCTCACAACATGAAGGGATGTCTGAATCCCCTGTGGAGACCTTAGAGAAAGCCCTAGGTCACTGCCTCATTTTGACGGAATGCCTCACATCCCGTTGACATCTCGAGAGGCACGCGGAGTTCATTGCTTCAAAAGGTGACGATGCCTGAGTCCTCTTGAAAACTGATAGGAATCCCAAAATCCCTGTGGCTACTGGATAGGGTCCTTGGGTGCCCTGCCTCACCTCGAGAAGCGTCCCTTTTGCCCTGCCAAGCCTCGAAGAGATTCCTGAGGTGTCCCTCGTTACTAGAGAGGAGTCCTGACGTCACTGAAGAAACTCGTGTTTTGAAGGGCCATCCCCGCCGTAAGTCGAGAACATACCCCAGGTCCCCGCCGCAACTCGAGAAAAACCATGAGACTTCCCCCTAGAGGCGAGATGAGGCCCCATTCCCCTGCAGTGCATGCAGAGCTATTCCGTGATCCCATTCAAACAAGTCAGGAGCTTCGACTTGCTTAATGGATCTCGAGACAGTCCCCAAGAACACTGTCACCAGTCTAGACGGAACCTGAGGTCACCCCAGCAACGCAAAGCAGCTCCATGTGCCCCAAATCAACTCGAGATGAGGCCCGATTCCCCTGGAATGACTCCAGAGCCATTCCCCGTTCTCCATTCAACAAGACCGGTGTCTCGACTTCCTTCAGGCAACTCCAGAGATGCCCCGAGAACACTGTCCCAAGTATAGAGGAACTCCAACTTCAGCACAGCAACTCGAGGAATGTGAGTGAACCCCAAATCGACTCGAGATGAGAGCTGATTCCCTGCCTTAGGCTCAAGACGTATGCCAACTTTCCAGAAGCACCTCAGCAGGAGGCTTCTGTCAGCAATAGCTATGTGCGAGGGACCCCGAATTTGCTGCCTCAAGGGGAATATACAGCGAGAAGCCCTAATTTGAAAGGAGGCCGGATTT